TATATCTATCTCTACCACTATTAAAGATCTCTATTACAATTATAGAGAGTATTTACAAGATAATTTAAGAAATAAGAGAATCTTTATTAATACTTAGTAAGTGATTTTTAATTACTTTATAAGTATTTATTTCTATTAATGAATTCTAGCCAAATTTCTTAAAAGCCCTGCTTTAAAAGTATTTTATAAGTAGTATAATACTTAATTCTTATTTAATATTTATTAAAGCTTTATAAATCTTAATAGAATCTCTATAATTATTTAAAAGCAAAAGATTCTAAGCTATCTAGTAGAATAAGATATTAATAGAATCTTATTTAAAATAAAAAAGAATTAGATAATATCTATAAGTAATTATATATTACTTTATAAGTAATTAATAAATATTTACTAATTATATAAAGAATTATATTCAAGATATTTATACTAATAATAATATTATTATAATTATCTATATATTAAAAGAGCAAGCTGTCTTACTTTAATTATTAGATTTCTTTAAGATTAATATATTATCTAAACAGCTAAAAAAAAAGGATCTTTATAAAATAGTCTTTATAAGATATTTACTAGAATATAATAAAGATAACTATTTATAAGTATTTCTTAAGTAATTTATAAATATTTATAGATTAATTTAGTTATAACTCTCTACTGTATTATTACTAACCAGAATTGTTAAAAAGGCTATTATCTTCTATTTAAACATGTCTTTAAGCAAGTTCAGGATATAACAGGTTATTCTGTATACTTTTATTCTATTCATGGCACTGGTATACAGGCAGTGGTTATAGATATAGATATAAAGCAGTATAGAGATAAGTGCTTATAAAGTATTTAATAATTACTTATTAATTAATCTAGGTCTATATAATTATATATATAAGATTAATTCTTAAAAATAACTATTAAATAAATAAGAATTAAGTCTTATACTATTCTACTAGATTTACTTTAAATACAGGATTAAATAAGTATTGAAAAACTGTATATACTATACTAAAGCTATAGAATAAATAGAATCTATTTTTTATACTGCTTTAGAGAATAATTATATAAAGATACTTGATTTTATTATTAGTAAATACTTATATAGTGTTTATTAAATATTTACTAATTAATTAATAGAATAAGAGTCTTTATCTAATATTTAGAACTGAATAAAGTATAAAAAGCAGTTACTTATTAGAGTAGATCTTAATAAAGTCTACTCTTCTATTCTAGTAACTATTTTTAATTTTATATAAAAGTAGATAAATACTATTAAATAAATTTACTATAAATTAAATACTTAAAGAAAATATTTAACTCTTTTATAAATAATTCTTAAATACTTTTAAATTAATTTATTACTATATCTAAATTACTAATATTTACAGGTCATATAAGTTAGATTACTAGAATATTAAATAATATCAAGCTAATCAAGTCTTTAATATCCAGTATTAATATATATTAAGTTTAGTTAAGGTAAATCTCCTAAGATATATATAAAGAAAAGATAAAATTTTATATATTTATTTTTTATTACTTTTTAACTACTTATTAAATATTTTCTAATTACTATTTAAATACTTTCTAATTATAATATAGAGACATAATATAGACAATCCTGCTTAAGATTATTATTAGAAAATAATATTAAAGTATTATTAACTGGAAGGCCACTATAGCAATTACTAAGTATAAGAATATAATTATCTAGTATAAGAATATAATTAAGATAGATTTAATATTAGTATTTAGAAATTATTTATAAAATATTTATTAAATATTTATCTAGTTTATCTTAGTTTTCACTATATTAAGTTATATCTGAAAATCATCTTTAAGACAGTTAAGATTCTAGTATTAAAGCTTTATAAAGAGAAATTAAAAAGAAGACTTTAACTGCTTAATTACTTAAAAAGTAATTAGCTAATAAAAGAAGACTGTAAAAGATTTAGAAACTTAAGAAAAAAATATTAAATAAAAGAATAAATAGTACTCTTTAAATAATTTATAACTATTTAATAAATACTTTAGAAATATATATATTATTAAGTAAATTTCTTTTTTTATTATAGATATATATATTTTCTTACTTATCTAATATTTACTATAATAATATACTGTTTTTAAGTACTACTTAAGAATTACCTTTTATTTAAAAACTTTATTATTAGTATAACTCAGAAATTATTCTTAGTACTATAGTAAAGTATTTTAAAATCAGTCTGAAATTAATTAGAATTAAGAGAGATTATATTAAAGAGATTATAATAAATATAGAATACAGAATTCTTATAGTATTCTATAATTATTTAGCAATTAATTAATAATTAATTAAAGAATATTACCAAAATCTACTATTTGGTTTAATACTATACTTAGTATAGCCAGAGTATAGAAATATCTTTCCTATCTTTTTAACTTCACGGTGCATATTAGTAACAGAGATCTTAGAAATTATTAGAGAATTACTTAAAAAGTATTTAGTAAGTAATTTACTAATATTTCTAGTATAAGTAAGAGGCAGCTTTAGTAATGGCTTCTTAATCTACTTGTCAGTGGTAACAGGGCTAGCAGGACTGGCAGAGATACTGGAGAAAGCTATAGAGACAGTACTGGCAGCTAGAGTTTCCTGAGAAAAAAATAAGTAATAAAAGTCTAATTATTTATAAACTATTTAAAAAGTATTTTTAAAGTATTTTATAATTACTTACTAATTACTTTATCTTTTACTCTCTATAGAATACAGTTCTTTTCCATTATAAGAATCTGTAAACTATACTATTTTATATATAAATAAAGATTATTTAGTTAAGAAAATACTTTCTAAGTAGATATAAAATAAAATATTTAGAAGTATTTTATATATATACTACTTTATATTTATAATCTTCAACACAGCAAAAAATCTCTCTATAGTAAACTATAATATAACTATCTTTATTTTAAATATTTAAGAAATATTTAGTAAGTAGCTATAAATTACTTTTATAGTTCTTAAGATTATCTCCTTATATAGTAGCCAGATAAGAAGATTACTAGTAGCTTCCTTCTGAAGATACTTTTTATAAGTATTCTACCAGTATATAAATATTTCTTAAATAATTTATAAATAATTTTAAAATTAACTATCTACTTATATAATAATCAAGGAATTTAGACATGATTTTTAATAAAAGTAAAGAGAATTAATAAAAGCTTATAAAAAAAACCAGCAGAAGAATATAAGGCCAGAAAATGAGCAGATGGCAGATATATATAATAAAGTGAAATGTTTTGAAATGGATTGGAAAAGTTTTCCGCTGCCACTGTGTACAGACCCCCTGCCACTTCTGGAACAATATTATTCCACTCCGAAAGTGGCGGACCCACTTTTAGAAGTCGGCCTCAACTATGTCCTCCAAAAAAAAGGACCCCAGCTGACCTGCAACCACCATACATGGGCCCTTGGCGGGCTGGCAATGGGCTGCAGGGTCAGCCCGCGGGCTCTGCAGAGGTCTACCCAAAACCCATCTGGGCGAACCTCTATGAGGCCACAGATGCCTCAAGATTCAATGTTTCCGTTAAACCCCACTTGCCCTATCCGGTGTGCAAGAACGACGCTAACATTTCGCATCCTTAAGGTTACGTTGAGTCTCTGGCCTAATTAGGCTTAGTAGGCTAACACTCCCCACCAAGATATCTCACTTGTCAGAGCAGTTTTCGTAGAGATCAGAGATCAATACACTGAGGTTTTACACCCTCAACAGTTTATATCTAGAACAAAGTATGCAAGCGCAAAAGCAAATTACCACCGCAACTTTCATGACAGAACTAAATCCACTGCTACGTGTCCCCAACAGCTTGCCGCCTTTTCAGAATCGCTCGCTGCCATACAGTAATACTGGGATACGAAATATGGTTCAGCACGCAACATCCATTCGCAAATCTAACATGTGAGGTGCTAGGAATTCATGTGGATGAAACTGTCAGGACCTAGGCCGAATCGTGCCTGAGGCATCAAGTCTACTTTATTTACTGTTGATCCGATCCTACAGCACAGTTCCTGTGTGATTGCAAGTAGCGCTAGGCTAAGGTAGATAGAGGGCTGCCAACCTTCCATACTAACGGGAGGTTGCTACGCCCTTTATATACAGACGGTATGAGCTAGTACAATCCTGACTCAGCGTCCACCAGTGGATCCCCTAAGCTATGTAGCGATTGCATGCCGTTGGTAGGCGTAGCTACAGAACAAGTCGGCTATGGTTCCCTCACCTGATGAATGGGATTACGCCAGTATGATAGAATTTTTCTTTCTCTCTTCCTTCTCTACATTTGATGTTTCGTTAGATCGCCACATTAGATATTGTAAAGAACTTGGGGGAAGAGCTTGATAGGTGTCTTCGGTATAGGAGGACTGCAATGTAGACGTATTGACTACACGCCAACCATCATATAGATCGGAGGAGTTTATAGAACAACAATATATTCAACTATCTCGCTTGATTATTTTCATTAGGAGCGTAGGGTCAATAAGTTCCTATTTATCATATGCATAATTGTACGCGGCTCCCCTAGAGGATTGACTGCGTCTAATCCATGGATCCACTGCTTAGATATAGCCTCTGATAAGCCTAATCCTTTACAGATATAAATGATATTATCTTCCAATGTGAATATGATCATCATAGAAACCTCGCTACTTGTCTCACCTCCATGCCCACGCCTGATTTGATAAACAATTCCGACAAGTTAGGTGGTTAGGTTATCTTTGCCAATTCGGGAAATCTGATGCGAGTGTCTCAACTCCCTCCCCAGGTAAAAGAATGCCACTTTCGCACACTATTGGTACTATATAATTACCTGCGCCGCGGCAAATTAATTCTACACAGAGTAACTCATTCTCATATTGCCATTGCCAGGCTCTGCAACAGCCAACCATTTCTTTTCAGTCAAGTTGCGCTACACGTACGCAGTTTGACTTCCAAATCTTACCTACGGAACCTTCATCGAAGTGCCTAATAATCACCATGCCTATTTACTTGAGTATGCAGCGAGTCCGCTTTTCCAGTCCTGATGCCTATGAGAAATTCAAAGTCCTTTTCGCCGACACACGTCATCACCTAATGAAACTCCCCGGGTTTTTACACCTCACCTGGTGGGAGCACCCCGATGATCGAAGCTGGTACAACGAGTGCAGCTTCTGGACTAGTCGCGGTGCTCTCTACGACTGGCATAAGAATATTTACCATAAATACTGCAAAACATGGGCGGCAAATGGTGCTATTATGGAGAACATTATTACCAATTTCGAGCTTGTCGGAACACGCCTACTCCGCATTTGCCCCGTCTGCAACCACACGCAAGATAAGAAGTATGACCTTGCACAAGAGCAAGCCGTGTTGCAAGAGCAATGCCCGCAGTGTGGCTTCCATTTTCCGGTTCTTGGAGAAATGACGTCTAGCTTCGCAGTCTTTAAGGATGTGCCTAACTTGCCGGAAGAGGCTTGCTCTTCTACAGATGCACAACATTGAATGTATCACTGGTTATGTGGATAACTTGCAGCAGGCCCGCATTCAAGCAGAGTATCATTTGTGAAGCTGGAGAAGGAATCTTGTTCTATTACTAAGTGACTGTATTTGTTGCTGTTGTTATAATTGTTTTACTGATATTCTTTGATCTTTATTTGTAGGCTTCGTTGTATCTTGACAATTCTGCTAGGGTATATATCGGCCCTATTCCCTAGCTTTGTGTAAGTGGCCCTCAATAAGTAGAGAATGTAACGGCTCAGGCCAATGTAGATAGATTTATCTTATTGGGTAGCTCTAATACGAGAAAATTGCTTAAAGAAGAGAATATCCCACGAGCGAAGCTCTGTGAGATCTTGTCTATCTTGAATACAAACAGAACAAACAAGAATAATGCACTGCTTGCTGATATTCACTATGAACTCAGCAGCCTGCATAGCGACTGCGCCGTCACAGAGAATACAGAGCACGTATCTTCCAGGGGTCCACGCGCAGAATCTCAATATTGGCACTCAGTGAAGTCCCAAGTAGCGCTTCTGCACATCATATGCCCCTTGATCCGCACGTAGTAAACCATTACATGCTCTGCCCTGCTGGGCTGGCTCTTGAAGCTGAATCCTAGTTCGCCAGCGATATGGCTCCGTGCCCCGTCTACACCGAAGAATTACAGCGTACGAATTTTCAACAACTGCGTTGAGATGAGATTGTGGATGGTACAATATATTGAGCTGGGTTAGACACATCTGTGTCTGTGATCTGTTCAATACCCACGAGCTCGGTCGAGAACCGCACAGTAAAGTTGTGCTGCGAAGCACACTTGACAAGCAGGGGTCCAGCTCCGACTGCGAGAGCTTGGCGTTCTCGCACGGATTAAGGTCGCGACTTGGCCCTGTAAATGTTCCCCGATGTGGTACCGATCCAGGAAGCAATAGTTAAGCCCTACGGCCACTACCCGACATGACGGATGTTCACTCCACACGAGAACTCTTCTGAACTCCTCCCTACTAATACTGCGACACCAGCGCATACATTGAGATGATGAGCCGCGCAAGGGCACTTGCAAAGCCGCGTTCTCGATCCCAATATCACGTACACATTCTAAGACCCGCTTTGGTCAGCCAGCCCCCGGCTGGATCTGGTCCTCATACGGGAGCCTAATGGGTTGAATCCGTAAGCTCTTGGCATGCCTGCTGTCGCGAATACCTAGGATATAACTAGTCCTTGCAGTCCTATATATACATATATAGACGGTCGAGTCAGGTTTATGTTCGAAGGGGGCAGGGATTAGGAGCTCACAATTTTGACCTAAAAAAGCATCTAAGCTTGCTCCAGCCAGCCCTGCGCCAACAATTAGGAAGTTTGTTTACACTTCTGGTGAATGCATTTCAGGAAGGCCGTCTTGTAGAGTAAGCTTGAAGATTATAATCCAGCGATAGAAAGATGTTAATAGGTGTTCCTTATGATGACCCCATCCGAGGAAATCTAAATCCTTTTCATATATATATCATGTAGGTTACCACGGATCAAGGTTAACATGACCATTTGCAGTTGAAAGCGGCGTCCGGACTTCTACCTAGGCGTCATCATGGTTCTATAATTGGCATTAGATACACACATGGTACTTTCACAGGAGTTGTCACCACCATACAGCCAAACGGGAAGGTTTCTCGGCCGCAGAGGAAATATCCGCGACAAAAAAAAACTGTTGCATACTGTCAGAACCAACAGCAGTCAATTCTAAACCAGATTATTTTATTTAATGTAAGAGGGCAGATGAGAGTGGCTTTTCTATTTGGTCGAGGTAATTACTATGCAAGATACTCCTTACCCTGCGGATATAGGAATCATTACCTTCATTGGTTCCTTTTTCCGCCGCCAGATCGTGGACGAACGCTCAAAACCGCGAATAATGAGCGAAAATCCGTCAGAAACGAGACACATAGGCTGATCATCGAATTTCGGCTTACTGTGATTAATATCGGTCTACTGGCCATGTTGACAGACCTGGTGCTATAAGGTAAATATGTATTAGACAGGCCGTGGCCTGTTCTTATTTCTCTGTCCTTTATTAATCCCTGGGTTTTATCCATGTATTTATATTTACTAATTCTTTTCTTGCCCTAAACTGCTTACTTGCATAAGGCTTTTACTTTTACCTTCGTCAGAGTGCGGCTTCCCTGATTAAGTGTGTACGGAATAGATAGTAGGAGGGAGAATCTATAAATATAAGGGAGATAGATTAGAGGGCTGGACAAGGAGTAGCATTCTAATCTCTATACAGTGCCCAGGAGCGTCGGGCTCTATGGCCGCCATTGTCTGGAGCATAGTATCGGAGCATTTAGAGAAAATATAAGCGGCATAAAGATATATGGACCGCCTATCCAACTTCATTATGATGAGTTGCTTCTGCTCAGATTCACACGATCGTACATAGTCCGCTCCAGTCTAATGGCTCTTAGATGGGTGCTTTCGAAACGCGATGGACTGCGACTAGAGAGCAGGGAGTTCTAAAAATACTCACTATCCCTCTCTTATCTAACACTAATATACTTACCGTAGAAACCTAACTATAGCATTCACGGAGAGGTTGATGTAGCCCAAGCCTGTCCGGTGCTTGCTCAGTGATAATGTAAGATTCAGCGATGTCAAAGTGCAGACCACATTCTGCTTAAACAACTGTAATTCATATTACCTCTAAGGGCCAACCCAAGCATTGTTCCAGGTCAGCCCTCCATTGATACTGTTTCCGCCCGAACTATCTCATCGCATACCCAGGCACGACCAAGGATAGTGACAGCATGTTTACAGGGGAATATCTCGCCGCAACAATGGCGAACAATGATCGCATTAGACTCCACTTTTCATACTGACCATTTCCGCTGCCCAGGAGGATCCGTCGGATTAATTTCGTTGAAAAAGACAGTAATAAGCGGACCCGGTGCCCCTCTATCTTGAAGCGAGGTATGGTAGATCGATTTGGTGAAAGTAATGCCAAACCAGCCTGGAACCACCAGGCGGACAGAGCCCCCTTGTTCCTTGTCCAAGGGTTTACTATTAATTCCATATACCAGTAGCACATAATGACCATTGCATCCTGGAACGGGAGGTCCTTTTAATACCGGTATATTCGAACGCCAGCAAAGACACCAGAATTCAGGCAGTCCAACCAGATGTATGACGCCAGCGCTTTCGGGTATGCTAGTTTAAGTAATGGGCATAAGGGTACACCAGCCTAGTGCACATTTTCCCACCTTCGAGCAGCCTAAGTTGGGTGAAACAGAGGGCTGCCATAGAATTCACAGAACGCCGTGACAGAGGTGGAGTCAGGATGACTCCACTCCATAGTCATCCGTCGTTCTCGTTGACCAGATCAGGCAATTGAGTTGGCACCAGGTAGGTTCTCTTTCCTCCAATAGAATACTGTAGAGTAATATTTACGACCCGCAGAATAACCTTGGCGGAGTCTTAACTTCAGGACCTCGGGAGTGGGAAGAGATATCCTTAAGTCCACCTCTGACAAAGGACTGCCGGAATCGCAAAATGCTTCGAGTCACCTAACGTGGGTCACCGCCCAGTTATCGAGAATCTTGGTAATCACGTGGGATCGGCTCACTGTTTAATTAGGCGAGCGAATGAGATATTTTTAAACATGAGGTGCATAGATATTACGAGTCAATGCCCGTGGCCAGCTGCTTCACAATCCTTATCTTGCATATTATCAAGCCCCATAGACAGGGACATGGGGTTTCCAGCGCTCTGGAAAATGTCGAAACAAACTCCTGTCTACATATCGATCTGCAGCTGGAGCATCTGTGATAGATATTACACATCTGGCGAGTCTATCGAGAGGCGGCGGCTTCCAAGGCTGAGCATGGTATCTGCGTGAGATTGACACCATAGGATTCATCCTGGAAGGCCAGATGTCCCAGAGTTAATTTGTTGAGGCGATATCACTGAACATGCCCGGGCAAATCCTAGACACGGGTCTTTCAGATGTCGTCGCACAGCTTGACACCTTCAGGGCTACAACAAACCTTTGCATCTTGGAAGGCAGTCAAGTGAGAGTCTATCCAATCGAATTTGCCGACCCTGGCGGTCTGTGGCCTCAGCCATGCACTGGGTATAGATTGAATTCCTGTAAAATGTGAGACTAAAACGGGATGGGAATTCTCTGACCTCTCAGTAGCTGAAAGGTTTTAAAATCGAAATTGACGTATGAACATATGCTTTATATATATAGTATTTATGTTATGTATCCGTTGCTCGAACCCAGACTTGCCAAGCGAATACTAGGCTCTCCCAGCCAACCACAGTCGATTATGAGCAAGGACGAAGTCAGACTCTCGATACTATATCTGATCCGTAGCCAGTACTCAGGATCGACATGGTAGAAATTTCGCAGCCCCAAGACCGTACTCCTATAACCATTATAAAGATAGCCAAGAGTTACCCACGGACAAGGTGGCGAAGGAAAGAGGGTTGTACAGTCGCATCCGAGGTCGAAGTGAAGAAAAACGGAGAGACCCCGGTCAGTGGCAATAAATCCGAGCTATCTACAAAGCTGCGTCCCATTGCTAATCAATGGTTGAATCTCTCTAGCCAGCACGCAGTAACGCCTATAAATAGAACTGGCAATATGACCCTAGGAAGATGTGATTGTAAGTTGTCCACCGGGCCCTCATCGCCGGATTAGGTTGTCTCACATCCGAGGAGGAATAAAGAGAAGCTCGAGGAGGCTTTGCCCTTGTTATTGTCTGTAGTATATTCTTGGCGAGTCAACGCAAAGATGTGGGCGGCTTGTCTCTCTTGATAAGCTCTTTTATGGAGGGTCAAAGTTGAATTTTAAGAGATTTCAAGGGAGTGTGGGACTGCTAGCCAAAAGAGATAACAGAGTTGCCAAGTTAGAGTCCACCCTAGGATAACGAATCCGGGTTTCGGAGAGAGACGGCATTTGATAGAGAGGCGAAACAGTGATGTTCCTACCTAGTACTAGTAGAAATGGTGGTCTAATCAAGTGTAATTTCGATCACCAGCTGCCAAGATGAAGGTGCTACTTTTGTAATTGCTGCCGTATCACGATCCCGATATGGACAAGCACAATACTCGGATACCGAGTGAGGCAGTAACAGCATATGGCTGGACTGAGTGTGTTTTTCCGTACCCCGGCCTACTCGGTGTCTCAGTAATTCTCCCGAACCGAAGTGCCTGCCCTGAACGAGTTTTTAGCCTACAATGCTTCTAGAATGGTCCGATAATGCATTCAGGATCCATGGATAATGCGGTAAGCTCCGCTATTGGTGAGTGGGATTGGATACCGGTGGAGATAAGAGACTTCTCACACTAAGACACTTGCTGGGCCTCCCAGTTTGTGTGGCTAGTGGAAAGTTTTACCCATGCCAACCACGCCGTACGATATATACCCATCGGCCTAGACAACGTTTCAGACATGACAAAGTAACACTCTTCTTCGTATTGCGTGAGATAGCAGGAACAGTCCAGAGTTAAGCCCACGAGAAGAGATACAAGATACTGAGTAACCAAAAGGGCTTTTCCAGGGTTGGACCTCGCCAACTTATTCCTTGTACAAGTTCTTGAGAGCAGAGTGGCCATTCACTAATTTTAGGGTCCGGGCAACTCCATCAGCCCCGTGGATGCCACTCTCGTGCCTCCCCACTAGGCAGAGACTGTAGGGATTTAGTTAACACGAGACTGTAGCCATTTCCCCCGTTTAGAGGCCGCATCCCGTAATTCATATTATTTCTATACTCATTTTCCAACCGTTCCTTCAGAGTTTTCTTCTTTTAACCAGCAAATTCCTCTCCTTGCCACATTAGGGCTGTGGACTCTAGTAGGAAGGATGCCAAGTAAATAAGGAACAGGTATATTTCGGGCGTACTAAGCGCGTTGCGTCATTTACTAAGGCTACCGTCTCTGATAGGTCGGGATATGCAAGCTGGCAGGCAGAGTTATCGAGGATTCAATGTGGCTCTCATAATAAGTAGATGTTATAATTAGCAACGGTACTCTTGTCCTTACCCTTTTCTCAGAAGCCTCATCGCATCCTGGTACGAAAGATTGGTCAGGTTTTGTCTTCTTTCCCTTTGCTCCATTTCACCTTAGTCTTTCGTTTCTGCTTTTTTTGTGTTGCGTTATGGTTGACTCAGGTTTTCTTTATCTGATCCGACTGCGTGTTTGTGCAAGACCGGTATTGAACTCTTTCGCTTTCTGTCACTTCCGAATATCATCCCCATTTCGAGTACATGCAGTAAATAGATGCTTCGACCAGAGACTGAATAGCCTTACTCCTCTCCAGTAGCCCAAGATGCAGATGCTCACAGTAGGATTTGTCGCGCTGTTTGCGAGATCTGCCACATCATGGCCTTACGACGAGTCTCTCCTTGAATACAACGTCAACTACAACAAGTCCGCGACGAACCCAGCTGATTACTGGGGAGAATGGCCAAACCACCAGGGTGACTACTTTCCGTCTCCAGACAACTGGCGGTTTCCATTCTATACTCTATTTATGGACCGATTCGTTAATGGTGATCCGACAAATGACAATATCAACGGAACTCAGTTCGAGCATGATCTTAGTTCAAATCAAATGCGGCATGGTGGTGATGTGGCTGGGCTGCTCGATACTTTAGATTATATTCAGGGAATGGGGATCAAGGTTTGAATCTCGTGGATGGACTAACAATAGGAAATGCTGACATTGACCTGCCAGGGCATTTATCTTGCTGGTTCATCAGGATCGGCTGGTACGATCCTGATGAACCAGCCTTGGGCCGCCGATGGATATTCAACGCTTGACACTACGCTTCTCGACCAACACTTTGGGACCATCGAAACTTGGCGCAGTGCCATTACCGAGATCCACAGGCGTGGAATGTATGTCGTTCTGGACAATACAATCGCTACGTGAGTCGTTTCCTTAATTTGGATAAGAACAGGAATGAACCCGAGACTAACCAAGAACCGTGGACAAGTACAGTCTAAGCGACCTTATCGGTTTCGAAGGACATCTCAACACGTCGACTCCGTTTTCTGAGAAGGAATATAAAGCATTGTGGAAATCAGGCCGCCGATATGCGGATTTTGACTTTGGAAACGACTATAATGATACCTGTGACTATCCTCGCTTGTATTACGAAAATGGTTACCCAGTCAATCAGTCCTTTATCTCCGGCCTGGTCGGATGCTATAATAGCGACTTTGATCAATACGGAGATATCGAGGCCTTTGGGGTGCACCCCGACTGGCAACGACAGCTGGCCAAGTTCGCCTCGGTTCAGGATCGCCTGAGGGAGTGGCACCCTTCTGTACGACAACGCCTGATTCGTCACTCGTGCATGATAATTGCTTCGCTTGATATTGACGGCTTTCGGTATGACAAAGCTACCCAGGCTACAGTCGACGCGCTTGCAGACATGTCCTCAGCTTATCGAGAGTGTGCACGCAAGGTAGGAAAGGAGAACTTTTTTATCGCCGGTGAAATTACTGGTGGTAATACATTTGGTTCTATCTATCTTGGGCGTGGTCGTCAGCCTAATCAGAAGGTGAATGACATTATGGAGGCCATGAATATGACAAATACTTCAGACCCACAATACTTTATTCGGGAGGTTGGTCGGGCGGCTATAGATGCTGCCGCATTCCACTACTCAATATACCGCGGTTTGACGCGGTTTCTGGGTATGGATGGTCAGCTCGATGCTGGATTTGATGTGCCTGTCGACTCGGTCGAGGCATGGAATCAAATCATCTCGACGAATGATATGATTAATGCCAATACTGGTAAATTCGATCCCAGACATATGTTTGGCGCGACTAATCAAGATGTCTTTCGGTGGCCAGCCATCCTGTACGGCGTCGAACGGCAACTACTGGGTGGTTTTATCACCATATTAACGCTACCGGGTATTCCTCTTCTCCTCTGGGGTGAAGAGCAAGCATTTTACATTCTAGATGCAACTGCCAAGAACTATATCTATGGACGACAGGCAATGTCACCTGCGACTGCTTGGAAAATGCATGGATGTTTTAGGGTAGATCCATCCCAATACTACCAATGGCCCATTGAGGCCGGTCGTCAGGGCTGCCATGATGAGTCTGCTGCCTACGATCATCGCGATCCGTCTCACCCAGTACGCAATATCCTCAAACACATGTATCAGATGCGCCAGGAGTACCCTATGCTCAACGACGGCTACTTGCTTGAGACTCTGTCAAAACAAACCGAACCTATCCTCTACCCCGGTTCTAATCACACTGCCACGGAGACAGGCATGTGGTCAGTACGCCGTGATCTCAACCCATATTTGCAAGACTTTGGCTCTGCCGAGAAGAACCAGATGATCTGGTTGGTATATTCGAACAGGAACAGCACTTACTCCTATAAATTCGACTGTGCCGACAAAGACAAAGCCCTCATCGCCCCTTTCAACGCTAGAACGACCGTCAAGAACCTCTTCTACCCTTACGACGAGCTAACGCTGGAGGCCAGCCCAGTGAAACGCGGCTTCAATGGGTCCACTGAGTTCAATGGCTGCTATGCAAATCTGACGATGGACCGGTATGAGTTCCGTTCCTATGTTCCTAAGAAGGTATTCAAGATGCCACGCCCTATGATCACTAAGTTTCGACCTGGTAACTATGAAAATGCTGGACACAACTCACCCCTACGTTCGACCGTGGCACCAGATGCGTCGGAGATAGTTCCCGTCCTGGTGCAGTTCTCGCAAGAGATGGATTGCGATGGTGTGACCAAGGCAATTTCTCTGAACTCGTCGACGGAGATGGGAAAGACGCCATCGATTGATACCAGCTCCGTTCATTGTTCAATAATCCCAGAAGTCAAGGGCACTCTTACTGGTCAGATCCCCGGGGTTTGGCAGTGGACTGCCGACCTGACTGGTGTATACAACGGTATCCATAGAGTCACCATAAACAATGCCACCAGCAAGGATGGCGACTCATTCACAAACGCAGTGGACCATTTCTTGTTCCGAATCGGTCAAATCGATAACCCCATGGTCTTTACCTCGGCCAATTACTCCAGTAGTCTCTTACACAAGGATGCGAACGGCACTCTGTTCATCCAGCACCACGCCGCTGGCGCTGATAAATATCGCTACTCTACCAACTGGGGAACGTCATTTTCAGACTGGAAAGACTACAAAGGCGGTAATGATACCATTCAAATGCTTGAATGGTCTGGCACCAAGAAGCAGAAATGGGATGGCCATCACGTCCGTGTCGAGTACTGGAGCCGCTGGACCGGTAGTAGCGATTACGTGCAGGAAGGCGACTCTGGCTGGCAATCTAAGGTCCCGCGACGCTTCCCTCATATTTTCTTCAACGGGCCTTACAACCAGTACGGCTATGATGCTGGTTTGGACAATGAGGTCAAGCTGGATACAACGGACGGATTCTGGAAGTACCACTTCACCTCAGAATGGCCGGCAGTCGGTCAGCTCAATGTTTGGGGCATGAATCCTGATGGGAAACCCGACCAGAGCTGGGTTCTAGGTGATGTCGATGGCGACAAGATCCTTGACCGAATGCCGCCTTCGTCTCTTTCGGCCACCCTGTTAAACATCACTGAACATCCGCCTTCCCCGTATCTCGCTTGGACGTTTTACATCAATGATGGCACATTGGGCTATCAGCTTATTCCGGTCGGTAACCAGAGCGTTCAGATTGCCCTCTTCGTTCTCTTTTGGATCGTCCCCATTATTACTGCCTCAGCCTGCGTCTACATCTTCATAAAGTCGTTCTACAAGGTCAAGTTCAACCAGGTCGGTGTCAGCGAAACGCACACGCTAATTCCACTGGCCCTCCGTCGCAAGATTAAGCAGATTCGCACGGGCAAGGGAGGATTTGGCTTTATGCAGAGCACCACTGCCCTAGGAGCGGCTGCCGCAGGCAAGCGTCGCACGGTCCTGATCGCCACCATGGAGTACGACATTGAGGACTGGGCTATTAAGATCAAAATCGGTGGTCTTGGTGTCATGGCACAGCTTATGGGTAAGACGCTAGGTCACCAGGACCTTATTTGGGTTGTTCCTTGCGTCGGAGGTGTTGACTATCCTGTTGATACTCCCGCGCCGCCCATGACTGTCACTATCCTCGGCAATGCCTACCAGGTCCAGGTCCAATACCACGTCTTCAACAACATTACCTACGTCCTCCTCGATGCACCAGTCTTCCGCCAACAATCGAAGTCTGAGCCTTACCCTGCTCGTATGGATGATCTTGACAGTGCGGTTTATTACTCTGCTTGGAATCAATGTATTTCAGAAGCGATCAAGCGATTTCCAATCGATCTTTACCACATTAATGATTATCACGGCTCTCTTGCACCCCTCTACCTCCTTCCCGAAACGATCCCCGCCTGTCTCTCACTCCATAACGCTGAGTTCCAAGGTCTGTGGCCGATGCGCACACAAAAGGAGAAGAAGGAGGTCTGTTCCGTTTTCAACCTAGATATCGACGTTGTCCGTTCCTACGTCCAGTTCGGTGAAGTGTTCAATCTTCTTCATGCAGGTGCCAGTTACCTCCATGTCCACCAGCAGGGTTTCGGTGCTGTCGGTGTCTCCAAGAAGTACGGAAAGCGTTCATACGCACGTTACCCTATTTTCTGGGGTCTGCGTAAGGTTGGCAACCTGCCTAACCCGGATCCATCGGATGTTGGCGAGTGGACAAAGGACAGCTTGCCCAAGGATAGCGATATACAGGTTGATCAGGACCTCGAGGCAGGCCGTGCCGAGCTCAAGAGACAGACGCAGGAATGGGCCAGACTGGAGCAGAATCCAGACGCGGATCTGCTTGTGTTCGTTGGCCGCTGGTCTATGCAGAAGGGGGTTGACTTGATCGCTGATGTCATGCCAGCCGTACTCGAGGCGCGCCCGAATGTCCAGCTAATCTGTGTTGGTCCTGTCATTGATCTCTACGGTCGATTCGCAGCATTGAAACTTGACCGTATGATGAAGATGTATCCTGGTCGTGTTTTCTCTCGACCCGAGTTTACTGCACTTCCGCCTTATATCTTCTCTGGTGCTGAATTCGCCCTGATCCCATCCCGTGATGAGCCCTTTGGTCTGGTTGCTGTCGAGTTCGGCCGTAAAGGTGCCCTTGGTATTGGTGCTCGTGTCGGTGGATTGGGACAGATGCCTGGTTGGTGGTACAATGTCGAATCTGTGTCAACATCACATCTGCTCGTGCAGTTCAAGCTCGCTATTGAAGCTGCGCTCAACTCCAAGACAGAAACTCGTGCCATGATGCGTGCTAGATCCGCCAAACAGCGGTTCCCGGTTGCCCAGTGGGTTGAGGATCTGGAGATCCTGCAGTCGACTGCTATCCAGATGCACAATAAGGAAGCCGCCAAGGGTCATAATCGCCCTGTGACACCCTCTATCACTTCGACACCTACTGAAGCCCTGCCGCTGTTTGGCCGTCCTAACAGCCCAAGGAATCTTTCTGTCCCACATTCCCGGGAAGGCAGTTACTCGAACCTCAACCTTCTGAGCGACATCGGTACAGTCGCCCAGCGATACGAGACTATTTACAGTCGGGATCCTAGTTCCAGCGAAGCATCGCAGCCGTCCGGGTTGCAGCGGTCACTGTCGCTCGGTGTCAGATCCGGTCCTGGTCATTTATCGAAGCGTGGCCGTGGCCGTGGTAGACCGCACGCAGAAAACATCCCGGGGGGCGACGAGAACGCCTCGCACCAGAGTGATAAGGATGACAGTGATACCGATTCCATCCTCAGCTCCTACAGTGAAGAGTATACTCTTGGCCCGTCTCAAATTGAACAGAGTAGACAGGCTCAAGCTGCTCAGCGATCGGGTGCCCGTGTTGTATCATCGCCTCGACGGAATAGCCAAGATTCATTGCATCCACCCCCATACGCCATGTCTCCGATGAGCCCTAGCACGCCACCAGTGGCCAAGGATAGCCTCCTGCCCCCGCCGAAGCCTTTTGCTGAACCTGGCAATCGACTAAGTAGCACGTCCGTCTTGTCACTTGACTCTGTCGTCGGTAACAAGAAGGACTTCAAGCTGCAGAAGGTCGACCCCTTCTTCACCGACAGCAATGGCACGTATCACAAGGAGTTCGAAAAGCGACTAGAAGGTTTGAATGGATCAAACTCCGAGTCCCAGCTCTGTATCGAAAAGTTCCTTATCAAGTCTGAGAGGCAATGGTTCGATAAGTTCCGCGATGCAAGACTCGGTCGTATCAAATCACCCACCCCATCAATCTTCCGCTACAAGCACAATGCCTCTCCTGCCGATTCTATGTATATGGACGATGCCTCCCGTGAGAGTGGCCACCAGTTCCAGGATGATGACGAAGAGGACGATGAGTTCTTGCTCGGAAAGGACTACGTCCCGCCCACTGGACTGAAGAAGTGGATGCAAATTAAGATTGGTGACTGGCCAATCTACACCCTCTTCTTGGCTCTCGGTCAGATCATCGCTGCAAACTCGTACCAGGTTACACTCCTTACAGGTGAAGTCGGTGAAACTGCTGAGAAGCTGTATGGAATTGCCACGACATATGCCATTTCCTCGGCCTGTTGGTGGCTTGTCTTCCGATATTTCAAGTCTATGGTCTGTCTCTCGGCTCCCTGGTTCCTCTACGGTATTGCGTTCCTGCTCATCGGTTCCGCTCGCTGGGAGCCGGTCTCCTTCACCCGTGGCTGGATCCAGAATGTCGGTAGTGGATTTTACGCGGCTGCTTCGTCGAGCGGTTCGATTTTCTTCGCTTTGAACTTTGGTGACGAAGGTGGTGCCCCCGTCAAGAAGTGGATCTTCCGCGCGTGTGTTATCCAGGGTATCCAGCAAGTGTATATCATTGCTCTGTGGTACTGGGGTTCCACCTTGACGAAGGCTGCCAGCGAGGGCCTTTTGGCTGCTGACAACCAGATTTCCAACACATGGAAGATGACGTAGGTTTTGCTAATTCCTTCCTCAGGACTATGAAGTTGGCTAAGTTGATCCTTCGCAGCGCCATTTGTTACCCCATTGCCATATTTCTGTGGGCCATTGGTATCCTCCTGATACTTGGTCTTCCCAACTACTACCGTCAAACTCCTGGCAAGGTGCCTTCGTTCTACAAGTCTCTCTTCCGACGCAAGATCGTCCTTTGGAACTTCGTGGCTGTCATCTTGCAGAACTTCTTCCTTAGTGCCCCCTACGGCCGCAACTGGAGCTGTACGTCCCTATTTTCTCTATAGTCACTGTGACTTCGTTGATACTAACACTTGCTTTTCTTTGCAGTCCTCTGGACCTCCATCCATACCCACGCATGGCAGATTGTCATGCTCTGCGTTATCTTCTTTGGTCTCCTCTGGATAGCCTTCCTCTACCTCGTCAGCCAATTCTCCAAGCAACACAGCTGGTTCCTACCCGTCTTTGCCTGCGGGCTTGGAGCCCCCCGGTTCATTCAAATCTGGTGGGCAGTCTCAGGCATCGGTTACTTTCTCCCGTGGGCAGCTGGGGGATATATCGGCGGTGCCCTGGTATCCAGAAGCCTCTGGCTCTGGCTAGGCATCTTAGACTCAATCCAGGCCCTTGGGTTCGGAATTATCCTCTTACAAACCCTAACCCGCATGCACATGCTCTTTACCCTTATCGTCTCACAAATCCTAGGTTCAATAGCCACCATCTGCGCCCGAGCCTTTGGTCCAAACAATGTAGGCCCCGGGCCGATCTCTCCTGACATTACGAAGGGGGCGGACTCGGTGGCTAATGGCTGGTTCTGGATTGCACTGTTCTCTCAGTTGTTGGTGTGGTAAATTTCTCTTTCATTTTCCTCTTTCTACCCATTATTCTTTGTCGAGACTAATTGACGATATGGTTCAGTGCCGGATTCTTGTTCTTTTTTCGCAAGGAACAACTTTCTAAACCTTAGCCTGGCCGAGCTTCCACAGCATCTAAGCGCAGGCTTCACAATCCTTCTACTTTTTATTTCTTCTAACCTCTCTGGTTTAATGTAATAATATTCTTTATATACCTCATCACCTGGCTCAATAAGCAAACTTACTTCCTGGTTAGAATTATGCATGAATGAAATGTATATTAATAAACATTTTTGCCTTACGGAATGGATGTTAAAACTGACCTGTTAATAAGATATATTATAAAAAGAATGGACTGCTGATTTTAGTTCACACTATATCCAACGTTCTTTTTTACCCTGGGCCGCCCCGCTAGCTCCCTATGCCTGACCTGACCCCCATCCGTGAATGTTGATAGTCATGCCCTTAAGAGCGGTCGGAACAAAGCTCCCTAGGCTCTTCGCCGATGCCCCTGCCGTCCTATCAAAAAGATTTCCTCAGCCATGATTAGATTGTTTCTTCGTGATCGAATCTGTAGTTGTTGTGGAACTGTTGCTACTGGCAGCACCAATATCCTGGGGCTCGTTCTCGTGATTTGTCGATATATTCCTGAAAGATGATTTGCTTGTAAGATTTTTCGCCGGCTGGTTCCAATCTTCGCGCTGTTCGAGGTAACTTTAGTACTCCAGGAAAGGCCTGTAAAATGCCACTAAAATAGAATCGCCGAGGTCCGTGGCGGTGCCAACTATGGTAGAAGCTCCGCCCGTGGTGGGATCCTATCGGAGATCTTCAATCACGATTAGGTTGATGGCATGTCTTAAAAAGAAAATTCCATGAGTGGCTAAGAGCGACGAGACGGAATATTTTTGAGTTCGTCCCGCTCCATAATGACCAATTCAGATCGGCCACCAATCCAGATAGCACCCCATACCATCTGCGAAATATCTTTCCCATGGTGCGTTAGGTTTACTAGATCCTTTCTATATGCTTCATTAGAAAAGCGGAACACAAAGTTATTGGATAGAATTATTTGGTTTTCGTTGGACCGAACATTCGTCGGAAAACAATATTTCGTTCCAATGGGTATAATTCAACCACATACGCGCGAATTGAAGACGATTTTTAGCAACATCAGGCCGAAGCGGTATACGCTTCTTTGACTTCCACTTTTTTAAATAAAAAGTCTTAAGCACACGCCTAATAGTGGTACGAGAGATGTCAAAACCACTGCTAGCGATCAGGGCATTATAGCCTATCTAAGGCCTCCGTCGAGCAAGCAGATATATATAGCGCTTTTTCTGAGGCATTAAGCTTTTGTGGTCTTGAACAGGATATCTATATGATATGAATCTATACAAGACACGTGATCGCTCTAGTGGCTTGGCCGGATCACCAACTCTTCAGCCCCTGAAGGCTTTACCCATTAGGAGATAGAGAAGAAGCAGCCAAGATAGTTGATATAGTTGTCCATAGATTTGAGATCTACCGAATGGCATCCGGTCCTCAGTAGGCTACGTACGTGTAGCTGATACAGCCTCATTCTGCCCATCTTTCCCCTGAGATCTCAACAGTCTTACAGTACTAGAACAATCTTTTCCAGAGGCCACAGTGTCATACATGGTGGGATGGGTAAGGGTAGACATAATGAAAGAAAATATTATTAATATTTGTGGCTTAACAGAGCAGGAAAGAACTAGCTCAGCAATTTAAAGGGCAGCTGCAGATCAAATAATCCAGGAAATACTCTTCAACGGGGACTGCGAAATGCAGAAGAGTATACTTACCGAGGTAGCAGGGTCCATCTACTTATGCACCCTACAGCAAGGGGTAGTATATGCTTGCTTTGTGGGACAACCAGGACATGTTTGGATTGATTAAAGGCTGGCTGAGAGAGCCTCAATGAGACTCCCTTTGCTCCCTGAGAGCAAGAAGGCCTGAATATTGCTCCCTACATCTTTAGTAATGTAGAGGCGTTCTTTATCAACTATTGGTAGGCTCATTGAGCTTGGAAACATCTGGCTGAGGCTCGCTGTGGACCAATGCGACATGTACCCACGCCTGGTACATTTCGGCCACTGATCGCCGCATAGTGAAGAAACGAGGCGAACCCTTGTTAGTTTTCTTTCGGCATACAGCAGCAACCAAACCAATACATAATCACCAAGTGGCAGTGTTTCCTCTTCCTTTTTCGTAGGTTCATTGCTTACCTAGAGCTTCAATTACGGAATAAAGCTCTAAAGTTTCCTTGATGAGCCTTGATTCACAGTAGTCTTGAGTCACCCAAAAAGAAACAAGAGCATTGAGTTTCTGCCTAACAGCAATCGGCCGTAACCATCCACGACAACAGAGATCGATAAAGCTAAAGCCTTTGAAGGTGTCAACAATAGAGGCTTAGGCAATCAGTGAAGCAACGGTAGTCATGTGACCCTTTGTCTATAAGGGCAACACAACATGATAGCTTCATGCCTTCTTTTCTTTTCTTTTTAGCTTAGTCTCTTTTGTGATAGTGTACCTAATCAACTCTTTGGTTCAGCTAAAGTCCCTTATAGAAGGTGCGGCAGATCTGAGCTTCTCTACTCATATGACATATTACTATGTAACCATCTTCTTCTCGAATCTAACAGGCCAGAATGATTGCTGGCAGCCAGAGATTTACCCTAGACATGAATAAAGACACATGGGGACTCATGGCGATAGACCTAGTAGGGCGGGGTAAAGGTTCACTGCGCAAGCATTTGTCTAGGCTGGAAGATTAAATTACCCCGCTTTCCGCATATCTTGGATTGTTAAGGTGCCTCTTGAGTTCTGCCACGCTTCTTGCGACAAGATCTTTACTTGTTTTACCTCGGAGCATCTTGTCATACTCTTGTTTAAATGCATAGATCCTCAGCAGGCTGAACGGAAAAAGCGAACGTTTCCCTTGTACCAAGGGCAGAGGGAGATGCGAACTGCTAGCTCTATAGGGGAACTATCTAACCTTGCCCACAAGTCCGCAGACTTTCTTGATGGGAGATGGTTACTAGTGCCTTATTCGCCCCTCTATACTCATTGAGTGAATTATGACTAGGCTCCCAGTGGCAAACCTTTTACAGATGATTGCAGCGAATGTATGTTATTGCAAAATACCTCACTGCTGGACCGATGCTAATGAAGCTATGTTCATTCCTGTTTTGTACCAGACTATCCTGCATCAACTTTATATCGCTTATGGCGAGGGGTCAGGGTACGGAACTATAATTACCACTGTAACGTATATCCATCTTCTAACCAGCCCTTAGGTGCTAGTGCTGCCAAATATCTCTTCTCGAGCGACAGGCCCATAGTTTCGAGTCAATTCTTTCCGCGTGTTGGACCAGTTCTGCATACTCCTGGGATTCCTCACGCACGAACAGAGCTCTTGGGACAGGTAGTTTTAGCCCTCGTACGAAGGTCGCTTTTCGCGCGCTGCCCTCAATATCGAGACTGTCGAGCAACGTTGATAGTTCAAGGGCGTAGTTCTGTACTGACCCACGTTGCGAAATCGTGGCCAGTCCGCTGTCGTGTTCGATTTTGACGTGTCGGATTTGTCCCACGCTTGTTGGACCGCTGCAACAAGTGCGTCGTAATCAGTGAGAGGGCTGCCTTTCTGAGGGTGCGCTGCAAGCTAAGCACGGACAGAGCCTCGGAATAGACTAGCAAAGAACGCTGCCTGCCTGACTGTACTCTGGGCTAATTCGTCGTGAAAAACATAATATCGCACCAATATTAGTAGCGTTGGATTGTCCCGGTTTTCCATAAAGCAGTGGTGGCTTGTTGTATGTACAGTTCGTTTTTATATTCATGGTCGTACTTCTTGTGGTCCTAGCGTGTATGACAGGTAGTCATCAACACTTGACATTGAAGATAATCACCCACCTATGTGCACTCAGGATGTCCGTTTACATACCTGTGAGAATTACGATGGAGCAGCAAAGCAAGTATCACTCGTGGTAGGATTGCTAAAATTGATAATAAGCACAGTAGAGAGATCCTCAGAGTTCGCAGAATAGCTAGCTACAAACGACTGTACAAACTAAGAACCTTGAAGACACATATGAAGTACGTACGGAGTACTACATACTGAGGTACCATATTAGGGCTCAGGACAGTGCGCAGACTTTACTCGGGAATTGGTGTCTGAACAGTGCAGAAAGGTTGTATGCCCCGTCCGTACTCCCTCAAATAGCCGCCCATTGATGAGTCTATCACCGAAACCGATTAGTTTTAGGGAACTCCCTAATCATGAAGGAAGAAAAGAAAGGGAGGATATAGCTCACAGCTTTTCGCACTATTCTTGATATTGAAGCTCATATAGGGAGGTCGCTCCTGTATTTCATAGTCAGACAGCGCAGGATTAGGAAAGGGATTGGAGTGTTGATCAGTAAGATCCACACAAATAGGGGGTTTATTACATCTTCAGGCGCCCCATTCTCCAGCCATTGCAAAATCTGCTTCGCATCCGTGATACTAGCAGTGGGGGTACTTGTCATGGATGAAATGGTTCCTCTGAAAGAGCTGAGGTTGGCAGAAACCATGCCTTCAACCCCCTCTCTAGCCTCCCGCACCTGTTCCAAATCGGCCTCCAGTTGTCCCTGCTTCGCAGTCTTTTCGACAATCTCTTGTTTGACGCCTAGTCCTTTGTCAGTGGCAATCTGTATAAACAAGTATCTCGAAGTGGGAAGCTCACTGCTAATACGAACCATAAGGGCAGTAGTCGTGGCGAGTTGCACACCGGCGATGAGAAGCCCACCAAGCTATTGGAGAGGTTGTCAGAAAGGGCTTCATATTGATAACTAACATCCAAGGGGGCCCTCTCTATTGTAGCTTACTGCGATAAGTGTTCCGTATGGGGGGTAAATAGCGGCCAGCCCTTCCATTATTGGCAAAAGACCCTGGGCAGCATGGTTGACGGCTTCGGCAGCAGTCTCCAATTGAGCGAGTGTGCCTCGAAGGTCGACAAGCTCTCTTTTGATTTTCTCCAGTTCCCTGCTCAGCTCACCTTCCTTGTCCTTCGCCCAGGTAATAAACTCATCGGTAAAGGTACTCAAATTCGAGCCAACCGTAGTCAACCGTGAGGTAATATCTGTATTTTTTTGCTTCAAGTCTTCAGCGGCCTGGAACAAATCATCAGTGCTCAACCCGTTTGTTATGGTGTGCCTTGCCCTGAGAATATTCTACTCACAGTAATGACGCTTTGGATTCTTGTCTTGCGGTCCGCCATGGGCTTGCTACTATCGTCGCAGTACAAGATGTCTTGGTTATCGAACTCTGGAAGCTATTGATCAGTAAAAGCATGAGGATAGACAGACAACCGTACACCACCTACTCCTTGCAAAGGTGTATGTCCTCGTAGCGACGTCCTGACTCTCATTAATGACCGTCTGAAATGACTGTATCCAAGGGTTAGTTAGCCAACTTTGAGCTTAATCTTCAACTGAGGAGAGGCTGAGTACCCGTTGCATTCCATTGAAATCACCTGCCCATTCGGTTCCCCAGCGCAGATCAATCCGTTCAATCTTGGTTTGCAGCCCGTCAAACTTGCCTCGAACGCTTCCTGCGGTGGCAGCTGCTGCTTTGGCGGAGATTACAAGAGAGGATTGAAGCTCGCTTGCCGAGGAAGTCTCGGCTACACCCCGCGAGAAATCAGCCTTTTCTCTTTCGCTGTTCAGAGGGTTCTCATGGTTCGCGATGAGAACATCAAGGTCCTCCTTTGTCAAGCCATTCGCTGCCGCCTCGAAGACCCCGGTCGCAGTAGGGTTGTTCCCAATAAGACCTTCGAATTTCCTGACGACCTCCTCGTAGGAAGGAGGGGCATCGGTCGAGTAGGCAGGAGGCGCGGCAGTCATGTTGCAAGTGAGATCGTGATGGCGTGGAAAGCAAGAAAAGATAGATTGATTGTATTCTACTCAGGTGCTGGATATTGACCGCTACTGAGACAACTTTTGCAGTCTTGATATATCCCGAGCCCAATTTTTAAGTCTTCCGCCTCCGGCGATGAACTTCCGGAGCTAGTAGTGACATCAGTGACTGACAACAGGCCATGGAAGGCTTGGCTGATTTTGTATGCGGTGACTCATGCAATGCAATGCCTTTTTTCTTTCTCTTCTTGTGACCAAGGGCATGCGAATAGCTCCATTTGGTACAACAAAGTGGGGAAACCCTTGGATCAGTTCTGGTAAGCGAAGATTCCTAAACTCTGATGCATTTGCTACCAGTTGCATATGGCAACTCTATTTGGAAGTAAATCTAGCAGTTTGAATAAGTTCTTGGAAACATTGAAGGGGCTTTACGAAATTCCAGGCCACCTAACTGAAATGCCCATACAACAATGCGTTGCTCTTAAACTTTCAAATTCAACAATCAGGATAGTATTTATTCTCATCTAAAATAGCGCGTGGCAATCATTCTCTGGTAGGTTCCATATCGCCGACGATATCCTAATTGCTGTCGATTTTCAGAGATTCCGCAATGATCTCCGGGCGACTTAGGGCATATTGTGTGGTCCGCGGAAATGCTATGCCCCACCCCCACCCTGTTATGAGTGAGGCATTTTGTTTCAGCTTGCTACTGGTAAGCCACCGTGCCAACACAGATGCACAAGTAGAGTGCATATTTATCACATTTGTTTGCTTGAATTACATGGGTCTAGGAATTGTACTAGATACGGAATAGGCAGCATGCATTGCCCGAATTAGGAAAAGTATCGTGCACATCCCTTTCTCATCATGGAAGAGACTTGGAGCTGCCGGAGGACTCCCCAATAGCTGAACGCTGAACATAAGATCCAATTCTCAGTGAGGAGTGATAGATTTGTGCAAGCCAAGTGCAATAAGTCCACGCAGTCTGTAGTATCCAAGGCGCAGTTGGCGCCACATTAATGGTTATCCAGGGTTTAAATCTTGTCACCCTCCCACCAAGAGGATTACGCTGGTATGTGTATACGGCTTGAACTTTGTGGGCATGAGTTGATGTCATGACCTTTTCCACGTACAACCCGTAAAAGACTCTCTGCCTGCAATCAATTCATATATATCAACTAATTGATCTTATATCTTCCTTACGCGGTAGCAACCGACAGACCATTGACTACTCCACGACAAAAAGATCCCAAAAGAGATTACGTTGCTCCTGTGCACCTATTATCTGATCTCAAAGATAAAAGAAAAATGGCCCAACTAGTTGAAGTCCAGACAAAGCTAACTTCCTTCTTCGAAAAAAACCTCGGCAGTAGCGAGTATGCCAGTCTGATGAACGAACCTTCGGTTCAGAAGTACTTGGATACAGGAGAACGAGTTTCGTTCGAGTCCATACTGCCACTTATTCCTTCCTCCAATCAAATCGAGTTGTTTAGTCTGGACGAGAAAGACCGCTACCTAAGTGCTATACGCGCGATAACTGCGGAGACCGACTACGACGAGATTGTTGAAAGCACAACCTTCCTCATGCAAATTTGGAAAGCCTCCTTTCAAATCGCTCTTTCTGATATTCGCAAGTTTCTGGGTAGTGATGCAAGGAGTGCTGTAAATCGGGTGGGTAACGTAAGTAATTTCCATGCCAAAAGCTACCGTGTAATAAAATAATCTTCTCAGGATAGTTGCTAATTCTCGGAACGAACCGACAGAGGATTGATATACTCGGGACGACCAGTGCATGGGCTGCAACGTCATTATCTTTCTTTACAGAGGGTGAGTAGTACATGCATTGGGACTGATCATATACGGTGTGAGGCTTATCTACATCTAGACTTCGATGACCACCTTATTCCTCTATGTCTAGATGAGTCTGTGCCTGTGGAGGAACGGAAGGCAGCCATAGAGCGTGTTCTCAATGTAAGACTCGGGAAAAAAAAAGAAAAAGACTCGTGCTCAAGTACCAAGCGGTGGAATTTTGACAGAGTTTTTTGCTTAGAAAGCCGATGGTCAACAGCAAATCAGCGATAATATTGCAGCGCTTCTTGACAACCTGATTGTTGACTTCCTTGCAGCTGTCGCGGAACATGCAGCGCCAGGCTCTCTCACTGCGCAGCCCAAGGCTACACCCTACAATGTAGAAAGACTATTGACCCCGGACGTTTCCTCAGCTTCATGGCCACTCCAGATGGCCACCAGCTTCTGGGGTTCCACCTCCACTCGCCTGAAGGTAATAGCAGAAACCGCATTACATGCTGCATTACCCACTAGCCTAACTTATTTCTAACAGATCAGTGGCCTCCTCGCCATCGGTACCGAAGAAGCCAAGTCTATCAGTCTTATCTTGAGCGTAGCCGAGAACGCAAGGCAGAAGATGTACAAGCGCACTGGGGATTATAATTTCGAGGAAGCCTTCGACCTCATCGATGGCTACATGAGGCATTTGCGACGATTTTGGCGGTTCAGGTCAACCGATTACCACAACATCTACAGATGGCTGGAAGATGGTGCGGTCTTGGTGGTAGGTCGTTTGGGTGTCTCTCCAGCGTCCCTGCAATGACTGTGTGACTAACAGACACTCTCAGGATGCTCCAGATGTCCTTCTGGGCTACCTTAATGAGGCAAACCACATATGTAAGACCTACATGGCCCTTGCTGTATGATGTATGCGATCCTAACTGTTTCCGCGAATAGATAAGGAAGTGGCAATGTATTTCCGGGGCTATCATAGGGGCCAGGGTGTTTTCGCGGATCAGGGCATGCCTATTGACAAAGATGGCCAAGCCTTGTCAAATGAGCGGATAATGGAGGAATTGCAGAAGATTTGATGGGGAGAACGGGAATAGACTGGGCTCAATTCGTGCAAATTACCACAGATTGTGAAACACATGCTGTTTGCTTTCCGGAGAGGAGACAATCTAGGACAGTATCGGAGTAAACGAGTTCATTCCCACACTGATGCTTAATTAGGAATGGGACACTATATTCTGCCCCCGGTTCTATGGCGTTCGTGTAATCCAACTGCGCTATTTTCTGCGTTCCCCCTCTACTATTAGCTTGTTCACCTGCCACGCCATGGGTAGCCTAGCTGGAACCCAGCTTTTATAGATAGTCTCAAAGGCATTATTGACCAGATGTAACAGTAATTCCAATGGGAAGGCGAAAATAGGTTAAGCGTGGACACACTGTAAGCATCGAAACAGGAAGCAAACTCTGCATTAATGCGACTGCGGGGGTTGGGCACCTAGGGCTCCAATTCCCACAATATTCCACAAACCTGTGTCTTCTGAGTCTCCGTATGTCGGCAGGTTGGCGGCTAATAAGTTGCCATGGGGCTGAGGCTGCGACGGGGCAGCTACTGTCGACTTGCGTGTCGAGATACGCATCGACTAGAAGGGCATACTTTATGATTTCCTGGCACAGAGCTTGCATAGAAGGACGGGGAACTGGGGGTATGATCTACGTCCAACAAACTACTGCACAGGAGAGTTTATTTTGCATATGATTCACTCCTCTCAGCGGAGAAAAGAGTGAGGCATTTTTTTTCCTGCCTACGTCATGCCGGGAGTGTGGGGAAGACAGCGAACATTGCCCTTACGTTTGCTTGGAAAGATTCAGAGCAAGTCATCTACGTAGTATTATTAGACCTCTTATTCCGCTACGTCATGTAACCAAGAGGGCTTTCCCCCAACCCTGGGGCCCAACCGCCTCTTCTGCGATATGAGAACTCTGTTCGGTCATATCAGTAAGGTTTTACTTAACAAGCATGTGAACTTTTCTCTCTTAGCAAGCTTGCATTCGACGTCTAAAAACAGCTTGAGATCTTAATTTCCTGGAATTAACTTCCCAGCCCTCATACCCCCAATTGCATCATGGCCCTCAGCAACCCACCACCACCTCAATATGGCGCTGAAACGTCTCCTCCGTCCTACGAGGAGCTTGTGGAACGCTTCAAAGCCGCGGTTGGTGACAATCCTACAGCGGAGAAGTATTTGGAAGTGGCCGACAGCTTCGGGCCCGAAGAGATCGACGTCCTTGCCGACAGCTGCGGGGACGGTTTTCCCCCCGTCGAAAGCGAGGAAGACCTCAACAAGCTGAAAGAGTCCATGTCCAAGGAACTGAAGAGTGAACTCGTCAGAGCTAGCGCTAAGGCAGCCTCCGTCCAGGCCAAGGAGGCCGCTCTGCGGATTCGTGCGATCTTCAACCTCATCCATCGGAAAATCGTGCAGTTGGATCAGATCGAGGAATCAGGATTCGAGGAAGAGATGAGGGGTTTCATTATAGTATGTCAAGCGAGGGATGTCAACTGAATCTGAATTCAGCCACCCTTTTTTTGAATTTTTTTTTTCTCATCATTTTGTGTTTTCTACAGGAATACGACGAGATTCTGTCGATGGTAGGCGAAGTTGCAAGGGAGATGAAGGGCATGGGATATCGTGGGTTACCCCCTTTCCCCAGAACGAAGACCGATTCCCGTAACTAAAGAGGAATGCGCTCTTTAGACCTTGATACCTTACTTATACCAACCTGTGCTAGCGAAAAGGTTTCTAAGGAAGCCAAAGTACAGTTAGTAAAGAATTTCCTCAGGGTAAGGTCGACGTTGCCACAGAATCTCTCAGGAAAAATAGGGGATCCCACCAGAACCATGATGAGCTAATTATTCAAAAAAAAGGACACGGAACGGCATGAAGGAATCTCGGCCCAAGCTCAATACAGAATCAGTGAGATGAAGATCAAGTTCAACGCATTTGTTGCCAAATTCGATCAATGGGGTGAAAAAAGGGAAGGTGAACTCCGAGAGGAGATTCGGAAGCTTCAGGGAGAGATCCGCGGTCTACGCGATGACATTACCCATACTGACCAACAGATTCAAGATCTGCAGTTTGCTATGAAGCTGATCGGTAGCCTGTCATTGTTTGGGTTACTCTTCGGTGGCCTTGTCGCCGTGATCCTCGGGGTAAGAAGGGCTCTCAAACGAAATTCAAGCCAGCCCCCCATTTGTCCTTCTTTCTCCTTACTAAAATATGTCGTACATACAGATTGTGAGTGTTATCGGTGTTGCGGCAACTGCAATAGCCATAGCGGCTAAGCGAAAAAAGATCACCTGTCAGTATGTTCCGTTTAAATTCCCGACCACGGAGAGCTGACGATGTTTTCTTTTCCCCTAAAGCATTGGATCGTCAGATATTAGGCAAAGAGAATAAGATCTCTGAGTTGGAAAAAGAGATTCAGATCATCCAGGCCGCCAGAGCAGCGCTGACTACCCTACGGGATTCAAACCTCGATACCATCTCCGAGGATATTTTGCTCGTGGACAACTACTGGCAGGGCTTGAAAGCAACAAGCCTGGAGCTGCTGTCTTACGTGGAGGATGGCACAGCGGTGAGGAAACGACACTATCCCTTTCTTTGCTTGCTAGAGTCTATGGTTAATATGAAAGGTATAGATGGAATACATCGACGATGTAATTGATTTTGGTATCGAGACTTGTATGTGTTGCACTCGGCCTTGCCTTTACCACCATATCTCTAGGATAACAAGGGAAGAAGCTAACAAGACATCGACACAGACAGGGATGTTGGAGAATATATTGGAGACTACGGTGAAGCAATCAGCAGGGTCATGAGTGAGAGGAGGGAGGAATCGGATGCTTAGAGCCGGGGTTATCGATAGGGCTTCTCTTTTCCAGAGGTCTTTCTCCTGGCTTTTATTCGAAATGATCTCGAACAATTGTTTAATATCTAACAAGAATGAACGATCTTCTACCTTCTAGCACTTCTGGGCGAGGGGAACAAATTTGGAACCAATCGAGTCTGCCCCTGAAAAGCGGCGGGAGGGAACAGTAGAAATTTAACGGTGACATTCCCCTTGCTATACTGACCATGAGGCTCCTGCCCGCCTTTGGAAATGTCACTATAGGACTACTAAGTGTGTCACTCTTAGCTGGCTCGATTTTAGTGGACACCTAGGCCAACACAGAATGCAGTATCCGCAACGAGACCAATGCCGTGGAGGTGCAGGCGATGTAAGTCGTCATGGCTGGTCACATATACCATGATGTAGGCTATTGTTTGCATTGTTGGATATAAGCAAAAGCTTAGACCAATAAACTAAGGAGATTCACATCCTTCAAACATGAAGTCTTTGCTGAACTATCTGTCCAGCGATTGAAAGTCTCCCCCATCCCACCATTGTTGTTATCCGAAGAATGCATCATGGACGAAGCTAGTCTGGGGCGTTAGAATAGCGGACAAAAGTTGAAGGGCTCTCACTACCTTCTCACTAAGCTGGTGTCTGGCTCCCTTGGCAGCTTTATCTAGTTCACGCCCCTCCTTTCCAGCAAGGGCCTTGCTATGCGATCAGCTTCAAAATTCCAAGAAGACTGTTTTTTGATCTCACTACATTATTTTGCCAGCGCTGGAGTATAGTGCTTAAAGAGTGCAGCTTATCCAGTGCCTCTGCTATTGAATCAAGATAAGCTATAAATAAATTCCACTCTTCTGTATCACTGGAGCCATCGCTCTCATACGGTGCAAGATAAGAAAGAAGATTTTAATACTTGAAAAAAGACATCCCCTCTGATCTTGCTAGATTTAGATATTCTGCTGATCCTGCCTTACACAGCAAGGCTTCAAAGTCTTTACTAAGCTGATCCGACTTATTATAGACCCCGTTGCGCTTATCTATCCATTTCCCAAGGATAACTTTCCTTTCAAGGACTAGTTATTTAACTCCTCTAGATATAAGGTAATTGCTGCTTAGGACACTACCTACTTTAAGGCCCTGAAGCTTCCAGGTGTTACGGGTCAACAGCTGGATTTGATCTAGGAAATCTACTTGGAAGAAATCAGTAATTTTCTCGAAACAATATATATAGTAGTAGTCTGAGAAATATTATTATCTCCTCAAATCCGTTTAGCACAGCAGAAAAGAACTCGCTCAGCAATTTCAAAGGCAAATGTATGTAGAGCAAATAATCCAGGAAATACTCTTCAACGGGGACTACAAGAAGCGTGAGAGCATACCTATCGAGGCAGGAGGTCTGTATACTTATACACCCTACAGCAAGGTGTATATGCTCTTTTATGGGGCAATCAGAACAGGTTTGGATTGGTTAAAGGCTGACTGAGAGAACCTGACTGAGACCCCTTAGTCTCCCTGAGAGCCAAAAGGGCCTGAATGTTGTTCCCTGCATCTTTAGTAATGTGGAGAGTTCTCTATCCACGATCGGTATGCCGACTTTCGGAACATCTCGCTGTGGCTGGCTGTGGATTATCCGGGACCCACAGATGATAAGAAATGATCAGCCCCCACCCAGCAAAGGCCCCAAAATGCCGTCAGCGACTCAGTCCTCTTCCGGAGGGAAACAAAAAGCAAAAGGATGAAGATAAAAAGAAAAGGCTACCGGAGAAGAATATATCTATCTATATCTAATTCACGGTGGTAGACTAAAAATACTATTATGAAGCTTCTTGGTTCACATTAGTCTCCAATTCGATCCAGTAAAACCGGTATTGGCTTTTACTGTCTGGTTTACAAAGTAGAGAATGAGACATACATGTAGAGTGAGAGGCACTCGTCTATCCAAGAAGCAGACACGTCATAAATTACATTCCTGATGAAGTGATTCTAACCATCACTTTTGTGAATCATCGTTATTTAGTAGTAGTACCGTGGGATAAGGCCTTTGAGATGGCGCAGCGATCTAAATTCATAGAATAACACAAGAAGAAGACTTTGCGTTCTTAGGCTTCACTTTAGCATCATCTACCGTGTCTAACAGCTTCATGATGGACGTGCTTCCGACCTTTTCCGCTGCCCGACGGGCGTTGCCATACCGCCCCCCCTGAGCATGAACATTCGCGCCATGCCGTAGCAGGATTCTCACGATCTCCTTCTTTCCATGCCACGCTGCAGCTTGAAGGGCGAAACCGTACTTGCCCCCTTTTGCGTTGACGTCAGCTCCAAGATCCAGAAGCAATTGCACCATCTTTGTATGTCCACCGGCAATAGCCGCCTGCAGTGCGCTTCCGTAGTATCCGTCATGCTGCGAGTTCACATCGAACCCTTTGCACGATGAAAAGGCGCGAACTAGATCGATGGAGCCATCCAGTGATAGAATTTGCAATACATCTCCACACCGATGGTCGGTGAAGAGTCTGTAGAACGCTGTCAGAATTCTGTCCATCTCGGGTTGTTTCAACAATGCCTGCAAAAACTTTCGCTGGGAGACACCTGAGGCTTGCGCAGTTTCAGCATGGTAGAATATGTACTTGGCTGCGTAGGGCAGAAAAGGATAGCTCCTCCGAACCACATGATAATCTTTCTGAATAGGCAGTTTCATGCTCATCACGTACGCAAAGCAACATCTCCTTAGATAATCGTGGCTGGTACCAACGGGATTGTCCCGTAACTTTGGGTCTAAGGTCCTCAGCCTTTGGTTACGAAGCAAAAAGTCGTTAATAGAGAGGTGGATAAATTGCAGTGTAGTCCCTCCCTGTCGCTGTTCGACTAGACCTTTCGATGAATGGATAATACGGCGACTGACAGTATCACTGTTTATCTTGGAGGTGTCCCAGGGATCAAGGTGTTGTCGTGTTGTTCCTACCAAAATTGCGCTGAAGAGTTCAACTGGTTGGATTTGGCGCTTGCAAAAGAGGATCCACTGCAGCGTGAGAATGGTTTCATCCTTATTAGCCATGTCTCTGTTTAGCAGAGTCTGAAAGACTTGCTCAAGATCAGGAGGGAGTTCCTTGAGGAGCGTTTGCATCGCCTCCAGCTTTCCATGACTAAACGCCTGATTGAGCATTGCCACGACAAGGACAACCCACATGAAGATACCGGAGGCTTTGTTCAGAAGCTGGTCTTCAATTTCTTGGGTCCGCCCTATTAGTCGGTCCCGAATGTATGTTTGGATATCCTCTTCGTGTTCCTGCATCTGCTCGACGATTAATTCCAGGGATTTCCGCATACTGACAGTAGGATAGTGACGACTGGACAGACATATGCGTAAGTCGGCATTCGCTTGTACTGCCTCTATGCTCAATGCTTCAAGAAAGGACACGACCTTTTGTACCTCCTTTTCGCCACATTCATCTAAGGCATCGATGAGAAACATGATTGGCTTTTTATGAGTTCGACTCGCTTCAAGCAACAGATACTCTTCAAGCTCCCCTCTTCTCCAGTCCCATTGTCCCTGTGGGTGCTTTTTCAGTTTGTCTCGAAAAAGGACAAGAAGACGGTTACATGAATCGTCATCTTGATCAATCAACTGATATACTAGGGACCGTAACATGCCCAGCGGAGTTTTTTCGAGGTCTGTACCTCGAGCGTTGAAGAAGTAGGCAGCAGTGACATGACCTTTGAAGAAGGCTTGCCTCGCCTGTTTCAATGTGTACTTCATCAGCGTTGATTTTCCGGCCCCGGGCTTTCCCTTGATCCAAAGGACCCCATTGTTAGTCGGAAGGTCATCATGATCTCGCCACTGCTGGAAAGCCTTTGTTTCCAAAAACCATTTGCAAGTACTGCGATGAGCGACAGAAATATCTTGATGACGAGCATCAATGTTGCGAAAGCTGAGGGAGCGGCCACAATCTAATTGCTGTTAGCTCAATAGGAAAATCGACCGCACGGAGTGGGAAAAAGGCTGTAGAAGGGTAGAGCTATTTGCTGTCACGGACCTGCTTTCTCTATTTCCCGCGGCATAGGGAGAAACGCTGGCCTTACTCTTTCCACTATACATATACATGTTAGCTGGTATGCCTCGTTAGACTCACAAATAGTACATACTGTTTGTCGTTCCGGAGTTTGCCGGCTTGTCGACCACGGTCCAGAGATCTAGCAGGGCCTTCATACAAGCTGCTGCTGCTGCAGCCGCATATGGCTGCCACAACTTATTTTTGTGGCTGTCTGCATAGTCACAGACCCCTTTGATCACTAGACACGGAAAGGTTTCCCAAATTCCTGCACTTTCCATTTCGAAAGCTATGACCCCCTCTTCCTTGGCGATAATATCGCGATCTTCACCGGACTTCATCACCGTGTCCCCAGTCGCAATCCGGCCAAAGTGGATCTCCGGCGGCGGTGCCCTCGTGGCATTCTTCGCAACCGGCAATCGTTTACGAGCAACCAGGCGTGTTGGATCACATCCTAATTGCTTGCAAGATGCTTTCTGCGCAGCGGAGCAAATACTACCTCCTTCGCAAATCTCGCAATCGCCAGTCTTGTGATGTTGATGTCGATAAGCAGGCTGGTACAGCTGATCTAAGCCAGTACCGGGATATTTGATGCCTCCATTTCCAAGCTTTGGACACAATGCATCTATATTAACTGCCAATTTGTCATGAAGGCGCTTCTTATTTCGTTGTGATTGCAACTTGGCCAACATTGCTCTGATTTCAGCCCTGGGTGGGCTGAGGTTGTCTGTGGAAGTATCTTTCCGTATAAAGTGGCTCCCAGGAAACCGTCTTCCAAAGTCGAACTCCACCACCCCGTCACTGATAATTACATCGCCTAGGACAATTTCCGCGCTGTCTTGTCCGTCAGGAACCCCCCCGCAGATACCGACGAGCAAAGCAAGCTTGATACCGGGAAAGCTTGACCGAAAATTAGCTGCAACATTGGCAGCGTTTTTCTTTCCCATCCCAGGCATATGGGCGAGCACAACATTATGGTTGGAAATCAACCCCGTTGTATACTCGTTGACATCGGTGGTGAATTTGCCGTATTTGTCCCCATCATCGTCCCAATACTTGTCAAATGCCGCTTCCACAGCATTCGCCTCTGTAGGTAACGCACATATGATCGCGATTTCAAAATCTGCCCGCGACCTGGGTTGCTCTGGATGCGCCATCTAGTGCGGGGTATGCGCTTGAAACGGCGGCATTTGGTGTGAATCCTTCTTGGTCGTAGTAGTAGTAGTAGTCGCGGTTGTGTGCTGGGCGTTACGCGGGCAGCTCGGCCAGTGTGTGATAGCCAGTGCCGTAACTTACTTCGTCTGGCCTGGTGATGGAATATGAGAATCATTTGGCGCCTGTGAGTGAAATGATAGACGCTGTTGCTTACAAGGCTGAGGCTGAGGCTAATGCAAGGCTGCACAAATTCAGGTTTAGCTAACCTAGTTAGTTATTCCCTATTCAACCTTAGTCAGCGCTCGCTCGGTCAATTAAGGTCACATACGCCTTAATGTCGCCATACTGCGTTATTTCAATTGGCACTTATCTTTTATGTATTTAGTCTTGGTTATTCGCTTAGTTAGGAGAATCAGACCTTCATAGATTCATGAAGTTGATACTAGTCAATACGCTTAGCGAGCAGGTCAACATATTAAAAGGGATATATTATCCGGACGAGATGCTAAACCATGATAGGAAGGCGATATACCGTGTATTGGTAATACTATATATTAGCCTAGATGGCTTTGAAGCTTTGATCTTTCCTATTTAGGAAGGGTCTTCTACTATAATAGGATTATTGCCTGCCTGAGTACCTGCCTGAGCATCTTACTACCGGAGCGCTTGCTCAGCCTGTTCAAAGGCTGAGATCTCTCGATTTCTAGAACCTCTAGGCCTCCCATGTGCCCGTATAACCAGCGGTTCCAGTAGATGAGGCCATTCAATTAGTGGATCTGGATCTAGATTAGATAGATCAATCGGCTCAGGCGGATCATCCCGTGATATTAACCACTGAGAATGGAAGGTTAATATAGGCAGTGGCTCCCTAGATACACGATAATATATAATAATATGTATACAAGAGACTCCTAATATTTTAGTAGTAATCCCTGTACAATGTCCAATTGGTGGCTTTTCTGGGTCTATTAATAGATAGCGGTTTCATATACTAAGCACCTTATTCAGTGCATGGATTAAAATATGATGAATAATAACATTGTAGAATAGAAGTTCAGCCTGTAGATCACTAGATGCCTGAATACGCTCATCTGCAAGTGCTTCCTAAATCTGAGGATGATGATTGGTAATCGTATGCTCAATTAATCTGACTATATTTAGTAGATCACCTAGAGAGCTTTAGAGATCTCATTTAATTTGCCAGTGAGATCCCTCACTACAAGATGTAGCCAGCTAACCAAAATATAGATAGATGTTTGTATAGCAGTGGAGAAAATCCCTTTCTGTTTGACTGTAAAGCTATTCAGATTCTATATAAAGTAAAAGCTTTTAAAATATAGGATATTGATATGTCCGCTTAAAACGGGAATATTCATAGTCTTTTACTTCAATAGATTTTGCAGTAATAACACTATACCAATCATGTAAAGGATTACTCCTGGGATTAGCCATTCGATACGTAGGATCTTTCCACTAGGTAAAAAGATCCACTATGATCCACTCCGATCGGAGTTGATTTCCCAGGCACGGTATATATAATACCGCAACTTGCCATCGAGGCCTTAAGCCTAAGGCTTACCCGTGACAAATCAGCTAGCATAGTCTTCCATTGAGTATCAATCTCCTTAAGAAATTCTTTCTCATTGGCCGCTGTCTCTATAGATCATATAAGTAAATAATCGCGTATAGCCCATTTTGCATGACTAAGGATGTTCTTATTAATATGCCATATATATAAAAGCGAGGCAGTAGATAGCCATATATTTCGTATGGCGCTTAATAAAGAGTTATCTTTATCAGTGACCACTGCAGTTGGCGGTTGAAGTTATAGAAAGGTATAAATATTAGCAAGGCGCTCTATTATATAGCGGAATAGGTCTTCTTGCTTATCTAATATAAAGCCAAAAGCAATATAGAAAGTGTGTCCCTGTAGTATTAAACTAATAATACTGAAAAGCAGTATATTATATCAGTTTGTTTTGTATATACAGTCCATCATCAAAATGTAGGGGTTTCTACGTAGGTTCTCAATTAATGATCAATGACTGAGAAAGACTGTAGAAACATTACAATTCTCGTGTATTTGATCAGCTTGTCCATTGGACCAAAAATAATATGCCGGGGTATTCCATATTCTGGGTCCCCGCATTGAGCGTTGAGAGTTTCGAGCAGGCTTGCACAGAAATTGTGCGCGAGCTGGGCATCCAGAACAGCTCAGGCAATGAAAATGCCATGGAAATGGTGCACAGGCATCTCAGCTCAGAGACTGGCGGACAGTGGCTTTTCATCAGGGATAATGCAGACGATATGGATCTGCTTTTTGGCGGGGCCGATGTATCCAGTGGCGTCTACAAATACTTGCCGATGGCTGACAACGGTGTTATCTTGCTCACCTCTCGTTCCCGCGAAGTGGCGGTCTCATTCGCGCAAAAAAACATAATCGAGCTGCAGAACATGACAGTACATGAAGCGACTGAGCTTTTCGAGAATATTGTAATAAAAGACTTACGCAGCGATGAAGAAGCGACAAAAAAATTACTGAAGGAACTCACCTCGTTGCCGCTAGCCATCACACAAGCCGCTGCCTATATTAACAGCACTAAAATATCGACTTCAAGGTACCTCGAGATGTACGGCACAGAAAACGAGAGGATACAACTCTTGAGTAGACATTTTCCCGATGCTACTCGCTACCGTGAGATGCAAGATGCTGTCGCCTTTACCTGGCTCATTTCTTTCGAAAACATTAAGCGACATGACCCTGACGCTATTACACTGCTGGAGTTTATATCTTGCATTGAGCCGAAGGGAACACCACGATCCATTCTTCCGCCGCTAGACTCGGACGAGGAGATGGAGTTCGCTATTGGTACATTATGTGGATATACATTCATGACTAAAGGAGGGAATGGCGATATATTCGACATGCATAGCCTAGTGCATCTAGCGATGCGTTTATGGGTACAGAAGGAAGGCCATACACCATCGGCTATGGAGAGGGCGACGCGGCATATAGAAAGGATTTTTCCACTTGTGAACCACAGAAACCGTAACATATGGAGGACTTACCTACCGCACGCCCTTAAACTTGTTCGAAATGACGAGACACCTTGCATAGTCGAGAAATACGATCTCCTTAGTAAAGCTGCGGATTGTTTCGGGGTGGACCACCGGTGGAGGGAGGCGGTAGGCTGCCTTGAAGAGGAGACAGAATGGAGACAAAGTCACTATGGCATGGAGGATCCCTCCCTACTGAGTTCTCAGCACGAGCTTGCAATGGCATACCTAGGAGTTGGACAACGCCAACGGGCAATAGAGCTGCTTGAACATGTGATCAATATACGAAACGATATACTTGATCAAAATGATCTCCTCCTACTGACATCTCAGCACGATCTTGCAATTTTATACGAAAAAGGTGGGCAAGCTCAACGGGCAATTAAGCTGCTTGAGCATCTACTTAATCTAGAAAGTGGTATACTTCATCAAGATGACTCCCTCCGTCTGGATTTTCAGCATAGCCTTGCAACGGCATACGCAGCAGTTGGACAAACCCAGCAGGCAATAGAGCTGCTTGAGCATATAGTCAATATACAAGACGATATACGTGATCAAGATGATATCTCCCGACTGATATCTCTGTATGTTCTTGCAAAGGTATACCAAGGAGAGGACAAATACAGAAGGTGATAGAGGTGCTTGAGCCTGTGGTCAATATACAAGACGATATACTTGATCAAGATGACCAATCCCGAAGGGCATCTCAGTATCTGCTTGCAGAGGCATACCAAGGAGATGGACAAATCAAGAAGGCAATAGAGCTGCTTGAGCACGTTATCAATATAGAAAGCGGCATACTTGACCAAAATGACCCTCCCGACTGTCATCTCAGCATGCGCTTGCAAAAGCATACCAGGAAGATGGACAAATCAAGAAGGCAATAGAGTTGCTTGAGCATGTGGTCAATATAAAAAACGATATATGTGATCAAGATGACTCCTCCCGACTGGTATTTCAGTTTAACCTTGCATCAGCATACCAAGAAGATGGACAAATCAAGAAGGCAATAGAAATGCTTGAGAATGTGGTCAATATAGGAATGGGCATGATTGATCAAAATCATCCCTCTCGACGGCCATACCAGCACGCTTTGGAGAGGCTATCTCAAATATACCACGAAATGCAAGGGCAAACGGTGGACCCTCAAGAAGGCGAGAGCCAAGTGCAGAGTTGCATTATACCCCAACGACAGCCTCATCGATCGGAAAGAAAATCGGTGAGGCGGTATTTGCGACGTTTTTTCCCAACCGGGGTATAGGCTACATTGAGAATGAATAGTCCACGTCCTGTGGGTCATGGCCAAGTCATCAGACCTTTTCGGGAACGGTCCTTCCATCTAGCAGATTCATTGGTGATCACCTTTGTCGGTTACCTGATCCTGGTGACGGTTGACGCAGAGGTGAACCAGGGAGTGGCACATTTCGCGTGTTCCTTGCTGGCCGCTGGAGCCTTTGTGCCGATTAGTATCTTCACAGATGGCATACAAATCACCAATGAGAGCCAGAGAGCGGTGACCGTTGGATTTTTGGTGGGCTCGGCGAACTGCGCGGGCATCCCATCTAGCTTATCATTCACGGCGGATACAGCCCCGAAATATCTGCCCGCATTGATCGTCGATTGCGATTCCTCCTGGTCGGGTTGGTGGTTATTCTTGGTCTAGGAACTTGGTTCCAGATCACAATCGCCGGAGAGGCAGGGCGCAGGGTGTTAGACTCACCGTGGCCAATGTCCCAACGGAGACATTGGTGGGCGGGTGGAAGGATCCGAGCTGGAGATGGACTCCTTGATGTTTTCAAGAGAGAGGAAGAGAAATATATATTCGTGCGGGGACATCTCGCCTAGCCTGCTGATGGACTCTGTCTAGAATATCTGGTAACGTATCCGTATGAAAAGATATCAAAGCTATCATATTTATGGTCCCTATTCGACTATCTAGAAGGCTTATCTCAGTGGGGATCATGATTCCCTTCATATGTGGCTTGATTACTATAGTACTCAGCAATCTACATACTTCCGCAGGTGGTCAATTCACCAGGCATGTCAGGTGCCTACGATACTACGTAATTTCTTGGGCGTATTCAGTACTCTCTGATCGTGCACTATATTAGAAATGGCTGGTAGTGCTAGAAAGTCGCCTCTACGGTCTTCTCCAGAGTATCAATGGATTGATTCACACTGGTAGGGGCAAATGTGTCAAAATCTGCTTATATTAATGATATCAACATGCTCTGCGAGTTCATGCTATCCGTATGCCACTACAAATAACTGGGTGTCAACACCCTTCTGGGCAACCAGGCATAAATTAAGCACACCGCGAATGAATGATAGGCATGGTGTATAATGACCAAAGCAAAGAAAGCTTTACCTAGTCCTGCAATGCGCCCTGTACTTCATCAAAGGCATGGCTGACTTGATCTAAACAAGGCGTCGCCTTGTTGAAGACCTCAGGCGGAACCTGGGCCTGAGCTGCCTTCTCAAACTGAAGCTTTTCGTCTTGGAGACCCTGCACCAACTTCCTGGACAACGGGGCAACACCAGCTTGCTTCAGTAGAGGTGCCTGTAGCACGGTTAGACTGGCCACTCGCTTGACGACATGTAAGAGTTAACTCAACCTTACTTTTTCAGTGCCGGTATTGATGGCATCGAGAAGCTCGGGACACATCCTCGCATACGCCTCGTAATACTTAGTCGCCTCATCAGTTGTGAGGGGATCGCCACTTGTCAGGCTTTTTCGGGCAGCTTGTGCTGCATTCTTCGCCTGGTAGATGGAGCTCGAAACTGGAATCGCTGCGGCCTTCCCTCCGTGGTAATTGTCCAGGGATGACTTCGCAGCGGTGATGGCCGTGGTCAAACGGTCCATATCGGAGATGGAATGCGCCAAATTGGTCGCAGCCAATACCGGCCAGACCGTGCAAAGGGTGCTGATGGCTAGGAGGGTAGGCTTGCTAAATATCATGGTGTCGGTTGAGGCTGGCTACCCGTGGGGAGGAGCTTAGCGCCACTGGAGATGGAAAGTCACTTGATAAGCTGGTAAGGAGGTTCGAGGTGAATGAAGGGTGGTCATCGACTAGGGTATGTGTGCTCCCTTTATATGGCCACTCTGATGGCAAGCAAAGTGGAACCGTATTGCCAACTACGCGTAGTGAAATTCAATGCGATTCCTGGAAGGAAAACGTTTTGATGATCATAGTCTGCTCGTCCTGGGTTTGGTATCTTGTTTTTCTTTGTTGGACAGAAACATAGACAACTTGGCATTCCATATCCCTTGTTCATGGAAAGAACGCAACTCTATTCTGTACAGTTTACATAACCTTTTGGGAAGGACACAAAGGGTCGGTGTTGCACTGTACATGATTTATTGAGGTGCTTAATGGAGAACGTACTGAATGAGATCTGGAATGTATAGGAAGTCTTTTCCTCGATGCATGATGGGTGCCTGATGCCCATGAGACACCTCATATTTGATGATCCAACCCCATCAACAGGTATTTAAATCACTAGTGATGCAGGGGGGGCAATATTCTGCAAGAGGGTCTTCTAATCGGGTGTTCCAGGACGAACCCAATGTACATGGAATTCCATAGCTGGCGGATCCAACGAGCAATCGCATTGCGTGTATGCAAGGGGGCTGGAAGAACATAACAAACCTGGAAGTCGTGAGATTCCTCAGATCAGGCATGTACAGTACGTGTAGGGCACCAATACAGTTGAACAATTATGATGGATACATCAAATACCGAGAGCATCTCGAAACCCAGCCGCGATCCCCTCAGGAGCCTTGATGTTATCCCCGGTGTACATGCCACACACCAAATTTACTCCGCGGCCATGATTAACCCAAGTTCGAGTTCTACCGAGAAAGTCCTGCAGCAACCCATGGTGAGTGGCACATACCTTTCACAGTATATCATGTCTCGACTGAGACTGACAAGAAGTGCGGTGTTCAAAGGAAGCCGTCCCGGAAAAAGCAATGACTGGTGATAATGACGGTCCTGCCGGCATCGCTATTGTCGGCATGGCGATGAGGCTACCTGGTGGGGTTCGTACGGCAGAAGAATTTTGGGAACTCTTGATCAACAAACGTGATTGTTCCTCGGAGGTTCCAAACACTCGCTACAACGTGGATGCCTTTTACCATCCGAACAAGCCGCAGTCCGTCCGTACGAGACGGGGGTATTTCCTGGAGGATGAGTACCTCGGAAAGGCCGACATGGCCTTTTTCTATCAGATGGGTGGATTCACGGCCAGTGAACTAGATCCGCAGCAAATGCTATTGATGGAGGTAGTATGGGAGTGTATGGAAAACGCAGGACAATCTAGTTGGCGTGGAACCGACATTGGATGCTATGTAGGCACATTTGGGGAGGACTGGCATGAGCTGATGGCCAAGGAAACCCAGGCAATCTCCAGAGTTCATGCGTTTGCCAATGGAGGGTTTGCCCTGGCAAATAGAGTATCATATGAATTTGATTTGAAGGGACCCAGGTAATGCGCAATATCTAGCAGAAAGGTGACAAGTGACTCAGAACTGAACTGACCGTTCGCAGTGCCACAATCATGACAGCATGTTCATCATCTCTGATGGCGCTGCATGAGGCGTGTCAAGCGCTGCAGAATGGAGACTGCTCGTCCGCAATTGTGGCGGGAGCCAACATGCTTCTCACCCCATCTATGACAGTGAACATGTCAGAAAACATGGTGCTCTCTCCGGACGGTTACTGCAAGACGTTTGATGCTAGTGCCAATGGCTATGCCAGAGGAGAGGCTGTCAATGTGATTTACATTAAGACCTTAGATCAAGCCCTTGCAGATGGAGACCGTGTTCGCGCAGTGATCCGGGCCACATCGGCTAACTATGATGGAAGAACAGATAAGATCTTTGCTCCAGATATTGACAGTCAGGAGCGATTGATCCGAAAGGCCTATGAAAGAGCTCGGATCCACAATATCAAGGACACAGCGTTCATCGAGTGTCATGGGACAGGGACCAAGGTTGGAGATATTGTTGAAGCAAATGCTATTGCTCGGGTCTTCGGCCCACATAGTGTGTATATAGGATCAGTAAGCCAGTATCTAGCTCTTTACATTGCAATAATAGTGACTGACCAGGCCTCCTGTCCAGGTAAAATCCAATGTGGGCCACGGGGAGGGAGCATCAGGCCTTACAGGCGTTATTAAGTCAGTGCTCGCCTTGGAGCGGCATATCATTCCGCCAAACATGCACTTTGTCCAGCCCAATCCCAAGAGCAAGTAAGCTTCTTGTATCATCTGAAGGAATGTCCTAATAATGGTCAACAGTCCCATTTGGAACAGCGGGACTTCGCGTCCCTACTGAGCCAACCCCATGGCCGCTAGGACGCAAGGAACGTGTCGGCGTCAACTGCTTTGGCATCGGCGGGTCTAATGTCCATGTATGTGAAAGTCCCCGTGGTCAATGTGCCAACTGATTCGCTGACCGCGTCTTGAAGGCCATTCTGGAGTCTCTGTCCACGGCTGATCATCCCAGTCAAAACACGCGAGACAAGGCCCCTTTGCGCCCGCGGCTCCTTGTAATATCGGCACACAGTAAGACTGCCCTGGACATGCGTCAGGAGGATATGCAACTATACCTCAAGCGATGCCCGGAGCAGCTTGGCAACATAGCCTATACTCTTGGAGTTCGCCGTGACCATCTTCCACATCGCGCATATACAATTGCCGATGGCGTGAGTACAACCGGCTTTCGCCAAGTTACCAATGATCCAAGTAGATCCCCAGCCTCGGTTATATTTACTTTCACCGGGCAGGGAGCACAGTGGGTTGGGATGGGACGGGAGCTGATCAACAATTTCCCCTGCGTTCAACGCGATGTTCAGGCCATGGACAAAGTCCTACAGGAACTGAGTACACCACCGAGGTGGAGTATTGAAGGTAACCAACCACCATCTGATGGGAATGCATGATTAGTTTCTGATAGCCATGGTGCCGATAGGGGAGCTCCAGAATCTTCATGGGGAAAACCACATTGATTGCCCTGAATACGCTCAGACATTGTGCGCTGCTGTGCAGATCACCTTGGTGAACCTCCTGAAAGGCTGGGGAATTCATCCGTCCGGTGTGATAGGGCATTCCAGTGGCGAGGTCATTGCAGCGTATGGGGCCGGGGCAATTACAATGCGTACAGCAATTATCACTGCGCATCTCCGTGGACAATGTGTGGGTGGGTGCTCCGGTGCAATGGCTGTGGTTGGTCTCGGACTGGCAACTGTTACCAGTTTCCTGATTGATGGGGTGGCAATCGCTTGCGAGAATAGCCCTCAGAGTGTGAACATTTCGGGAGACCAGGAGAAGGTCATCACAGTGCTTGATCAGATCAAGGTCAAGTATCCAAGTGCATTTATCAGGCAATTGCCAGTCTCAGTGGCATATCACTCCCGTTGGTCCCCCCATACTCATATCCTTATTTTTTAATATATTGACAAGATAGCAGCTGACATGTGCCGTGTGGGGCCGGCTTTTGAGTCGACCATCTCCCCATACATTACGCACAATGATGCTATGGTTCCCATGTACTCCACTGTAACAGGAGCGCGAATCACAGACCCGGGGGAGCTCAATGCAGCATATTGGCGCAAAAATCTTGAGTCTCCAGTTCAATTTAATATAGCGGTGCAAGAACTTATCGCTCAATCTCCAGCAAGCAAGTTCACTTTTCTGGAAATTGGACCCCATCCCACACTTTCTGGACCTCTCCGACAGATTCTTACGGAGCGGCAAGATACCCAGAGCACTTATATCCCGACACTTAGAAAACAAAAGAATCAGGTACACTGTCTGCTGGAGGCAGCAGGACAGGCGTTTCTAAACCAATGTGCTGTCAATTTTGAAGCAATTAACGGTAAAGGAGCGGTCCTGTCCAACCTCCCAGTGTATAAATGGGACCGACAAGATGCCCACTGGCGGGAGAGCCGAGTGAGCCAGAGCTGGAGGTTCCGACAGCACCCCCACCACGAGCTTCTGGGATCACGGATCTTGGAGGGGAGTGATCTAGAGCCAGCGTGGAGAGTCTTGCTAAGCACACGGAATGTATCCTGGCTCAATGATCATCGACTCTTGGGGGAGACAATATTCCCATGCGCTGGGTACATCGCCATGATCAACGAAGCGATGTTTCAACTATTCAACACACAGGAATGTACAATCCGCAACCTGCTTATCCAAAAGCCACTTCATTTCCCAGATTCTGATCCGGTTGAGCTCATCACTACTGCACGGCCGGTGAGAATAAGCGACAGGGTGAGCTCAAAATGGTATGAATTCACAATCGTGTCGTATAACGGTAAAGGATGGGTTAAACACACTACTGGTCAAGCAAAGGCGGGTGTAGAGGAGCGACCCCCGGCGGCGGATATTTCGCAAGCTTTTCCTAGACTTGTTTCATCGGATTTTTGGTATGGTGCGTTGGAAAAGCTTGGCCTGGAGTATGGACCTCACTTTCGAGTTCTCCAAGATATCACCGCCGATCCGATGAACTTCCGAGCCACTGCCATCGTTCACGGTGATTCACCCGACCAGAGAAGCAATCTCGCGGTTCACCCAACCGTCATCGACGCATGCTTACAGCTATTCAGTGTGGCCGGATGCAAAGGAAAGGCGCTGTGTTTGAACAAGCTTTGTATCCCTACATTTATCGACAAGATTCATATTGGTCGAAATCAGCCAGTGATGAATGCCGAGGCGTGGGGAGATAATCCCACTTCCACTGAGGGACGGGGAACCGTGGTCCTCGCAGCCGATCAACAACACGTCCTGTCGATGCATGGGGTAAGTATAATGTACTTGGGTCATGAATTGCGAAGCGAGGAAGGGGCCGTCCCTTTAGCGTCCTGCGTCGAATGGAGGCGGGATCTCAACTTCACGCATAGCGACCAGCAACCAGCTTCCCTGAAGGCCAGAGATGAAGCTTCGGGTTTGATTAATGAACTCTCCATCATCTCGATAATTCAAGTTCATCGGCTCATCGAAAATGCAGTTCCAGGTTCAGAGGCACTGCAGGACTACCAGTTATGGATCCAATCCCAGGTGCGAGACATGCAAAATGCGTGCTACCCAGCATACATTGGCCCTGAGTGCCTGGAGTGGATAGAAATGGACGACGATACCCTTCAGCGGCAGCGGCATATATGTAGTGAGGCATTAAAGGCCCGGGGCCTAGGCTTCATCCCACAGCTGAGCCAATGCGTGGTGAACGCCTCGTTGGACGTCGTCAAGGGATTGGTGGATCCCTCTACTCTTGAGATCCAGGAGCAATTTAACGAGCTACATAGCTGGGCCTTGTCAATCGACCCTGTATCTGAATGGCTCTACTCTCTCCGTCATTGCAATCCACTGCTCAGGGTTCTTGAAGTGGGGTCAGCAAGAGGAGCATTCTCATCCGATATCCTTGATTGTCTCGTCTCCGATAAGATGCGCTATTATTCGCTGTACACGTGGACAGAAGCCTCTGAGATAACTTCTGCAGCGGAAGAACAGCTTGGAGACTATAAGCAAGTAGTATTCAAACGTTTGGATATCACCCGTGACCCCCTTGAGCAAGGCTTCCGGGCAAATAGTTATGACCTTATATTGGGGTCTAATGTAGGTGGCGCCCTACTACGCGCTCAATGACCGTGTAACTGATAATCCGCAGCTCAGCTGTAAAACAGACCAGTTAAGGACTGCTCTACAAAATATCAAGAAACTGCTAGGTCCTCGGGGGCGACTGTTGCTGCGCCAACCAACTCCAGGTAATTGATCGTTCTTACAAGACACTAAGGCATGACTGATAATTCAACAGCACTCTCTGCTCTGCAATACATTTTTGTGTGCATTCCCATATGATATATCCAGTGAATAAAGTCTGACCATGCGCGTGTAGGGCCTACTCTCCGATACAGGTAACATTGCGTCAATCGTTAATAATCATACGTCGCTCGCACTATGGCGCACAGAGCTCCAACGAACCGGGTTCAACATGGTTGAGGGGGATATGTGTCGCAATTGCCTATACTATAATATTATATCTCAGGTCCCGGATGATGAGGTGCTGGATCAGAACCCCATATATCTCCTCTGCCGTAGTAAAATGCATTGTGCTTCATGGATCTGTGCAGTTGAAATGAATCTCGAGCAGAAGGGTTATGAAGTCCGAAGATGCACGATTGGGGAGGAAATACCTTTCGAGCATCAGGTCATTTCGCTCCTAGACGTGGAGGAGCCCTTCTTCAAAAACGCCAGCGAGGAAAGCTGGAAGTCCTTCCAGCAGTTTGTTGGGTACTCGCCCCGGGTTCTTTGGGTAACCAAGGCAGTCGAGCTTTCATGCCCGGACCCGGACTTTAGCTTGGTGCTCGGGGTGTCGCGGACAGCACGACTGGAGCAAGGGCTGCATTTCGGAACCCTCCAAATAGACAATTTTGATTCCGTGGCCGCAGAAGCGCTGGGGAACGTGGCGAAGCGGTTTTTCCGACAATTCGAAGGTGACGTGGGGATGGTTGATCCTGACTATGAATTTGCTTTGCACCAGGGCGCGATCTACATCCCTCGCGTTCAATGGACATCGCTACAGGACCAACTTCACACTGACGCACAGCATGACATGCCTGTCAAGCTGGATATCGATTCATATGGATTGATAGATACGCTCTCCTGGGCTATCCATGAGTATAGCAATGTCGGACCAGACGATGTGGAAGTCGATATCAAATATGTCGGACTCAATTTCCGGGTATGTTCTACACAGAAGGGAAGGTTAAACCTAAGCCACCTAACTCAGCTTTACTAGGATATCATGATAGCGCTAGGGGTTATGGCGGATAAGTCAGAGTTTGGGGTCGAGGCCAGTGGGGTTATCCGACAATGTGGCAGCAATGTGAAAGAGCTCCAAACTGGTGATCGAGTGCTCATTTCACGACCTGGACTGTTCCACACAGTCAAGTCCGTCCCAGCGAGTCTCTGTACACGGTTGCCACCATCCCTTTCGTTTCAGGACGCTGCGGCCATGATGGTTGCTTATGGAACAGCGCTCTACTGCCTCACAGATATCGCAAGACTGGAAAAGGGTCAGGTATGTGCGACTTGCAACAATAAGATATTCGTTTGCTTACACAGAGACCTATGCAGTCTGTGCTGATTCATGCAGCCTGTGGAGGAGTTGGTCTCGCTGCCGTGCAGCTATGTCGCATTATTGGCGCAGAGGTATGTGGGCGTTGCACTGGAGCCTGAGAAGGCTACGAAGGTTAATTATATTCTCGGGCCGGGTAGATATATGCCACTGTGGGGAGTGAAGCCAAAGCACTGTATTTGGTGGAAAATCACTGTATCCCACGTCATCACATCTTCAATTCCCGCAATACCTCATTTTTGCCAGACTTGATGCGGGAGACCAAGGGCCAAGGAGTCGATGTTGTGCTCAACTCGCTTGCCGGAGAACTTCTCCATGCGTCTTGGCAATGTGTCGCGGAATTTGGCAAGATGGTGGAGATCGGCAAGAGGGATTTCGAGGAGCACGGGTCCCTAGACCTGAAGGCCTTTGGTGGTAACCGGGCCTTCTTGGGAGTCGATCTTATTCGGTTGATAGAGAGGCCGGGATGGTCTGCGAGGTATTGGCTTCCTTATCTCTGGTCATTCCCTATCACCCGATGTGAGCTAACAAAGGATGGTCAGTCTCGCCCAGCGCATCCTGGCCCTTTATGAGCAAGGCAAAATACAGCCAGTTCGCCCTCTAAAGGAGGTTGCTGCGGCCGAGGTGCACAAGGCCTTTCGCTACATGCAACAGGGGCATCACATTGGCAAGATCGTTGTCCGAATGCCTAGAAGTGCAAAGGAGGTCGCCGTGGCCAAGTCTCGCAGCAACATGGCTCTCTCTCCTGACGTGGCATACCTCCTTGTGGGCGGCCTTGGGGGGGTTGGACGGTCATTAGCCTCATGGATGGTGGAACGAGGGGCGCGGCATCTAATCTTTCTGTCCCGGTCCGCGGGTGACTCTCGTCAAGATAGAAGCTTTGTTTGTGAGCTGGAGGCCCAGGGATGCAGCGCGACCTTGGTGAGAGGTGACGTTGCTGTGCTTGAGGATGTTCAGACGGCCATTCGAGGCTCCGGTTACCCCATCGGAGGAGTTCTGCTATTGACCATGGTAGTTAAGGTCAGTACAGCAATGAAGCACATCGCAATGGTGTTTACTGACTCTCAAAGGATCAACTTATCCCGGACATGACCTACCAGAACTGGCAGGATGTCCTCGCAGTCAAGGTCGCTGGCGCGTGGAACATCCACCATGCGTTGGATGGGCAGGACTCCTGTCTACAATTCTTTGTGGTGTGCGGTTCTATTACGGGCGTCATGGGAAATGCTGGCCAGGTGAATTATTCCGCGGCGAATGCGTTCTTAGCGTCCTTTGCTCAGTATCGGCTAGACAAAGGGCTACCTGCCTCAGTAGTAAACCTCGGAGCGGTTGACGACATAGGATTCCTAGCCACAAAGGACAGGAGATTGCGTGACAGAATGCGCTCCGCGGCGGTCCGTCTGCTAAGAGAACAAGAGGTGTTAGACGCATTTGAAATTGCGATGTCACAATGTCGGTCAAAGAAGGCCGCGCTGTCGGGTGCTAGCGGTCTGCGTGTCCCCAACAATGTGATTGTTGGGATGAGTAACACCAAGTCCCTGGTTGACCCTTCTGTTCGGACTCTTTGGGGGCAGGATGCACGGTTCAGCGCCTATGCCAACATAGATACCGTCGAAAAACAGCCACAGCACTCTGCCAATAGCGTGGTGGGGCTCCAGAAATTGTTCCAGTCTGCAAAGAATAATCCTGAGTTACTGAATGATCCATCGCAAGCTGCCATGATCGTCACGGAGATCGTGAAAGCAATTCAGGAATATTCGATCTTCGCGCGCGGTCAGGAATACGATCACGTGGCAGCGACTGCCATTGACTCCTTGATGACAGTCGAAATCCGAAACTGGAGCAAGCGCTATCTTAACCTGGATCTCCCCCTGTCAGCAATTGCTCAAGCAGGAACCATTGGAGGACTGGGGGAGCTAGTTCTGGTATATATGCGGTCCAAATATTTGAAATCTTAACCAGGGCTTGCCATAACCCGGGTGTCGACGGAGTGGGTATGGGTTTGGATATCAAACCCACGTGTTCTTGGCGGGTACCCGTCTGGTTCTTGGGTGTGCATCCGCACCCCTGAATACTAGACTCCTTCATGCTTTCTACTAGGGATAAGAGATTTTCAAGTTTTGACTGAAAATGAAAATTTCAACAATTTTACAGAAATGCTTAGTGATAATATTTCGGCCAATCGCAGCGTGTCTAAACTGTGCTCTGATAGGTCACCTGTGCATATCTCAGTCTCGGAAACATCATCTTGAATACTATGTTGATATGTATTTTGAACGATTAAGCTGCTGTTTACCCATAGTCTTGAAGTGCAGCATGGAGCATCCGGGTTTCTTAAAATGTCAGAGCCTATGGGAGCCTAAGGCAGCAACCACGTGACCTGACGACAACACCAAGGAATCTCTGTAAAGTAGATTTAGACCTTCAGAGAATCAATCCCAATACACGTGGGCTACACCAGCTACATCAATAAACCTTTCAGTCACTAATGGCATGAAGCGGTATTATTGGCGCTCCAAAGAAATACCAGGAACTAAAATGACTGCGCCGGCTATAGTGGATTGGATTGTTGAACAGGTATAGTTTATCAGGCTTGACCTATGAATTCACCTAACTCTGTGTATTATAGACGGGAATCCTAGTCAATCGTCGATATGAGAGATTAAATGCCCTGATTACCGATACATGTTCAACAATGAGATCCACCTAGTTTAAGCTACACCAACGGCTTCAATTTTCTCACCTTTTAACGATAGGATGCGACTCGCATGGCTTGCAGCTATTAGTCAAAGACCTTCTTGCTCTGCCGTCAATCAGTACTGTCACGGTGCCAGCCCGAACCGCTTGTTCTGCCCGACCTCACCGCTTTGTCATGTGATTCCGATTGTTTGTTGGAACATACGGTCGTCCTGCCCGCCGACCTGTATACACCGCATGCGGCGGCCCTATGGTTCTGTAAGGTCTCTTGGTATGATGTGTGTATTCGTGAGAAGGAAGATCGGTAAGACCTAGTAAATACATGTGGAGGTGGGAAAGCCTGATCATGTGACAGGTTCGATCTCGCTTAGTCATTATTAGTAAGCTAGATATTTAGCACGATAGTTTGGCCGTTCCGGCCACCCAATAGAACAAACAAGCATACTCTCGCTTCCACACCACTAGGCGATCACGTGCCTTGTATAGATTCATATCACTTCCTGTCATACCTAATTGTCTCACCGTTAGTTGATTCTTCTCCTCTTTTCTTTCTCTTTCAGCGTTTTCTTCTTGTTTGATAACTATGACAGTTTATCGAACATTGCGGGTCTTATCCCTTACAAAATCTGCGGGTTATGGCGAGGTCTACAAATTACGTAGTCATGGGCTCGTCAGGTTTGTACTGTTTACATATCCATAAAGAGAGTCTAGACAGGATGAAGTTTCCCTTTGCTAGCTGCCTGATACAACTGCGCTGTATGAAATGGTTGTTTCCCAAACGGACATCAATTACTGCAATTTTAGTGGGTCTTTGGCTTATACCATAGCTTCTCTCTCAAGTCATTTGATACAAAGGTGACCAAACTTAACCATAAAATGGCTAAATTCACTGTTCTAGTTTGGCCGAGAAGAATCCAGACAGGGTTCAACTAGCTCTTATTTTCGCTCCATTTAGTGAGTGTGCTTGTTCTTTGATCGCAGGTCCCATAGAAAAGACAACTGCGCTGACATCATGACTCAAATCAAATCAGCTAACAAACATTGTATCGATTTGCCTTCTACCAATTTTACTTAAAAGCCATTCCGTTCGGACTTGTCCCCTTCGTACGAAAAATTTTCTAACTCTATTGTGACTCTTTTATCTTAACCTCTTATAATTATTTGCCCTTTGCTGCACCTTCACATAATGGCAAGTCCACGAATCCGCATTGTCGGTGCCTATGCTGGAGAGACAGGGGATGTTGTTGTTGAGGGTATATGTCCCCCACCTTGTAAGACCATGGACGAGTACCGGACATGGTTTAAGAACAATGATAGCTTACGCAAGGTATTAATGTATGAACCACGAGGTCGGCCAACAATGTTTGTTAATGTGGTTCTTCCCCCCCCTATATCCTCCGAAAAAGCGGATTATGGACTTATAATTATGGAGTCATCCTGCAAGGAATATCCAAAGCTGTCTGGTTCCAATGTAATGTGTGTTGTTACTGTCTTAAGAGAGACAGGAAGAATACCTCAAGGGAGCCCAGAGGACCCAGATGACCCAAAGAGCTTATACAAACAAGCTGTGAAAATTGCTACAGCTGCTAGAAGCAGACCGATCACAGCCTACGCACATTGCGATAGATATGGACGATGCGTCGGTGCATCTTTTGATAATGTACCATCTTATTTCCACAAAAGGTATGATGGCGTTGAGCTCCCAGATCCGAATCCGGATCCGGATAATACGCCAAATACTGTGAAAGTTTCGGTTGATGTTGCCTATGGGGGTCTGGTATGTGCATTTGTGGATACACGAGCTGTTCTTCATAGGTCGTTGCAGAAAGAAGACGCAGTGAAGTAAGTATAGCTACTATATAAAAATACTATAGCAATCTCAGAGATCTGACTATCTTTTCTGTCTTAGATTGGCAAAACAAGGAAAAGTCTGGAGGGATAAAATAAATCAAATTGTGGACCCTGAGAAACAGGTTGATATTGTCATAGTGTATGACGACGAGGATCATCCAGACATAAATGATAAAATCAGTGCATCTACTATGATGACTATTTTGCCATCTCAGGTCATCGATCGCGGTCCATGTGGTACTTGCACTTCAGCTCGTATGGCTGTACTTGAAAAGTACGGTCAGCTAGGGCACTCCTTTGAGAACCGCCATATTTTGGATCCAAAGAACAACAAATTCATTGGTACTATTACAGAAGGGTCCCCATCTGTTGATGGCGGAATATACACGACAATCAGGGGGAGAGCGTATATAACGGGTTATAGGGAGGTTGTTGTTGACCCTGAAGATCCAAATCCTGAAGGATTTAGACTAAATGATATATGGCCTGACGCGGGGGATCCTTGTCAAGACTAATTTTATGGCTTATATGGAGGTTATGGTACTTATGGTATGACTTTTGTTTTTGAAATATTAATCTATAATATTGGATATGTTAAACATCTGCTTGACGTTTGTTTCTGTTGGCATTGGGTACAGATATTCCTTCAGGCCTCGATAAGGGCTTTTGTCTAGTACGCTGGTTTTTCCTGCATTGTAACGCAAATGCGGAGACCATAAAAACTACGAGTTACAATTAAGGCGCAGGCAGGCAGGGCTTCTTTTCTACAGTTCTTAGTCAAAAGTTTGAATACTCGCGCTAATCACGCCGATACTTCCAAGTGGCTTACCAAATTCCATGCCAGCATTGTTAACCAGAATATCGTTTGACTCTCCAAAGACAGCAGTCGTTTCACTTAATTAATCGCAATAATGTCGGACCGCCATTCGAAGAAGTCATCAAACCTTCCCATCCCGGCTGTTGCTGTTCAGTAAGACTCTCAATCTTGCCTAATCAAAGGCTTTCGGTAAAGATCTTTAGGTCTAGGTATGGCAGAATCGCAAGCAGATACACCAAGTCTAGACGAGTTTCTAGACATACTTACTAGGTCCCTTTAGAGTAATGGAAGGATGCATTGTTCATGGCTGGTATATAATTTTCTATAGTGCTGGAAAAAGTCGCTTACTAATGTTTTGAGAGACATCCACTGTAGTAGAGCTTGGAAGAGAGCAATGCTATTCTGAGCATACGCCACTATTTGTGACGGTACTGGTTCTTTACATTGATGTGTACGCGCCATGTATGATCGTTGCTTCTGTAGAGATTAAAGAAATGATTTTTCCTTTCTTTCTACATCGAATCCGGAAACCCGGTCAAGCCATCAGGGGTTTCGTGAACAGGAGAGCATTGATGAAGGGAGAGAACCACCAAAGAGATTTCTGATATAGTTTAGTGAAGAGGTAAAATGAGTTACGATTACAATCCATGCTCCTTGAATTCCTTTTCCGTCCATTCCCACAACTCCTCCATTTTTTTCTCGTCTCTCGTGATATCCCGCCTATTACTCTCCTGGAAGAATGGAATGTAGTATGCGCCGCTATTGACCTTTTCTGCATCGAAGGTACTCGCCCAAAGCTGATTTAAGGCTCCTGTGGCTACATCAACAGAGCTGACTCTATTGAGAAGGGCAAAAATAAGGGACATGATGGAGAACCCCTTTACTTCACCACCGATGTTGGTCCGGACGAGGCCCGGGTGTAAGGCTACAGACTTGATGGCAGGATAGCGTTTGGCGTAAGATTTAGTGAAATAAATATTTGCAAGTTTGGACTGGCCATAGCGGGCCATGGTACTGATCTCCGTAAGCGGCGTCTTATCTTGAGCGAGGAGAAGCCCTCCCTTTGGAGCCAACTTATATATTTCGGAGCTGATGTTGATAATTCGAACGTCGCCTTCAGAAATGCTAGTGGTATTCTCCAGAATTGGTAGCAGCAATTTGGTGAATAGTGCTGGACCCAGGTAATTGGTGCCAAACTGGATTTCGTACCCGTCCTCTGTTAACCCTGGTGGAGTGGCGAAAACACCAGCATTATTCACGAGGATATGGAGACGATCATTCTCCGCCAAAAAGGTGGCAGCGGCCCTTTTGATAGAAGAGAAAGATGCCAGGTCGATTTCGAGATAGATAATGTTCGCGGAAGGGACTTGTTCTTTCAACTCTGCAATCGCAGCAGAAGCTTTGGCCTTGCTGCGCGCGCCCATATAGATCTTTGTCGGGTTGTGCTTTGCCAACTGTTTAACGGTTTCTTTACCCAAACCATTATTACCTCCAGTTACCAAGATTACCTTCCCCTCTAAATCTGGAATGTCCTTGTCGGGATTGTAGGTAATTTTTCTGCGAAAAATAAGAGTCATCTTGGAGCGCCAGGTGTCTCCATGACCCCCTTACGTGAGAACAGGGAGTGACTGGACAATGGGTAAAGAATCATTTTATACGGGACAGTCTGAGCTATTTGACTTTGGATTTGGGTAGGCCATTAAAATCGCGCCGACATTCTCAAGGCGTAATCCAGATTTGGCTCCAAGTAATAGTCACTTGGTTAATAACGGCGTCACTCAACTAGCTAACTAGTTATCGCAGCCCAAGGGTTGGTAAGCAGGTAACTAGTGGTAAGCCGAGGTCAACGCGAGACTGGCAGAATGATTACTGATATTCCCTAACATATTAACTATATCCCTTTGAGAGAGGTCAAGGCTGAAAATCCAGGACGGGCAGATTATCCACCCGATTCCGAGACAACCATGGGTCTGCGGTATAGTACATCCGTCGTGACATCACGATTTGGGGACATAAGAAGACGCTGCGGTCTTCGGGTGGTTACCCTCACATAGAAACGCCTAAATATCCCCAAAGATACAATGAAGGCCTTGGTTACCACGCGCAATATTCTCGGCCGGATTCTCAATTTGAGTCTGGGCAAATCAATTGGACAGGGAGCTGAAGTTAAAGACGTCCCTACTCCGGCTATATCAGACCTGGAAATTCTTGTTAAAGTCCATGCTGTCGCACTCAACCCGACCGACTTCAAACATATCGATATCATTTCCCCTCGTAACAGCATCTGTGGCTGCGATTATGCTGGGACGGTAGTCGAGGTTGGGAAGAATGCAAAAGGAGGATGGAAAGTCGGTGATCGCGTTGCTGGATGTGTACATGGAGGGCTATATCCCGACCGTGGCTCGTTCGCCGAGTTCCTAAAAGTTGACAGCGACCTCGCCTGGAGGATCCCAGAGGGAATCAGTGACGAAGCAGCAGCGACATATGGGATATCAGCCGTCACGGCCATGCTGGCTCTCCACCATCGACTCGGCGTCAGGGATGGGGCTGGACCGCCGAAAGAACGGCCTAGTGTACTCATCTATGCTGCCTCAACCAGTGTGGGCCTTTACGCTCTACAACTTGCCAGCAGAGCAGGATACACAGTTGTTGCGACTGCATCCCCGCGTTCTTTCGATCTTGTCCGGGAATACGGTGCGGACAGGGTCTTTGACTACCGGTCGGAAACTGCAATTCGGGACATTACTGCAACCTTTCCTGACATCAGATTTGCTTTGGACTGCTTCTCTGAGGGTCAATCATCCGACTTTTGCGCCAAGGTAATTGGAACGAATGGCGGCAAGGTCATTACGCTGCTTGATACAGGAAAATCGAAAGTTCCAGGAGTCGAGTGTGAGATGATTTTTGCCTACACCTTATTCGGACGTCCATTTGCCTGGCTCCCGCCGGTTGGTCCCAGCAGGCCCGCTATTCCTTCACACCGTGAAGCTCTCGTTGAATTTTACAAAGATTTACCGACGTATCTACCACATCTCAAGCCTCCTCCAGTGACTCTGATCGACGGTGGGTTTGACGGGATTCAAAAAGGTTTGGAAAAACTCAGACGGGGGCAAGTTTCCGGTGGGAAATTAGTTGTGAAGCTTTAAATCCCAATGGTATTCCCCGACTGAGCCGGGCAACCAGTCGGACCGGACACCGCCAAAATCGGCCATACTCAGAGCCTTTGAAGTTATTCACAATCACCAAAATGCTAGTTTCCTTATTAAATCAACTACTATGATACGTATGACAGCTATTCTGAGTATGGCCTTATTATGACAATTAGAACATGCTGTTGGAGCACGCTTTGGCGCGGCAGAAGCGATCGGAGGCTATTAGATGGACCACCTTCATTCAATTGCCCGTTGCTTTCCAATTCGATCCTCCAATCGACTGGTATTCCCCAGATCATCCCCCAATGAAGAGATTGCCCTAAATATGATGCATGAAGACGCCATCCAACCGCCTAAATTCATAAACTCAAAGATAGTAACTTATTATCGATTGCCCGTTGAATAAGATTAGGTCTACCTGGCATACTAGCTCCAGTAAACACCTCTGTAGTCGCAATAAGGCTCATGCCAATACAAATCCTCTAGTGAGCCATATGTTTGTTTCGCATAAGCGGATTGCACACCCCATTATTCTGTTCTACACATGTCAAATGTATAGAATGCTGGCCAACCAGTCTAGCAGGGCTAACGATTCAGAAGATAGATTTTTAGTAGCTGTGCAAGGTCTTAGGAAGTGAACAATGTATCACGCGTTCAACCGTCGCCGGCTGTAGGTGGTAAGCTGCTGAGCGAAGGCGAACACGTCATCTGCCGACCCCTCATGAAGTGCAAGTAATAGATATCGTTCACTGAGCTGGACAGAGAAAAGGCCTGAAAGAAATCTATTGGTAATCTCAGCTCGGCCAGAGACAGCAATGACGACAGATGAGGGCACTAAGATTGGGAGACTTTTAGCGTCCTTGACGCCCTCGTGGTCCCGTGCTGCCTTCTTATGCTTCGCCCAAACATGGGATTACTGTACTTTGCCACATATGGAGCATTGCTTTTAGCGACAGCCTTTCCAGCCGAGAAACAGAGCCTGCAGCTATGCTTAAAGACAATGCGCCTCATCAGCGTACATAGATCTCAGATTGAAGGGCTACTCTTGTGGCACTCCCCCTGCATCCCGAGAGAAGCGAGTTGAAGTAGATCTTCGAGGGGTTGGACACTCACGAAAAGCAGAGGATGAGGAACTAATGAGGAACTGATGTACTAAGTGCTAAACAACCCTCTAGCACCAAAAGGGTATTATTGCCAATATGCGCTTTGTTAATTCGACAACTTATGGGATCGTCATAAAAGTGAACATCGGCTCGGGATGATAACTCATCATTATTTCTTTTTTGATTAGTTATCTTACATAAGATTATTAATCTTTGAACTACCACCGACTAGATGTGTAATTCTGACATGTCTCTACAGCTACGACACAATGACAGGCTGACAGATTATACGAAGAGCTCAAAGTGATTTGTATACACTAAGACTATACTTCATGAAGTGCGCCTCTTAATTAGTCAGCGCCGCTGCGAAGGGTTCGCGTCAAAATCTGATCAGACTGAGTCTTTGCTATTATGGTGAAGCAGTGATAAAATATACCAGTCCCGCTCTGTGCTTCCCTTTACTTGGCATCTTCTTTTCGACCCCACGCAAATATACGATCGACAAGAGAAGAAATAGCAGGTATGATGGAGACAACCTACCGTAAAAAGAGAATGAACCAAAAAGAGCTTATTCAGAAAAAGTCCTGTTGACGGTATTTCTATTAAAGAAATCCTACTTGGAATGCCTAGCATGCAACTTGACAATTCTCTACAAGCAGAAGCATTTATGCACCTACTTTGTCAATGTGAGGCTGCCCGCTAACAGACGCAAGCACTCACTGAGTGACATTGAGGAAGGCTCTTTGGGAAATAGTGTGCCCTTTGTGGCTCAGAAGCGCCCAGCAAAGATTGACAATGGCAGCAATCCGTGTCTGCTCTTTCTTCGTGGCCGAGTACATGTTCAATCCAGATAGAACTGGTATCTTGGTTCCATCCATCATGGTCCTTTTCGAAACACTCGTAGCAGTCAATGTCAAATGACCGTACTTCGTGATGGAACCAGTCCTGAATTGCTTCAGTAGATGACTTTATAGAGACATGGCTATCTGGTGGAGCAGCAATCCAGCCGTCCATCTTTAGGTAGCCATATCGAACTAAGTTAGGAGGTCAGGAAGTAGTTGTTCGAGGCATGTAATATGGTAATATTCGATAGAGCGTAATATAAAGCCAATAATTAGAAAAAGCCCTCGCTTCTCAGTTAACATCCGTACTAGAACGTGCAGATATCTTTTTCAAAGCGAAGCGATAATAAGTCTAGATGATTGACTTCCCGGTGCACCTCCTAGGGATGCAATCCTAAGCGCGGCAGTGGCTAGTCTTGACCTTAGGAGCCTCCTGTAGAAAGAGCACGCGCTTTCAGATCTTAGACTAGCTTCAACGAGGGCAGCTTCTTTTGCCCGTTTCCGTTGGCCTCTCTTTTCATTTCGATGCTTTAAGGTAGGAACGATAACTTGAGTTGCGGTTTCGGTTTGATGATATTGTTTGATTCCACCCCCGAGAGTTTAGACATGAGTATCAGTCCAACTAGTCTGCATCAAGAGGGGATTTGTGAGTTTTAATTCCGGGTTAGGCTAAGAAGTATCACGTGTGGTCTAAACTCCTGCTTCTCACGTTACACGTTGCCTGTAAGGGACTCAGCTGGATCAATCGTTGATTAGGTAGTCTATCACCAAGAGACTAAGTAAAGAGAGGGGAAAAAAAAGAATACACGAAGCTATCATGTTGTGTTGCCCTTATAGACAAAGGGTCCCATGACTACCATTCACTTCACTGATTGCCTGACAGAGGTACTTCATTCTAAACTAACACGTGCTGGATGTACCTTGCTTGAATGCGCTACCCTTCTAGTCCTAGTCTAGGCTTGTTCATTCAGCACAGGCCCGATCGAAAGTAGAAAAATGAAGTAGGAGATACAGATACTATCATATCTCTCTTGTTGGGCATTGAATTTGTAGTAGGAAAAGCCATGAGCCCCTAGTATATATATAGCCAACGATTCCCAATATGATCAGACCTCAACGTAGTGATAATCTGGTCCATGCGTTCCGCGGCAAATGCCATTACTTTTCGAGTCAGAATAGAAAGGTTTAGCCCATCCGACGCCGGGTGTCATTGTCGATAAGTGCACGTATAGTTTTGAAAAGATCTGTCGAATTTGTGTACTTTTCGCCGTACGTCAAATTGAATTCGTAATTGAAGTCTGGGGGGTTTTGGCCCTGGGTATGCTGGAGAATCGTTTCCAATTTATCCATCGCCTTTACCGCCACAGCCTCCGGCGTTGATCCTGTCTCGTATTCCTCCCAGAGGGCCATGATGGAATCTCTGACAGGGGCGTCAAGCGAATTTGTCAACTGTAACATGTCGGCTCGTTCCATTTCGCTCTTGTTAGGGAATTCTTTTTGATTAGTGGCAGGTATATCGCCATTGATGGCCTCCCCAAGGTCGTGGATCACGGAGAGTTTGATAATCTTGCACATGTCGAGGTTGGTAAGCTCATCTTCAAATATCATCGCCATCAAGCAAAGTCGCCATGAATGCTCGGCTGTGCTCTCGTTCCGACCGTTGGATGTATAAGAACTCCGCAGAACATTTTTCAACTGCTCAGCTTCGCGCAGAAAGGCCAATCGTTGTTCAACCTTGTTTGCAGACATCGTGTGTTGGCGTAGATAAAACTTATTATTTGGCGCTTGTTGAAAAATATTAATATCAAATGTGAAAAGTACGCCTAATCATCTGACTCCTCGGCTTAGCCATCACGGGAAGGCGGTAGGTTAGCTACTCGTTTTGGCTTTACGCGGCCGGGGCCACCTGGTTTCCAGTCAAAGGAAAGGGTCTTTTCAAACTTATCCGACAAGCAACCACAATGACAGAAATAGACAATCTGATTCAAACTCATTTGCTTTTGAAGAACAAGATCCTCGAGTCCGAGAAGAAACTCAGACATGGTAGGTTTCATTATAGCTACAGTTGGCAATATAAAATGTACTAACACGAACTTTCCCCTGTAGACTATCCTTTCCGACAAAGTCTTTCCGCAATAGAGCAGAGAGCTTGCTCTATCGTCCAACGGATTCGAACCCATGAGCTTGCCACTGTCTGGTCACCTAACTCTAATGATGGATGCCCAGGATTATTTCCTGGCATCGCATTTGACCTTGCAAAAGATACCATCCAGAAGACAGAGTTGTGGCGTATCGTCAAACAATTACCGAAAGGTGCCTTGCTTCATGCCCATATCGATGGCATGGTGGATAGTACGTGACTCTAACGCTCTTGAAACGAACGTTTCTAACTCTGAAAGTGCAATGGCTCATCAATACTGCTCTCAACACGCCGGGCATACACATCAAGTCAGACATTCCTCTTACTTCCCCGCATAAAGTCAAGGAAGCCATGATTGAGCTTGAATACCTTCCTGCATCGTCATCAATCCCGCCGTCCGAGCTATTCTCTCAGTCTTACGTCCCGGGTACGCCTGTGCAGCTTCTCCAAGCCGCGCACATGTGCCCCTACGGCGATGCTCAAGCTTTTGAATCACTTCTGGTTTCCCGAACTACGTTTTCGTTAGATGATTGTCTTTCGCACCATGAAGGAATTGACAAAATCTGGTCTCGTTTTGAGTCAATTTTTCGCGTTTTAGGCGGAATTACATTTTACGAGCCTATATTTCGCCAGTTCATTCGTCGTATGTGTATGGAAGCCTTGGATGATAAGGTTTACTGGATTGATCTCCGCGTTGTGTTTCTGTCGCCGTTTAAGCTCTCGAATGGGGCAACAGGCGACTTTCGAGATTTGCTTCGGATATTCAATGAAGAAATCACCAATTTCCAGCACTCCGAGCTGGGAGCCTCTTTCTGGGGGGCGCGGATCATTTGGACATGTCATCGACGTCAAGGGGATGGTTTCATCCGACGCGATATGGAGAATTGCCTCACAGCAAAAGCCCAGTTTCCGCATTTGGTTGCAGGTTACGATCTAGTGGGACAGGAAGGATTAGGCCGTACACTGGAGGAACATCTCCCCTCTCTCTTGTGGTTCCAAAACGAATGCCAGAAAAGAAATTTGGATATCCCTTTTTTCTTCCACGCCGGTGAAGTATCAGGAGACGGTGACTCCCACGATCTGAATCTTCTAGATGCTGTCATCATAGGTACGAAGCGAATCGGCCATGGGTATTCGCTTTTTAAGCATCCCGTCATTATGAATGAAGTGAAGTCTCGGGATATTTGCGTTGAAGTGTGCCCTATCAGTAATGAACTTCTCCGCCTAAACGGAAGCGTGTCAAGCCATCCAGTACCAGCATTGCTGGCCAATGGGGTTGCTGTGGCACTATCGAGTGATACCCCAGGGGTTTTTGGACATATTGGAACCCGTGTCAGTTGCGATTTCTGGCAGATCCTGAACAATTTCGATTCCATTGGACTCGAAGGTCTGGGTGATATCGCAGAGACAAGCATATGCTATGCAGCATTCGCAGACGATAATGGATGTTGCGAGGAGATGGGCCCACACTCAGGTAACAAGCGAAAAATTCGGGTTTCAGAATGGCGAAAGCAATGGGTGGAATTTTGCAAATGGGTGATCGAGGAGTATTCCGGTTACGTCGAACAAATCTCGCAGAGTTGAAAAGCCTGCTATTGTAATGAGTATTTAAGACTATTTCTCTGGAAAGAAATGGCCAACTATGGGCAGGTTGAAGTCCGTGAAAACTAAATATCTGCATATAGATAAGATCCTTCTCAAACCCTCTGAGATACAGTCCTCCAGTTTCACCAGGTTTGAATCCGTTGCTACAATTATGGTGTTTTTCTTACAAAGTCAGGATTGACTTGGTACGGCCCGATTGTCGGCGCTGGATGGCTCTCATTTTTACTGCTATAAAAATGAGGTTATTGAGGGCGCTGACCACTGCCATCGGAGGTTACTGCCTAGACTATCGTATAAAGTACACTAATCCTGATTTAGCAGCTTACCAGATCTTCCCTCGCAGTTCACGAGTTTCTTCTGGTTGTGGTTGCAGATGATGAGGCCTCGTTTTCCTTTTTCAGCTGGTGTCACAAAAGGGCTGCTTAGTCAGATTTGATCACGTGTATAACAGATAATGTGGGAAGCGATGGATGCTTGTCTTATTGCGTGACCGGAACCTACATGTCCCGGTCCTCACGTGATTTAGTTTCCAAACACATTTCCTAATCGGGAACTGCTGCCTATCACCGCCGCGCCTCGCTGCTTCAACTTCCAATTCCCGATTATGTCATTGTCCATAGACACTGCCTTTCGTGAACATCCAACCTCTGCATCACTCAAAGATATGGAAGATGCATCACTTGAGAGATTGTGCGAGCTGAATTAAGCCATCCTTCGCCCCTGAAATTCATCAATGGCGTACCAGTATATGCTTCCCGACGCTGTGAATTATCAAGGTCATCTGACCGTGCGGCACTGAGCGATTCCGATTCACTTGTGCAAGGAGACAAAGAAAGAAACCATGATGCATAGCCCAATGTATATAGATCACCGGAAGTCATGTTACAGGCAAACTAGAGCTATCTCATTGATATAGCAAACGTTGGAGTTGTGGTATGTCTTACTATGATGAGCTTTAATAGTGAAATCCCCATCTGCACAGATACAAGCAGTAGAAGTAATCCATTCCCGATTCCGACTTTCTCTAATCAAGTTACTTCGTCATGTCTTATCGGACATGTCAAGCATCAGGAGGCCATATATGGAGATTTTGCCAGGTGACATATTAACCAAAAGTAATCTAGCATTTCTTGATCGCCACGCATGGGGATAGGAGAGACGTAGAACCTGAGTAACGACCGGTAAAGAACTCATGCCTATTTTTCTTCGCTAACTTTATCTCATTGAGGTCGAGCTGAAGCTCTGTTGGGGCACGGCGCTAAACAACAACTTTATGATAGGTAGTGATAGAATTTTAATGTCGGGCATCTGCAAACCAACCATATTCATCGAGTCTGCCTGCAGGGGTTTTCATTACCTCCACAGCTCCCACTTATTCCATATTCGCTGGGAGGCGGAAAGCTCGAAATCGAGAACCCGTATACCGCACTGTCATCAAAGAAGCAGTTTTCTATATTGAGGTCCCCAAGAATTACACCAAGCTTATGCAGGTGGGCAGCACGCGTGTGATGCATCGTTTCGTGGTGTTTGTGGTCTCCCCTTCTTCGGCTGAAGACGGATTAATCAGATATGTATTCTATCCATGAAAAGTCAGCCTGAACAATAATGATGACCATGGTGAAGGCATAGACTAGAAATATGCTGGTATTCGATGATGCCATGTGATAGCATGCCAGAGTCAAGCATCTCTCTTCCCAGCCATTGCCCAGTGGTCAAAGCAAACGTGATCCATCTCAGCTGCTGATGTAGCTCTTCATGCATGGGAAGTGTTTTGGAAAGCATTTCAAGCAACATATCAGTGTATACTGGCGCTTCGAACCTCCGCGCTTTGAGCAACGCAACCTCGAACCCATCAGGGTATATCCCAGCATCGCCCCAGTCAATCAGCCAAACTTTGCCATCAGGGTCTAGAATCAAGTTGCGGGGTGCGATATCCAAGTGAGTGAGAACTAGTTTATCAAAGTGAAATGGCGGGACAGTATCGGGCGCCTGGTGAAATTTCTGGGAGATTTCAAGTCGGTCATTGAACCAAGCTTCTAGGTGCTCTTTCGAATCAAATGGGCCGGCTCCTATGTCGGTAAACCAGAATCCACGAGCAACACAGCATTTACAGCCTACCGGGCCGGGCTTTTGCTGCTGCTGGTCGGACAGCGGGATAGACCGCAGAGTGGTAATAATCGAAGCAACTTGAGAGACAACGTCTACACGTTCGGCCTGACTCAGGTCGCCCCAACATTGTTCGACTGATCTGCCATCGACGAAGTCCATTAGGATTAGGCATTTAACGCCAAGAATAACATCTTCTGATTCGATATTGAGAGTTCGATGCACTTTGGGTAGTGGGATGGCTCTCGATCCCTCCCGCTCCCCTGCCTCAGCAACAAGCTTCAGGATGTTAGCCTCGCATGGTCGAGTACCGGTCCCACCTTTGAGGATCAATGTGCGTGATATGCGAATAATATGTGTCCCTTCATAGGAATAGAGAGCCGGTGCGGTATTGAAGAATGCAGTCAGGGTTTCGTTGGAAACCTGAGAAATATCGCAGTCGTCGAGAGGGAAGCTCTCGGGCTCTGGGCCTCCAGTATTTATAGGCTGCGAGGATGACTGGTTTAGCTGAGTAAGTCTGTAGGAAGGGATGAGGACAGTCTTACTTTGAGTGTGTCAGAAACTTTCATGTCGGTCATTCCCAGGGTGATGTACAGGTTATCGTAATACTATGAGCAAATTTATACTCTATAACGATATTGAAAGCCTTGACCTTAGGTTATTCTCTGGGCTTCACTAATTGATAGATATTCAGGTAGGACAAACTCAACCAAGGGGACGGTATAGGTTATGTAAAAGCCATCGGCACTAACGTAATCCACGGCCGAGCGACGAATACGGCCGAGTGACGAATTTTCTTCCCCTCCTAAATTAATATTCTTCAACGCGTCTTTTTTATCAATACAAAAAAAAATGCCTTTATCTCAGGAGAATCGCATCCAAATGGTTATTTTAGCCTATAAAAACAAGTAAATTAAATCAATCCTAAAGTCTGCAGAGACTTTTAGTATACCTGAAGCTACTCTTCGTGCGTGTCTTAAAGGAAGAAAACTACGCAAAGAAATACGCCCTACAGATTATAAATTAACTGCTATTAAAGAAGAATTGCTTCTTAAGCAGCTGCTAGATACAGATAAATGAGGATTTCTAATTTATCCTAAGTTTCTATATGGAATGGCCTAGATTTTACTTTATAAATATATATAAGATCCTACTGTATCTTTTAGAGTTAACTAGGCCTATATCTTTATTAAATGCTATCCTGAGCTATGCACACAATATACAAGACAAATGATATATTAATGTGCTAGACAGGAAAATCTAAAGATTATAAAGCTATAAATTCAAGCAGAATACATTTATCTGTCTCTGTATGCCTACACATGCTTTACAACTTCTTCAACCACTTAATATTGGTGTTTTTGGCCCGCTCAAACATGTATACAGAAAGCTTTTAGAAAAATATATAGCTGCTAGCAATAATTATATTAATAAAGAAGACTTTCTGTCTCTTTATCTAGATACGCCAGCTAAAGTATTTACTTTAGTAAATATCTATAGCAGTTTTAAAGGGACAGGATTTAAGCTATTTAATCAAGAGCAAGTTCTTTCTAAGCTTATATTTTAACTATATATACTAATACTATCTCTAGTTAAGGGCTTAATTTCTTCTGCTTTTCAAACTCCTCAGAATACTTGCTAGCTGGATCAGAAAGTCTACAGTCTATAGAATAGCCTTAGTGTAAAACAAAAGCTTTCTAGTAGCCCCCTATATTTGATTATGCTGAGACCCTTAGAGTACATTGAGGTATGCTTCGGACAATATGTGATAACCATGCTTTCGGTGCGAAAAAGCTGAAAACGAGTTGTGTGTAGTAGAAACAGCTGGACTTGATACATAGTTGGGCTCCATGATAATGAAGACAAGACTCTGCCGGGGGTGGCTCCTCTATTATGGCACGTATTCTCTAGCTAGGATTTCTTGCTCGTTTGGAAGCGTTGTAGCAGCTTGCCCATGTAAAACTATTAGAAATCTGTTGCGATCAAGTCATGTCTACACAACTATGCCGTCAAAAGAGCGAAATCTTGGGAACAGTGAGGAAAATTTCAGAAAAAGTGACATGACGTCCAGCACTGTTTCGGAAGAATGTAACCTAGACATTACGCAGGCCCTTAATAGCCTTTTTCTTGCCCTTCTATCTTTTGATTATGCAATGTAAGACACTATATATTATACCAATTCTATTTTGCATATTTTGACATGCGCAGTAGTATCCAAAGTTGCTGTTCAGAACCTAACACTGTGGGTAGAATTTCTGTAGGTTGCAATGGGGCGGAAAGCCCATTCAGTACATCATGTAAAGGTGCATTTGCCGATTCAACTGAACAGCGTTCATTAGAAATTATCAAATCTAATAAAGATGAAAAGGGAAGAAAGAGGGAAGACAAAAGAAGGACCGTAGGCTATCTTGAACATACCGGAAGGCTGTCAGGAATATCAAACAAACTACTAAGGCATTGATGCCGGGTGTGCTGTCAAGAAATTTCTTGAGCTGCTCTAGGGCGCTCCCATAATCCCACTTGCTAACCTTACAGTAAGGGAGTGTGTGACCTTTATCTGTTCCCGAATCATGCTTGGTATCAAAATTAAACCCATTGACTTGAAAAAGTAATTGGGAATGGTCCCCTGGCATGGGGTTCACGGGAGCACCTATAGGTGTTTGCTTGTAACTAATATCGTACATAAAGGATGCCTCGATAGTTGTTGAACTTCGTGGATAATTTAAAACCGGGATGGTATGGTTCTCCCTGAACCTGACCCGGACGTCCTCTATGGCCAAGGTATCTATCAGCTCAGGCACCCGAAGCTTCTCTAGGGATATCGGGCGCAGCATCCTGTATGCCTGCTTAATCAAGACCTACACCTTCGACAGGTAGCAAGACCTCCATGTCACTATCAGAGACTACGCCCCCTTCGTTAGATTGTGTACATAATTCCAGCTTCCCCTCCATGCAACCTACTGCTAACGTAGAACCAAGAGCCGGACCACACGTGGATGAGCCAGCGTGTGTCTACACTGACAGAACTTCCATGTACTATGCTCGGACAGAGTCTAGCCAATCTGGTGCGAATCTCTGTGCCTATCCGACAGCTCCGCCGAGCATATCAGCAATGTATATCAGCTCTATAGTCCCAGAAACAATTTCGTATAGTTGTCATGGCTCCCGTTGACCTAGTTAATGCAGGCCTCACAGTGGCTTCTGTGGGAAGGGATGAAGGAAGACTACCCGAGGACTTGGGTTCAGATGCCGTTAAACTAGAGGCAGGAGGGGTTGCGGTATAGATTACTGTAGTCATTTCCGAGCTCTGATGGCCAAGGGTGAACGATGATTAGGAAGACTTTGATGTGGCTGAGCTAGATACAGGACAGGAATCATGTTTCCTATGGCTGTTGGATACCGTTTGGTCATCGTACGCTGCCCAGTATCTCTGATGGACCCATTTGGGCTTATCTTCTAGCCAGAGTCTCTCCATAGCCTTCTGTATAGGACAACCGCCATTGGTTGAGCTGTCATCTTGAGCGGAGTTGTATTGGAAAAGGATCTTTCCCTTTGGTGAGACTGTGTTGTCGCCTCCACTGCGGGTGTAGTACGTAATCGGGGGAGAGGAGGTGTGCCAACACCTAAAATGTCCTTCACTGTGTCGATGATCTGATACACTTTATTGTCACACGCCTTATCGTAATCCGGTCGGCCTACATCTTCTGGTCTGACGACATAGGTGGCGGGCCTGTAATGTGGAGCAAACGGTCCATCCTGCCCGGTGTACTGTTTTAGACCTGATATCTGAAGCCCGCCGTCGACAAGCTCATCCAGAACACCTTTCCTGAACCAGTCTTGGGATCTGATTTTCCAGTTGCCCGGACTAAAGAAAGAACCTCCCAATGGTGTGACATCCAAACAGCTCGCTCTGATACCACAACAACTGAGATGCACCTGTAAAGGCCCCGCACTACCATGTTGTACGGCTCGTTCTTCAGGTCATGGAACAATGAAGAAGAGACCGCGCTGACGGTGACTGATGATGGATAGTCGCTGCTCCAGTGTAGCGGATACCCAAATCGATGAACACTCACGATCCAGCTCAGTAGTCCTATCGCCACCTAGTGTCAAAATGGACTCGGTACAGGTATCCCCATGTACCGGCTAGCACTGGACGGTGATTTGGTACTCTGCCTTGAAGCGAAGTGGTGCTCTTACTCCGAGCTCTGACAACGTGCACCGGATCTGCTGGATGAGTATGTCCATCGCGCAAGCCTCCATAAAAGTCCGACACCACACAAAAGGTGAACAGTTCCGAAACGCCACTAATGTCACAGAAGCTGAAGAGAGCTAGGCGGATGTAGATCACAAATGAGACTTCTTTGTTCACTTCACATGCTTTGCACAACCCACTTGTCTTTAAGTACCCTGGGTGAGGGCTACACCCTCTTCTGTGTAATGGGAGATCATTTTCTCATTCGCCGTGACATTGCATTTTATCATATACTGGATGCGGTCTGCCAGAAGCTCGTTGCTTGACATTCCATTATACCATTCAAATAAAAATAGTAGTCTAGGAAGTTGCGGTTTCTATTGTGACATGTTCTTTAGATATTTCTCGGAGTAATAGACTTGGAGAGCCAACGCCGGACTAATCGTTGTGATTAGGGTGTCCTGGGAAGAAAGTCGAAGGTGTAGTTGATGATGGAACTGAAGAAGGGTTGAAGGAGCTGACGAGGATGGATTTGAAGAAAATGGTCGGGTCGGTATCGAGGACTGGGGTATCGTCAGCGATGTAGAAAGGGACCTAGCGTGAGAAAGCCCCGGTGGTTGGTAGAACTCGTGTTGCCTGGGGATAGTACGCCTAGTTCGGATAGAGGCCGTGCATACCGTCACCAGTTGTGTCGCCCAGCCTGCATTGATGACGTGCACCCAGTATATACCCTGCTTTTCCCTACCGATAGCTTTTATTGGCCAGAATAGGACCAGGAGTGCCACTACGAGTAGGAAAAGCGGGGAGCCGAGGATAAAAGTCACAATACTGGTGGTGTCGATTCTATGCTAGATGCTTCTTCGCTTCGATGAAGCTGTGTCTCTTCAGCCTTATTGTTATTGTTCTCCGCTTTTATCTTGAGGGTTTTAAAAGGGATATACTTCCTTGTACCACGGATCGCTATAACCTAAACAGCACCTTACAGTAGATATCTAGTAGACAGCCAGAGGGAGCATGATAATATCCACCCGGGAGTTTTATCTCAACTCAGCAATTATTTTTCTTGTCTTTGTACAATTCTACATTAGCGGGAGAGACAGGACAACCTAATCTCAAGTTCAACTAAGAGAGGTACAATACAATAGCTAAATAGAAAAAGATAAAAAAGCAAGTCAAACAGGGACATCAGCGTTATTATGCTGGGGTATCAAAGACAGGTACTCCAAAAGAAATAACTATCTTATAGGTACTAAATTGGCTTACTACTTCACTAGGCTGGCTCGCTAATTGAATCCGGAAATTCAAGATATGTCTTTGAGAAATTAGAAATGATAGGTCAATAGCAGGATATTGTATCTGTAAGCAACATAATAACCTTATGATCTGCTAGGTCGTTACCACTATGACTGACCCGATGGATGCCCCCAAGCCTAAACACTACCGGCACCTTGTCCACTACCTGCCTTTGCCCGATTTTCCTGGAGTTGCTGGAGCTTTGGTAACGCACATATACCGCAGCAGAGCCCAACAGAAAATATGTTCATTGCTGATGTATCTTCCGCGCCAATTGCAGTAGCACAGCAGGCACAAAATCCTACGATAAACGCTTTGGTTGACATTTTGGTGAGAGTAATGCTTAAATATTTAGTCAACCTCAAATCCCCAACACAAGTGTGGAAAAAAGTACATACATTAAAATTGATACTCAGTTTAAGCGGGCACAGCAAGATAGAATTAAGAAGCAAATTGTTATATGTGGTGAAGATAAACTAAATTGCAAAAGATTCTTTGATGCAGTGGATTGAGCAGGAGAGAACAACTTGTATGATTGTTGTATGTAGTGGTAGGAAAAAAAATCCCGTAGAGGTGCTGAGATTCCAAAGTCGAGCAGGTAGGACTTATATACCAATAAGCATGTGCATTGTGTTGAGTTGGTTCAAAAATATCAAAATCACAAGATGGACCCAAACGTAATATTGACCAGTGAGTCTGGAATCTCGAACCAAGTCCAATACCCCCTCCGTAGCTGTGGAATTCTATTTTCCCTTAGTCCGTGACGCCGACCTGCAGACTAGCCATCTCACACGTCAATCAGCTAGTTCTGAGTCGAGTTTCCGCGCATGTGCACACGCTGAAGGAGGGCCTTGTCAGGCTTGGCCAGGGCACTTGTACGTATAGGTACATCATCTCTTCCGGTGAACCCGTTGGACAGCGACGGCAGTTTATGGAGTCCCCAAGACGAATTTGGGAGAGGCATTTATACTATTGGATAGCGGCGAGAGGGCGCAGCACTAGTAATCACCTGGAACGACGACGATGGTAGTGTAAGGGAATGAAACAGATGATACCAGAGAAGTATTCCTCCGTGCTGGATTATGCCGGCGAAAATTCTGAGGCTCCTAATGCGGATTATCACAGTGCCTGCAAGTGTGATAGCCCAGGGATCCAAAATACATTAAAATAAGAAACGTACTCAAGTCAATAGTAATCAAAATAATTGCGAAAGGTCAAGGAAAATGAGGGCTATTTAATGACTCCTCCATGGAATCGGGCCTTACTACTATATATCCAGGAAAGCAGGACCCCATCGCCTTCAATCGACCATCTCTACATTGGACATGCTATAAGGCAGCTAACTGATCCAATATATGCACTGTTTCTCCAGCAAGGCGTGTGTATACGCCTTGTGCGTCCACTTGGAGCTAGGTTATGTGATATTGTCGAAATCGTATGGAGCCCTGAATTTCGTACCACTCTGCAGTATACTACTGTTAGCATTCCTCCCCTTCGTAGAGCTCGGCATAGATGCAGATCAGATAATCCATTTACCTGATCTGCCATATATCTGTTTAAAATCTGGAATGATTATCTGCAGATATCTGCAGGTAGAACAGATAACTGTATTATGTGATATCACGTTGGCGGATCTTAGTCGCGTCTCTTATTTCAAAACGACACGATACCTATAGTTCACGATCCTCGCAAATAATAAACTAACACGAGCTTGTAGCCACTGATATCTGAAGACACGCGATCTAATTGGACGCTTTGTTTATTGATGAAATTTCGCAAGGCGAGCCAACACAGCCAACCCGCAGCGTGGCATATTGGAAAATTCAGAAAGTTTCTCAGAAATGATGGAGTATTTTCGTGTTTTGGAAATCGTCTCAGTTATTTTCACGGGACTTTTGGTTGTTATGACTGTGCTCTCGGGGGATTGGTTCTGGTTTACGAGTACGGTTTTAATAATAGGTATAATTGCGACAAGGGCTTGGTTAGTTCAGGTGAGCCGGACGCGATTGATGAAGCTGTTTCTAAGATAGAGCCTCTGCCGACAACAATTATAGGTGCTCTAGAGAATTAAGAGAAGGGAGTTTAAGGCAGATCCTAGAGCTGTGAGAACGTGGGAGAATGAGACAGAATTGTGACCGGAATATGCCAAGATCGTTGTCGTTATACCGAATCCTTAGGCTGTCACGATATTTATATAGAAACATTTACTGACACCGATTTTTGTTACGGATATTATAGGTTCGCTGGTGAAGTATCCTCTGGTTCAGTGGACTGGATGGGTGGCGTTCAAGTTGCATATTATAACTCTGGGAATAGCAAAGTTATCAACCAAGATCTATATCATCATACTCATCATTATGTCAACTGTGTTCGCTTGCTACGGATTTGGCTATAATGATTCAAGGCTCTTCAAATGGTGGCAAATGTGAATGTATAGTGAATCTGGCTCCTCGCAGCTCTACCTCTACTGGGCCGGATTGAACCTTACAGCGACAGTCTTTGAATAGCCACAGGGAATGGAATTTGCAAAGGAGGTTGAGAGCAAAATGTATCGACGTTATTTGTAAGGCTCCATTCCCCGCGTGGAGCGGTCGAAAGCACGAATGTGGACCTGTATGCATGGCTGGACTTCTCTGCAGAAGGACAGAGGAGTCTTTCCGATTGCCATTAGTTTCCTCACCGGCACAATTATGATGATCGCTGGCAGAAAGACTTTGAGAAGAAGCGAGTCCTATTTCGCGATGACCCGTGGGATATCCATATGGTTGCTAGAAAAATTCGATCGCATCTGTGTACGGCAAACATATTTGGTGCGACGCTGTTTATCGGATGTAATAGAAAAAGGGGTAGAAGAGGTATCCGTAAAAAAATAAAGGACAGTCTCATCATACCCCGATAACCATTTCACTATGGGTCTGGATGGATAATAATGTTATTTTTGGGTGAGAAATTAATTCAAATTAGGGCAATACTTGTCTCTGCAAGGCATGAGTTGGATGGCAGCAGGTTGAGGTGATGAGGGACTGACTTCTCCCAGTTGCGTGTTTCAATAACGTATGCAAAAGATATCTCCCTTTGGTCATAGTAAATTGATCGATGGAGAATATTCACTTCTTCTCTTTTGGACCCAACTAACCCCTAACTAAGAAGTGGAAGCGTCTTTGGCGTGTTGAAGAGAAGAGTTATGCATAATAATAACTCAGAATGTTTGACTTGCAGCATATATCACTAACAATAATGCGATATTGAGACTCGCATCATCAGCTAGCATCAATAAAGATCTCCCCCCAGAACTTCTCTATGAAGTGTCCAATCTCCGGGTTGGTATGGTTCAGGGTCATGAATTTACCAAGAATCCTCTTGTAAAAAGTGAGGGGTCGGAGGCGGATTGTGTCCCTATGAACGGCGAAGAAGGCACCCTCCGCAAACATGATACTCTTAGGATGCTCATAGCCGAATATGTCGAGCCACAGCTCTGCCGGAGTACAGTCCGCATTCAGGGAGTCTCCTGGTTTCTGCTGGCTTAGCCAGACCACATTGTCCGGGTCATTCTTCCAGTCAAAGCCATCCCACTGATCAAAAGGCCGGTAGGTGCCTTCGGCCTTCGACCCGAATATGGTCATGCCGCCCCTCGATGCCGTCTCTTTCAGGGACTTCGCGCTCATCTGAGTGATGGTCATGTTTGTGTGCGCTCGGCGACACGACTTGCCATCCAACCCCCCTTGGACGAACAAGGTGATGGTAGCGAGGGTGTCGTATCTTGAGACGATATGATGGAGAAATGTGTGGCTTTCGCGTCCGATGTTAGGAAGATAGAAGAGCTGCCTGAAGGACCACGGCTCCGACGGCGTGTTCCCTTGGAGAGCAGAACGTAAGCATAAAGACGGCCATTTTTAACTTTGTTGCCACGGATTTACCCTTAGCATAGATGGTGGCCTGAGAGGACATTGGCTTGATCCAGTCAAGGTCTTCATTAAAGTGGGCAACAACGATTTCTAAGTCACTGGCCTGGATTGCCTTGAGCAGGGCAAATGGAGCACTTGCGAGGTCGCCCATATCAGAAAACGGTGGACTCACAAGCAACGGTGAATACTGGGTGGGGTTCGAGATGATTTGACCTTTATAACTTCCTTCTGAATTACCATATACGTTTGCAGGACGTATACTTACGATCTGTTCATTGAGCCTTAAAGCGATCAGCCTTGTCCGGGATCCTCCGATTGCTGTGCTTGGGTGGTGGTGTGCCTCACAACGCTGATAGGTATCCCTGCGTACATAGACGCCGGGGAAGGACGCCAGGTGTTGCTCATTGGGCAGACATAGTTGCCCACTCACACGCACGTTTGCCTCTAGCCAAAAGCAAAGTGCCTTGGGTCAGCAATCTAAGGCACAAACAGCGCTCACTCGGCTCCACGTGGGCTGCCATGTCGACTTTGCTCCTAGCGATCACCTCTACTCCAAATTATGGCACGCTCCATCCTACTAAATTTTGCACTCAGCCAGACATCATAAGCCCTGGGGTGAAGATGGATGAATCTGCAGCAGAGACTTTCATCATCCGGATCTGGTCCCGTATTGACATTGCCACCCTACGATGCTGTCACTGTCATCGACGCATTGAACCAGCACAGGTATTAGCGCGCACTCTTATATTAGAGAGCCTTAATACCACGACAGAAACACCCGCTGAAAGATTCCCGGTTCCATCTTTGTCTGACGTCGTTCTCATCTATCACCGGCACCTCGAATGTCTTCTGCAAGCCGGGCCTTATGTCACAATCTCACATGTGTGGGACACCGAAGTAGCAGGAGTCCAGTACAGGCGAGATATGGCGGCCCTGGGCGCCCAGGATGTTGCTGAGATTTTACGCGAAGTGCCCTCTCGCATCTGTCGGGGCGTCTTTGCTGCGACTGGGACACCAGTTGAGATCTGGCATGACTATATCAGCGTCCCCCAGTGGCAGCCCACGCTGAAGCATCACATCCTGGAGGCGATTCCGCGGTTGTACAGCCGGTCTCTTTTCACCGTCGCTCATCTATATGACATTGGCCCAGGCAGCTTCCAAGCCATGCGGACCGGCAGCACTGTCCAGGAAAGGTGTCGTGGGATTAGCGACATTTGCAACTCAAGGTGGTTCACTCGAATCTGGACAGCCATGGAGCTAACCCAAAGTCGTGACATCCGACCCATGCTGCGGGATTTCTCTCTAGTTCCCTCTCCTACGGAGCCCATTGATCTGCCAGACCCCGAATTGAAGTATGTCTCCGAGTACAATCAACTTTCCAGGTCTGCCTTCATTGGAGAGTTTACTCTAACATGGGCAGCCGATTGCAAGAAGCTGGGCAGCGCTCAGGCGACGGAACAGATGGTCGGCATGGGAAACAACCTCGTACCCTGGCAGCTGGGCCGACTTGAGCTCATGAGGATGCAAACCCAAAAGGGGGCCCGCATCACATTTGCGTCGGCACACGAGCTTGTCGCGCGCCGATGCGTGACAATCCCTCGCGACTTCTTCTACGCCATCCTGGGCATGCTGAAGTTGCCAAGATTGAGTGTAACACACATCAGCACTGAAGTGGGGGAGGCTCTTATGCAGATTGCCAAGGCCAGTCTCGAACAGGGCGACTACAGCCCGCTCCTTATGATTCCTCCTACTGCTCAGGCCGAGATCGATGATGCAGATTTGAAGACCTACGGGTTCATCGACCTCAACACCTTTGCCCTAGGGGCCGAGGTGACTGCGCCTTTTGTCACGGAAATCAGGGTTGGACATGGCAGAGCTATCATGGCAGCGGAACTCATCGGTCATGTTCAGGCTCTGACAAGGGCCCCTGCAACCTGGGGGATCGACACCATGGGAGAGTTCGCCAAGCTTGCCAGCCTCACTCTGGATGCGACCGGACCCAGCGTTCAATCCTTTGTCGAGACGGTTGGAGCACGGTTGTATGGCCAGGAGCCCAGCAAAATATTTGCGCGTCTGGGTGAGGAGGACCGTTTGGATCAACTACGGGCTAAGCTAGTAGCTCTCTGCAAGTCCCGGACCTCTGTCCCTATCGATGTGGCCGAATGGATCGCTGCTGCCATGGGCCTTTCAAGCAATGTTCTTGGCTGCAGTATGGCCTTACTTCCGCCGCTCAAGTTCTTGGAGGCCCACGGGGGTACCTTGCACTTGGGAACGAACGCAGTCGTCGTGAGCTTGCAGTGTCCAGAGTGCCTTCAAACATTCCTCGTCCGGGCGGGGCCCTATGAATCAAACGAAGACATCATGGGCGCCAGCGCATACCGCTTTCCCGGCTTGAAGTATGAGTTCACCCTACAGGGGGGGGCAGGGCTTTTGGTGAAGGATCGCCGAACTGTGGGTCGGCTCCTATGGGCAAGCCCGACGTGCGATTGCTCCAAGCTTAATGAGTTTGAGCTGCAGCTAAACACTATCATGTTGCCCCGACAGAATCGATTTAACTACGGACAGCAGCATGACGTGGAATGGGTTCCGGTAGCCCAGAGGAAAGCGCTGGCATCAAAGGGTCAATAACAGATACACCCTTCGGCCCCTTCCCTCCAGTGACAATCACCGTTGTCATAGTTACATTCTATCAGTCAAGGAAATCCTTGCAACTTGTACCTACTGGGCAAAATATATGTAAGGATTACTTGCTGGGCATGGGGAATCTCGAGACTAGGGCTTCCCCCAAGCCCGATCTAACTAATCCGTGTTCACTTGGATGGAAGTCCCGACTCATTCAGTCTACAGATAACGGCTATTTGACAACATTAAGATGGAGATATGGAGTATATTCTTAGGACCAATTGACTGCTAATTGTTACGACAGCCATATTTCAACAGTGGTATCATTTTCTTCGCCGATGATTGATTGTTCTGAGCTCTACGTAGCTAGTTTGTTTGTTAGGTCACTTGTCTGATTGTTTGTAAGCTATAATCCTTTGGCCGCTAGAGTTCCCATAGACCTAATTCTTGTGTGGCTGCTGGAAGTGTAGGCCTGCTTCTAAATCTTTCTATTGATGCTTGGCGGCGGCTATCTGAATTTCGACATCATGTCAGCGACCCGAGGCGTTCGAAGGAAACACTTGTCCTTCCTTCTCACCATTGTTCCACCGTGTTGTAATTCAGAGAAAGATTAAGTGTTCATGATTACTTCTGTAAGCCTGAGGGTTTATATACAAGTTGAACATCAGATTGATTCCCAACCAATCTGATCCTTAGACGGAATAAATTCCGTGTCTGAAGCTCTATAGCTTACCTTGTCGAGCCTCGATTCACAGCAAACACAGGTGCTTTTGCCGTTCGTTTAAGATGGAGTAACACCGGTTGTGGAACTTGCTTTCATGATAAGCACCTCAGCAAACAAAATTCCATCCGAGCCTGATGCCCCTATGGGCTTGCGGAGTTGGATGATGTTGAAAGCTCAATTCTAGATGCCATATGAGAACTATACAACTACTTAATAAGTCCGGTGAATGCTGTCCTTGGTGCTTCAGTAGGTTCGATAGAATATGTGTGCGTAAGAGAAGTTAACTAAAAGAATTCTCCAGACGGGCAAGAACATATCGAAATACACAAGTGGGAGCACGGACCTGGTCAAATCAACAATCAACCACAAAGAGAGAAGGAGAAACGCGCCATCAGAGGGCAAAATTTACTGACAGAGCTATAAGTATCGGAAGTGTGTTGATTGCTGCTAATTAGGCGCCTCAGACCTATAGTCCGCTTAGGCGCTGACAGATCAATGACTCATTTTTCCATTCTGCCCATTCCCGAAGTAAATGCCCGTGTTGTGAGAAATAGATTTATTCTCGGCTGAGCAGCACTTCCCTTGGCTGGGCGCTGCACTGCAGGCCATTTTTCAATATATGCAATACGTGCAAGCCACCCAGTATCTCGTTTAATCCATCACCCGGCATCAGTCGCGTTTTGTTGCGTGTCCAATCCGTGTGTCCAGTCTGATTCGGCCTCTTCAATGCAAAGCAAGGCAGTCCGAAGGTATGTGAATTTATTTCTAGCACGTATGTTTTACAGATAGACAGGAACGCACACGATGTGTCCAAAAAAGTGGCAGCACCAATCCGGCTTTATATTGTTTCCGCTGGGTGTGTTTGATTTTTGGTTTACTAAATCCGTACCGGATTATATATACAAATATGTTCTCAATACGGTCCCCCTCGTCCTGGTCCAAATTATATAATAGGCGGTCGCATGCACAGGAAGCTGTCCAAAATTCAGAACTAGAATAACTACCAGTAGAAGGCGAATGGAATATGTTGAGTCCCGTGGCATTCAGTTAAATACTGTACTCGCGAAAATGCTTAATGGGTTTTCTACTACATCTCACGGACATAATACAGAATTGATAATGAGGTCAACTGCAGCTAAAAGCTTCATACTACTTCACCGACTGGGGATTGGGGATTAATTGAACAAGGTCATGCACGCAAGAAAGGATGAGAATCCACAACAAGATATCCCACCGCCTTCCATTGTAAATAATCAGATAACCTCCGTGCAACTGCTCTCGCGATCTGCAGTGATAGGCTTTTTGCCCATGATATTAACGACATCTGCGTTGACTGTGGGATAGCAGGGGAGAGTGGCAACCTTTGACTTGCTGCTTTGGTAAGCTGCCCATTACGACACGGTTTGATGTTGCTTGTTACAGATATTGGGGTCAAGTGTTGGCTGGAGAAGCAGCAGATCTAAAAAAGGGCTATTCTCCACGAACACTGTAAGTTGGGGGGTTATAGATTTATTGATATTGGTAGCATTTATATTGATATTCTTCTCAACCAACAACTGTCGGGCTACTGGTTCATGACCTAGATAGATAGCCAGCGCTATACAGTGTCTGGCCCTTGTTATCTGTAGCATTAAAATTGATGGCCTTGCTGCCCCAGAATAAAAGTAACTTGAACACAGGTAGATGTCCCTGCAGAAGAGCAGTTTATAGCTGTGAGTCCTGCATGTTGGGTTCTATAATGTCCATATTGAATATTCCAGGCAGTTTCTACATGACCGGAAATAATCCTGTGACTGCAAATTGTACTTATATACTGATGGCCCCTTCCCTATGTTTTCACGGTAATATCAAGGTTGGTTGCGAAGGATGGGCTTGCTCCACTTTTTTGGCGTACTTTTGCTTATTTCATTCTCTTACTATGTGACCTTTTTCCTAGAAAGCTTAGAACTTATATGATGTTTAGCTTGAACTTCTCATTGATAGCTTCCTACACAAAGCATACTATGGCCCAGGGTATGGTATAGACCCCGTCGCCACTTTAGCCCTCGCGCTTATCATCTTTATCTCCTCATCGTGGCTCTGTAGAGGATGGCCTGCTTTGAGCCCCCAACCCACAACAGTCTAATGAAGTGAGTAGATCCAGCTCGACTTCAAGATGCTCTAGGTGGAGTCAAGTAGGGTAAATCAACGTATGGTAAATCAACGACAACGGCAACTCTTCACTGGTAGTGGAGCTAGTGGAGTTATGGGATTGTTCATTGCTCGTTGTCGATCTTTGCGGAGAGACCGTGGTCAATAAAGCGGCCTATATAGAGGGAGAAGCTCAACTCCGAGGGCAAGGATTCTACTAAGTGGCTCCAGCTGCATTGATCTGCATGTAACATTACGCTAAGGTCTAAGGCTTGCTCTAAAGGTTGTGCAACAAGGGGTGATAAGAGGTTGTCTTCCGTTTGAAAGCGACTTGTATATCCAAATATATTTCAAGGGAATCGAATAGTTTTATTTACTCGATATACTTTAATTTTGAGTATTTATATTGACCTCTCTAGTGACTAGAACCTGGAAGCCCGATATAGTATTGTATCTTTCATGGGTGGAGGAGATAAGTATTGCCATCCCGATCCGTCTCCCTAGGTTAGATTGGCTATTGACCATAAGACTAGTTAGATCTCCAGGGCATGCCAGTCGATGCTAGCCGTACTACGATTATTTTCAACGGCATTCGCGGGTGTCTCCTCGAGTCTTCAAGTGAGTCCGTTCAGAGTCTGTTAACTTCGAGATTCAATATTCAACATATCAACACTATCACGGACGGGTCTCCCTCTCAAGAGCCCCCGGGGCGCGTTCAATATCTGCGACATTCCTCCCATGCACGTAGTTGGCACGAGCCCATTCGAGTACCTTAGAGTAGTCCCGACATTTGTGAACGCTACCTTACGTCAAGATGATGATGACCATGTGGTAGAACGTGGGTTGGGACTTACGTGTTGAAGTCTGGGAATGCTTGTTTCCAGCCCTTGGCCCAGACATATGTTACCATACCTACATCTGGATCACACATGAGCTGGAAAGTGTTAGCCGAGTATATCTCACTAGAAACTTTTGGGGTTGCTTACCTTTTGGCGCAGCATATCAATGCAATGGTCTGTGAAGACGGTTAGCGTCATTCTTCTCCGCGTCACTGACACTAACCCAGGTGGTATCTCAATGTTTTACGGTCCTTCCATTCCTCAATCTTTGGCAGATAATAATCCATGTTTGTCGCTTTTCGAAGCATGTTCACGCAGTGTAGCTGGTGAAATACCTCTATCCCCGCTATATAGCCGCCACCCATTTCAGGGGTGTACTCGGCCGCATATTCGGATGCATTGATCCTGTCAAGTTGATCTTTAGACAAGCGGACGAGACCTCCCGCGGGGTAAACGAGCTCATCCCACGCCTCGTCGATCTCCGGACTTGGGGGCCCACGATAATTGTTAGGGTCCCTGAGGGCGCCGTTAAAGCGCTGAATAGATAGTTGGTCATCGTATATGCTCAATGCAGGAGACCATGTTGACATCTTTCGTGTGCATATATCCTTCGGCTCTATCGATGTAATCCAGGACGTCAGGAAACCCAACGCAAAGCCAAGAGCGACGCCAACTAGGAGAGACCGCCAATCCCATGTTCGCAGTTTTGGTTGTGATTGAGCGCTGTGCTCCTCTCCATGGAATCCACCTCCATCGGCATCTCCTTTTAATTTCTGGTAATGGGAAGTGGCCATGGTGAATCGTGTGGAATCCGCGGGTAAACTGTGTGACAAGTTGTTGATGCTCAGAAAGGCTCGTTGAGCCGCGCTTGACCTATTAGAATCAAGGTAACCCTGGATTCCTACACAGTTCCGAGACTAGGTAATCTCTTCGCTCGTTGCAACGAGAGTCGGGGGTAATATGTTTTCCGACTTGGTGTTATTGGTCCTGCGACACCGTGACAACAAGGCTTAGCATACATTAGGACACATGCCATATTTGGATCTGACCACCACCAACACCACAAAAACTCTAAGCCGTGCAACTTTCTTATGTAACGAGACTGGTGACTCCAAGTCGTCGCTTCAATTGGGTAACATTTGCGGCTTAGGCCGCAAATGCGGACGATCCTGGCGTGACCATTTTGCTCCGTACATTCTCAATGCCTGCAGCTGCGGCACAGCGCCGCAAAGCAAATACTTCTGATTAGTGCTACATAAGGCGATAAGCGCAGGCTGAACTTTAGTCCTATCTTTCCCCTCAGCCAAGTGTTGGAACAATAAGCATGGATCCAGGCGTTCAGGCTGTGTGTTGGACAAATTCTACGCCGAGCGCTAGGCAATCGTGCTCATCCTACAATTGAACTAGCCTATATACACCATTTCACTCCAAATCGGCGCAATGCCCCGTTGGCCAGCACGCAGTATGTTTCTGAGCCCACGCTTCTAAGGCGTTCCAATCGCGACATCGTCGGTATTGGCCGTCTCCGGTCAATCGCGAGCGATACGGAATATAGATTGGTGTATCATCTGCGCGGCATTGGATGGCTTGACGCAGAGCGTCGTAGCAGTGATTAATGTGGATCGCCCTGTCGTCCACCGACTTCCCCGCCAGCAAGTCTTGAATTGTCTCACGTAGGTATATCTATCTAGGCGTTCAGATCCGTTCAGCCGCTACAGACAGGCAAGGTCCTTACCACGCAATGGATTTCATGAAACGCTTCCAGCACGTAAACGCCCTTGCTCGGGTCATCCGGGAAATCCTCGGCTAGAGGGAGTCCAAATTCAGCTGCCTCGTCGTGAGGGATAGCCACAAAGCCGTTCGTGGTGAAACCCGCCCATACCGCGTCGGAGATGGATTGATTCACATCGCTGTACTCGGTGTAGGTGCGGAATTGTTTCCACGATTCCCCGCGCGCGTAGATACCGGCTAGACCTGCATTAGCCCTAATGCACTGGGAACATAGTCACGGTCGGTCACTGACTAAAGCCTCTGTTCCATGTCGCACGCTTGAGTCGCTGGTTCTGTCCGTAGAGGACGATGTTGACAGTGAGCGACACCAGCAACAGGAGCAGGAGTATTCCCACTTGTCGCAGCCATGGTCCAACTCGTCGAGCCTTTCTCCCCGGAGTTAAAATGTCTCCCTCATATTTCACGGGATGGGGCTCGGAACGGCTGTCGCTCTCATCCTGTAGCAGTCGAGCTTCTGAATCTGCCATGATTAACAATATGCAGAAGACAGTTACCACGAATCAATGTAGAAAGCCAACAAACAAGAAATAAAGACTGGGACACGTCAAGCGGAAAAGCCCGTCACCTGTTGCCATTATTAGTAGCGCTCCGGATCCTCGAAAATGACTTTCGCTTGTCGATCATCTTCCCACCGTGGCGCTCCCATGTCCGGTCAGACAGCTTGTACGGGGCTGATTTGCACAAATCTCGTACGGCTATCTAATCCGTTATCAGAGAGCGGGCGATCAACCCGCAGTGGTCCAGACTACGACATCTATGTCACCCGCGGTACGCCCACCTATGGTGATCCCGTTAATCGTTGCCTCAGAGTCCACTCTTCGCTTGGCAACTATAAATTTCTTGATCCTTCATGCACGACGACATTCAGCCCCCAAAGACTAAGGCACTGTGACCCCCCGTGCATATCCCCCTTGCTCATTTTCGCCAATCAGCGCCCGGGGCGTCATACGAGGTAAATATCGCCGGGAACACCCCTGGCTGATCGCCTTACGTGAGTCATTCATCCTACGAACGACCGGAAAAGTATGTTGGGCTCCTAGAGCCAACCGTAACAATCCCTACCGGCGGTGCTATCAGGTGGGCTAAAGTGGTGTGCGGGCGTCTGGGCGGCCTGAGATATTGGACGTGGATGGAGGGGTATCTGTAGTATAAATAGTGGCTGAACCGTGGCTATCAGCATATCGACCATCTTCTCCGTACTCAACCTCTCCACTCCTACCAATCTGCGGTCGCGCAAAACGATCAATCTCACCATGAAGACTAGCCTGTTGTGGTCTATGACCGTTTTTTTCTTTGCGGCCTCCACGGCCTTGGCACGTAGGTGGAACAATAAGCATAATTATTTACTGTCATCCATACTAACCATTTCTAGGACCCATCGCGGACAGCGCAGAGGCTTTGGCCGAGGGTACCCAGATCGGCGAGGGCTGGAAGCGCGGTGACGAAATAGCGGATGGCACACAGATTGCTGAAGGCTGGAAACGGGACGAGATCGAGGACGGTACCCAGATTGCGGAGGGCTGGTAGGATGCGTTCTGAAGGGACTATTTACATGAAGAAAGTGTCAGAAGCGCAAGGGCAGGTTCATAATTCGGCATTCGGCTTAGTGGCATGATGAAATCTTTCAATTGTCAATGTTAATGTTCTATAACCCCGTCCTAACTACCAACCCGTCAACTTAATTCCATCATCATCATTTTCGCAATGATTAAAGTGATCAATCAGTCGAACTGGATGATCGAAGTCCTTATAGCAGGCCGTATTCTCCTTCGCCCACTTCTTTCGACTGTTCCAGTCAATACATTTCCGAACCTGGCGGTCACCAGTGATATTGCGTCCCCACGTATAGAGCAGAGTGTCGCCTGACGTGCCGCACACGATGTACTGCAGCAGACTGTCGAAGCAGTGCCGCGAGTGTCCGGTTGGTATACTTGGAGTTTGCCCGTTGGCCAGTTCGGTAAATGTCTTACGGATGACGGTCAGACAGTGAACCTGGTGGTATCTAGAATATCGTTAACATCTGCATCGTTTCTTGCGACGGTCGACCCACGCATCAATAATATAGACACCCTTGGAGCGATCCGAGAAGAGACTCATGCTCGCGGGTAGATTATGCTTCGCCGCCCATTCATGGTCCACCGCGACGATCCCATGGGCAGGCACAATTTGGTCCCAAGCTGCATTGACGGCGTCCGTGCTTCCGGAATCGCTCGAGCTGTAGACCTCGCTCATCCATTGGAACTGCACCCATCGCGTATCTTCAGATGTGAGAGCTAGGAAGCATGAGCTGCACGTTCGACTATTCTCGGGGGAGTCATTTCGTACTATACGCTTCGCCTTTTACGAGTTCCCGCCAGTTCAACGGGCTCTGGGAGCGCTCGAGGAGAAGGACCCCGCTCAGGATACAGAGTCCCGCGATGAGTGCTTCTCTCCAGAACTGGGCAATGTGTGAGAGGTACCGATATCCGCTCCAGTTTTCTGGTGCTGGGTTTCCGTCTGGCGGGAGGTACTGGTATTTGGGGGCCAGGCAGTCCTTGAACATGGTTGCTTGGGGTATTTTTGTTGTCTTAAATTCCGCTCTGAAGTTTATCGCAGCTAGACTGAGGGAGTCGAGCTTCCTCGGGGTAAGTTGGAGGTGTAGGTGGGGGGCAACTCTGTATTGTAATCACCTGGTGATAACCCTAAGCAACTGGACTTTCTGTTATCACTTTTCAATCTATACTACAGATTTAATGAGCGCTTAGAGCCTACGAAAGGCCCACACCACCTGCGGGGCTGACATTATACTCTCAGGCTAGACACAAGGCACAGTACCTAGATAGTAATAATGCTGGCATAGCCTCCTCCTCATACGGAGTACATAATGCAACAGACCTCACTATCGGTCGCCTAGCCCGGAGAGTAATACTACACTACTACAGCCCACCGGAAAACAAAAACCACAGGGCTGATCCTTTCCGCATCGAGGAATTGGCAATGGGACACGGTGTCGCTGTCATTGGCTATGTCACCAGTATCCTGATTGAACCATGCGCCACGGTACTTTTAGTCTCTGGCAGCAGATGAGAAAGTAAGCCCTCATTTTTACGCCGTGTGACTGGCCCAGGCCGGAATCCCTTGCATGCAGAGAACGCCAATTGTTGTCGGTTGCCTTGGCATCCCTTGGATGCATTTTTGCTCGGAGCAGAACGGTTTCCCCTCCACTAGACTTACTAGAGCCAGGATCCCACATTTTGGACAGTTCAGCTAGACAAAAGAAATGCTAATAAGCGAGCGGGATACCAGTTCATATACAAATATGATACAAGAAAAAAGAAAAAAGAACAAGAAAAAAAGAAAAATAGGGTGTTCCCCAAACAGCCCAGGATCAAAGAAAGGCTAGTATTGCTCAATCTCATGTTTAACATGAATACCCGATTGCGGCCCGTCATACGAGCGGACAGAGCCGTGCACCGCTTCCACCGTATATGTATTCCTGTTGCCATCATATTTACCAGCATGGAAGTTCGAATGAAGGGAGTTCGAGTTCACTGACCGCAGGTTGTAGAGGCCTACATCGCCGGAATCCTGAGACCAGCGTTTCTTCAAGGGTCGCATCGACCACATGCTGCGGATGCCGCTTAGGATCGAGTTCATGAGGAAGGCGCCGTACAGTGGGCGCAGGGAGGGTAGACTGATGACGATGACGCCGAGGCCGCATTCGATCATGGTCCAGAATAAGAGGTAGGTGATTAGGGCTGGGGTGTGTTAGTGACGGGGAAGATGTGGAAAGTTGGGGGCTGCGTACTTTCTCCGTCTGATTGGGCGAATGCGTTCACTACGTATCTGATATAGATCCCCATTCGGGTCGCGGAGGCAGCTGTTGCGCTGGAGTTTTGTAAGCTGCCATGATCACTCCTGGGGTGCGGTGGGTTGACGGGCTCTTACAGGAGACCGATGAGGAAGACGGCCATTACTGCGATTTTTTGTTGCATGGTCATGTTTAGGGAGAGGATCTTTGCCATTGTCAGCGATCTGCGGTCGGTCTGGGACGGTGGTTTGTCCACCGACCTTGGGAATGGGCAGCGACCATATCAGGAAATCCATGATGAAATCCGAGATCGCGTACCCTTCCAGGAGCAGCAATTGCGCACTGCACTTCTCGGCCACTACAGCCACCGGCTCCCATGCGTTGGCCGGATGAGCCCCACAGAGAAAGATCGCCCCGAAGCCGAATGCCGTCGTCCAGACCATCACCAGAACGATGACAACCCACGTGATGATATCGAAGAGCGTTTTGCTGATTCCGGGACTACAGAAGATCTTGCGGTAGAAGAAGAGGATGCTGAGCTTGATGAATCCGAAAGCGAGGATGGCCGCAATGTCGGCGAAGTATTGTATCTGTGTGGAATCGTTAATATTCGTTGCGCCCGAGGTTTCGCAGAGGGCGTGGCGGGCATACCTGCTGGAGTCTGATCTGTCGCGGCGACGTGGAGAAGAGATATCCATTTGGACCGGGAACACTCGGTGGAGGGAGGACGTCCCCTAGGGATTTTGTCGCCGCTCCCCAGATCAATAGTGCTGCTAGGATCAGTTCGAATATCTAGCGTAGTTAGCGACACAGACCATGTGAACCCAGGGAGACTGTTATACCAATGCCGGTATCGTCAGCCAGTCATCAACCCACAGCATGGACGATGATCCAAGCTTAATTCGCGTGTAGAATCGCAGGAAAACCACGATAATCCCCAAGGCAGGAAACACGGTGCTGATGACAATGACCGCCGCCGGCGTGGCGTAAGTCCGCGCCATTTTTTCACTATGCGAGGCCTGCTGCGAGGCTGCCCGTCTGTAATAACGTCTTACATGAAGAATCAGGAGCAATAAAATGGCAGGGAAGGAAGATCATCGTCTATGTAAGTAAGCCTGACGTCGGCTCCCTCCTGAATGTCATGGGCGGGAATTTGTCCCCTCGCCTCTGCTTTAGGCCGCAGCAGTCTTACCGGTGCGAGGGCTCGTGCCAGAGATAACATTCGTCCACCTCCCTCAGTCGATCAGCAACTTAATTTTCTGCAGAAAACGGGGGCCAATTTATCCGCATACCGGAAAACCGCGTATCCCAGCAAGGGAGGGTGAGATGTGTGGCCAGCGTTCATTTCCTTTTGGCCCCGACCCCCTCGTGGGACGTACTGCATTAGGGCTTACCACGTTACATTCAATATATCCTTGCAGGTGCTCGGACCCCGTGGCAACAGAGACAAAATGCCGTCCACATGAGGGAGCGAAACTACTATCTTAGGCTTAAATCCCTGTTCCTTAGTTTCGTTCTCTTGGCTTCCGTCGGCATGAGCCAGGGATTGTCAACTTGTCAGGTCCTTGAGGGCCTCGTGGCGTAATCACCCAACCTCCAATCCGCTCCTCCGTACATAAGGAGTGATCGATTGTCTGCGGGCGCGATCTTTGGAGTTAAAAGATTTGCTTCATTCTTGTTTATTCAACCCCCTCGATCGCCATGACGTTTTTGCAGGTGGTCGGCACGACCATCATTCTGTCGGTGTTGGGGACAGCTGTCGGAGCCCTCCGGCGTCTCTTTTTTCATCCCTTGTCTCACATTCCGGGACCCCGACTCGCCGCGCTCACCTGGTGGTATGAATTTTACTACGACGGTATCCAGCCGGGACAATACGTTTTCAAGATCCAAGAACTTCATAAGCAATACGGTACGAGAAGTCGTTCCGCGCGTGGGAGGGACCGGGAATCCACACACAGCGGTACTGATTGCATGGGATATCATGGAACACAGGGCCGATCATCCGGATAACACCGGAGGAAGTCCACATTAACGATGTCGGCTACCTGGACACAATCTACGCTCCGTCGATGACCCGCATGGACAAGTATCACTACCAGCTCCGAACCTTACGGGTCCCCGGCGGCGTCGGCACCACTGCCGATTATTATCTTCACAAGACCCGTCGCGAGGCGCTCACGCCCTTCTTCAGTAAGCGCAACGTCCTCTCTCTCGAGGGAGTGATCGCCGATAAGGTCGAGCAGTTGTGCGGGTTGGTCGCAAAGCATGCAGCGACGAAGTCTCCGGTTAATCTGTCGGACGCGTTCTATGCATTTTCGAACGAGTATGGCTTGCACCGATGGAGGGCAGGCACAATGCTAATAACGAGCATAGTGTCGTGGCGAATTTCTTATTTGCGCACCAGACCGACGTGCTCGCGGACGAGGAGGAAGCGGCCAGACTGCGTCACAACAGCCATGAGCTTCTCCAAGGAATCAACACGAATAAGCACTTTCCGTGGATTCCAGATATCCTCGAGGCCCTTCCGCAGTCGTTGACGCGGCCCGCAATGCCACCAGGTCTGATTGACATGTTCGAACTCTTTGATGTAAGTCCATCGTCCAACACCATCGATCAACAACCACCCCATTGACGGGTAACCCAAGAGAGTCCGTGCGGAGTTAGTCGGGATCATGAAAGCGAAGGAGTCCAAAAGCTCGGGTGAAAAACCAGCAAACCCAGGACGCAAAAAATCAGTCTACGAATCCGTCCTCGACAACCCAAATTTACCAGCCTCCGAAAAGACCCTCCTCCGCCTCGAACAGGAGGGTGCGCTCCTCACCCTCGCAGGAACCGAGTCGCCCGCCCAAACCCTGATCATCATCTTTTACCATCTTCTCGCCAATCCCTCCCTCCTTGCCAAGCTTCGCGGGGAGCTAGACACAGTGCCCACACCCTCTTCCTGGACCCTGCTAGAGAAGCTCCCATACCTCTCCGCCATCATCGAAGAAGGCAATCGACTTTCATTCGGCGTCACTGCCCGAGCAGCCCGTATCCAACACAAACCCATCACCTACACCCCAAGCCCGTACGTGACCGCACCAGCTCCGCCCCGCAAATCCTACACCTTGCCCGCAGGCACCCCAGTGAGCATTACCACACTGAGCGCGCACACCGCCGAGTCCGTATTTCCGGATCCCTACACATTTGACCCCGATCGCTGGCTGGGCGACGAGGGTCGCGAGCGGAGGAAGTTCCAGCTCGCGTTTTCCCGAGGAGGGCGGAAATGCTTGGGTGTGGAGTTCGCACGAGCAGAGCTGTATCTTGTGGTCGCTGCTCTGGTACGGGGGTTTGATATGACGCTTTTCGAGACTGATGAGAGCGATGTTGCTTTCTTACATGATTATCATGTTGCTATGCCGAAATTAGATTCAAAGGGCGTGAGGGTAGTGCCAGTCGTACGTTGAAAAGAGGTTAGTTTAGTGTGAGCTTTTAGAGGAGCTTTCACCGGGTTGTGGGGAGTGGGGAGTGGAGCTGGTAATCCTTGCTTTTGGATGGCTTTGCATTTGGGTCCTCGTTTTATAGATAATATAACCATGAACTATAAGCATGGTATGGTGCTAGAGACGATCGGCGCGTATATGCCTTCTTTTAAGGCGTGGGGCTGGAGACACAGCCACAATGTCGAATAAAGATACTAAAACCCAGCTGGATGCCAAACTTGGACTAACAAAGATCAAGACATGGATGACTCCACGCCGGGGTATCCCCCGATTTCTCCAAAGAACAAGGCCTTGCCCTAATATCGGACGTCGTAGACTGGCAGGTTAATCATGGATCAGTGCTCAAGCGGATCAGCCTTGACACTCGGATTCCCGAAGACCCGTCGGAGTGTTACTCGGTCGGGATCACAGTGTTTCCTACATTGTTTCCTCGAGCGCAGTTTAATCGCGCGTGCGAGCTACAGCCCGTTTATAGTGAGCTCTACTGTGCAATAGCCGAAGATGAAGAATGGCTGTTTGAAGCGATCCACGATCTTCTTCCGGTCGATCCCTTGCTGCAGCTCTGTGGGGCGTTCATGAGGGGGGGAGGAAGGGTCGGTTATGCGCAGGAGATATCGGTTGGGATTTCCGGTCTCATTATATCCTTCAAGCGCCTGGCACCGAATCTTCCCTGGGAGCAGTGGAGAGGTCAGATATCTTGCTGAAACAAGTCGAGTTCAACACGTTCTCATGCGCTGCGGCAACGCATGCGACGAAGGTTGCGGAGATGCATCGCTATCTTGCGAGAGCCGGGGCCTATGAAAGTGGCGATGAAGGCCCATTACCTATTACTCTTAAATCTCTGCCTCGAAGAAACAATGTCGAGTCACTGGCAACTTGTCTCGCTTCCGCTCACGAGGCATACGGGCCAAGAAGCACCGCGGTCCTCTTCGTCGTACAGCCCGATAATTTCAACATTGCCGACGAACGTCCGATCGAATATGCATCGTGGAATCGAGATACACTAGTACCAGCCTACTTTCGAGCCGACTTCCCCGATGACTTTCTCCGATTCACGACTCTCACCGAATCGCATGAGCTTCTCTTCCACCCGCTATGGCTGGGGTTCCAAGACTGTGGAAATCTCCGTCGCCTACATGCGTGCCGATTATGAAGCACACGAGTACGGCGATGCGGGAAAGGAAGCCCGTCTCCGAATCGAGCTCTCCCGTGCCATTAGATGTCCGTTCATGTTATCACACATTTGCACGTTCAAAAAGGTCCAATGCGTACTCACGGCACCGGAGGCGTTGGAACGTTTCCTATTGCAGGAAAAGGCGGACATTATCCGATCGACGTTCGTTCCTATGTATCCACTCGATAATTCTGATTCCGGTGCCTACGCTCGCCAACTGGCGACCGATCGGAAGCTCTCGCGGGATTATATGAAACCATCGTTGGAAGGAGGGGGGCATAATATTTGTGGGGGAGAGATCCCTAGGTTTCTTGCCTCTATTCCGAAAGCAAAGTGGAGTGCGTATATTCTTATGGAGAGGATTCAGCCGCCGTCTGTGGTTAATATTCTGTTATCGTCTGCGGGGTTGGATTCGGGTGGTGTTGTATCGGAGCTGGCAATTTTCAGGACTTGCCTTTGGCGGAGGGGTGGTGGTTCGCGGTGCGAGATGCTCCAGAATGAAGTCGGTGGATGGGCCCTCAAGACTATGATGAGATTGATGAGATGCGTGTTTTGATACACCGTTGCTTTCTTTTTTGACGCTCCCTCAAGGGGCTGTTAGGCGCTTGGGGAGAGAAAGAAGTCATGTTGGAGAAGTGATATCAAATTTTTATAACTTGATAGTTGGCCCACTGTTGGGCTAGAAGTATATATCTTACGCTATAAGGAATAAAACTTCCTCGTATGAACTATTTTATATCCATGATGAGAGAGAGAGAGAGAGAGAGAGATATATATATATATATCTGACACAAATGACAAAGAACCGACGGGATCCTGAATCGGGACTTTCTCTGAGATGAAAACCTGACCAGCGGAATTTTTGAACATCATGGATTCCAAACCTGCGTGAATCAAGCGTTCATCGGAAATTTACAGCATATAAGAAGAGACTCCGCCCAGGGCTTCGCAGAACGGTTCCGTGGCGCCGAAAGTGCCGAAAGTGGCACCCAAACGAAGATCATTTTATGCCGATCTCCTCCTGGCATGGCCATTTAACTTCCCAAACTATACTGGGTCAGGCAATGGTTCCTCAGCTGAAGGCACGAGGAGCGATCTAAGCCCTAGTTTCGCAATTTAGATCCCGATTAGGAAAGTCTTCATCTCCCGGCCCAATGCTACGTCAGCGCCAAATTTTTAAGCATGCCTTCCCACGGACCTTATATGTGGCTTTGTTTTAACCTCCTAGACACTGTTTCAGGGATTAATTGTTGGATAGAGATGTGTACGAACGATCGCAATAGATCATGCCAAAGATGATTACCATCTCTCTTATCTGAGTGAACGACTCCCAAGATACTCACTCGAAATCTCGGCCGTTATCAGTGGCGGAGCAGGTCGCGCTTCAATCCCAGGTATCTGGGTCATTGGGAACTAGTTGTGTATGGGAAATTTTGAGCTGTGTGCTCGGTGTTGTGTCGCTCGTCGCTATTATCGTGGTGTTGTACGATTACAATGGGGAAACCTATGGCCGATTGGCCGTATGGAGTTACTCTGAACGCAGTAATATCCATCTTGACCTCGCTCATGAAAGCGGCCATGGCATTTCCAATCACAGAAGCTCTGTCTCAGCTCAGATGGCCGTGGGTCAGCCAAGGGAACAAATTGAGTGATTTGGCGTTGTTAGATGCAGCTAGTCGGGGTGCCATCGGTGCCGCTTTGGTGTTGATGCGGTATATCCCGAGGTAAGGCTGATGTGAACGGCCTTTTTTACCCCCCAGTAAACTCATGCTCATTGAGGAAATAGGTACTTAGTGACGGTGGGATGCTTCGTTCTTGTTGTTGCGGCGGCCATCGCCCTGTTCGTCCAGCAAGTCATCGCCATCAACATGCGACCCGTTCACTCTCGCAATCCGTCTTCTATCCAAATCTGCAACACAAGCACCTACACCGACTATGGTGAAGGTGCCGGCCCTGGGCAAAATGAAGTGCCGCTCTCCACCCTCGCCTCCATCTATACAGGCATTTTCCAAGGCTAGAGCACGGGAAGCCGCTCCGTCGCGATGAACTGTCCGACCGGGAATTATACCTTTGCCCCCTACCAATCCCTAGGCTTCTGCAGTCGCTGTGCCAACATTACAGACCAGCTCACTCTGCACCAAACATCCCCATCCTCTAGCCCCGGCTCCAGCTACCAGGATACCTACAACTACAAGCTACCCAACAACCTGATCTTCACCGCATTAATGATGGGGATGCGCCGCATGAACGCCACAAACGGACTGGGCCTCCAACTCGATCTAAAAATCTTCCAATCATTATAAACTTCACCGCGATTAGTGCAGCCGGCTACGGAGTCCCACCACAAGTCAGCGCGACCGAATGCGCCTTGTACTTCTGTATTGACACGTACGAAGCGACCGTGAAGGACGGCGACTTCAACAAGCGACCCGTATCCTCCGCGACCTTTTCCAATCTCAGCTCAACCAGCGTTACCGAGAACTTCGCCCTGATCCCGGAGACCTGCTATGTAAACAGCACGCAAAGCAAAGGTCCCAGCCAGTGCACGTATCCAGTGAACTGGCTCAGTCGACTAGCGCTTGTAAATTCCCTGACGCCCCTCCTCAACGTACCAGGGGAGTTCTACATGTCGAACCAGGTACCCTGGTCGTCAGACATTGTCCACACTCTCTATGGACAACAAGGGAATCTAACCAATATCACCACCATTTTCAATTCTCTCACCTCGTCACTCACGACCCACGCCCGGGCCCAAGTTTGCAAAGCCACCGTCAAGGGAATGACCAGGACCGTTGAGCCTTTTGTGAGCGTGCGCTGGCCATGGATGATTCCACCTATTGCGCTCGTCGCCATGAGTATTGTTTTCTTGGTGATTACCATTATTAAGACAAGAAATCAGTATATTTGGAAGTCGTCACCGTTAGCGCTTTTGTTCTCAGATTTGGCGGTCGAGGCGACGCATTCTTTTCGAACGAGTCCTAGTTTGAGTGGGATGGGAGAGGCGTCGGGGAAGATGAAGGTTTGGTTGGAAATTACGCCTGAGGGAGTGAAGCTGAAGGGGATTCCTCGGTAGCCGATTTTAGGAGGCTAGGATGTTTGGGAAAAACCCCTGAGAGGGGTCTCTCGGAGGTTTTGATGAATTAAAACTTAATATCTGTAAAAAAGAATGCATCATAGCGATTAATATACGATTCCGGAGCATCGGGCACAGAAGCTGGTATAACTAACCCTTATGATCCTCGCTTCAGTCTATAGGGCTCCGTGGGCGCATTGAGTCTCTGGCGTAGATGAGTGTTTTCCTGCCGAAGTCGCTCAATCTCATGCTCGTATTCTTCTAACGTGCCATGGCTCGCTGACTCTATCTCCTCAATGACCTTGAATATACGCCACAAACGGGACTACGACGAGCGAGCCTAGTTCCTCGACCAGGCCGTGGAGAGCTACGTCAATGCCGAAGGCGACAACAATGACGAGCGAGTCAAAAACGTGGAACTTAGATGAGAGGTAGCTGAGTATCCCGTTAGCTTGGCGGTATAAAACTGGTCTCTTGCAAATTGACATAAATATATTTAAGAATGGAGGATATATTGATTTATCAATGCCTTATCTTTCATTCAGCATCAGACCTCTATACTACTTACTCTAAGTTATATTAACCATCTCCCAGGGGACACCTTAAAAAGTTTCCTTTACCCGGAAAATTCCTAAAAAGGGGAAGGGATTTTCAACTATTCACCCGCCTGAAGACATCTCATCTCCACTTATGATCGACATCGGACCTTAACTTTTGCCCTATTTGCCGGCGGCTGTAACTCATCAAGGGCCATCAGTCGTCTCCCAGGAAAGTTAATATCATGGGGGTTTCATACCACAGGACCACCGCGGGCCTATATACACCAAGAAAAAAAAAAAAGGAAAAAAAAACCAGCTAAAATAGTGTCATAGCTAGTACAAGATACCTGAGTAGATAATACTTTGCTTGTTGCTCACCCCCTCCACTGCTTTGTTGGCGCAGCCTGTCATGTTGCCCAAGGTCCCAGTGAGAATGGCACGGTTGCACTACACTATAAATCTTATAGCATAAGTAGCGGACCTTGCTGCCTTATGGGCCATCCTTTAATCCCACCGGTTCTTGAGTACAATTACTTACATCAGTCATCTGGTTTCACTGATCAGTAATGTGGCGGTGCACACAAGGTATACTTATGTATCCTCTCGTTTTCAATGTAACAATCGCCTGTATCGTGATAATGTACGTTATAGATAGTACTGCGGCAACCCTAGATGCCTTAGATTCCGTATAGCTTAGGGATATTTCAGTTTATGTGTAGATTATAAGGATTTCATCTAGGAAGAAGTCACTGTAGTGGCAGATATAAGGTGCAATCCAGTAGGTATTTAATTATCTAGTATTATTTGTGTCGACTATGTGGGGAAAGGTGAAACATGAAAAGCAAAAGATGCCACTAGATTCAAGAGAAGAAAAGGAGTTAACAGGGAAGCGAAAATAATACTTAATCACCTCTACCTAAGTTACTAGCCCTTTTACGCACCATATTCGCTATTAGTTGTTGTGGACAAAGGCAGTTACGGGAGTTGATGTTATAGGCTAACGGATGATTGCTAACGCAGGGGAGTCTCTTAGGTCACAATTTGTGTAATTCCTCACTCTCATCCATGTCAATGAATTGCCCGCAATCTCGCTTTAGAAATGATGTGTGAATGGTGCCTGCTATTAAGCTGCCACAGTCGGAACTGGCGCCAGTCTTTATGAGGCCAGAACCCATATCACCTGTGCCTTTTTTCAATTTTGTGTAGCGTAATTTCCCCCTAGACTTTTTACCCCCAAAAGAGTCGAACAATGTTGCTCTCACATCGTCTACGTCGCTTTTCGAAGCTATCGATCGCTGGCACGATCGCATTCTGTTGCCTTTGTGCTTTATATATTCACCTACTCTGCCAAGCCCTTGATACTGCCGCGCAGAAAGGGGACTCCCCCTGGCCAACCCCCTGGCCAACCCACAAGCCGAAGATCCCACGGAAGATATGGTACAAAGTTGGCCCAGGTGGTGAGACTACCCAGTTCTGAGAATGGATGAATGATTGTCAACGAAAGAACCCGAGCTACGCATACGATATCATAACAGACCAATTCGGCGAGCGGTACGTCAGAAAGAACTTCGCCTCGCGTCCCGATATTTTCGAAACTTATCGCGCTCTCCCCCTACTGACTCATAAAGCAGATTTCCTCCGTTATTTGATATTGTTCGCTGAAGGCGGAATCTGGTACGACCCCAATGTCTCGTGCGAAGACACGCCTATAAGCGACTGGGTCCCGAAGGTGATTCAAGGATATGGTCGGTCTTGTCGTGGGACTGGAGTTCGATGCAGGCTATGATGACACTGTTGACCGTCGCTTTGCGACATAGATCATCACGGCGGCGCCCGACTCGCCGCATATATTGAGAGTGATTGAAGACATTGTGGATACCGTCCGTGAGGCCACTAAAGGCGGCGGTGTTTCCAAGGACACGATTCATAACGTGGCAAATTTAACCGGCGCTGGGGCATTTACTCGGGAGATATTTAAGAGTTTGGGACTGTCTCTGAAAGGGACATTTGCTAGGGATAGCATGTATAATATTGTGAGACCGGTTTTGATTGAGGATGTTATGATCATGCCTCGGTACTCGTTTGTAGCATCGGTCAATACATACAAGAATCCCGATGTGGTCGGCCCTCCGTTGGTCAGACACCATGATGTTAGTAGTTAGAGGAATACACAGCTTACTTCCGTTAAAGTTCAAAGGTCATGTCTGTTTGCTACCATTATATGCACTTGAAAGTTGCCACGTCGCGGGTTTTCGTGTCTGGGGAACATTGGGTTGGTCGGATCTGATCTCCGACACTTGTATCAGCTTTTCTTCATGCCGCTGACGGCGAGCTACTGGAATCTAGCAGAAGAGTACTTCATATTGCACTGTCATATTCGCATGCCGCCCCAGGAGGGTATATAGTTTATTCATAGTCATGTGAATTACTTATACATTTGAGTCGTCAAAGGCCGTACACGGGGGCGAGGTAGTTACACTAGGTTTGGTATAGATGGTATAGATGCGAAAATAGTCCACTCTCTCATATAGGATCTCGGACAATACCTTTATAAATTAAAGCGATCCACGGCGATTTGCCTCTGTCGGAAGTTCAGCGTGTGGAATATTCACATCGCTCAATTCGTAAGCTATAGGTGTACGTGCACCTGGCAGCTCTGAAGGATAGTCCTGAAAGACTTTAGGACGTCTAAACAAGGGGTTTTCCTGTATTGGAAGCTTCATCACCCTTTTCTTAAGACAGCGCCTCAAGATGAGGAACACTAGGCCTAGAGGGATACCCACACCGGCGACTGAGCCAATTATCGCTCTAGCTATGGCGCCGCCAGATATGGAGGATCCCGTAGAGGCTCTCGTCATAGATGTGGATGTGGATATGGATGAACAGGTAGGAAATGCTTCTAAACTAGACGTAGGTCTTACACTGCGACGTTTGAATAGGTCTGCCTGCTCTGTATCGTGGAACTTGTGTTCCGGTTCGCTAAGGCACTGTTCAGGTTAGTGTCGACCTAGGAAAGAGAATTTTGGGAATATATCAAAGGGACTCAACGCACTTTCCACCGATGACTTTGGAAATTTTCGGATGGATAGTGTACTCGGCGTCATCACTTGTGTTGTAGTTGGTCATCCATGAGAGACTGCGCCAGTCAAAGATTCCCACACCATTGGCGAAGGTTGCACCGTTGCAATTCTCTGCACGAGGAGGAGTCCATTCAGCATCATCTACTGAAATTATCCCTCCAATCACGATCATTGTATGCTTTTGAGCGAGCTGGCACTTATGTGTGCTGCGGACCCGTATTGTCGTCGTATACTCGGATCCATCTTAAAGATGGCAGGGAAAGGACATATACGTTGCCGTCGGACTGTGCCATCCATGGGGCTATACCTCCGAACACATAGCTACAACTATGAGTCTGTGTCGCACGTGGCCAATTTTTGATGACTTACATAGAGAAAGACGATAAGACTGGCGCAGCAACAACCACACTGCAGCCCAACATTCGCCAACGGGGAATATCACCCGTGGTTTGCCGGGCTACCACTTGACACTTGCAATATCATAAACGCTGACGAATTCCATCGGGTTCTATTACGATTAGTCACTGAGTAGGGACAATAATTCATGTACTTACCTGGTTCGTGACATTGCTCTGTCTGCTGGCTAGGACTGAAAGCCTTTGGTCTACCGGATAGGTGTAGCCTCCGAAAGCCACCAGAGTCCCTTCATCACCCACAGATTCAATCAGACAACGTATCCATCGCCCATGGTGCCGAACGTGTTCATTTCAGCAGTTGAGGCATCGGTCCATTATAACGCATTCATATCCAGCATGATAAGTTCAGGGGCCAGGTAGGTATATGCCCCAGGTGTTCCGGCAAAGGTAGGGTTCCCGGCAGGATGAATAGTACCACTTATATAATAGGCTTTTTAATCGACCGAAGACTGCGCGGCTCCTCCCTCCATAAGCCTCACCAGTGGAACGCCCCAAAACCTACGACTCGTCCAGTCGTTGCTTGCAATATCGTACATCCATGTACCGAGAGGTGGTGTTGATGGACCACCCCATTGACTAGGGTAGCCGCCGTAGAAAGGAGATTCTTGCCGCCTGACCAAGAACCTCCTTCATCCGGCCATGGTGGATAGTCCGCAGGGTGGGATGCATCCCATGGCTTTGGGATGTATGTGAAGAGACCAGAATTTGAGTTATGGTATGACTTTTAAAGATCGAGTGTTTGAAAATCTCGGACTAGCCAAAGTTAGGGAAGTTAGATATTTAGCACAAAGGGAAACTCCCTTGCGTAACTTATTAACGTCCCATTTGGTAGAAAAGAATGTATGTCACCACCAGATATATAGAGTGTTTGGTGATTGGTGATAGCTGACAACGTCTGGATGTTAATCCGGCAGGTGTGAGTTGTATTATAAATGTTACGCACCAGAATAGAACATCTGAGTGCAGTTGGTCTGAGCAAGACTAAGATGCACAAGCATACACAAGACGGAAAGGAACAAGACAGAGCCTGCCAGAGCCTGCCAAGGTAAATCCTGTGCCAGACGCTGATGCTCTGAGTAGAGGTTGTATAAAGCGAAATTCAGGTGTAGGTGTAAATCTCCATAATACGTGGACTGAAAAAGGAATAGGGTACCTGAAAAATCGGGGGGTAATCTGAACCAACATCGGTTCGAAGGAAACGCACTTAACTCTCGTTCACTAGGGTAAATAAACATGGCGATGGCCTAAGAACTATTGATATTATTGGCTCAATGCTATGCTCACAAAAGCCCAACCGTGCCGCAACGCTCGTGTCAAGCCGTGTCCACCGTCCATGCTCTATATAGAAACAAGACCAGGGTCTACATCCGTAACCTATTACTCGTCAAAAGCGAAGACGCAGGACAGAACACACCACCGGTAGCTGTGTTCAAAATCATACGGAGTCCCAATTCCAAGCCATTATCCATGACTCGATCGCACTGAATCATTGAGATAATTTGCGGCGCAGTTGTATGCGTTGGAGCGTCTTCTTGAGGGAACTCTGATTTGCTAGTTGTGTGTGATTGACAGGGGCTTGCTCAAGCGGGCACAGCAGTACGTACGCTACACAATTCTCCAACTAGTTTAGCCTCTGCCATTGGGAAAGTAGAACTACTTAGGTAAGGCTGCTGCATGATATCCTTCCTCATGAAAGCTATTACCAACAAATAGTCACATTCACTAAGAATCTTCTTCAGTCAGAATACTTTGTAGATACACGGGATAAGTGAAGAAAAAGAACCAGCCTTCGTTATTGAGCACGGCACTGACAACCTATTAGGTAGAAAGGGTTCACCCGAATAGCCTGCGTTAACGGGTCAGTTGATGCGCCGGCCCGGGGGCCCAGCCTCTTTCTGAATTCCAGTTGGCAGTTCCAGACCCACTAACTCCACAAGATGATACGTTAATCCACTTTCAGGGCAATTCAAAAGTACTAGCGCATAAAAGCTGTCGATGCTGCAGGGGTTCGTCGGTGACCTTCGGAGGAAGCGAGTCAACCTTCGCGCACACTCTTGTCAAATGGCGAAAAAGAGGACCAGGGTGTAACTCGCTAACTTGGCGCCGTCGCAACTCTTCCCATCATGATAGGACCTCCCACCAGCGTTAATCACAGTCTGAGGGCCAATTGGATGGGGACTAGGATGGCTAGTGGCAACAGATATTTCGTCGGGGTATTAGGGGGTCAGACTCCCATGGACAATTTGCCCTCCATTCCAGCAACTTTTTGATATTGAAGTTTCAGCTGAACTACCGTTTGTTACAAGGTGTGGAAAAAAGAAAAAAACAAAAAAACAAACTTATCGTGCGTCCAACACCATTTTCATACCTGGTATTCTGTGGCTCTACGTTGGGATCTTACGTCTCTATGCTTCGACGGTGGTCTCTCGAAGAACTTGCTTCACAAGCCACTTTCCAGAGCCCCGCCATCATTACCGTTCATAATGGTCGGAAGGGTATTCGTACGCAAACCAAGGCTCTTCTTTGTGGTTGTCGCAGTCGCCTGCATTGGTGCTTTTCTCTATGGCACTGCCTACAAATCCACAATAGCCATACCTCCCATCCCGGGTCTGGTCTGTTCTCACTGGCGCCCTTATCCCATGCTTGCTTGCTGATTTTGGATCGCCTACAGTTTGCCGACAGCCATGATGAATACAATACACACCCGATCTTCGACCTAATACGAAACGCAAATAAGCAGTGGGAAGAGTACGAGCATGATCGGTCGACAACCTTTCGCGAGACTGTCTCAAAGTACCGGAAACGATATGGACGGCACCCACCTCCAGGATTTGCCGATTGGTACAAATTCGCGCGGGACCGGAAGGTCCATCACATCGATGATTTCCAGCAGATTATAGACGACTTGCGACCGTTTTGGGGTATCGAGCCTTGGCTTATACGACAGATGGCTGCGAGCCTATCTGACCATGGCAACGGCATGGGAGGCATACATATCCGCAATAAAACAGTCGCGAAGATATCGCAACCCAGCTGGCGTGTAGAGGCTTTGGCCGCTGTGGTTTCTAGAATCGTTGAATACTTGCCAGACATGGACATTGCAGTGAACATCCACGATCAGCCCCGACTAGTGGTCCCTTTCGAAGATATTCAACAGTATCTACATGTCGAGCAGAACTCGAGACACACGAATGCTACCTCAACCGACCATTTCACGGCAGACATGGACCACCTGCAGAACTTGACGCATGCGCAAGAGGTTTGGGATGAGGAGAAGGAGGCACAGTGGTTCTGGCCTGAAAAGCATCGGCTAATGGGGGTAGCCAAAGCAGCTTGTCCTCCTGAATCGCCTGCACGTGACTCAAACATGACCGACGAAGATGCGGATCGGTTGTACAAAACGCCAGTCGGGGGATTTGTGAGCAACTTCAATCTTTCCACGGATCTCTGTACCGTAGGACCAGCGCTGGAGAATCTCCATGGTCTTCTCTTTGCACCAGCCTCGATTATATTATCACAGAAGCTTTTACCGGTGTTCGGCGAGTGTAAGGTCAGCGTCAACAATGAGATTCTGTTCCCTGCGAACATGTACACCATGAAGGACCCACGATACGAATATAACCCGAGTTCCGACGTCGAATGGGAGCGCAAAGCAGACACTCTACTCTGGCGAGGCGCCACGTCTGGCGGTATTTCACGAGAGGAGGATTGGCGAGATCTGCACCGTCAACGACTGGTCCTTCTCGCCAACGGAACCTTGGACCACAATGGACAAGTCTCAGTACTGGCTGAGAACGCGCAACATGTATACGAGCCGACTAGAGACTTTAATTCGTCCAATTTTGCGCAAAATCACTTCGATGTTGGTTTCACCGAGATTTGGGCCTGTGAGCCTGATTGCTCAATGTATGACAGAGTGATTGGGGTGAAAGCTCCAATCCCGCTGAGTGAGCAGTTCAAGGCGAAATATCTAATCGACGTGGATGGCCACAGCTTCTCCGGTCGGTGGCGTGCGTTTCACTTTAGCAGATCATTGGGCCTCAAAGCGACTATATTCCGAGAATGGCACGACTCACGGCTCTTTCCTTGGCGACACTTCGTCCCTCTGGACAACCGATACGATGATCTCTATTCCCTCATGACCTACTTCATCGGCACCGGCCATCGTTCCGAAGAGAGCTCACAGCCAGAGCCACACGTCCCCGGTCATGACTTCGAAGCCAAAAAGATCGCATCGCAGAGCCGTGACTGGGCTAACCAGGTACTGCGTGATGAAGATATTGACATCTACATGCTCCGCCTGCTGCTGGAATATGGACGCATCATAGATGACAATCGGGACTCTATTGGGTACAGTGGAAATGGCAGTGAATTGGATAAGTACGACAGAGAATCCTTTCATACATTTTCCCGGGGCGGCGGTTGGAGTTATTAGTGCAAGTCTAACCAATTGTTGGGATCGGAGATTCCCATGGCCTAATTCTTCTCACAGCCTGTTCTGTCCAATTCATGCCACCCCCCGCCTATCCGGTCCCAAGATTATCTCCGCTAATCAGCAAATATCCTGTTTACTTTTCATCATTGTGTTTTTGCTCTTCGTTAGCGCCCTTTCCTCTAGACTCCATTAGATTGGTTGGGCTCCCACTTTCTGAATTGTTGACCACTCTATCCTGACACCTATACCCCCAGCCTGGAATGCCGAGTTTTGTGTCAGTCAAACAAATTGTTGCAACGCTTTGGTTGTATAAACTCGGTAAACACGCGCATAATAGTCTAAATAATGTGTTTCTTTTTATGTTTTTCTACTTTCGTCCTTGTGGTTCCCCAACAGATTATCGGCTGTTGTTCCTAGTTGAGAAAGCCGAGTCTATGTATTACGATTAACGGATTATTGTGCCACTAGGGTGCCTGAATGCACGATTCTTACGCGCAATGCCAAATTGCTTGCGTCATTTGATTAATTTGAGCTCTTTGCATTTGTTCTGTGCGCCTCTACATATTGTGTCTTGCCGTTGGCTAGGGATAGGTAGGGAGAGTTGATGGATGAGCATAGGTTTGCTGCTTTTTGAATATCCAGGCAGTTCTACATTGAGCAACAAACCGTCCATGTTTTCAAGTCATAATTCAACGAAATCTACTTTCTCGTTGTACCGTGTCTCTAAGCAAGATTGGTGAACAGAACACCAACCATTAGGGCACATGCTCTTGCAATGCCCTGAAATACAAAATTTTGCACGACTCCCGAAACGGCTTCCTGGCAGCTTGCAAGAAGTATCGGAGTGATGATGCCGATCATCACCGAGCGATAGCAGCGCCTGCCTCTGCCGCACGAGGCGCCGGGTGCAAGATTGACCTAGGTAGAACAATGTGGACCTTAGGGTTCGTTTCTCATTTTATTCTGTTTTACTGCTTGCCTGGTTATTTCTATGCTTGCTTCTACCTTGGACACCGAACTCCATAAAAATAGAGAAATCCTGTGTATATTGCACCTTTTATGTATGGGTGAGCCGACAATGAACCGTCAGGCTTATTTTGTAAGGATATCTGACTCTGGGAAAATACATGTGGGACTTTATCAAGTGTGTTGCTTATTTATCGATGGTCTAGTTTTGCCTACTTGGCCTGCAGTCTAGTTTCTCAACCTAACCAGCACATGTCACTAAATAAGCAATGAAGTCCATGCAATAGAACTACTGGCAGTTCTTGATTTAGGATCGATATAACCTTGTCCGTTTCCCCACACAGGATGATTAGGGGTCTGTATCCCCAGAAGTCACCCATCTTACCTGGCTGTCAGAAACCTTTTACTCATCAGATTCTAGGACGACGGCTAGGACGATAAAAATAAACCTTGAATAGAAGGACTGGGCTCTGGCCAGAGCTGTCCAGAAGCCTGACTGTAGCCGCGAGCTTCTTGCTGAAGGATGTAAACCAGATGCATTTGATCTTTGCGAAGCAGTGAGACACAATGCTCTACGTACAAGTGCAGTGGAGACGGTTGAACTTTTCTTCCCTACTGGTATTGATTCAAACGCAAGATCAAATTATGTGGATCACATCAACATGGCTAGAGTAGAAGAAGACTGGGCTAGGGATAAGAGGAGTACTGAACCTCCGGGGGTCTATAAGGACCCAGAGGAGTGGTATCCCCTTCGCCTTGCGGCCACATATGCATGTGTAGAGTCTGTCTCACAGATACAGAAAGTGAATATGACGCGGATGAAGAGCACTACTTTAGCATGGAGCTGATTCCTATGCACCTTTTCGGTAAACAATCAAAGTTTACCCTAACTTCTCTCAATTTCCGGGAGAGGTTTGGGCAGTGAAACAGATGAAGAGAATGCCGACTTGGGCATCACTCCAGTTGAGCGTCGAGGCGACCGCGACCAGTACATACTATACAGTGTATTACTCTGGACGGCCTCTGGCCTTTATCTCCCCGCAAATATGAAGTATATAGCCTGATCTATTCTATTATTCAGATAGAGAGTACATTAAACCCGTGCTCGACTTTCTAAGCAATGACCTGGATTTGGAGGACTGTGCCCCGCAGAGCTGAATACTGGTTCTTCTCTGTCTACCGAAGCGCCTCGGCGCTGATGCGGCCATCGATAGCGTGCACAGAGATTTATATCTCCACAAAGCTAGGCGTAGTATGCAACATAGCTGTTCCCTCAGCCAGACAATTATTGGAAAGCTGATGAAGTTCCCGGAACCACAACGAAAATCCCGGCTGACACCCCAACACTGCTTAGTTATTTTGTGGATCGCGGAGCAAACATGTTGGCTGCCGACAATTATGGCAAGAATGCACTCCACTATATACTAGAGGCTATGCATAAGAAGAGCTCGGGCGGCCGACCAACCAAACTCGCGTCATTTCGTTACATGGCACGAGAAATCAACACGCTTGTGAAGCAACCAGGTAATACCGGTTTGTACCCATTCACCGCTACTCTCTAGCTGTTCGGGGCATACTTGTCCACAACCGAACATCAAGGAGCCCTTGATCGTGCGGTTGATGAGCTGCTAGCGGCAGGGCCGGAACCCCACGAATTCGCGCACCCGCGGTAACATAGCCCTGCCCTATCTGGCAGAAAACTGGCTTGATGACCTCAGTGTACGCGGTGACGAGAAGCGGCGCTTATCCCTACTTCTCTTAGAAAAGGGTGTCGACCCTATTGCCCGTAATACTGACGGTCACGCCGCACTGGAGACGTACATCCTGGCATTCGACGATGTGTACCAATCACAGCATGGTTTCACCAATAATGAGTTGATTGATTTTGATAATATATATGACGAGATTGATTAAGACGTTCTCGCTATGTTTGAACAAGCTGGAGCACGTCTGATGGAGAAAAATATGCCGGACAAACGTTGTTATATGTGTTGGCTAGCAAGGAAACCTGTAGAACCAAGCAACGAGTCAAGCCGCTTCTTTCCAAGGGCTTGGATCCGCTAAAAAAAAGAAAACGAAGGCATAGTGGTTGTCAATGTTGCCTTTGCGACAGAGATATGGGTGCATTTCACGAGTGGCTACCTCAAGGCTTATGACAAAGAGAGTACCCGACATTATTAGTCAAAACGCGTTGCCACATCTCTGATAGAACCTATTTAATCATGGCAACGGTATAGGAGGCATACATATTCGCAACAAAGAATCGCGAAGATATGGCACCCCAGCTAGCTCGTTGTTTTTCTTTATGTTTCTCTCCTTTCGTCCTTCTAGTTCCCCGACAGGGTATCGATTGTTATTCCTACTCAAAAAGCTGACAGTTTTCATGTATTGCAATTAAGGGTTTAACTTACTCTAACTATTAGCCGAGATCAGGCTAGAGTCCTTGTATCTAGACGCCTCCAGCACCTATCAGAATACCATCTAGAAGACATCGCTGCAAAAATGCCGGTCCAAATAATTAGCAAGTAAAAGCATTCGACGTCTGTAGTTTTATTTCAATGCCTAACTAGAAGTATATACTAACGGTCATTGCTCTACGGGGTCGACAAATTCACGGAAATCACAACACGAGATCAGTTTCTTACTTCGAGACACCATGGTGCAGCTCCCGAAAATCAATTCCACCGGTTTTGATCAGTCTCCAACCGTAAAATACTTCAAGGTCGATGCTGAAGAGCAAGGAGGCGTCACAAGATGAAGCGGATTGGCCGATTTGTTCCCACCGTCGTAGTCTTGAGGACGGGCGAGAAAGCCGATACGGTTCAAGCTATACCCCGTGAAAGGTTGCAAGAGTTGTTGAATTCGTTGTAGCTGTTTCAGCAATGTGCTTATGTACATATAGGCTCCCGATTCAACGAGCACGGAGAAAGAGGCTTCCACTATCCTGACCTACTGGTTCCGGGAAATATTAAAGCAATAGCCCTTGGTGGACGATATTGACTCAGAAACTCAGACATTGCGGGTTGTTCGGATTCTATTTCCTGGGCAGGATATATCTTACTTGGGAGGACTATACAGCTCGCGAAGTTCAAAACCGTTATGTACATACATAGAATCATCATCAAACCAGCAAAACCAGCCTACAGCCTATTCTCCCAACAGGAACAAACCTCTCCAGCGCCTCCTCCCTCACCTCCCTCACAATACTCCCAGCATTCCTAACATCATAAATCAACCAAATCGACGCACCTGCGTACGTAGCAAGTCTCCCCTCTGGTCCCAACCCACCATCCCCACCCTTAAGAGACAAATCATGCAGCTCCTTCAACTTCTCAAACAGAGTCCCAGCCTGGTGCTCCACAAAACTCCTATTAATAATAGTCCGCGGACTATACGCCTCGGGCCACCCCATTGTTCCCCGTAGATAGTTATAGAGCAAAGTCCGCGTAGTCGACACTGCCCCATCACTAGCCCACACAATCTTCCCCCTGATATCCACGACTAATCCGCGCCCCTTCAGCAGCCAGGAATCTCGTCCCCATTACCACTCCAGCGGCCCCCAGACAAAGCGCAGCGGAAGCCCCCCGTCCGATGAGGAATCAGAATATTGGTACACGGGGTCAGATGCCGATTACTACCATGAGCTAAAGAACCAACGCACAGACCGAAAGATAGAGTTACGAGATGAAAAGGAACGCCAGCACCGCAAGGAACATAAAGTGTACGCAGCCTACGAAGCCATGCTGGAGTCTTAGGAAAAGGGAGACTGTTCTCGCCCTCTCCTGGCACCTATCGATGGCAAAACCTTTTACCTATACTCCGTGGATCATGTCAACCATTGCTACGACGATTTCTTTCACCCGCCAAAGTACGTCTCATTCCACTATATCAGCGCTGATGGTGAGTTTGGCAAACCACCAGACGGAGACACAGAAATTTTGGGCCATGTATACATGAATGCCAATTCTTGTTGCGATTTTGTACCTTTCCGTCCTCCAAAAAGGGGCTGGCTACCAGAACGCACCATTGAAGGTTGAAGGCTCGGAAAATAAGCCCGTCTTTCAATTTATCCATGACAAATCCTTGATCATGACTGTTAGAGCAGATCCAGGAATGGTCTTAAATGATATTCGCACGGCCGATGCTGCAGACGTACCTGATGTCTTCAAGATTGTGAGCATTCACATAGGTGGGGGAGCGAAAGCGTCAAATACGAGAAGAGATAGACAAAGGGCGATCCAGAAGGCCCCCATCCCCTCCATCACCAGGTGGCTCCTATTTCGAGATTAGCCACCCAACGGGAGCATGGAATGCTGGATAGCTATGAATTAATAGCTCCTAGGTAGTGTTCGGCATCGACGTGTACACATATTTCAGCGCTTTTTGCGCCAGCTTCTCTGAGACAGCTTTAGAACATTTGGCGAAATGGGCAAACGCTTATTGGGATACGGATGGGTTAATCTATTTCTTATTTGGATCTTGACGCATATCACCTGCTCTAGACAACATGACTGATTTTAATATGGCCGAATATTGGTAACCCATCCTAGCTCTAATTCAAGCCACCCTGCTCGGAGTCTTGATCGTGTTGATTGCCCCAGTCGTTTCAGCCGACACAGCAAAATGGCAACTAAGCACGAAGCAGGCTTCTTCCCGCGTACTGGAGGAGTACCCCGCTGGCTTGACGGCAATGGCAGCAGCTGGGATCATTGAGCATCGATGGCACATCGCTGGCTCACTCTCCCCTCATTCTTACCAGCGCATCTAATTTTGCAATGCATCTCGGCAGATACTCATTTACCCCATAAGCAGCAAGGTAATCTCTCTCCTCAACCAAATCACTCAGCGCCACCTTGACCCAATCCCCTGTCTGCTCCCTCCGCTCCCTTCTGGCCTGCCGCCTTTTCTTCTCCCATGCCAACTTCTGGCGGTACATCTGGCCGCGTTGCTGCTTGTTCGGTCTTCCAGTCTTGAACACTCCTACATCTGCATCCTCCAACCTCCATCGCCGCGGGACTTCTGGCAGCTCAGCTACCAGGCTCGTTGGCCTCTCCCGCGCCTCGATAAGCGGCAAAAGTGTGTCATCCAACAGTTTGAAAGTCGGGATGCTGTTATCGCATGGAGTGCCGCACATCTTCCATGTTGCGTCGAGGTCAGTATGGGATGCATCAGCCATGCTGAGCAGCAAGTTGAAGGCCAGCGTGGTGTCCATAGTAACTAGCTTCTTCGCGGTGCCCAAGTGCTTGCGCGCGGACGTAGCGTAGCTGGAGGTTGTGATCGCCGAGCTGTTACCGCTCATTGTCTTGACCTTGTTGTCTAGCTCGTCGACACGCTTGTCAAGGGCCTTGAGGCATTCGGTATAGAGCGTCTTGGCCTCTTTCCCGTGACCTAGGCGGTTGGTCTTCTTCGGAGTCACGGAATTCGCTGTTTCAGTCTGCGTTTTGGTCGCCTTCGCGGGACGAGTGGTGTCATTCTCTTTGTCGGAGTCATCGCTTATGTATTTTGTGTCGCGCTTGCGTTTAGCTGAGCTGAAGTGCTTGGATTGGCTAGTGAGACTGTTGGATGGGGCCATTTTCTACGCTATGGTCGAACTTGTGCTGTAAGGATGAAAAAAGTTGACGGAGTGGATCTACTTTGGCAGAGGCAAAGGGAACGAGGTCCGATATAAATAGGGATTTTGTTCACGTAGCACGCGTTCAGCAGATCGCGTGGTGAAGAATGGATCCACTGACGAGCCTGGTATGTTGAGTAAGTACCTGTCAACCAAAGTTACCACTAAAGCTCCGCCATCAGCCATAGCCCTACTCCACTTAGATTAGCGCCCTTGATCATTATCTACCCCGTGATATCGCGTGTATCGCATCATTGAAATGATCACTTTAGGCCTATAAATATGCTCATTTTTATCATCCGATCGGAAATCAGAGACACCGTCATTTCATTGCACCCCTTAGATTTCAGCAGTAGAATACTAGGTATTACGGTATCCTGAGTCCCAATAGTAACGTTTGTATGGTGTGTCACTGAAATTGCCGGTATCCGTGTCCTAGGTCAGCAGACCCACCCACCCTTTGGCGTGTAATATCTGAAATAGTTTACCAGGGGCAGGGCTTAAGTTGTTTGATCAAGAGCGCGTTCTTTCCGAGCACCCCTCAGCTGCGTACCCTAACGCCATCCCTAGTTGAAGGCTCGATTCTTCTACTTTTCAAGCTTAGAAAACCTGTTAGTTAGGTGGGAAGATCCGCAGTCTGTATAATAAGCTTAAGCTAAACGGAAGCTTTCTACTAGTCCAATTGCTCATATTCAACATCTTGAGCAAACTGCGCAAATGGCAATGCGCCAATCTTCTTTTACAGCAAGACAGTAAGGGCTTTACGAGCTGCGAATGAGCGAAAATATCGAATAGGCTAGAAGACGTGCTTAATAGGGAATGATACCTCTTTATCTGTACAGGAAGGCCAAAATCGAGTTCCGCAGCTTGATACGCAGCTTAATGAGCAACCTGAGGAATTATCGAATACGCCCATGAGATTGCCTAGTACCGCAGGCAACCTCACATACGCGTGGTGAATTGGCTACCTGCGGAAGTATGTGGATTGTTGAATACTATGGAAATCAGGCCACATAATTGGCCTCATGATTCCCACCTAGATAGGCCTTGAGATAGTTTGATAGGATCAAAAATTTAATCGTTTTGATATCGTTTCATACGGATATCTTACAAGCTATTCTACAAATATGGGCAACCTCCGAGTGCTGAAAGCGGTCACTTGGTTCGTTTTTCAATTCTATTCCCTCATCGTCCTTGCAATCTTCTCCATACTCGAAACCTTTCCTAGCCTCGCCTTTATCAAATTTTCGAAAAATTACACAACGATGGCGATCAGGCTCAAGGCAGCTTTTTTCGCAGGATAGACACATGGTATGGTGTGCCGGAAGGCGTAGATGTTTGCATTGCGGACAATGATGAAGAAACATTCAACGATATGTCACACATGCGGAGAGGTCAAAAGGCAAATTGGCTCTGGCAGCCCTGCACAACGCAGCGTCTTGAGTGCGATACTGGAATTAGCAGAAGCATCTCAAAAGTTTCACAGCCGCGGGCCAAAGGACCCGCAAGATCAGAACCTGAGGCAAATGCCCGACATAGGGTCTGAGGCGAGACACGCAGTTCACCCGTAAAAAATGGACATATGTACAATAGATATACAAGGGTTGTTATAAGTATGGTAGCCTGCATATCGCTTTAATCGCTTTAATTTGGGAGGGTCAGGGTAAATGGATCTTCCATCCATCCATGTAGTGTATTCAGTATGCCGTAATATGTATTTTTTCTTTGCTTATTTTCAACAGGGCTTCTGCGTTATACCTGGCTTCTTCCTTCGGGATAGTGAGCAACGTGACCCTAATTGAAATTACCAATATTTCAGACCAACAAGCGGCGTAAGACAAGCCAAACCAGCCTTTGACTGATCCAGGTTGTTAAGGTTCCAGTTGTCGAGACTGACTGCGGTTGTAGGACATCTACATGGCATTAGGGGATAAATTACTCTATACATATTACTACATCTCTAGCTCTTTTTAGTTAAAAATGTGACGGCCGACCAATATGTGATATTGGTGCTTAAGACTAGTTCTACAGTTCTATTATTGCTGTTGATACCTAGCTGGATCATGTAATGGTCAAATAAACATACACCTGCAACCTCCTTGCCTATCTATGGCTAGCAACGTAGAATGATCGGACACGTAAGTCACGCAGCTGCCGTGAAATTTTGAATCGAGTACATTAGCATGGCTGATTTGGGAGACTTACTGTACCTGAAATATTCTCCGGATACAAAGAGTGCTTAGCATCCTCATTTTCTGGTTCACAGCCGCACAGCCTATTAAACTTGTAAGGCACGATGTGGAATTCTCCAGACGCAATTCGCCTCGGTCGTCCGATATATTTGGTGGCGTTTATCATACAGGGAGCTACCTAGACCCTTTACCACCTTTACCAACTGAATGGGCCGAGTACCATGCCAAACCAATTGATCCTTGTTTACAAATTAGTTCGAGGATTCCGTCCACTCTTATCAAATCTCTTCGCCCCGAGGCCGGCTAAAGTGCATATTACAGCTTGTCGATTTGATGAACGAAGGTTGATGGAGTCCAGGGTCTATTTTTTTCAAGGTGACAAAGAATACAGCGACCATTGGATAGATCAATGAACGGATGGACTCTAAGCTGCCTATGCACTTAATTGTCAGGTACCACACAGCCTTGAGCCCAACGGTCAAGGTCAGCAAATTCGGTAGACTCCAATCCGAAGCCCAAAGAGATCAAAGTCCATCGCTACTGGTCGTGGTGTGGGAGCGTTATATGGCTTGATAATCATTCAGTACAATTTAGAATGGAAAGGAATGGGTCACGATTGATACACACACTTGGAATTCAGCGAGCCTTAATCCATACACTCTGGGGCATCCATACCGACGTCTCCGGTGCCCTACGGTACCGTTAACTAGCTGCGAAATGTTATTCGTGAAGGATATTGGAGAAGGGCTATTATACGCTACTAGAGGCCTTACTAGTAGCAAACTTCAAATAGGTGGTAGCTTAGCTGCTGTCTCCATAATACTCCTTGTATACACAGAAAGTGAGTAAGAAGGGGGAAAATCTCACTCGATGGACTACCTAAGAATAGCCACTAGGGCATTGAAAAGGACACTGTACACAAACTAGTATAAACCCCACAGCAACAAGCGGTGTTAGGAAACAGATGGCCTCAGAAATAGCAAAGCTGCTTTACATCAGTTGCAAGAACTCGTCAAGGCTTAGCCACGGACAGCCTTGGCTATGTAGTTATGTCTCTTTGCTTTGAGGCGTCGATCTAGCTCGGCTACGTTCTGGTGGAGTGGAGGATCGCTAAGATCATCACGCTGCCGAAAGCCAATAAAGCCCCAATCACTCCCGAACCCCTACCGGCCCATCCCGTTACTATCCACTCTAGGGAACACAGTAGAAGCGGTCGCAGCCGAGAGATTTTCGAACCAAGTTTGGGATCCTACCAGCTAACCACTTCGGAGCTCGGAAACGGCGGTCATGCGAGCAGGTACCGAATATCCTAGTGGAGAAGATCCGTCGCTCGAGAAAGAAAATGGACGTTTATCACGTTAGCTTAGACGTGAAGGGCGCCTACAATGGTGTTGTGCGAGAAGTTGTACTGCGTCGATTGCGAGAGCGACGGATCTCTGAGATGCTGGATTCGATGGATCGATGCGTTCTACCGGAATTGACGCGCAACAATCGTCGTGCTCGAACGACGAGAGGGGAATCACTGACGCGGGACTTTCCCAAGGCTTCCCCACCGCCACCGATCCTCTCTCTATTTAGGAATACAAATCTAGTCGACACGCCGATCACGGACCGTGAGGGGGCCGTAGCATTTATGGATAACTATAGGGCGTGGGTTGTGGGCCCACCAGCAGCCCTAGAATGCTCGGTAGAGTTTGATTGACATCACGCTTGTCTCCTCCTTTGATTAACAGGCCATGCAGGTCATACTGGTTGTTGTATTTTTGGGAGCATTGGAAAGCGCCTTTTGCACCACTCCTACCCACTTCCCCTGTTAGTCACCGGCCTTCCTAATAAAGTCACAATCTACCACACCAGCATGTCCCTAACCCTAAGTTCTTGGATGAGAGCTTCCTCGCGACACAATCAGTTCAGTAATATTGTTCTTCAGGACCGCATGGTCTAGTTCTCCTAGAGTATTCCTAACAACCCCAGCCTACTACAAGACATGCTACCCAAGAAACCTTGTTTGTCTAGGCCGGAAATAGTCTGTAGGCACCGTGCGTCGGATCATAGTGGTACCAGGGACCGGGCGGAAGATTTGCATCGGGTTAGCGGGCTGAGTCCAGTTCCGGCGACAGAAATCGTTGCAATCATGCTGACTGAAGAACGAGCTAATACCGTCGGGACCAAGATCGGTGACACCGTACTCACGGTTCCGAGATAGGATGACGGGGTCAGAGAGGACAAGTTCATGCCGGTAAATGCCACCTTGGAGGTCGCACAGAACATAATTTCCGCCTGTGATGTGGTAGCTAAAATGGCTAAGGGCTTGCATGACCTCCCCCCATATCAGAGAGTCATTGTTCCATCCAGTGTTGCTATTGAACTTTTGGTAGTTTTGGATAAAAGGCTCACATAGATGTTTCTGGCCAGCCCACCGGTGGTCGCTGTCATCGGTGAAGTGCCATACTTCAGGTACGTTGATTTTGACGACTTTGTTGATGATGTTTAACTGATTGAACCTATTGACAATCTCCAAGGCCTTGTCGACAGCCTTAATATCGAGAGTGAAATAATCACCCGAGAAGACCGCGCCAGTCTTGAACCACTTAATAACACATGCTTCGCCCTTGCGAGGACCTGAAGTGTAGCTTCCCTTGGCCACCCAGCGGAAAGCACCTTGGGCGAAGGGATTCTCCAAGGCGGATGTTGAGATGGAACTCCAGTTAGATTTATTGTATCTACCGCTGTCAGACTGTCCTGCAGATGGGGTATCCGAATGGTGCCCATGGATGCAGCTCGCACATCGCGACACACCAGGAGCCTTAGAGTACTGATTGGCCGTGTACGATGACTGAGGGAGACTGCGACCACAAGCGGCACATGTGCGATCCATAGTGAGGTAGGAGTTCTGGATGAAGTGCGACGTGACGGCCGTTGTAACGTTGCCAGAGGACGCAAGGGCTTTGAATACTGGCGGCTTCGCTTGAAATTACGTGACGGCCGAGCAATATGATGATATCGGTGCTCTCTAAGCAGAGTCTCAGTCGTGAGGGGAAAGAGAGGAAAGTGTTGTGGGGGGCACGAGACGTGTGCAGAGAAATAGGCCAGCTATGGTACAAACAGTGCAAAACACCAGTGAATAAACCCTCGAGCTTCAGATGATATTTAGAATAATCAGTCATCCTCTAAACTACAACAGTCAGCAATGCACATCTTCTCCGCGTCAGCATCGTGGTTTCTGTAGAAACTGTGGCACTCCACCAATATGAAGGTCTGATTACAAAATTGGTAGTATAAATCTATATCTTAGAACTATTGACGAACTATGGCTAATTAGTGAGAGGATTGAGGGTTTGAAGAGGGATACACTATGTCAACCAAGATTACCACTAAAGCTCCGCCATCAGCCACAACCCTACTCCACTTAGATTAGCGCCTACGGAGGCCTATAGCGGCCACTCCGCAACAACAAGATCTTATCAATTTCTGCCGGCAGAACTGATGATCATAGACTTGCTTAGTTTCACCACCAATTTAGCTACTAGTCCTGAGCACCACGTAGAGGTGCGAGTCCTGCTCAGGTGTCGTACACAAACCCTGTACAACTAGGGAGGCAGGTGCTAGTACTGCTGATGATGTACAACAATGCTGGGTACAAACAACGCAGTATCCGGATAAGAAGGAGAAGACATTAAATCAACAATTTCAGAATATATTATATCACAGGCTATATATTCAGTTAATGTATGAAATTAACCTCCTCACTTACCGGTAGCCCACAGCGGAGCGCTCGGAACATCAAAATCAACACCCAACCAAAACACGTCGTTTTAGCGCGTTAATCGATCAAGAAAGGCCTCCTAAGGCCCCAGGAACCGCTATGGAGGTCCTAAACCCCTATGGTGGTGGCCTACCAAGCGCGTCGAGGTGGATGCCCCTAAGCGGGATACCACCACCACCACCACCAACACCGACGTATTGAGGGATCCCTAGGGCCCTAGGGATGCCAGCAGATCTGGAACAGGATCTAAGCAACAGCAAATCCAGCACAGTCCCAAGCAGGGCCAGTTCTAGGAGCAGCCGGAGCACACGAAGCGCCCAGAGTATCTGAAAACGGGGAGAAAGAGACCAGATACAGCTAAGTCTAAGCTAAAATCCAGGATAAACTCTATATACGCAGTGCCAAGCCCTAGTAGAGTCTCAGAGGACCAGAAGCTCAAGCAACAGATAAAGCTAGAGAAGATACAGGCCTATATTAATTAGACAGTAGAAGCCCAGATAGCTCAGCAACATGCCTGTGAACAATAGTATAAGACCTGAATTAGGATTTGTTGTGATCTCAGGGGAAAGATGGGCAGAATGATGCTGTATCAGCTACACGTACGTAGCTTATTGAGGACCGGCTGCCATTCCGATAGATACTCAATTCTATGGACGACCATATCAACTATCTTGAGCTTCTTCCTCTTGTCTACTAATGGGTAAAGCCTTCAGGGGCTGGAGTTGGTGATCCGGCCAAGCCACTATATCACATGGTCTCGTATAGATTCATATCAAAAAATAAATCTAGTGTTAGCTTGATGACAAGAGATGAATATCTTCCAGCACCAGTCAATGTGGCCTTACAAGACATTATCTCTGGGTTTGACTGTCTCCAAGAAAGGGAGTCTGGATAGGGTCACAGCAGTAAAGGATCATGATACACCATTAGTCATAATGCAGCTCGAAAGCTAACTATAGGAAACAATAGCCCTGGTACGTGGAGTAAACGTGGTGGTGTTTGATCCATACCATAGGAGCAATAGAAGGTGTCACAATCCGCAGACCTGTGCGCTTCACCAGAATTGGCCTAGAGGTCGGGGTGCACGGGTGCTAGATAAGTGACTGTCATAGCCAGTAATCAATCAGGTACCGCGGGTCAGGAACCCAAATTTACCGAGAATCATCGTTGTGCTGTTGATTGCTTATATTTCAAGTTTAACAAGTATGATGTGAGTTGGACTGTGGTTACAGGTCGGCCCTAAACATATCTCTCCTGTTTATGCAATAACTATCACTAGGCCGTCACGTGTCAACCCTGCCATCAACAATATCACAGTCTAACTTTACACTACTACTTTAGTTCCTGCACACAATCAATCTGTTCGCAAATTATCCAAACTGTTAATCCTCTTCTTTCTGAAATTCATTCAATAGGTCAGCATGTCTTTCCCCATAGGTACTGGAGAGACCAACCCCTTCAGTATAAACGCAGACAGAACCCCTTTAACCCTAGACAAGTCAACCCGCACCCTCTATAACCGCGCCATATCCGACCCCTCCTCACTAACGGATCAAGAACGCCGACTTATCACTCACCGCCCCTTACCAGAGGAGGAAAACAACCTCTGTCGGAATGCCTGCGGGTTGTCCATGGACGAGCTAATCGCGAAAGCCATCAACAGCAATAACAACAACAACAATGATGATGATGATGATTACCTCAGCCTTAGCTTCGGCTTGAGCAATAAAGAAGCTCGGCTCCTAACGGCCGGCGTAGTCCAGGGACAATCGGGCCGCATCCTGTCCGAGGTGGCGCGCCTCAGTCCGGAAGAGCGAGACCTCAAGGCTCGAGCTATGGAGGCGGCGAGGACGGACGATGTCAGCGCTGCTATAGAGGTGGCGCAGAGGGTTCGGCAACGATGGACAGCGGTGCAACTGGCAGCGGCGAAGGCGCTGAGCAATGACGATATTAGGAATATTCAGGTTGCGCTGAAAGTTCCTTGGCAGGAGCACGTACTGCAATCCAGTTCAACTTCAGCGGGCGATTCTAGTTCTGATCCTAGTTCGAGTTCTAGTTTTGGTGGTCAGGGCCCCGGTGAAGCGGGGGATCGCTTTGGTCTTGTGGTATTCCACCAGCAGGAAGAAGAAGAAGAAGAAGAAATAGGTCGTCTTTCGGAGTATAAATCCCAGATCAGAACGGCTATTTACCATGGATTACACTATTCAGTCTCCCTGATCAAGGACGAGACGAGAAACCGGTTCACCCTGCACTGGGTGGCTGTTCCAGGTGGTCATAATAACGACTTAGACCCGAGTGCACTACGGAGCAGATTTAGTACAATGCTCTCAAATAATGAGGTTCCAATCGGCTTTCGACGCGATGCCTTCCTCTATGTGGATAAAGAGGCGTTCCACTCCCGTGAGACGGTAAGGCCGTATCTCTGGTTAGCTGAGCCTGAGCCTAAGCCCGAATATGAGACTGGGACTGGGACTGGAACTCAACCTGAGGTTTTACAACCTCTTAAAGTCGATATTAAGCATATCGCCCCCACATTGTTTGCGCGGTTGGTCCAGCGAGATCTCCAGGGCGAGGCAAGACGGAAGCCCTATCGTTATACGCCAGAGCTGAGCAGATTGCATGCGTCCACGGATGCAAACTGGGAAAGAGATGGGATCTGGCCGCCACCTGCTCGACTCCAGTAATTGTAACTACACAGAGCTCATTTTTAACTACGGTGCTTAGGGAATGGTAGTTTCATTAGAATTAAAGGAAGAAGAAGAAATTGCCAGTTTGACTATATACTATCTACTAGTCTTACCTAGCTACCGCTATTCCATGTGTATGCATGTAGGTACATATGTAGCACGTTCACACCCCCACACAAATATAATAATCGGGCCACAATCCACTACAATCCCCATTCAGCGCTGGATTCCAGATATACAACTTGCTCAGGGCGATTCCGTTATTTGCCGCAATGTCGGAACATCTGTTCCCGCTTTGGACGTAGTAGAAGGATTTACAACTACTTACCATCCCGGCTTGGGTAGGAGTTGGCGTTGCGACTGCCCCTGCCGTCGTCGTGGCAGTTGTAGTAGTGGCATTGGTAGTGCCAACATCGACACAGATATAATAGTTCGGCCACAAACCGGAACAATCCTCATTCAACGCTGGGTTCCAGATGTATAACTTGCCCAGGGCGATACCATTATTTGTCGCGATGTCGGAGCAGCCGTCCCCGCTTTGGACATAGTAGAAGGATGTACAGCCTGCTACCATTCCGGCTTGGGTTGGGGTAGGTGTTGAAACTCCTCCGTATGATGTTGTCGTTGTTGTGGTAGCAGTTGTGTTACCGATCAACCCTACGCAGATATAATAATTCGGAAACAGGCCCGTACAGTCCCCGTTTAATGCCGGGTTCCAGATATACAACTTGCTTATGGCAATATTGTACGACGTTGTGATGTTGTAGCAGCTATCGTCGATTTTGACGAGATAGAAGGTGCCACAGCTGGTGGTCATTCCGTCCTAGTAAGGTTATATCAAGTTAGTTTCGGATCCTCGGAACTGAGGAGTGAAGTAGGGGATAGAGAGGGTGTATATACCTGAATTAGCAACGGGGTGGGCTGACCATTTGGTCCCGTGCTCGTGGCCTGTCCACTAGTTGTCGTGCTGGTTACTGTTCTTCTTGTTGTGGTGGTGGGTGTAGCCGTGGGTTTAGTCAACTGGAGACAGTACTGATACCCCGGTATGAGTTGGCAGTCGTTGGGATCATCCGTGTCCTCGTCATAAGAGAGGGAGGGATTCCAGGACACAAAGTCTGTCACATCCACTGTAGTAAGAATAGGTCAATTAACCCAGTCACCCCTGACAAAGGGATTCTGTTTCATTTATTCACCTTCATAGATGCTTGCCACGACGTAGCATGAGTTGATTGTTGAGGTATTCCGCACCGGCGCAATGTACTGCGTGTAAGACGAGCAGTTGGACCAGGTCCCCGGAGCCAACGGTAAACGGATTGGTTGGGTGGTGTTAGTCGTGTAGGTGGAAAACACCCAGGTAGAGTCAGTAGTCGTCACTGCGGTTGCGATACAGCCGGATGGGAGAGGAACTGATGTTATGCAGGGGTTGCTATATCCCCTGGGAATTGAATCGGGTTAGTGACTAGACAGAGAGTCAATTCAACAGGGCTAGAGGGGGTCGGGGGACCCACCCGTATCCTGAATAGGTCACGATATCGCCCACGGCCTGGACGCAGTAGGAGGAGTCGGCCAGGAGATTGTTGCAGCTGGGGTTGTTGACCTCGGGGTTCTAGAGCAGTTGGGTCGTTCTGCCTATGTGAGAAGGAGGTGGAAAATAAGTAACACAAGAAAATTACTTAAAGAAGAGGATATTCTATAGACGAAGCTCCGTGGGATATCGTATATCTCGAATACAGACACAATAGACCAGTCACTACTCGCTGACGCCACTACCAGCTCAGCAGCCCGTATAGGGGCTACGCCGTCACACAATCTACTTAGTTACTTGAGACCTACATTGTTACATTCAGTAGCCAGACCAACATTAACTCGTTCATGCTCTCTTAAATATCGAGTATATGTACTTGGTAGGCCTGCCCTTTCGGAGTAGAGCTATCTTCGTGACATATTGTACCCATCGATCGGAACCTGGATCAATTCATTTATTGACACATCGTTGAGTACCAGTGGATTCTGACACTCAGGTTTGACCCTTCGCTACGCAAGAGTTCCTGTCCGGATACCCAGGTGTAATAGGTGTATCGGACCAGATCGACAGATTCCTGCAACCGCACCAGGTTCAACTACAACAGATCATAATTAGCCAGCCTGTAGATTTTCATAGACCCAAAGCATACCATTTGATCAGTAAGGAAACCTAAAATCCCGTGAAAGGAAGTCCTTGTGTCCCGAAGATGTCATTCGCCAGGGGAGGGTTATAGTTCTCCCATTGATCCTTTGCAATCGTATCCGTCAAAGCCTGCTCATCAACTGCAGTTTCTTCACCGGATATTGCCTCATCTTCCTCTGGAGCAGCAATGCTCCTGATTGCCATTGCAACGGCATCAGGTTGTGCTGCTCTTGGAGTGACTCCTGGTGGAAGCTGAACACCTTGGGCCCAGCTGAAAAAGTTCTCGCTGTCCCAGATCTGCTTCAAACGCTGCAGCTCCTGGCGATTATTACCGTAGTATACCCTTTCATGCATACTTTGCGTCAGTGTCCCGTCAGGGAAATTGATGAATGCCGCTCGCTTCATCATAGAGAATGGCTTCAGTTTCTCTTTCATCTTCTGGCAGAATCCTCTCATATCACGCTCCAGCCACTTGTCATTCCATTCCAGCATGATATATGCGTGGTAAAGAGCATCACGCCAGCGAAAGGCAGTAGCGGAGCGTTTCTTCTCGCTTGCTTTACCTCCGGCATGGATGAATGTCACTTGGAGTAAACCTTGTTCGCCCACAAACTCCTTCTTGAACGAAGCCATTTCGTTTCTGATGATCTCGATTATCTTGGGGAAGTCTGAGTTGGTTTTGAAAATAAACGAGGTGTAAATTCGGTATGAGGCTTGAGAAGGAAGTGCCTTTTGGGTTTCCTCAGACCACTGGGCCACCAAAGTCTCATGGAGAAAGCGAGTGGACTTTTCCTCGACCGATCGCCGTTTGAGCTGCTTTTTCAGCTCTGGGTGGTTAATGGACTTGTTGATTTCTTTGTCAAAGTCGTCCTTGCTGCCATCAAAATAGAAAGGAAATCGAACTTCAAGCTCTGTCCCGGTCTTGGAGAGGTCACATAGCCAGCTGCTGTCAATGGTCATGTTGTTTGGCCATTGAACTGCATAGAAGTCATTCATGGCCTTGATGAATTCATCCATATCATCTTTCTTGGGGGCCCATGTGTATCTCCCAGCAACCACCAATTTTCCATTGTTCCGCAGCTCTTGGATGGCCAACTTCAGCTCGACCACAACACCGAAATTGCCTCCACCGGCACCGCAGAGGGCCCAAAAGAGCCGCCCCTCCTTGGACTTTGGATCATCAGTGTTTTTGACCGTCACCAGCTCACCATCTGCAGTGACAATGGTCACCTCCTTCAGCGTGTCGCATCCCATTCCATAGCTTCGGGTGAATGGGCTGAGACCACCACCTAGAATAAAGCCACTGACTCCCACACTGGGACATCGGCCACCGTTGATGATATACCCATCATGACGACCGTTGACCAGCTGTCTGTATGCGTGAGCCCATACAGCTCCTCCCTGCACCGTCACGATCTTTACTTCGTCGTCGATCTCAACATCGTTCATTCTCGAGAGATCCAAGGAAATAGAACCTCTCTCGGCAGTAGAGAATCCGGCGTACGAATGGCCGCCATTCTTGATCACAAGCTTAATGTTTCTTTTTTTGGCTTCTCGGACAATCCTCTGAACATGGGATGCAGATTCGGGTTGAACGACGCAATCAGGTCTTGCAAAACGGTACAGGAGGTTCGGATTCACGACTGAGCGTTCATATGCAAGGTCCCCGGGGAGGAATGTCGGGACTCTTCTTGATTTGAGGATATTCACAAGTTCGGCCGTTTTGTCTGACATAGTAGCTTCTTTGCATTCAAAGGTGATACTTCTTTCTGCCTTTGGTTTGAATTCACTGTTAATTCTCCTAGGACTGTATGCAATATCTATACTAGACGGAGACGATATAGTTATTTTCCAAATATGCACGGCCCCTCCTCGGACGAGAGGTCAGTCGATTGCCCCCCCCAATGTTTCCGAACCTGGCTAGCTGATAGCTGGTTGACCTTCTGCATGCTCATCACATCAGGCTGAGACCTGGACTATCTGGATTCATATCACAGCCCCAAACCCCGCATTCAAGGTGGGTCAGGCAGATGATACACCATACCCCTCAGCACCGCAGTACGTCAGCATATAGGTGGGCAATATGACCTATAGACCTACTTCAAGTGAAGGTTTGTTAGTAATTATTGAACCAATACAATATATTACCTACTATCCCCGAACCGGTATCCAGGGACCTTTTTGTGGTTTAGTATTCATTTTCCTACGAAAAGACATGAAGGCACCCTCAATGGTTCGCATGATTTCGTATAATGTACAAGGTACATCACTAGAAAATTATGCAGCTATCACTTGTTGCATTAAAATTCATAATCTGTCAAGAAAAGTGAAGTTCACGCGTTTTCCTTGCGTTGGCATCGATCATCGGTCCGATCCTTGAAGGTTTTTACCTGACTTGTATCAACATACATACTCCATACTAACACGAAGTGGCTGATAGCCTATCATACAAGTGTTTCTAACACCTTCAGCTTCACCTGCGAACGTGTCATCGCCATGACATGTCGATCTTTGTATTTGATGAAATCTTTTGCAGATAATATGGGGAGGCATCTGCCGAATATGCACGCATGACTCGCCCTGCCCCTCTCGAAGCCGCCGATCCATCCAGTTCTAGCAACAATCTCATGCAGTGTGTGATTTCTATGTGGCTAGCTTAGTGCCGAGTGGTGTTCTATCCGATACTACCCAACCGATGGGAACGGACACGTCCGTTCATGCAGATCGTGTTGATCTCGATTTCCCCTCTTGCGGGTATCGAGCTGAAAACTAGATGCCTAGCTACGTCAATCGACGCAAAAATTATGTGGGCCATGCATCAACGGATGTTTTCTTAAACTGCTGTTGACAGGTGTAATTTTACACAACAGCAAGACGGATCTGGATTCTTCCCTACAGAATACTGTATTACCACTTGACGACAAGATAGTATCCAAACAGCCTAACATCTTAATAATGCTCATTTCTATGTTATCTTGGTGGGTTACATTATTGTTTTTGAAACCATATATCATTTGGATTCTTTAACTTCCGCTTTCCTGGGGCAGGAGTTGGTAATTGGTTCCAGACAATCATAATCTGCCCATAAAGCCCCTCTCTCAGTATATCTTCCGTGCCTACTTCTTATACGGAATCTGGTCAAGCAACATGTCAAGTAGCTGCATGGTCAGCAGAGGCTAACGTGATAAGAGACTGGATGTATACTGTACGTACCCATTCATTGAGCTCCTTCTCGTTTTCCCTGAGCTCCTCGAAGAGATCATCCAAATGTTCTATTTTAACTGTTAGATATATACAAGTAGTATGGTACGGGAGTGGTAACTAACCCGCTGTGCGGTGAAGTACTTCTTCCACATCACTATCGTTTTCAAAACTTTCCAGGAAATCTGCAGCTTCTGGAGCGTTTCCGACCTGACTAAGACTGAAATAGACAGCTGTGGCAATGTTTAGCTCAATATTTTATTATGAGTGGATAGCGATAATCATACCATCTGGCTCATAGCCCTTCTCGGTGAGCTTCTCAGTAGACTCCACAATGGCATCTCGGAATGCACGTTTATCCTCACCCTCAGGGCATCCATCTGTGGTTGTCATGACGAAGAATGGACGCTGCAACACGCCTGTCTCTATCACATCGTACACAAGTGGCTGCAGGATTTTAGCCCGAAGATTGGTCCCTATCTGTGTTGATCCACTGGGCGTAAAGTCCATTCTCCGCTCAACTTCCTCTGCCCTCAGGTTATTGGCGGTCGAGTCATCTCGGTTGATGAAACGCAGATGAACCCCGTTGTTTTTGGGAACCGCTAAAGTAGCAACCTCCGTAAGGCGCTTGACCAGGGCTTTTTGGCGCCCCATTCGGCCATCCCGTTCCATCGAACCGCTGTCATCTTTGTTGCGTTAACTTTAGTCATTTGCAAAGTTGAAACTAAAAACAGGAGTTCCCTTCTCTTACCGCAGTACAAAACCGGCTGATACAGAGCAATACGCGCAAGTTTACATATCTGATCGCCGGATCGCAAGGTATTCTTTGGATTGTTCTTTAGCTCAACAGCCTTGGAGGCCACCTGTTCGACATAAGGATCTCCTGGTGGATAGAAGTCCTCAAGGTTGCTCTGTTGGATAATGTTGTTGATGTTGTGTCTGAACTCTTCCACATTTTGGGGGTCTTCAAAGCTCTTACAAGGATGGTTAGGATAGGTTATCCGCAAAATAAAGGACGACGCAAGTTACTCACTGTTCCCGGTGGTGGATTAGAGCCGCCGAGCATCTCAGAGGTGAGGTTGTAAAGAGTTCTGATTGTGTTGCCCACAATCTCCTTCACTCCCTTCCAGTCACCTAGATAGGCGAGAACAAGTAGCACAAAGTTGACAAGCAGCTGGACCAACTCAGCCTTGCCCCGACCTTGTTTCTCCTTCGGTAGGAAGGCATTTTTAATAGCAGGGCTGGACATCTGGTCTGCGAGACTGAGGGCCGTATCTCCTCGATCGTTGCGTTTCGTCAGCGAAGCTCCAGCATCAATCAACTGACGGATAACATCTGGATCCCGGCCTTGGGTGATGGCAACCATCAAAGGGGTTTCATTGCCCCATTCCGGGTTTGGCTCGTCGATATTTGCTTTTCGAGAAATTAGCATTTCCACAATCCGTGCGCGGTTCTGCTTCGCATTTGCCGCGAGATACAGCGGCGTTCGTCCGTCTCGGACAGGCTTGTTGACGTCGGCGCGGTTTTGAAGGAGGAGCTTTACGACGTTGGAATGTCCATTCTTGACAGCCAGGGCGAGGGGGGTATACCCATTGGCGTCTACTGCATCTGCAGAGACTGTCTGTAGGTACTGTTCCAGGTCAGAACGCTTTAGAGTTCCGTCCTGGGACTGGGCGTGGAGTGTCGACATTTTGTTGTGCACAGGTTGGATTCGCTGTTGACTCAATCTATCCCCGGGAATATAGGTATTTTAAGCCGGCTGAAAGCGTAGCAGATATTCGAGCTCTGAAAAGACCGATACAAATTATAAAATCGGAGTATAGCCGTGCGTCTTCCTTCTCCGGGACAGAAAGAGGGGTATCAAGATCGCCTTTTTGAACCCCGCAGATGATGAGTTGTTTAGCATATTGATCCAGCAGCTCACCGTGTCAATACCAATGCGTATTGTCATGCCGCTGCAGCATGCATGTTCAGCTGAAAGTGACAAGGCTTGCGGTTCGCCTCAAGGGACTTATCCCAATTGTTGTCATTTGAGCGGCTAACTCGGGAAAGGTAAACCACGGTTAGTTAAATCGGTGAGAGCAGATATTTACGAACGGGGACTTTTGTTATCCGATCTACAGTTGACTAACCCAGCCTAAAATAGAGAGAATTGCCTCAAATGGAGGGGTAGGCTGAGGCGTTGTGGAAGTTACGTAGAACCCCATCAGATCCATTTATGTAGCTACTCTCTGTCTAGGAAATTATTGCCAGCCTCTTCAGCATTCCTATTAGGGTGGGTACTGTGAGTAATTCGTTCGTTTTACCAATCTGGTCAAACAAAAATGGTCTACAAATACTATCCAATCGTGGGCATTTCGGCGGGAAAAGGCCCAGATGGTGAGGTGCCTCCTCGCCAGGAGATCAATGCCTGGAGCAGAAACCGCAAGAACAGGATTCAGGTGGTGTTATTCCTCAAGGCGCTCAAGCTTCTGCAGGAAATTTCGCCAGACAAACGCGGTTCATATTTTCAAATTGCAGGTATTAATGGCATGCCTTACAAATCATGGGATGAACCAACAATTAATGCAAAGTCGTATTCCCACGGAGGTCATTTATTTCTACCATGGAACCGACAGTATATACTTCTCTTTGAGGTTTGTTTCTCTTTTGTCTTTAAGCTTCTTCGAATTGACGAGAATATTAGCAACGGCTCTATGAGATTATGGTCAATGAGATAATCCCCAAGTATCCTGAGGAGAATCAGTCTTTACTCCGTACTGCAGCAGATACATGGCGAATGCCCTATTGGGATTGGTCAACAAAACCTCAGATACCCTCGCTAGCGACCCAGCCTGAGCTGCAGATCTCCGTCCTGGACGAGCTGGAAACTATATCGAATCCGCTTTATCAATTTCGCATGCCGAATGGAAAGGATATGGCATCGGAGGGTGTTGAAGATGTACACCTCTCAGGAGAGAAGGCAGTACTATCAGTAGGTAGACCCTTCATCAAATCTGGATGTTAGATACTAATATCAGCAGTATGGGAGCTGCATTGCCACCAGTCGACGTCCCTCTGAACACCAAAGAGCATTTGAAAGTACAACCTGGATCCATGAGGCAGTGAATGCCGCAGAATCGAATAGGTACTTAGCTCAACCTAAGTCTATCAACGAGAAGATCTATGGCACTGGCACGGAAGCGGTATATAGGCTCCTCACATATCCCCTCGATTATCATCAGTTTTCCACCATGGCGAGCAATAATAGCGATGCTCAAGCCTGGACAAGTCCTAGCATTGAATCAATAAATAATAACATTCATTGGCTGGTTGGTGGAGAAGGGGGCCATATGTCTCAACCTGCTGTCGCTGCCTTTGACCCGATCTTTTGGCTACACTATTGGTAGGGACTACCTAACTCAGAGGCGTATCAGCTCGAAGGTGCTAACACTTATACGCAGTAATATCGATCGACTATGGGCGATTTACCAGGAATTGAACCCAGATAGGTCGCTTGAAGGGTGTAGTGAACACAAAGAGCCCCTGCAACCATTCCACAAAGACGAACAAGGGACTATCTGGATGGCCCATGATACTCGCGACTTTCGAGGGTTGGGTTATACATATCCTGAACTACAACCATTGCTATCCCAGTATCAGCCCGGGGGCGTGTTCAACATGGATCTATATACGGCTAGCATTTTAAGACAGATTAACCTTAAATATGGCGTTTCGCGCTATGAAGCACTCTTACTACTGGAAGGAGCGATTAATGGGATAGGGAATCCTCTTCCTCAAGGTATAAGAAAGATGGATGAGGGTGTTGCTTTGAATGACGTTGCTCTAAGCATTCGCTATTCAAAGTACGTTCGGCTTTTATCATTAATACAAGCTCGATAAGCTAACACGGCCAGATTTGCCCTTGGTGGCTATCCATTCAACATCGAAATTTTCCTTGAGCCAGCAGAGGGTAGCGGGCGCCAGTTTGTACCTGATGAATATGTGGCCAATGTTTACAACTACAGCAGCCCAGCTGTGGGTAATGATGGAGTGTCTTGCACTGATTACACCCCTCTCAAGCGACAAGATTTAGAAGTGGCCGCATATATTCCCTTAAATTCAGTCCTAACCCGACTGCTCAAAGACGGAAGATTGAAGAAGCTCGATATGAGTGATGTTGAGGACGTGCTGAAGAACCTCTACTGGCGGGTTACAATGGTTTGTCGATCTAATATATCCCACACGCTTGAATTTACAAAGGCTGACCCGCTTTTCCCTAAATTTAGGGGGGTTTCCCTGTACCAGAGCCAGAATGCGGACAATTGAACCTCCAAATCCTTATGTTGATCGGTGAGATGAGCCACAGCAAGGATTCTAATATACCTTCAAAACTTAATGGGGTGTCAGAGGTGCTTCTAAGTTTGGGGGTCAATAAAGAAGGAAAGGAGCCAGATATTCAATACGGTGAAGATCAAGATAGAGCCTATTCGGATTGTCCGCAACGTCTAAAGGAGCAAGACGAACCAGAAAAACCACAAGAACCACCCGACGATCCCCTGTATGTCATATCTCTCTCATATACGAACACACAAGTCTCACTAACGATTGGTCCAGTTTAACCCTTGGTCCACCAAAGAAGCTCGCCTCGAATGTCACACCCGGTACCTCTATAGTGATCGAGTCCTCTTCGTTGAATCTCAGCAAGCCGGGCTCACGGGATCTGAATCGAATCATCTTCATTTACTTTAACGACAGCACAGGAACCATCGGTTCGGATAATTTCGATGTCGTTATTAGCGTGAACATCATTCGCAGGTTTTCCAAAATCCAACTCCAGACCAAACAAGCCACCCATGGCTGGGAGGCCCTGAGCATGATTAATTTCCCCGCCTGGTTTCAAATCTCCTCAGATCTTCGAATCCGTGTGGATGCTCGGGGTGGTACTTATGAGCTTTATATGAATGATAATCACATCCAATCAGTGCCGAACAAATATGGAGCGGGCGGAATTACCCATGTTAAATATGAGGCGTCGAGGGAGCCGTTTGCAATGTTGGAAGAGTTGAGAATCGTGACGAACTCTGGATAGCGTCCTGTAATCGTCTAATGTTAAAATTCAGATACGTATATTTAGTTGGAGGATTGGTCTGCCCCATAATAGGTGCTACAATTATCCCTGCCTATAAGGAAACTTGAGAATAAGACCAGATATGTAAAAGATGTATTCAATATTATACAGAATAATACAATCCAAATATAATGTAATATATTATATTATAGCCGGTACAATTATTGGCCATGATATACCAGGTCGTGGCTCTAGCCTACAGGCACTACTTATTAGTGGTCGGTCCCACCACTAATAATTGCTAAGTACCTGGGTCAAGGCACCGTCTAAGGGCAGACCACGCGGTTCATTTTCTGCCGTGTGGGAACCTTGGCCTTGAACTCGTCTATAACGAGCCAACGCTCATTCATATCCACTAATCCACTATAAAGGTACTAAAGCAGGCCGACAATTGCTCGAAACGACATTGTGGGCCCCGAGTTGTGCTTCAAGTCGAATATCTTAGATCGCACCAAAAGTTTCTGGTGACTCGGAATGAGCCTATTCTTTACAGAGGCAAGATAATCCCTTGGTAAATGTGCTGCCACAGTTCGGAGCTGTGTGCCACGTATGGTAAAGAGCAATGATTCCTGGTTCAGGCGGTGGTCCCTTATCATTCTGTCCTGCTCCATGGCGGCACCTAGAAGGTGAGCTACCGCTTGAGCAGCGCTCTTGTGGTTGTACTGGTCCTGTTCTCCCGCACTGTTATGATGGCCCCCGACATGTCGCTTTTTGGCCTAAATGCAGGTCACATATATCACATACAGTAATATTAAAGTACTGACTTCAAAGGGTGCTAGTGCCATTCTTGAAGGCCGGTCAGGGAGAGATAAACGAGCAGTCGTCATGGCTCTTGCGAGTTTCACAGAAAAACTAGTGGAAATCGTTATCCACGAACTTCTCCTTCATTGCGCTCTATTGGTGGAGGTCTGTTGCGGTTGATGCGTTTAACGTGGCCGAGGAGATTGCTGAAACCTGCATCCTTTGTCAGATTTTTGAAGGTTGGCGCTTTCTTCGGTAGAGAAATCATAATCGTACAGTCTTCATTGTCCTTTGGCAGAAGCTGATTGGAATAATGAGATCGAGCTCGAGATCATCGAGGGGTATTACTCTTAAGGCCTCAAGGTATTCCTTACCCCAGGTAGATCCAGAGAAGTGCAGGGTGCCGATTATATCCTCTATATTCGTGTGACAGCTTGGAAGATTAGATGCCTTGACAACGTCGAGCTCCCTTTTGTTTGATCTGAATCTTATATTTGTGTTATCTGGGGAAGAAAGATGATGAGAGAAGTAATCCTCAGTAGTAAGTGGTAGATTAGCTCGACTAGAGGACGGTGAATGGCAACAATGACATGATTCAGTGAGTGTGAATATCCACTAATATTACCATGAAATCTCCAAAGGTAGGCATCCTAACACTATAGTGGTGCTGATGGCGTTTGTCTTAAGATATCGAATTATGCCTAGAAATATCCTTAAGAAATCCTTCCTTTTCCCAAGGGCCTATCATGCCATATTTCTCCGATCGATAGATCTCCGAATTCTCAGTCAACGGCTCCCCCCGAACTGAACTTTGGAGATAGGACTTGGGGGCTACAGCCTTCGTGATTTAGAAGACTGTCCTTGAAATGTAACAAACGAAGTGTATGATTCGCGGCTGGGATCTTTACCGAAAGGTATCACAAGTAGAAATAAAATATAAGGGATATCGATTTTTGTTTTAGTATCTTTTTCACTCGCCCGCGAATCCTAAAGGGGTAATTATTTGGAAAGGTACTATACTAAGAGCAAGGGTTCTTACAGTGCAGATTGTCAGAGGAGGGAGAGGACCTTCAAGGCCCCATCTAGCGATCATGTCATTGCAATGCAAAGTTCCTTGGATACTGATACTTGATATTTTAAATGGTATAGAACAAAATACATCTATACCACTGCTTCTGTTAGGTCTGTCGAAATATTCAGATAACACACTTACCGGCCTTGGCTATAGTGGTCGCAAATGTGTTCTAATTCCAACATAATATCCCGGATAAAACAACCAAATTGTTGGCCTTCTTCCTCCGCAATGCAGGTCCTCCGAACATAGTCGAAGGTCTCTGCAAATGTATTCTCTATGATTACCTTCCTCGGGGCAGATAAGAATCAGACTCCTGTCTGAATGGTATCTACTGCACGCCTTTGATCGTCCTATTCCCTATGGCCTACATATCCTTATCTAGTTGACAGGTCCTCTACCCTGAATAGTATATACCCTTGACATTTGTACTATTCTAACTATTGAGTACATGTAATTAATAGGCCTGGGCTTCTGAACTTGAGCTATCCATGGATTAGTTTTTGTATCTTTGATCAGAAATAAGAATTACGTCACCCTCACAGCACCACGGCACTTCGTTTACTGAATCTCAGTGAATTCTGACATTCAGGTTTGACCCTCGCTACGCAAGCACAGCTAACAGGTTAGCGGAGTCCCAGCCCGAATATCTAGGCGTGCTAGCTATATTAAAGTTTACTATCTATACTATTTCTCTTAATCAGGTCTAGTGTACTATTCTTACTAAATACAGAGGAAAAGTGAAATAAGTAGTTATATGGTTATTTATTCTCTATAGATAGTTATTCACTACATAAGGGGTTTCAGTATAGAATACTAGTATATTATATCTTGATTATAGGATTGTAACAGGAGCCAAGTAGCGGGTTCTTGTCTAAATAATAAATCCATCCGGGACAATTTCTTGATATACTTAAGTAAATATTACTTACCTTATTAGAGTGATGTGAATATTTTAAGGTAATAAAGGCAGAGTAATAAAAATATATACAATAACTAATTTTTCATTTCGCGATATGGGGTATGTCGCATTTCCATGGGTAAACACGCCGACGCGTGCCTACAAGGATATACTAGAATTAAGCTATTTTGGATCCGCAAACTGAACATAAAGTGGATATTTCTGTAGCATGGTCATGTTATACACTCAGCTATAGTAGCAAGGCTTTCTTGCCTGCTGTACACAGACATATTATATATACTGTGCCCAGGGCACCCAAGCTTTCAGTCGTCGGTGACCCCAATCCTAACCCCACAAAAGAGTTACACTCAGGGATAATGCATCTCTCCACCTCTATCAGTCACTGAGTCTCACTATATACCCATGTCTATATATAGCACACATAAAATTTCCCTCACAAGGTCGGAAAACTTCATACATTACCCTGAGTAACCAGCCGCCTTGAAGGCCGCCGCATTCCTCCCTTATATCAAAGTATACTCTCTGTTCATGTATACCGATTGACTGAACACCATCGCTATTCAAGCACAGACTCCATTCTGGCAAGAAAAGGGGTCAGAGCAGTCATCGTGGGAACTACATTGAGCCCCTACAAGTATAGTTAGTTATTTACTCCGAATAGCATATATAAAACAAATACATACCAGCACAGTGGCCCTCCCATTCACAAGGCACAGACCCAGGGTCCACGGCACATTTGCCATTCACACAGGCGAACGGATCGGAGCAGTCATCGTGAGTGGAGCAGCTGGCACCTTTCGTTCATTTAGTTTAGTCATATCCTTCGTTTGAATTGTTGGGGGTGACCTTGCTGTTCTTACCGGCGCAGTGTCCAGGCCAGTCGCAGGAATCACCTGTTGGCTGGGGGACGCTAGTTGTGGTTAGGGTAGTGGGAGGATTTCCATCGCCGCCGAGTTTGAGGTTGGAGGAAAGAGCACCAACGAGCTTGTCGCCCATGGAGCGCAGGGTATCGAAGTTGGTGATGTAGTTCTTGTTCAGGGCGCTCTTGGGGAGAACGGCGCTCTCACCGGTGAAGAGGATGTCTGTTTAGATATTAGTGGTGCATTGACAAGGAAAAGTTCATCGAGGGACATACAGGTGACATCAGCGGCAGTGTGGCCCCTGTTGCCGTCCAGGTTCTCTTCAGGGAAGCAGGTCCTGGCCAAGATCCAAGAGGCTTCACCAGTGACCTGGGGCTCATCTCCATTCGAGTCACCGAGGATACCGTAGTACATCTTACCATTACTATCGTGGTTAGGGTGCGTTAGTAGATATTGAATCGTGGAGAGGTACACGGGTCCTCTGGCTCACCAGATAACAGCAGCGATGCTGTTTCCCTTGATAGTGGCTTTATTGGCCATAAGATATTCATCCGGGATCACGATGAAAGGCACTTCATATGCGGAGAGCGCACCCCAGTTGGTCTTCTCTTGACCATCGGGATTACCCTACGCTTGTTAAATGACGTAGGCCCTGAAAGCAGTCTCATTCGAAATCATACCTTGCAGCCATGGTTAATTCCATCACAGTCAACATCCATGTCCGCCACCCACGAGATGGCAGCGCCCTCACTGAACTTCGCCCAGTCGGTATGAATAGTGGACTTGATAGAAGAGTCCTCGCCGATGGGGTATGTAGCGTGACTCGGTACAACACTGGCCTTAGCAGCGGCAGCCTGCAGAGCGGCAACAGGCAAAGAGCTTGAAGCCGCAAAGAATTTACCAGGAGGACCTCCGTTGGGCTTGTTGTATTCGGGGCCTTCGACCTTCTGGCCCATGGCCGTACCGAAGAGTGCCAGGGACAGGGCAAGCTGACTAGCGAAGTTCTTGAGAGGCATTTTGGCTGTGTTCTAACTTCACAAGAAAGTGAGTGATGCTATGGTTATAGATGCAGGGACAGCCTCTGGGGCGGGCAGCCTCCTGCTTTTATAGTCAGAAATTACGTTTCGGGGACTGCTTAAGGCTCACAGGGGCTCTTTGTCAAACCTCTCAGCGATTTCTCTTGGGTGTTGGGCGGATACCACAGTCTGCGGAGACGGTTGCTTCGCGAAACCTCCTACTAGTGATATTCGAGGGTAGTATCCTTGGCGCCACAAGTTGTTTAGCAATAGGTTTCACTCCGTTGTCCTGTTACGCTCTCAGAATGAGGCATGTGCACCACTAGTCTGTTGGCGGATCATACGAATTCGTTTGACTTGAGCTTCCCAATAGGGAGAATGGAGAACTACACTATATACCAGTAATCTGTCGGCGGGTTTCCACAGAACAGACTCCACACTAAGGGAACGGCCTGCCCGAAAATGGTTCGCTCGACTAGTACTTGTCCAGATCATCCGGATACACTTTCCAACTTGAATAGGTGCTGACTGATAAATTCTGCGAGATGGCCCATGTAATAGCTTGTATACTACTAGGAAAGGTTGTGCAACACAGTTGTTGGAGAAGAAAACAAAAACAATTAGGCACTTACATATATATTCAGGACCCGAAGAATTTACCAGAAATATCTGTATGTACGATAGTCATAGGGTCAAGTTTGACTGGTGCAAAAATTGGCCGTAAACCCCCGAATGGGCGGGTGGCGGTAAGTCTAAGTAGCGGGCTTTACTCAGTGGTTCAGGCCCGACGCTAAACCTAAGCGGCGCGACATGAAGCGACAGTTGATATTGTGTGGGTTTCAGGGTGGAGAGTTGATGAACTGCGGCGCGAGCCAAAGGTGCTTGCTGATCTAGTAGGAGACTGGGTCAAACAGATCCCCCAAGGTTTCCATGATGAAACAGACGAGTTTTCTACAATCGAAAACGACAGGAGTCGTCACGCTGCGAAATAAAATTATCCATTCTTTTCGCATAACGCAGGTACATGTTGCGGGATTTCGGTTATTTCTGCTGGCTATGATTTGGGCAGCGTGTTATGCGATGCCTAGTGGTTCTAGAGTCGAGAGCTCATGTTCTGGAGGGGCTTGGAATCCCACTAATTAGCCCTAGTTTCGGCCCGGACGAAGAACATGCCATAGTCCAAGATACGAGGTTACATTGCACACTATACCCGTTCGTCTAGTCTTGGCACGCAGGTGAAGACTGCCGGTTGCCCGTTTTGAATCCGCATACGTATCCACTCGACTATCAGGTAAGCCCACGAAGGGCGATCCCGGCCAAATACTGGGAATTTCGGCATATGGGGCATTTGTGCGAGCCTCGGGGGCGTTGTCTCAGCGCAGGTGATTGAGAAGCCGGCCAACAGCCTTTTCATTGATTTGCATATATAAGCGGCGTAAGACCCAGGGACAAGAAAGCTCGAGACGTGCTGTGCCGTGCCGATTACTACAAGCTTCGTATCCGTTCGCAATGCAGCTCTACAAGTTCTTCGCTCTGTTGGCAACGCTGCAGCCAGCGCTGTCCAAGAGTCTTCTTGACTTCTCTGCTGCTCGCGGTGATAACCCCTCTATGCTGGGGATTCGCAATCTTGAAGCAGAGCGTGGCAACAGACCCAAGGACAATAGCAAAGATCTCTACATCAAATTGGACAACGACAAGAATGGCACCCCTGCATTGCACTTTCATCGCAAGAAGGACTATATTCGTACCGAGTACCATTCTCTGAAGGACCAAATCAAAGTTGATCAGACCTATTACATTGGCTACAAGTTCTCTCTTGGAGCTATTGAGCAGAGCATGATGATTTGGCAATTGTAAGTCATTTTGCCTTCCTTCACTGGTCTAACCAAGTAAAGGTTATATTACTAACTCACTATAAAGCAAGGAGTACGCCGCCAACAACAAGGGCGGTGCAAACATCCCTCTCTCATTGGAGTTCAAGAGTGGGAAGTTGAACTTCCAGTACCAGGCCTCCGGCACTGCCAAGCGTGAGTCTCAGTGGTCCAAGGCCCTGAAGACAGACACCGTTTACTCCATTGGAATTGTGATTAATACCGCCAGACCCGGATGGGTTGAGCTCTACTTTAATGGTGAACAGCAGAAGTTCAACTCTGGAAACACCAGGCTGAACGCGAATACATTCCCTGGCCGTGCAGAGCCCAAATTCGGTGCTTATCGTGGCGAGGCTGTCGAGATCGATACTTATGTCTACAACGTCCAGGTTGGAACTGCCCTTAATGACATCAAGGAGGCTGCTGGGCTGGACGGATCTTCTAAGCCCACAGACCCTACGGATCCTACGGACCCTACGGACCCTACTTGCGAATGGGAGGGTCATTGCGAAGGTCCGTCTATTTCTGATGGAACCAATGCTCTGCCACACGCTAATTTAGATAATATAGGTGCCACATGCTCTACTCATAATGACTGCTCTGACCCATTCGCCTGTGTGAACGGCAAATGTGCTGTTGATCCTGGGTCTGTGCCTTGTGAATGGGAGGGCCACTGTGCTGGTATGTATTTGTTGTATATATACTATTCGGAGTAAATAACTAACTATACTTATAGGGGCTCAATGTAGCTCCCACGATGACTGCTCTGACCCCTTTTCTTGCCAGAATGGAGTCTGTGCTTGAATAGCGATGGTGGTTTATTGAGATGAATCTGTTCATCCGTCATGAGACAGATCCAGAACTAGTGACTAACATCCCGCCCGCTCGATGGCACTTGGCAAGTAGGAAAATTATACTTGATTAATAGATTTCGTTAATCGAATTTTCTGTGTTACATCTGCTCTAGACCACTAGGTAACCAGATGTTTTTTAAGCTAAAAAAGCCCATAGGCTATTTTCTACTCCCACTCACGTAGAAACTGATGATCGCACGATTGCATATGCGTAACCGAGGATACTATCTCGAGACCATTCTGTATTGCATCCTGTTGCCACCTGTGATATACTGTCTGGTAGAACAGAGAGGCTTTTGTTATATTTGCTTAAAGTAAGGAGTAGCCGCTAGAAGCAGCCGATCAGCAGAGGTTACGTGGATGGGCCCCGCAACACGGCCCCCGAGGGAAAACTGTAGGTCCCCAGGCACCAGGCTATACTATAGCAAACGGTCACCGGGATGTGGTGGATATTTTGGGATGGAGTCAGGCGTAGTATCTATGAAGTGACAGTGGCGTGAGAATCAGAATTGGAGGCCGGAACAATCAGCCAAGTCTATAATCTTTGCCAACATGCTAGTTGCTTTCATGCTGCTGCTCTATCTGCGGACGATCAACTGCTATAGGAAGCACTCCGTCGGGAAGGCAGATAATTTGACCGTCAGGTTTGTTTTGAATAGTACCGCTTTCAAGGGTATACTGCATTATCTCTAATAATCCAAGATTTATGCCATGCTTAAGTTTAAAGAAACATAACTACCCCTATTCTCGATAGATATTTAGCATTCTCCCGGTGCTCTTGGATAAAGCATGAGGACCACATTTTTGACAAAATTCAGATTGGTGATACACTAAATATGCGTATGTGGGGCACGATCTAGACCGCTACAGTGGAGCAAAAATGATAAACAAAACACTTAGGGATTGTAAATTCGTCTGGTGTTGCTCTCCTCGGGTAGACTTGACCCTTAAACCCTGTCATTGATTTCGGGAAAACCGATACCATCGGCAAGCTGCCGATGACTCCACAATGCTATCGGCAACTACCGAGCATCAGCAGGGGCAAAGCTATGTTAGTACAATCCATGTTGAAGTATCTGGAGAAGCAGGTAGGGTAGGGGAATAGACACTCTGGCGTTTGGAATCGAGGTGTCTAAGAGCAAGACGGGCCATGAAGGATTACACAAACATATCGAGGTTTGATCGCAATTGACAGATCAGATGTGCTCAAATTGTGAACGAAAACCGGAGTTCTTAGGGTTTTGGATTACCTAATACATGGGTCAGTAGTTAACTACGCTTCATAGTTATTAGTGGCGGACGTGTACGCAGGTCGCCTAAGCTAGCCGAGGAAACTGCCAGGATGACTTCACTCATGTCGGCGAGTGTCGTGGCCTACGATGGTAAGACAAGGATAATGTTTGCCCTGAGTCAGCCGATGGCCTCTTTGGCTCGTGCACTTGGATGAGATGGATCAATGGCTATGAAGGCAGCTCCAGCTTTGATGACACGTAATATAGCCACGGTCATCCAAAGGCTTTTTTCGAATGAGAAGGGAACAAAGTCGCCCCGCTGCACTCCTTTGGACAGCTGTCGATGCGCAAGCTTATAGACGAGCCCTTCCAGCTCTGCGTAAGTCAGCGCACCATCTCATGACTCCACCGTTGGTGCGGGAGGGGCCATTCGGACTGGTAGACGCCAGATGTCGTACACGAAAACCCGTAGCTCAAACAGCGTATAAGGCAAGAAGAGCCGGAGCATCCTATTGTCAAAAGCTGAGTTAAGCAAGTCTGAATGAATCTCGAGGAGAGTGTCCCATAACGCGGACGCAAACTTGCGTGGAACGCACATGTGCTGGGTGTGCAAGCGTAGGTAGCAATTCAACTGTTCGGACCATTGCATGATATAGTTAAATGTGCCATCACCATTGTCATTGTTAGCGAATGCAGCGGCGGTATTGACTCGACTACGATGCTTGTCGACCTTGAACGGAGAGAATGTAAATCGAGGATCAGGGTTGAAGGTCAAACATTGTGGAACAGACACTGGCCAGTGCGAGCTTGCCGGCTATTTACTTCCCATGCTAATCACAGCGAACACCACTGTGTCCAACACGAGACACAAATGGAGTCAACATGGCCCATGTCCTGAGTAAGCCATCTCGTTGTTCCGTAGCCGAAGTAGCTGGACGGGTTGACGGAGGAGAATGGTGGAGTTGTGACAGCCTTCTCGAGAGAACTTTGGGGTCTGCCTCTGGCTTTGTCATAGGCAAATTACCCACAATCGTTTCCATATCGTAGTCATAATGAGATGACGATGGAGTTGGCTTTCCCATGTCGTTAAATGATGTGCGCGGAGCTCATTGCACGAAGACCAGATCTCGAAGCATGCATTAGTAGATGCGGTTGTCTTGTAAAACGAGGGCAACATGTCCCACATCCAAGCACCGGTAAGAATAGCTTTCTAGCTTACTTCAATGTCTTCTCGCGGGACAATCGCGAAGAAGCATTGAACATTGCCAAACAGGTTCGAGAGGCAGTTAGATATACTTTTATTTAAGTAGTAAACAACCGCCAAAAGAGTACTTACCTTCGAGCCGGGCAATTAGAAATATTACGCACACAATGGTTAGGAGAGATGCAGGTAGATAGGAAAGGCTATTATTGCATCTAGGAGAAGATCGTTCGTTATCACAGGTCCTGCTCACCTGTCCAAGAGGCAACAAATAAACAAGATTCCAACTTGGCCCGTAAACTCGAAAATAAACGGAACAATAACAGCGCCAAAACGATCACTTGGCCTGCAAAGCAGCAACCCAACTCAAGGATAGAATCCAGTGTAATTGGCGATGAGGACGGTTGTGTTGTTGAAACGCAACAGAAGCTCTTATCTAAGTACAGGCGTCACGAGACCGCAATGTGCTGACCAAACCCCGAATCGGCCGACCTGATCTTCTTCAACCCTTAATGTATTATCTTCGAACATTACTTCCAGAACGCGGAGCCAGCCCCTTCCTCGGCTATCTCCACGTGCCTCTGTAAAGTAGCGAGTAGTAATGCTGCCTTCTGTTCTTGGTAAGCGCAGGAGTTTTTTAGATGATCTACCGGTCACTGGCTATTCTGATAACAACTCGAGTTGTCAAGAGAGACCCTGAGTACTTTAGTCAGCCTATGTAAAAGTGTTGAAGCTTGACTATTATAATAAGTCTCTAGATAATAGCGGCGTCCTCGCCCTTAATCCAGTATTGACTAAGTAGTAGAACATGTGGATATTGCTGGTCGCCAATAGAATAATTATTAAGGCTCATATTTCTGCTGCTGCTCCACCTAGGAATAATGCTTTTGAACAGAATTAATATAACCTTAATAGTAACAAGCACTAGCATCGGACTAATTACAGCTGGTTGCCACTATCTGGACTGTATCACACGCTGAACCTTTGCGATGCTTGTCTTTATAGTATATATAATTTATCAGTGCTAGAGCCAGGGTCACCGATTTCAGCCTCCAGATTTGTCACAACATTAAAGAGAACGTGAACGCCGGTTAGCCTATCAGAACTGCCTGTGACTCTAGTTATCTGTTACTACATTATGTTTCAGAAGTACATGGAGTCATTGCACTCGCTGTAGTTATATAAGGTAGAAGGAGAAGCATTGTATGGACACAATTGACAGTGGAGGATATGACAAAGACCATATATAAACCAGAAGCGTAGTCTTCCGTTGGACTCGGAATATCAAGCTAGTTCAAGATATCTCTAAAGGCATTATCCATCATTGACATGTCGCAGTCACCAAACAATATATTACTATCCCTGTTAGCACACAGTCCAGCGGAATCAGGCCCGGCACTAGAGTCCCAAGCGAGAAGTCGGATAAGGTCTAGATTAACAGGGATATAATCCGCACTGGTAGATAAGTTTATAGATGCTGGCAATATCAGAAGATATCTATTTAGCTGCTATTCCTTACATCACCTAGTGCCGTGGGGCCTGTCTGTTCTGTAGCTGTTGGGCTTGAGTCTGGGCCAGGCTTGCAGCGTCGGTGTCTCTTGGAGTACTATACAACAATAGAGACTTTAAACTAACAGTTATATCCTAAAAGTGATCAGTAAGAGGCTATATTAAGTTCCGAGCTATATATATCACGTATCGGCACTGATGTATTACTGGTAACCTGTGTTTTTGCCGCTGTATTTGACCCGTCAGACGTGTCATCAGCTGGAATTTCGCTTGCGTGACAAGTTAGTGGGATAAGGGTACCTTTGCTGTGTAACACTCATTGCATGTAGAACGTAAACGTTGTCCCGCAGCGACGCTATCTATGACTGCTACAAGTGTTGTCGCGTTCGGCAGGGTAGAAGCGGCGGTCGACTCCGAGTTTTCCGGTCAACTGCAATACGTTTTCAATGCGATGAAATGACATAGTTGTTCTTTATTGCTTATGATGAAGACGTTGGTTATGTCGTACATTTTTAAGTATCACGTGTCCATGTTTGAACGAACTACGGCCTCAAACATAAGTATCAGCCTGTTGTTGGCTGTACCGCAGCCTTTCTCTTGGCCTGTACATCACTTAGGAAATCCCGCAGCCGGGGAGCAGGGTATGATGCGTCTAGTCGTAAAAGTTGTATCAGCTCCTTGTACTAACAAGGATGTACATAACTGACCCCGCTAGATCAGCGGTCAGATTTTTTAACGTAGAATATGGGGAAATCCATTAAAAATCAGATAACCGGAATACCCTAGTAAAAACTATATAATCAAAACTAAGAAAGCCTACGAATTATTCCTCGTTCTTCTCCATTGTTTAATAATTAAGCCGCGACCTACTGCTTAGCCAATCCATTATATGAAGGCCCCCTTCTATATTTTGTGTAGTTGATTTCCTTCCTTCGCGAGACCCATTACTAGAGACAGTTACTTCAAACCATACGTGGCATCTTGAAGCACCAGATCTCGCCTGCCTAGCATATTGAGCCGCGATAAATTATTCCAGTTCAGTACAGACAGACTCGGCTAGACAAGCCTACGCGATACTACCCTTCATCCATATATCAAGATTCCGTTTAAAGTCTTCATGCTTCTACGGCACATGCGTCTGCCATAGCCAACGGCTCGGTATGGACGTTTAACTTCATTAAAAGCAATAATAATAATCTGGTAAATCTCTTTTACTATATCCTGTCGCGATAGGCGCAGCTAGAGTGCCACAGATCGAATAGCGATTCGGCCTGATGATCGTACAGGGTACTCTGACCCGACAATCAGCCACCGATGAGGAACATCAGGCCACACAACGGTTTGGGTTTCGGTAGGAATTCTGAATCCCTTAAGCGTGAAGCCTTCAGATATAAATTAGCAACTAGTTAGTAGTAGTAGGAGGTCAAGGATCAGTCTCATTTCTGGATAGCATCTACTATCTGTCTTTGATCTTTCTATCTCCTTCGGCCTACGTATCCTTACCTAGTTGACAGTCCAAGAAAGTTTACACTTGTATACACTATAGCCTTTCTTTTTTCTAGAAACCTTTAGCAGAGATTTTGGACGAATAATCCACAGGATTTTCCCAACTGATGTATGTTACGTTACGTTCACTAAGTCTGGAATGCTCACTTGCTACTACGTCCTTACAATCTAGACTCCTCGAATCCTACCTTGGGGTTCCCAAAGTTTTTCGACACTATTGTTTCATTTTACTTTCCCCTCACTCGCAGATTTCCTTGCTAGCCTAGCTCATAATCCTCACCTTCCTCCTCTATTTCCTTTTTATGCGCAATTGCATCTTCGATTTCGCGACTCCAAAGGCGTAGTTTTACTCCCACAGCCTGACAAAGAAATTGTAGCCGCTGTGTTATTTGAATGACTTCTTGTGCAATGCATGGTATATGTATTCTCCCTGGTGGAGTTAAATCGGCAGACACGGGGTCATATTCATGTATATACCCCCCAATCTGCAGAGTATGCAAGCATGGAAATCGAGAAGTCATATTAAGAACACAATCTTCCAGCTCAGCAGTAAGAACATTCATATCGCATTGGTGAAAATCTTCTATAGCTAGCCGCTGAAGAGAAGATGGAAGCACGTCGACGAGGCGAGTTTGTATATATCCAGCTTCTCCGCCTAAGTCAAGAAGATTTGGAGCCCTGAGGCATATCTCTCTCAAAGCGGTAAACTGGGAGAGGGATCCGAAGAAGTTATCTTCTCCTCCTTGGCCCGGGCGATAGTCTTCCTCTTTGTTGAAAACAAGTGTCAGTCTCTGTAGCGTGTCCTTGTGATGTAAAAGCGAGGCGTGGAAAGCCGCCGGGTTGAAGTCATCACAGGGCCCAATAGTGATTTCATGTTCATAGCGGAATGACTCTAGCTTTGCACATGCACGGATAAGTCTTCGCATGCCACTCTTGGAATTGCCTTTACGGAGGTCAATATTAGTGATAGTTGAGAAACCACATAATGCTTCGGGAGAGCAATATTCATCTTCGTCGCAGTCAGCTATGCATTCAGCTCGAAAAGATTGAATGGATGGAAAGCCAAAGAACAGCAGGGCATCCGATGTTGGAACGCCGTAATATTCAAGTTCACAGTCTGTCACTTGAACGGAAATCTCTCTTAAATATGCGAGGGGTTGCGAGTCAAGCGGCCACTGTCCACCAAGAGCACGCTTAAGGACCTTTCGCACATGAGTCGACGGATTCTCAAATGTCATGGTCAAGCATTGCAGGTTAGGCAGGAGTGGAATGAGTAAAGCTAGCCATGGATCCTCGTTTTGTCCGTTGGTCAGATCATTCTCCCATTCCTCTTGCTCCTGTTCAGAATAACCTCTGGCCGATAGTGCCGGGCGAATGACGCCTGGTTCGTATTTAATATCATATGCATCCATGTCATGGCCCCAGGTGGACTCAGTACAGAGAGACAGATGATGCACAGCCACGGCCAACTGGGGATTTTCGATAAGAGCATGGGTTAAATAGCTAAGTTTCCATATGCTGAGCCTTTCAAATTGAAGTGAGGAGTAAACCTTTGGGAGACAAAGATTGTAGAATTGGCGGCAGCAATAAGACAAGTTTAGCAAGTCTGTTGAATCGCTAAGATGAGTAGCGACTTTTAGTACTATCTCGGCCGGAATTGTAGGTGACATGTCAATTATGCTTCTGACTAAAATGTAATGATTAGTAGGTAGCCAGCATATTGGTCATGCAAAAGCACCCGCAAGAGTCTTAGTGCTGGAACCCATGTCCATTGGCGGTGAGTGGTCGGAACCGCCACTGATATATGCGGGGTCCCCGAGGGAGCCCAGAGCAAGCCCTGAGCGCAGCGGACTGCTCACTGAGCGGGCGGTGAGCGCTCACGGAGCACCCTGAGCCAATCACTCCACCACTCAGTCCCGCTCGCCGCTTTTGAGATTTCTATAAGAACCTCACTCCCTCCCCCGACCTGTTCAACACCCTTTTTGCCTCCCAAACGTCCCCCTTCCACTCCAGCTCGCTCGCTCACGCCGCGGCTAACCGCACTGCTGCCTAACACTGCCCCCTTCAGGCAGACCGATGACCGCAGACATGACGCGGGGGTCGACTTTACGGAGTTTGAGTCGAATCCGGTAGACCAGCACGAACGGCATGCCCCATCCCAACCAGAAATAGCGGAAAACCCGGAACAGGTGCCTTTAACCTATGGACCACCCTTCTCATCTCCGCACGCTACCAGCGATCGAGAACCATCGGCCACTCCCCAGGACCAGTCCCTGAGAGACGTGACGGAATCGGATGATACTACGAATATCCCTCCACCTACAGCTACTCCCCCAAGCGAAGAGCCTGACGAGCCACAACAGAACCTAAGACCTGGGACGCAAATTGAATTCCCTTTGGCTCCGCCCGAATCGGAGAACGCTGTTCCCACGTCAGAGTTGGCACCCCCGCCATCTAGAGCCGAGAGGTCAAATACACGTATTCTACATGCAAGCAAGCATATATAATGTCCCGATATCGTCTCTGACGAAGAGCGGTCTGGAAAACGTGCGAAAGGAAGGGGTGGTGGGCAGCCGCGAATGCAGGAACCGAATCATACCCGACCGCGAGCTGGACACGAGACTCGAGCCGAAAAAGTGGTGGCCCGCGTCAACTTTGATGACTGGACCGATAGTGTTGCTGGAGAGCGCGAAGAGTGTGACGCAGTCTCGACGCCACGGGACGCTCCCACAAATGCGCGCCCCCAAAACGGGGAAGTGACGACAATAACAAACCAGAAAGCAACAACACTAAGGAAAACCCTTGAACCACGCATCGTCGCCCCACCCGCCCCAGATCTTATCACAAACACACCCCCAGGCCCGAGGCGAATACCCCGCCCGTAACGATTGTGTTCCGAGCTCGGGGGGAAAATGGGAATTGGAAGACTGTTCACGAGCTGCACCATTCCAACCCATCCGAAGTTGAACGAGTCGCGCGGAAAGACGCAAGAAACCGGCAGGCTACTTTTTACGATAAAGATTTACGCAGGCTCACTCCTGCACAGTGTTTTGAGGCTGCGATTGAAGATGGGTCCAACACTGTCATCATGCAGCTTCATGGAGAGCTCACGATAGATGAAGAGACGATGGAATCTACCTCACGCGACCTTGAATTGTGAATGCCATTTTAGGTCGCATAGGATATTAAACGTTAGCCCGTCTTCCAACGTGGCCTTGAAGACCTGGATCAGTAACCCGTACAGATCACAAGCCTATCGAGTCGCCAGTTGGCGTCCGGGGAGCCCAACTGGCTCATGGGCCACGGACAGTGAGCCTACCAGGATTGTAGGAAGTCGCCACTCAGACTACGACGAGAGCCCATGGATCTCCACCCCTAGTATATGGGCTCTTACCTTGTAGCCTTGGCCCGTGAATGCTGGGCAGTAAACTGTAGTATCTAGTGGGCCTAGTAGGCCCTCTCTCAGCGAATTTCTGTCTAAGCTGGATAGAGTGTCCAGTAGGCTATTGATCTCTGGCTCTACCTCTGGTGTGGCCTCAAGTCCAAGCAACTACAACTACTGAGCCCTCTTCATTTATTCCCTAGCTCAAGCTGACTTTGCTCCAGCAAGATCCTGTAAATATTCCAAAGGGCACCTCCATCTGTCTACAGTAAATAATTCATGTGACCGCTTCTTGTTAGCTGCTTCCGTTCTCTCCTGGTGTCTCTGTTATCTAGACGGAGGAGATTGCTCTCTTGGATGAAGTTGAAGATCTGTTTTGTCAATAGACCATGAATGGCTCCGTGGTGTAAATTACCTTTCTTACTAGTCTGTTGCCAACATTTTTGCCTCCTAGCGTGGGTAGATAGTATCAGCACCGTGTTTCAAAGGACACGATAAATTTGTGACTGGTCTGCCCCTATAAATCGCTGAAGGGCGTAGGCTACAGAAATAGACGAAAATCAATTTAATATGGCAGTCATCGGCTTGTAAATGGTGGTATGTAGTAGGCTCAACAAAGATATCAGGCTGATTATTCATCCCTGTCCAAGATCATACGAAGGTTGTCATATATTGTCATATTAGTTAGGTCACACAGTGTACAGTAATGCATAGCATTTAAATCTTGTGTATCCGTGGTCTTAATACCTCCCTAGGGATTTGGGAACAGGGGACCACATGTGATGCATAGAATTCTTGCGCACGCAAAACTTACCTGTAAAGCGAGGACCTGTGGATTCTCTGTGCCGGTTAGCTTTGTCGCTTCCAGTATAGCTTCCCTATATCCTTACTATAATCTCCGCTGCCTCCTCCCAAGTATATAAGGATCCTCCACATCAATCTTCTTCCTTCCCGATTCTATCTCCCATATTTTACACTCCCTCTGTCTGGCTGGTCATTTCATCCGTCCATTCAATTCCCCACTCAGCTCCCCTTTTATTCCCTCTTTTTCCCCATTCGGAAATTATGGCACGCCCTCGCCTTGTCTCCACCCCCAAAACTCCAATTCCAAGTATTTTTTTTATGCGTACATTCCGCGTGTCCGTGATCCTAGAATCCTACTGGGCAATCCCACGGCTCGACGGACTTACCATGGTGAATGTCTTCCCGCGAACAGCGAGCCCAAAATTTATTCGGGCCATCAACCGTCCGCAAATGAGACGAATGGCGCTCTTCCCACGGCAGAGAGCGTCCTCCTACTGTTCAGGGAAGATACGTACGGGTCTACCCCGCCTTGTTATCTACGGGGCCTTGCTTAGCAGTGATCCTTCTAGGTTCTTTTTAAGAGCTTAAAAGCGACTGTGACGGGACGAGCATTCTTAAGATGCGCTGAGCCACAGATCGTCGATCTCCCCACGATGTGTAGATGATTGGAAATATGTCGCTACCAACTAGCTACTTCTAAAAATCGAGAGACAGGTCCGCTTCTGAAGACTCCGTTGGTGCCAATAATGATGACGCTCACGTGAACCTGATACTGAATGAAGGCGAGGGGTATGTGCCCGGTGTAACACGATTGAGACTGTACCCTTCTCATACCAGTCAGCTGGACAACAGCTTCCGCAGCGTGGCATTCAGCATTCAATCAAGAGCACCCGATCCGATCCTGCCGGTCGAAAGAGGCAGGTCAGCGCTACTTTGAAAACTGGGACTGAGACAACAAGTGGCTCTCGAACAAGGGCCAGGGTAAGAGCTAAAGCATCCCGTCCCTTTCCTACGTCTCACATGGTCCAACTTATTCTACGGCTGGAGACGACCTCTTAGTGAAATTGGTGGCTAGAGAGCTACCGTTGGGGCAAGAGGTACGATCAAGGACGAATTTGGCGAGATCTTTGCTGGACGAAGCATACAGCGTAGACGTGAAACCACGGTGGACTTTGAAGGTCAAGACGTATCTTTGACAACTATCACTCAGTCCAATGTCGACAATTCACCAGCCGGACGGTCAAAGAAACCAAGAGGACGAGCTTTCAAGAAACATAGAAACGCCAACGCTACCCCTCCCAGTAATGAACACACTTTTACGGCCCTCTGTTCACACTTGCTGTCAAAACCATTCGAGGCTCGATTGCAGCTTTTTTTCGTGGCTGCTTGAGGCTGCGCTACCTCGTTGCACAAACGATTTCGAAGGTGCCGCCGGTACTCAGAAAGATATTTTCAAATTGTTTGCGGTTGAATTGTGGCTGATATGGTGTTCACTGAGCTCACTACAAGTCAAGGCTCAGGGGCTTATATTAGATCATTCAGCAAGATTACGTTACATTGGTAACAGAAGAATGCACTAGAGTCGTTATGGATTACCATCAGTAAAGAGAAGTTCGAGACGTAGCCGTCCTATTAAGGTACGTAGCAGCCGAGCCTTATCATACTCTTGTTGAAAGAGGACTTGCAAATGCCCTTATTGACCCATGTTCAGCTACCAAGCCCTATATCTCCACTGCAATAACAACCACCGAATGTAGTTACTGTTTAATTGCGTGAAGGTAAGCTGCAACCTCCTCGCTGAAAATATGGTCTTTAGCAAGTTGATCACCCGACTCGACAATCCATGTCTGGCAGTTCCTCTTGGGTAATTTTCTTGCCAACGCTTTTTGCCGCCATGACCTAGGAGTCTCCATCTATTCGGACAACAGGAAAAGGGGTACCGCCCTAAGGCGTATACCTTATCATCGACCGCATTCAAAGTCTTTCCAGGGGCTTTGACCTTATATGCACTGGCCTCAAAAAAGCAGACGGGCACATGATCATGTTTGTATTTTCCATCGTTAAGCATCAATTTTTCGTTGAAATACTCCTTGCCAACCCACTGCAGTGGTACCCTCTTCGTGCGACGGTTGCCGGTGGAGCGGAAGTCATGGCTGCGTTTAAACTCCAAATTGAAGCCGTTCTTTACGTCACCAGCAGCGTGTATCAGAACCCCAATGTCAGGATGGACGTGCGAGCGCACCCAGTATGCCCAGTGATCTTTGAAAGGAGCGCCGTTGTAGATCAGCAACTCGACCATGAAAGCACCAGCAGGGCCGGTTACGGCCACGAAAGGTGCCTTGGTGACAGGAAGTGATTTATGAGCCTCCTGGGCAGCTGGTGGTGGTGGCGGCGGTGGAAGCTTGACCTGTCTTGGATGGAGGGAAGGACATTGTGATGGTTCTAATGGTTGCAGAGCTGTTTTATACTTCTAAATCCAGCTTGTAGTCTGATGGGATATGGAGCTCTGAATGGAAAAAGGAAAAAATTGGAAAGGATGAGTTGATAAAGCAAGTCTCTACAATATTTAATTGGGACAGCCTTTATATGTACCACCATCCACTATTGACTTGCCCACCTGTGGCATAGCACGAAATACGCCTGACTATTGTTAGTGGCCTAAGCGCTGAGGGAATTAAAAGGTTTCATCCTTTATCTCCATTATTTAGTGTTTAAAAGAGAATAGACGAGTCGGATGAACCCCTGCGTCCGTGATACTTGTGATTTGAAACTCATCACTGCATTTTAATGCAGGCCTACATGGAGCGGCATTGCACTATGTATGGCACAACCGATTTCATTGGTGGGTAGTTCAATAGTCAATAAGTTGTCCACGCAGCGTCGCTTGTGCGAATTTGCCAGGAACTTTTTCCAGCAGCAGGTGTCTAAATTTAGCATTGGTCTTAAATACTTATCAGCTTATATGTCATCAATAAGTGATGTGACTCACCCCAACCTATTATTACGCGTTTTCTGTCAGCGCAAAATATTATGATAAGCGCGCGGCATCCTTTACCCAGACACATTCTCAAATTTTTTGATGGACATATACCCCACTCGCGTTCACCCTCTACACCCGATGACAATTGCAGACATCATAATTAAACACTGGCTTGGAGAATAAGCTACGCAATAGGGACCTTTCACTACTCCACCTTTTGCAACGAGAACTCGCGGAATACTCTTCCGACACCGTCTGAAATTAGAGCAATCAGCAAGAAGTCTGGCAAATGTCATATAAGTTTCAATTACCCATCATCTGTCAAGATTCCATCGTTCGGACTTCTTGTCAAGTACAGAGCCAATGTAACTGTCATTGAGGCTCAGACTCAAATAATGTTGCATGAGTATTTGAAGGATCAAGTTCCCATCCCTACGGTTTTTGCCTGGGCTGAAGATGGGGGGCAGGTATTTATATATATGTCATTGATTGATAGTGAAACTCTGCAGGAGAGATGGAGTGATATGAATAAAAATGAGAGGCAGTCTGTCTGCAAGGAACTTAGACACATGGTAAAGGCTTGAAGGGCTTTGGAGCAAGACAGCCATAGCCCTTATATCAGTATACTCTATTAATCGCCATTTTCAAACAGACATAGCTAAGAATTTGCAGGGAGTCTGAGTAGGCCACCGCTGAACAAGATCTTTCTTTCAAGCCATCCAGAACTCACTGGGCCATTTCAAGACACAAACGCTGTCCAGAAGTTTCAAGATGCATACAGAATCAAAATCAGTGAGGAAGTGCCCATTATATTCACGCATGATGATTTTGTACCCCCCAACATCCTTTTGTCGCCGGGCCCAAACCCGGGGATGGCAGCAATCATTGACTGGGGCCAGGCTGGATGGTATCCCGCCTACTGGGAGTATTGTAAGGCGCGACGTGTAAGGCTGGATCCAGAATCCATCAACGACACTATGCAAGAAGAATAGCGCACAAAATATTTGCCAATGATTCTACATCCAGTAGATGAGGAGGCAATCTATCACCCTTGGCTTCATTTTGTTCTGTCTAAAGGGATATAATCCTGTTATGATGCCATGGACTCCAGTGTACATCTACATAAATAATAAAGTGCATCTGACTATATTCAGAGTAGTGGTTAGGGATTAGATGAAGTAACTATCGAAGCTAGATGCGAAGCAGGAATGATTAGTAAGCCCATAAATGTAGACATATTATGAACGTCCTCTACGACACCATTGAGAACACCGGCTCTATCTATCCTCTACGCGAGAGTATGAACAGAATCCAAGCGTTACAAGGATCGAGATACAAGCAGCTGGTAGATGATCTTCTAACGATAGAGGAATATGGGAAGAACGCAAGAGACGGGCCGCTTGGTAGTAAGAAGATCTCCAATGGATGGGCATAACACACCCTGCTAACAGGATAAGAGATATTTCCACCACAATTAAGATTCCACAGATCTACCTTCCGCAAAACATACCGAACGAGAGGGTGCCATATAGCGGCTACGTGAACAAAGAACAGGGGTTTTGGACGTTAATGGACCCTCTGGATTCTACCCAGCGATTGATTTTCTACTGCCAGGAGGCAGACAGGATCCGTTCGTGGTCTCAACACGTACTTGAGAAGTTAAAACGTCCGATTTTGATCGATCTTTCACATCATCTTTTGAGATATATTGAACCGCGCTTTTGAGCGTTATACTCTTATACGAACAAGGTAGTCCCATATTGGTGGCCTCGCACAATAGATTTCAAAGACTCGAATAAGTTTACAAAAGCTGGTAAGGCTTGCCTCCTCGATTGTTATGCCCAACCTTTAACTAGGCCGTGAAAAGAAGCGGCTGCATTGATAATACATATCATATTCGACTTGCACTTAGAAGGGTTCCTACTTAGCCATGCAATCTGCCCAGTACGTTGTCAAAAGCAGCAGTGGTAAGAGGTACGAAAGTTGTCCAAGGCGTACTGACAGGCTTAGCAACCGAATCCCATCCTATGCAACAGCCTACCGGAGTGGCACCCCCATCCTTTTCCGGCACAGGCACGGTTAATCCGCCCTACTATGTTGTCCTAGCAGTCAACAGCCGAGGACAATTTTTTCGTTCAGTATCTAGTTCAATCAGCCATACCAACCTCCGATTGTCGGGCGCAGAGGAAAGTTTCACGCAAGAGGTATTGAGGCAAGAGGAGCAACGAAGAGCTCACCTGCCGCATATGAATAGTAAGACGGAGTACGAGTGTTGGGTAAGTCAATAACATCAATTTCTGTAAATGTGAACCCACTGTTGATAACTATTTTCTTTTCTTTTTTTTCTTTAAAATTTTTCTCTTCAGTGGGGCTCAGGGGAAATAAAAGCATAGCTCGCCGGTTGATAGCTACATGTACATTTGCCTAGTATGGACGATACCTCGATGATATTATAACACACAGCCATCTAACACATTGTCATCATCCTCTCACTATGTCTAAATTTATGGAAAAGGGGTTGGCCGATAAGCGGCCAAGCTGCTACGCCGCACGTAATCTCATATACATTCGTATCTGTTGTGATTTCAGGGTGTTGTGATTTCAGGGGAAGAAGACAGAATGAGGCTGTATCAGCTACACTCACGTAGCCTACTGAGGATCGAATGCCATTTGATAGATACTCAATTCTCTATATCGCTATCTCGTGGCCTCTTGTTGTCAGGAAGCCTCAGGGGTTGGCGATCACCGATCAGCCAAGCCACTAGGGTCACGTGGTCTTATGTACATTTATATCAAAATGCGAATTACTTTAAAGTCTGCCTCTACGCCGCCGACCACCAGCACTCCTAGTTGTACGGGCCCTGTGTACAACACCCTGAGCAAGGCTTGCACCTCTTCGTGGTGCTCAGGACAAGTAGCCACAGCTACGTGGTGAAACCAAGCAGGCCATCATGTACGTACATATTCATTTTTCTGCCGGTCCTATACCAGCGCTTACATGAAATTTTTGTTGTTGCAGTTTTGTCTTAAGGGTCTGCCGTAGTTATTTTCGGAATCTGGAAATACAGCGGTGCCGCATGACAAACCGCATGCAATCGCTCATTTTCATACTTGTAGGGGTCTGAAGGTCTGCACCAAGTATATATTCTAGGAGCTCTGTACGGAGCTCATCCTTCATCGAATCATCATTATCCTTCTTGGAGCTATCCATCACTAACGCCCAAACGCTTGCCGACCGAATCATCCTACTGGCCGGTCCAGCTTCCATTCCCCGAAGCCCAGGGAGACTATAAAACCCGATATTTCCCTCTTGAAAGACTTTAAAGCAAAAGCCATGATTAGCAAGTTCCTCATGAGCCGCATGTCCCTGCAGTCAATTCTGAGAATCCTTGCGAAGCACACGGGATAGAAGTGGATTGATTTCACCTTCTGGTCTTGCCTGGGTGGACCATTTAGACATTATGGCCAAGAAATACGCGTGGAAAGGGTTTTTTTAACTATGATCGGCTCTAACATAGCATTACTCGTGTGACATGGTACAAATTGTATGGTACGGAGGACCTTTCGAATTCAAACTGCTTGCTATCTCATTCGTGGAAGCCACCTAGGCCCACCGGAAACACCAGCCCTCTGGGTCATGGTCGGCACGTCTTCAATACTTTAGGACGATTGAGAGTTTGACATGGAATTTTAGCAATAGTATTGAGTTCGGACTCTGAAAAGATGCACCTCAAGAGAAGGCCCCCAAGAGAAAACGGTCCCCTTTCTCCGAAGTGCTTCGATCTAACTGGCGTACCCTGCCACCGAGAGACCTCGAATCAAGGAGTCTGGAATAACTCCATTATTCGCGGCAAGCCTTTCAGTGATGGTTCTGTGGAGAGCTACATTTCGTGAAGCACTGCCATCTTCTCCGATCAAGATATTCCATCTCTGAGCTAGCCTCATCCTTCCTTCGCGCGATGAATCGAGATTCAAGATTTTGAGCAAATCGACAACGGAGTTTTGCCAATCCATATTCGGTTGTGCATATTGAGCCGCTTTGTTCGCCAAAAGAACGTTCAGTTGTGCTCTGTTCATTCTAGGGTGGTCCCGTATTTGAGATTGATCTGAAAGACGTGAGAAGATGTGTCGGGCGTGGAAAGTGTGCTGTACTTACGGCTGATCGAATGACTCCCGTCTAGACATGCTAGAAGTTCCTTTGCTATCGCCGCAGCGGTTGCTGCTGCATACTCCTGCCAAAAGTCGTTCTTTTCAGCATATGCCCAATCACTGATTCCGCTTATCACTGCAACTGGTAAGGTATCCATCATTCCCGCTGCCTCCATTTCAATCGCAATGGCATTATATTCACGGGCTAACTCATCGCATCTTTTGGCAGACTTTATAACACTGTTCCCGGACAAAATACATCCATAATGGATAATAGGATCACGTGGCTGCGTAAATGACCCACAGAGGACATTGGATGGGGGTACAGGTCGTTGAGAGGAGCTTGTGCTCCTGAATCTATCGAGGTTGGACATGAATCTTGTGGTCGTCTCCTGGGTAGCCCGGAGTCCGGTGACTGCGGAGCGTATATGTCTATCGGGCGAATTTTGCCATTGCTTGAGAATGATTTGCTCTGGCTCAACTTTGATCATATCATACTCATAAACTCCGGAATTATTCTCGGTTGAAGTAGCGACCACCACATCACCTAGGCGTATATCACATCCATATCGAGGTATACCAGCACCTATACCAACGAGGAGGCCTGTCTTGATATTGCGCAGGTCACGCTGGATCTCCGAGGCCATATAGCTGGCAACGCCAATTCCAGTTTCTCCAACTGGGAAAAAAGCGATTGCAACGTTTGTTATACCCATCCGCCCAAATCTGTAGCATAGCCGTTGGACTTCATTCGGAAGCGGACTTTGGTGGTGTTCGTCTAGCATGAGGATGGCAGCGCTAGCCTCAAAATGCGAGGGAGCGAACCATGCTACCGTGTAGTCTTCCGTACTTAGACAAAGTGACATTGTTAGAGAAATTTCTGGAATAATGCCATGGAGTGAAAAAAGAACGATCGGCAAGCTGACTTGGAAGTAAGACATGCTTATAACACTCTGAATAATTCGCCATGAAAGGGATGCCGGCGCCATTCCAATCCACCTGCAGAGCCTCATCTGTTTAGGGATTACGAAATGTTGCATGGCATTACCACGCCCGAGGCGTAGAACAGTCTGCATGCATATATGCTTGCATGTGTTGGCGGAAGCAGTAGCGACCAATGTTTGATAGACTGAGGCCAATGCAGACCAGCAAACAATGAAGAAAGGCAACCCTTTGAGGCTCAATCGATAATGATGAATATAAAAGCCCATCTTAAATCATTTCTGACTACAGGAATTGCTTAGAAGGGACGTATTATCCATATACTTCTTTCACGTTGCCGACCATAGAGAGAGCCTTCACGCTTATCTTATCATGGAGTCAAACTCAGCACGCAGCTTTAGATGTATAAAGTCAATTCAAAACAGAAGTGGCATCAAAGCAAAAGTCATTCTTCTAGTTGGTAGACTAGGCGCAGGGAAATCTTCACTGACCGAAGTTATCACGGGAGCCGAGGGGCTGTCAAGTGGTGGAATCCATTCATGTAGGTCTTTGATCTTAACAAGTCACCAGAGTTTTGAACTGACTCTCGCAAGCGACCGATCACTGTCAAATTTTTGATGCAAATATTAACGGCGAGGAATACTTCATTGTTGATACACCTGGCTTCGAGCCTTACAATAAAGGGGAAATATTCCGTCAAATAACGGGGATGTTACAACAACTACATCAAAACTCCATTTTCGGTATTTGGTACTTGATCAACAACTTGACCAGACAAGATGGGTTTGACCAGGAGATGGTAGCCTGGTTAATAGCTTTTTGTGGGCAGTCGTTTTGCCCAAATGTGACAATTGTGACCACCTTTTGGACAGGGGAAGGTGGCATGCTTCGGAATCAGAATCAAAACCTCCAACAGCGACTAGATGAAGAATGGGCCCAACTGCAGGCATGTGGCGCTCGACATCATGCCTTTGGGAAATATTATGTCAATGGCATTCCGCAGGAGAGCACTATATCTCTATTCGACCCAGCTGGAAAAGAAGAGCTAAAGCAGCAAGCCGGAAGCATGGTTACACGTTACTGCCATAGTGAATCGACACCATACCCCCAGATACTTCGGGAGCTCTGTGAGCCACGACCACTGCACAGGACCAGTGCTGGAAGGGTATTCCCCCCTCAAAATCAACAGGCGCCGAGGAGTGCTTCACCCGAGGAAAGAGAAGCACCAAGAGAAGCCTCGGATGCCGAGCCACGTGTACCAAGGCAAGAAAGGGCGGAAGCTTCAGTATGGTCCCTCTTCCCGGAGGTATTGGGACATGCACTTGGAAAATTATTGGACGTAGCAGTTGCAGACGCGACAGATCACCTTAGAAGAAGACCCATAGATCCGATTAGAGGAGGAATAGGAGGGATTCCTCCAACTCGAGCTCTACATGAAAGTGGAATCTTCCAACAATCAGCTTTAGAAAGGGGCATGCAAGAAAGCGATCTTGGTCCACTGTCTTCAAACCATACAGCCAGGCACTATAATGGTCCCAGGGACTTCAATTTCGATCCACTTTCTTCATGTGATACAGCCAAGCTCTATAATCGTCCCGGTGACTTCAATTCTCGAGAAGAATACTATAATTCATGGGGTTTGAATGCCCGCTACGGGGAATTCAAAGGCACTGCAGAGCAAAATGATACTCTTCGCGAAGAGATGCACAAGAGATGGCACAAATGAGAAGCAGACGTAAGCCGGATGAATTTAAAGAGGATTCTCATGTTTCTTAGGGTTGCAAATAACGTGGGGGACTATTACTGTACAAAGTACGATGGTGGAATGGAACATGGTAGAAGTATGATGTATGGAAGAAGTCTGAATGTGGATGGTAAGTCAAGTGCGGCATATGGATCCATAGATCATATGTGACCCACGAACAGTTAACAATCATGTAGGTACAGATGATTCAGCTTAATCCAAATTTTGCAGCAAAAATGTTTGATATTTGTGTATAAACTGTCCTAGAATGACTTATGCGATATATCATAATGCTTAGACAAATGAAATGTGTTTTTCATTATGTTTGAGGCTTCAATAAGATCCACGAGTGACTCGAGGAAAAATCCATGTTTGTGTTGATAGCTCTTAACATCACGGGGGCACTTACATGCAAGCTGGCCAAGAGAAAAGATCCTGAGCAGCTAGACGATCGTCGTTTTTTTTCTTTGGCAAAAATGATTGGCCGTTCCGAGTGCGGTTGCGAACGAAGAAACAGACGGAGTTAGAGAAGAAAGGGGAGCTCTTGCTTTGCGGAAGGAACTTTTGACGAGGGGGAATAGGAATTCGGTATGTATAAGAACTTGGTCTAGAATCATGGGACTGACAATTTTATTTTCACTAGAGAAAAAACTCATTCAGGCTATACTATCTATCGGGCTTGCAAGTTCATTCATGTACATCCCGGCAAAGGTTGCCGGGAGCATTGGAACGGGGGACAATTGTTGTAAAGGCTTTTACGGCCTTCTCGCCGAACCGATATCTGGTTTCCTTGCTAGCCTCATCTACCTAGTTCATGCTACTCTTTTCCAGCTGAGACCATATAGTTTCCCCCGCTTCTTGTCACACGTAATCACAACAGAAGTGCCGCTATTTCATGAGCTCGGCTTCAAGGATAATACATTTGTTCCTATTGTAAGTCTATCGAAGCTATACTACCTAGTAAATCGGAAAGGAAACGATATAGTGCCCTAGGATACATGTAGGGTCTATTTACTATTTGATGAGTTGCCGATGCCTAGTACAAAACTATGGCCACAACAGGCTGAAGCTGGGCTCCTAACACTTGCGAAAGCAAGAGATATCCAGGGGACACGAACAATGTTCCCTTTCTGGCTTAGTCCATCTCTTGATCCATTTGTTATTTTCGGATTCCGAAAACCCAGTGATACTGCTTGGCATTATCTATGTTTATACTTGTTGGGGGTTGAAGGTATGCCCTAATTATATGTCAAAGGTATACATAGATAACAGCATACCAGTTTCATGGATAGTCGCTTAACTATATATATGTCATTCGAGGGCATATAATACTTGGCACTTCTAGAGACAATATCTCAACTATACCACTCATTCATTGTGGATATGGACATAACGTGTCGTATTTTAGGAAAACATTAATTATACCTATTCCTTCTGGAAGAGGCGTGCAACTCGCTATCAGATTACAAGAAAATCGTCAAACCGCAGATAGTTATTAGGAAAACTTCACAGTCTCCTAGAAACCAGCTCTAATACGCTGGACGTCTGTGAAATAACGGACTTTGTGAACTTGAGCCGCATGGCTCTTCAGCTCTTGATGGCCATGCAGAACAAGCTGGCAGAAGTCATCTGGACATGGTATGGGCTCTTCACGCCCGATACTCCGCAGGTATTTTTCAAAATGTTCTCGCGCTTTTCGAGACGTTGAAAAATAACATTGATGATGCGAGTTGAACACACAGAAGAGACAATGCTTATTAGTGAGAGAAATAGGAGACGCACGAGGTTCTGGAGTAGATGATTCTTCATCTGGTTGGGCCGAGGTTACGGACATCGGACTGGTAGACTCAGTAGTCAGGTCTTCTCCAGATATTCTCTCTGACGGTATTTTCATCACACGGCCGAGATCAATCAGCGCATTTGCCAGTGCAAGCCGGTGGTCTAGAGCTTCTTTCTCTAGAAGGTCCTTGGTAGGGAGCCTCATCAGGTCTGCTACACGCCTTCGCTTCTCCAGCTTGTGAATGATAGATTCAGAGCGATACTCATTGTTGTCGACATTAATAAAGGATAGATCAAGCTGCTTATTTATTTCCTTTGTGTTGATTGTATCAAAGAACTCTCCACAAGCAGTGTTAAAAGGTTTCCTTTTTTTTGCCTTTATACTGCGTAGGCTAGCCTTGGCTTTAGTCTTAAATTCTCTAATCTTTATTCCTGCTATATTCTTATACGATCTATAAAACTCTTTCGCTTCCACAGCTAAAGTATTATGTAGTTCTTGAAGACAAATTATTTCTAGGTAAGAAGAGATTGAAGCTCTTTGTGTAGAAGTAAGATTATTAACATAGGCCGGTGCACGAGGATCCACATAATAACTTTGATAACTGAGGATATTTATCAATATATTCTTAGAACGAATCCCAAGAAATACTGCCTGGACATGGCACTGGACTCGCTGGTTTATATACTTCTAGAAGACACTGGCATGAACATGTCCTATAACTTACTGTAGCAATGGAAGTGATATAATATCTAGAAGTTTAATATATTAGTAGTTATTTAATTATATCTAAATAGAAATACAAAACAAAATGGCAGTTAGAATAACTTACTGTCAACTGCTTTACCCGTGCCTCGCTGTAGGTCATACGGTCTTATAGCCTGAATTATGTCAATAGCTAAATTTAAATTTTATAGATAATAGAGGTATATATAATATTTCAGTAGCTTCATATCATGCGTTCTAGTCCTATATCCAGTCAAGATAGGTTATCAATATACTGGAACGTTTAATTTATTCTTACTAAATTTAAGGCGGTTAGAGCGTCGAGAAATAAGAATATAATTAAAGAAAACTTCCTTAACAGAGCAAATATTACTCTCGAACACATTATCAAGAATTGCCATAACAATAATAAGCATTGCAATATCGAATACTGACTCCTTTACTTTAGATATCAGAAATATTTTACTATGATATTATAATATTTAGCCTTGGTAATAACTCACTCTAGTAAAAAACTTACTGCTTAGACTTATTATGGTGACCTTTTGTGTATTTTAGATGTCAAGGATATCTACTATTCAGGGTAGAAGACCTGTCAACTAGGTAAGGATACGTAGGCTGGAAGGGAGAGAGATCAAAGGCAGGCAGTAGATACTATTCAGACAGGAGACTGATTCTTGATCTCCTACTACTACTAACTATTCGCTAATTTATAGCTGAAGATTCTGTACGTAAAGGGTTCAGATTTCCCGTTGAAAACAAACTGTTGATGGCCTGATGTTCCTCATCGGTGACCGGTTGTCCATGCACCTGGGCCAGGGTATCCTGTACGGCCATCAGGCCGAATCGCTTTTCAATCTGTGACATTAGATCAATCTCCGTTACTAAGTGATTATGAGAGCTATAGAGATTCAGTAACAAGATTAAATTTATCTGACTGTAGTAAAGGGTCTTCAGATTCTCACTCATTGTGTCCTAATCCTTTTCCTCGTTTCTATCATTATCATTATTACTATAACTATAGAAATGTGAAATATTAGTCCGCTCATTCTTCTCTACGTATACTAATACCCCTGGCTGATTAGTGGTATAAGTAGAAACAAGAAGAAGGAAGGCTAACTAAATAATTTACCTGCTATCGGGATATAGCATTTGACAGACTTTGCGAGCAATACTACCGTTCGGCTACAAAAAGGTGCCATGACATCTAATTGTACCTTCAGGTAGATTATAAGTGCTCAGTCCAACAAAAACTAATAACTAGTCTTTAATAAAGTAAGTTATATACTCTGTATAATAATATTATTCAGAAAATAACACTAAGTTCATATTTCTCACTGGAATTCATATAATTAATCCTATACAGAGAAGAAAGAGAGAGTCTTATATTATAGAATTAACTTATAGACAGCCCTATATCATAGGAAGCTCTATCTAAGGCATCACTGCCAAGCCTTTACCACATAAATATTTTGTATAACATGTTATTTCTGTTAGTTAGCTATTTCTTCTTGTTCAATAGGCACGCTTAGGTTAGAACAATCTATTCGTCCCGTAACAATAGTGTTTACAGTGACCTAAGTATAGTATCTGCTCTCTGAGTGTGCTTTAGCTAGGTTCAGGGAGCAGATCTTCTAAATCTCAGTCTGCTGGGCCTTAACATATCAAGGCCCTGGCTTACTAGACTGAAGAAGACATTATTTATAGTCTGCTGGATATAGACCATGGCAGTATAGGCTTCGCGGGAGACAGGTATGAGAGGATAGAATAGTACAGTGATTAGTATAATCCTTCTCAGTATATTATATAGAGCTGTAGAGGCGGCAGCAGGGGTTATAAGTACAGGATCTAGAGTTATATTACTTCCAGTAGCAGTTATATTATATAGTCTTTACTCTTCTAGATAAAGATTAGATATTAGTGATTATATTAAATAAGAATAGTTATATAGGAAGTATAGCTTTACTTACTTTAAAGAAATTAATAAACCAGCTTAATAAAATAGTATTTAAATTAATAGTACTGGCAGGAGTCTCAGTTACTGTAATAGAAATTAGGCCAGTGGCTTCAGTGATCTCTGTAGATAATATCTCTAGGCTTACAGGAACTATAGAGTATTACTGTACTGTAAGCTGACTGACCTTTTTTAATATATTAATAACCTAATAAGATATCAAGCAAGAACTATATATTACGCCTGGGTATTCGGGCAAGAGTTCTATGGGTGTTAGCTGTCTTGCGTTGCGTGATGACTATACCTGAGCAGTGAATCCGATGTGCTTCCGAATATAATCCTATCCAGGATCCAACAGTATGACCTAATCTGAGGTCCGGCGATGTACAACGATGTTCCGTAGGTAACTCAAGTCCAAAAGGCCAGGCCTACTAAGTATGTATACTCAGTAGTTAAGGAAGTGTGAATAAGTCAATTACTAACTTGATACCAAAGGTGTATCCTAAGTAACAATGATAATTGATCATGAAGAACTAAACTAAGTACATGAATGAGTGTCCTTATATATCCTCTGTTCTCCTACTCCTCTGTATACTCCTGGGGTAGGTGATGGGGTAGGTAGTCCTCTGATTGGTGGTTCTTGATATACTCCTGATATACTCCTGGGAGTAGGTTATGGGGGTAGGTGATCACGTGATAAAGCTAGTGTCTCTCCCTTTATCTCTGTGCCCCACGTTTTCCTTGACTATCGTAGTCCTATCACTTTCTGCCTTGTGTGTCCGCCCTCCTGATAAGGTGCGCTAGACAAGGGTCTGTAACACTATACTTAATCTGGTAGATATTAAAGAAGACAGAAATAGTCTCTTTCTATATCTCTAGAATCATAAGGGTATCTAGTAATATAGACAGAAGAGCAAATCTAGTCTTGATAGACTGGATACCCTTAAGCACTTTGCTATCCGCATCTAGATAAGAATAGAGACTAGTATAGATAGTAAAGGTATCTATATTTTTAGTATTATAGTTAGGCAGGAGATATATAAAGAGGCAGAAGTCAGGCTATTACTTTAGAGCAGGGATCAGGGTCCTTAGCTTATAGCTATTTCTTATGATAGCTGTATAGACAGTAACTCTAGCAGGTATCTGAGTAGCTGTTATATATATTAACTGAGCAAGACTAGAGGGGAGAGAAGAGGAAGGGAGTGAGGAAGGGAGAGAAGCAGGGAAAGGAACAGGAACAGCTATAGGGGATAAGGTAGGTAAGATCACGGGTATACCACTAATATAGGTATTAAAGTATTGCTGGGCTATGTCAGCTAGATTATTACTGAGAGCTTCAAGCGTGTTCTGCTGGTGGGAAACAAGGCCCGTGTTTTGGTGTCGATATTTGTCTAGGAATGCTGCAACAGGGCTAAATATCTTTTGACCTTCAGCAGCTCTAGTAGCAGCCGCGGTAGTTGACTCCAGTAAGGCAGGCCTATAGAGGACTATCTGATAGAGGATTAGGTCTTGTCATTGCAATGTCACCGCGACGCGTCATGACGCGTGTTGGATACTGCCTGAGCAGTGACAACGGGGGTTGATGGATGTCCAATAAGCAGTGGATGTAGCAATACACTTAGATCTGATCTAAGCACCGTGCTTAGAACGAAAAGACCTAACAAAAGGAGTTTTTGGACGCCTGGCGCATGAGGTGACTGAAGATGGAATTATCGTTGGGGTGTGGCAGCAATTCTCTCGTATTAGGGCTGCCCAATAAGATCAATCTATCTACATTGGCCTGAGCCGTTACAGATCAATCCAACAGGTCATTGAACATATAGTCGACTAAATGGTTGATTATATGTCTGAATATAGTCAAGTATAATAGGTTAGGTGGAGCTAGACCTCGGCCCCCTGGGAAGCACTGCAGCCCGCCATCAGATGTTACTGCATCTTTAACAATGCATCTTTTGAATCATATTGTTCATTTATACAGCACCAGATAAATATAGATTAGATGCATCGAGGGTACGATGACGAATTCTACACTGGTTATTATGAAATTATGATCCTTTAGGATGGTAGATAACGGTCAGCCATTCAGGATTTGATCTCATGCCTTGATCCAGAACAGTAGAGATCAATTGTGATGACAGGCTCGGTTTCATGGAATGTCTCATCACTCCAGACTGTCTCATTACATAACCACGCAGAGCTAAATTCTTGTGGAGACGATTCTGAACTATTTAAACTCTAAGCCATTTACAACATGTGGCTGGCTGGAGCTCGACCAACCTGTACCAAGAGTGCCGTTTTCGTGCAGGAGCTGAATATGCAAGGGAGAGAACCATGCTCTCCGCCGGGTCGATTCCCCACAGTTGATTGAGTATGAGGGGGTCAAGAAAATATTCGATCCAAATAGAACTTGGATAGTTTAAGGTTATTAATAGCTAGACAATAATATTTCGTTCGAATTGGGTCTGTATATGGGTACCTGTTGACTGAATGTCTACTTCTGCAGTAAATTCGAGAATGTCCGACTAGCTAATTGCCACTCATTTAAAGTGAACCAGATGTGGAGACTGCAGTGTGACGATGCAACATGACATTGAATGACATCTTGAAGATCAATCCATGACGAACTCAACCATTGAATCTGTTCATGCCAAGAATCCAACCCCCCCTTCCTTGTCGTAATCTACACCCGCCAAAAAAAAGGCTATAAAAAGGCAGGTCGTTGACAGGAAGGTCCATCCATTACACGAGCTCCGTGCAGAACCATCCAGAATGTTGACTCTGCTTGGACTACTTGGACTACTTGGCCTAGTTGGCACTGCTGCTGCCACCGCCACCCCGGCCGTCACCGTCTCGTCAGGTCCGGTGGTTGGAACCATCTCTCCTCCCAATGTGCCCTCTGGGGATCCATATGCCCATGTCTGGTTGGGGATTCCCTATGCAAAGCCCCCTGTAGACGAATTGCGTTGGAGACCCCCACAGGAGCCAGAATCATGGAAAGAACCACTCCTAGCACAGAAGCTGCCGAATGCCTGCCACCAGCAATTTAGTGGCGCAAAGCCAGGCCGTGACTTCCTCAAGGCTCTTATTAACAATCCTCCGCTAGAGGAAAACGAGGATTGTTTATATTTGAATGTATACGCGCCTGCAGACGCGTCTTCTGAGAACAAAAAGGCTGTTATGTTCTACATTCATGGCGTAAGTTGACCTTGGCCTGGAGGCTATTCACAGTTGAGAGCAGTCTATTAATGCAGACAAGGGAAACCTTCAAACTGGCTCGGCCTCTGCTGCCAACTACAATGGCACCTCTCTGGCTGTCAATCATGACGTCATCCTGGTGACCATCAACTATCGGACCAACAGTACGTAACATACCTTCCTAGTATTCCAGAAAACATAATACTTATGACAACAGTCTTTGGATTCATTGGGGCTCCTTCACTTGACAAGGAGGATCGAAATCTCGGATTTGTTGACCAGCGACTTGCCCTCAACTGGACGTATGATAACATCGAGCAGTTTGGCGGTGATCGCAACAAGATCACCATTTTCGGGGAGTCTGCCGGTGGCTATTCGATCAAGCAACTGCTGGCAAACCCCCCGGGCCCTCCTGGGCAACCTCCCTTCCGAGCTGCGATTATGCAGTCGCAGCAGGCAATGTTTCTCGGGAAAGCGCTGAGAAACGATTATATGGTAGTCCGAGAACGGCTCGGGTGTCATACGCTCGAGTGCATGAGAGGCAAATCGGCAGCAGATATCATGGAGTTGGCCAATAACGGCACGTATCTGGGCACACCCCTATTTTTTGCTCCAACCAGCGGGTCTGGCAATTCACTCAACGACGTCCGTCCCACTCTGAGAAAAGGAAGCTTTACCGATGTTCCCGTCATGTACGGCACGAATAAAAACGAGGGCAGCATTTTTGCCCATGTTCGAAGGCTCAACACGGCGAAGGAAGCTGAAAAAAGGGCTTTACCCCCTCAGCAGGTGTTGGTAGATGACGTTCAGTCTTCGGACGCCGAAACCAACATGCTTCCGCTTTGTCCAAACTTGTCAAAGAGATGGTGTTTCTTGAACTGGAGCAAGTGCGTATAATATTTCCGATTGCAATTGAGCAGAATAACTAAGCTGATGAGAAATATCAGGTGGATGACCGGGGTTCCATTTACTTGCCCGACGTCAGAACTAGCCAAGTTTACCGCAAAGCACAACCGCAAGGTGTGGCGGTACCGGTACTCGCCAGAGTTCCCCAACCTGACACCCTACGACGATGCAGGCGCATACCATGGCGCGGAACTGCCCCAGGTTTTTGGAACCTACAACGCTACGACTGCTACCAAGAACCAGATTGCGCTGAGTGCCTTCATGCAGAAGACGTGGACTGATTTCGCCAAGGACCCAGAAAATGGTCCTGGCTGGCCCTCGCTCAATGAAGACTCGAAATTGGCTGATTTCGGGAATGATGAGTATCCTCAAGGCATTACTTTGATCGAAGCAAAAGACGCGGATGAGAATTGTGGTGTCTGGTTCCTAGAATCAGAAGCTTATGACCTTGCTTGGTGACTTCTCACGTCATGAATGGTGTTATATCGACTAGAATGTTAAATGTAAGGGGCAAATTCATGGTAGATGTTGACAACCTAACTACTTGGAATTATTTTTATTCTTTTACTACTCGATAGATCAAGAACTTATATCTATATATCTTTAATCTATTATTTTTATCTAGTTTTATTAAATTTGTATTAAAATTTAAAGTTAATAGATTTAAAAATAGATATTAGTCAAAAAGTTTAAATTAAAATTTTAGTTATTATTTTATTCTATTTTTTGTTTTTAATTTTATTTTCGGTAGAATAAATTAGGAATTCTATAACAATAACTTAATTAAGTAATAATTTACTAATATAAAATTTCGGGTTACCAATTGACTGCGGTTTTCGGCTACATTCGCTGCCAGTTTCGGGTGGTCTGAAGCCCCATCTAGTGCGTCTTTTATCAACATACGCCAAACATCAGCGTACGATTGTGTCCAATCTTCAATAAAAGCCTCGGCTTGAGCCATCATTCTAAATCGCTTATGGCATGAACCCGTCTCTTCACTGACTTCTTTCTCGGCACCATTGTCGCCGCTGACCCTTGTGAGCTGACATGGAAACTGTGACAATGGCAAACTTGGAAATAATAACTGGCAAAAAGGACAGATACCGGGATTTGCGCCATTCGCAACAGCGTAGAATCCGTATCCATCCAAAAGGGTTGTTTCTCCCGCTCCACTCTTTATAACTTCCTTGGCTTTGGTCACACCCCTCTTTTTCATATATTCGCGTGCCTCCTGAAGGCTGTAGAAACTTTGACTTTTCGACTTATACCCTGTCATACGGGGATGTGCATCTCTCCTGCCGTAGGTCAGATAAAACTTAAGTTAGCTATTCTGACAAGGTGAATTACCATGAAGAAAAGATAGTGGGCTCCTTGATACACCTATCGAAAATCGCATAATATTCTTTATTCTTTCGGTTTTACGGCATGGTTGTGACTATTTAGCATTAGATACACTTCCCAAGGTAGTTCAGGCAGTTGGAGGTGCTTTCAAAAGGACGACACAATATTTGTAGAAATATCTTGAAAGATTATCTTATAACTCTAGTCTACAAGTATTCAGATCTTTTTACATTAACATAGAGTAAATCATAAAGATGAACGCTTCTATGATTCGACCACTTGTATAAGGCTGTCAGCGCCATTGTGCAGGCCACCTGACAGTATGTTAGGAGCCAATTAGGACAATGACCTCTAGGAATAAGTTTTATACTTGTTTTTCCCATATAGATTATTCTGCTGGTGAAGCACAGAATTAGGCCACTACAGTGATTACCTTTAGACAAGGATATCTGCGTGTAACGGTAGTAGCACAGCATTCTTGAATCGTAACTTCAGTTTAGTGTTACAGCACTAAACTCAGCCATTTTAACCTCAAACAGCCAGAACAACGGCGTTAAATGAACCATCCAGCGGTACTACACTGCCGTCTGCCTGGTTAGTGCTAAATGCTCTCTCTAATCCGTGGACGAAGCGCATGAATTCATGCAGTCCAATAAACCTTTCCATTTCAATCTCTGTATGAGTTAAATGGGCTGTATTCTCTTACATTTTCTAAGTGCACTCTTTCACGTCCGGAATAAAGGCCACAGTCATCATCAGATACTTATAGGCCATGATTCCTAAATTTAGAATATGAACTATGGACTAATTATAGCCAAACCGAGGTCGTGTCTGTCAATCTAAGCAAATGCCACTGTATATATACTTATTAATTACTGTTGCCTAGGCTGCGGCAGGACCCTCGCGGACCCTCGCGGACCCTCACCCTCACCCTCATTTTTGAGGGTTAGGTTCCAGACCTTGGACTCTTAGCAAGGTTCTAACATTGCTTGGATCCTCTAAGGATTAGGGTTAAGATTCTTGAGATTCCTTAAACAGAATAAATATAGAAAGATTATCCCGCTCAAAGGTCCAAGATCATCAGCCTGGAAACTTTGCGGGAAATGTGATATATATACTTAGTTTCGGTTCTAGAGCAATAGCCAAGATGAATAACTTTCCCACCAGTCCCATACAGAGATGTGCAAACCAGCTTCACCGATTTGCACTCTTTCATTAACTGAGGGCCATATAGCGAAGACGTTAGCCCGGAAATCGAGTGCGGGTTATTGGGCTCTGGCATGCAACGTGTGAGCATAAAGGCTTGGCGAGCAGCTCCACCAATTAAGTTCTGAAGCTACAGTTTAGACTGTACTATGAGTAAAATTATTCATACGAAGGAGTATAGAATTATTGAGGAGGATTAAATAGATAGCCAAGTAAATCTAGAATATAGGGCTTTGCAAAAACGACGTCTGGGTTCTATACTCATTCTTAGATTTTTAAACCCTAATGCCAAAGCCCGCCCCCCCCCCCCCCCGGCTGACCTGACTATGCCCTAAAGCCGATGAGGTAAAGGTGGGGTCTTATGCGAAAGAGGAAGTACTACACGCGCCCGGAACACAGGTTACGCCAGATTCATGGAGAGCCCCAGTGGCGTGGATGTGGTAGCGGAGGATGTGGAAGATGAGATCGCCGTACGTGGGATAGAGAATCAATGGACTGATCCTCAGCTTGGGACGGTTTGAAGCAGGCTCGCGCGGGCTTCGCAACCTCTTGCTGTACAGTAGAGTTGCCTTGGTCGTCCTTTTGGCGCAATAAGAGTAATGGACGTACTGAGGTACAGACAGGCAAGTAGAGGTAGAGGCCCGCCTTTGGTGCTCCCCTGCTGTGCGTGTCATGCCTGCGCTTGATATGCCCCGCGATGGCTGCTGTCACCATCGCTATGACCGCCATTATACCTTGTGACATGTTTTGGTGGCCGTTCCCTCCATTGTCATGTATCGTCGTGCGTCGTCGTGCACACAGTCCTGCTCGCAGTCGTTGCCACATTGTCACCGTCTGAGCCGCTATTAAGGTCTTTGCCAAGTTATCGCAGTTTCACCGTGCTGATCTATACTACCCCGAATGATCTTCGCACTTCAGCCGGGTATTCTATCCGCGCTTCTTGCGGCGTTGACTAGAAACTTGACAACTGTCATGTCGTCGAAGGAGGCAACATAGGGATTCACGGCGGCGGCAGCGATAAAGGAGCGGATCCCCAAGGATACCAGGGCTGACAGCTGTGGAGGTTTATCGTTCTCTAAAAGTTCGTCGCGACAGAGGGGTATCGCTCAACCGAAAGAGAAAATGGCCGATTTTGCCAAACATCGGCCACTTTTTGCTCCCGCTTACGAGGGTACAGTACAACTCGGAGTAAGATATTGGGGTGCGAGGAATATGTGACTATATGTTCGCGAGCTACTAGACATTACGACAACATGAACGCTCTCCAGTCCATGTTCTTGTATCCTATTGCCCTCGGCGATAATCTCAAAGCTTCAGCACTCCCCTAGTGGTGGCTCCCATCAGAGGGTCAAGAGCGAGTATATGAATCGTGTACCGAAAAGCCGTTAGACGCAGCTAAAAATGATACCGAAATAGCTGTTTGCTAGTCTGGGCGCAGAATGTCGAATTCACAGGTCGACGGCTTTGGCGAGCCTCTGGCTCCCTTGCGTTGTCGCAAATTCGGAACTCGATTGTAAAGCTACCTGGCGAAACAATGCGTGCGATGAAATTTGATGCAGTAGCTGTCGTGGGAAATGTCAACCTATAAGCGTAGAAATCATGGAGACGGAAGCAGCCGTGGACACCGACGGCCGCCTTGAGTTCCATCGAACTGGCGTCAAAAGCCACACATGGAGCTGCAAATCATCTCATTTGCCAAGCTTTGTCAAGATGCAGAGGCACGGTGCAGTGATAACTACTGCCGGAAAAGGGGTTCATCTTGATCTTGAAAGAGACTAATCTTCAGATTCATAGTAGGATTAACTATTACGCTAGCCTTTTTTCCTATCTACTGTCTGCAACCGCAGCCTCGTTGTCAGCGGCCAACATCCTCCGTATGGCTGGCCGATTCACGCAGCGATCCCACCAAGCCCTCACAGCGTGGCGACTGACGATCATGTCTCCGTACCCGCATGCGAAAAGTCTTTGGACTAGCGGAATGTAGTAGATATCCACGAGAGTGAAGTCATTTCCCGCCATGTAGTCTCTGTGGTGTAAGAGACGTTCTGCAACATCGAAAAACATCTCCACCGACCGCAGTGCATCTGAGACAACGGCGTCATCGGGAGGCAGCCCTATGAATCTCTTGGCAAATTTCTCGAATGCGATCCTACCTGCAGGCTCTGCGAAGTAGAGCATCTCCACGCACTGTGCCTGGTCGAACAGCGCCGCGGCTTCGGCGTCGGAGTCGGGTGGTAGAAGTGGAAAGGAGTACTTCGCCGCGAGGTATTTGCAGATTGCGCGACTCTCGTAGAGAGTGAAACCCTCGGCAGAAGTTATTACGGGTATTTTACCCCACGGGTGACGTTTCTCATGTTCTTTGGACTGGGTGCAATGGCGTTAGCTCCCACGAGAATCGAACGTTGCAGGCAGGGGAACAAAGAAGACATTTTTGAGGCTCGATACGATATACAATTTGCTCAACGAGAAGCCATATCGTCTTCCAAGGGAAACGAGTCACCCACCTTTTGCTCCCCTTTTTGAAGGTTGACAAGCACGAGTTCGTAATCCGTAAAGCCACCTTCCGCAAGAGTCAGGCGGACACGATCGGTGTTGGTTGAACCGCGAGAGCCATACAGAGTAAAAGCTGGCATTTTCGAGCTGTACAGTAGTTTCGACGCGAATCCGGGGCTATTTTTGAGCCTCGACATTGAATAAGGTACTCATTTCGAGGGAGATCGGGGGCAAATCACTCGATATATAAGCCGAAGACATCTCGACGAGAGCAGGAGCCAGCGGTATCTACAGAGCCGGGATGCCTCCGCTTCTATCGAAACAATTAGGGCTCCACACCTCGGCGTAAAGCCCTTCCAACAGCATGTATGATTGGTGGGTTCGCTTTCGCTACCCAATCGAGCTAGCGCCGACGCCTGCTCCTCGGCCCTCGACTATTTAAAGCGAGTCCAACTCGCCTTCCTCCTGGCCCCGGTGATGAATCATGCTGCATCATTTGATTCGTCTGCTCGGATTTCTTGCTTGCTACGATCCTTTCTCTCGTCTGAAGGGTGTTGTGCGGCGGGCGTGAATATTCCCACCCCCGGCCCAACGATGGCCGGAGGCGTTGTCGCCCGCCAACGGAGCGTTGGATATAGAACCAAGGTGAAAACTGGTTGTACAACCTGCAGGTCAGTCATAGCGGACAGATCCTATCACCGGCCGACGCCCCAAGACTGTTAATTTAGACGAAAGGTCAGCTTTGCAGTGATTATGCTCAATTAGCAATAGAATTAGGAAGGTCAAATGCGACGAGCATAAGCCGTTTTGCCAAAAATGTGTCAACACTGGTCGTACTTGCGACGGCTACGAGTCCCCCTTTAGAGTTTTCACCAGTCAACCCATCAACAGCGCTCATGTGGGCGGCATCAAGTCAGGCGTTGGTTTACCACCCACCCAGCCCACCTTCATTAAGATCGCCCCTCGGGACATCGACCTTCTCAATCGTTACTTCTCAACCAAAACCATGTTCGATGTGAAGCTGGGCTGTGACGAAGAAGCCCGGCAAGTCCTGCAAGCCAGCTTGACTGATCCGCCTATACGACACGCAGTCTTGTCTCTCAGAGCTCTTCGGGAAGATCTCGAGACATCCGGAGACGGTCCGGCGTCTATCGCGCGGCAGACCCCGAGCTATCACTATGGCCTCCAGCAATACAGTATGGCTTTGGGGGGGCTTGCGTCTACCCTGTCATCTCCGGGCTCCAACGGGTTGAAGTCGGCATTACTTTGCTGTCAGATCTTCATCAGCATTGAGCAAGTGCAGAAGAATTACGCTGCTATGGCCCAGCATATCATTCGAGGACTCAGGATCATGCACGAGTACCGGGCAAGGCCAAGTTTTGTCGTCGCGAACAAACTGGTGCCAGCACACCATGACCAACTACCCTTCCTGGATGTTTTCATCATCAAGCTATTTGCTGCACCGTGTAAATTTGCGGATCCTCCAGCAACAGCCGACGTTAGCGGGACGACGTCGCCTGTGTGTTTGTTTTCGCCTCATCAACAGCCTGTGGAATCTCGCGATCTTCGCACGATTGCACCCGACATGCGGACAGAGCTTACAAGGATCGCTGCGTCGACGCTTGAATTCCTCGGCAAAGTGTCGCAAGTTGAATCGGTAGGAATCGCTCTTCGACTACTATCCGAGAAAGCAGCTCTGCTGGACTCCTTAGAATCGTGGCTCATTAATCTTGAACTCGTTCAGACGGAGGTTGGATCTCTTCGCCCTGAGCCTATTTCAGTCTCTTTCTTGCGCTTCTTCCATCTAATACTGAAAATTATTCTCTTGGGGGCACTAGACTCCTCACCAGATCTTTATGCCGATCTGCGGACTGAGAACAAGCGATTGCAGGGCGTAGCCAACAACGTGGGTGAAAGGGTCAGGGCTTATAGAACGTGCAGTGGGACTAGTAGTGGTCGAGGGGAGCGCTCCACAGTGTGCTGATAATTTTTATGGTAGAGTGGCGTAATCCTTCCTAGCCCGGGCACCTGATTTTTTTTTTTTTTTTTTTTTTCACAATCAATGGAATTTCGGCGAACTCCATTGCTAGCAAGCCAAGCGGGAGAAGGCGGCGGCACTATCAAACGCGGCCCAGTGCGGTTTAAGGTAGAAAGTGAAGAAAAAAACGAGTCTGTCGGCGTGCGTGCGTAAGGTTGCATGCGGCTTCCAGTTGCAGTATACAGACCGAACAAACCAATTAGCGGCTGACTCTGTCTCTGAACCGGTCCCCCTCAACCGACCATGGTTGTCTGCTCTGGAGGACTGGTCAACTTCATAAATGGATGCGCAACCCCGTCACCCTTTGTAACGAAACCTCTTCCTCTCCCCACAAGCTCAAGCAGACGAGTACTCAACGGCACCTCTCATCGTCGAAAGCCATGCATTTCCTCCTCCTCGGCGCCAGTGGGCGGACTGGCCAGCACGTCGTGTCTGAATTACTCTCTCAGGGTCACACAGCGGTAGCCCTAGTACGTACCTCTGGTAGCCTCACCCCTGGTCCTGGCCTCACCATCGTCACTGGCTCGCCACTATCAAAATCCGACATACGCAGCGCCCTCCTCGCGGCGCCGCCTCTATCACCTTCTGCAGCGATCATCACATTGAACACAGTCCGCAAGTCCGACGGCCCTTTCGCGGCTCGGATCTCGCCTCCTCGCTTCCTGGCCGACTCGTGCGCCAATGTTTGCGAGGTCCTGGAGCATGCCGGCGTTTATCGCGTTGTCGTGATGTCGACAGCAGGTGTCGGGGATTCATGGGGTAACCTACCGTGGTTGAGCAAGGCATTCTTAACGTGGACCAATGTCAAGTACGCGCTCGAGGATCACGGCCTCGTAGACAAGGAGATCCGGCTGACGAAGATGGATTGGACTCTTGTGAGAGCTGTGAGGCTGCAATTCGACGATCAAAAGCCGACCGACACGAAGACGGAGGTGAAAACACTGGGCAGTAAGGGCGATGGAATGAGCTTGACCGACAGAGTGAGTGTTACTAGTGTGGCGAGCTTCCTGGTTAAGGTTGCGGTTGAAGGACTCTTCGTCCAAAGCGCAGTGGTTGTGGCCAACTGACATGCCGAGGAAGTCGTGGCCTTTGTTGATATCGCTGTGCCATGCAGGAAAACCTCCGGAACGAATTTGGTTTTGATTGTCCTGCGTGTTGCCCAGTTAATAGGATCGGATCCAGACCAATTTTTCTGAGCTTGGCTCTGTATACTTCGGAGCTGAGTCTCGAAATGGACGGCGATACAAGGCCAGTAAGTCACTTTCCTCCGTTGAATGTTCCTGCGGGACGCCCTCGAGTTTCGAGCTCCAGGTCGGTCTACGGGATTGCCTTCGCGGCTAGTCATAGTTATCTATGTCTGTGTATATAGACCGTGAGAAGTAGATAGCGCGTAGAATCCCCGTTATATATTTGATATGATCCAGAGCCAGACTTGTCTAAACTATACAGTCAGAGCTCACCCAAGTGTACTCTACCCCTTATAAATTGAACAAAAGTATCAAGCGTCCCTGACTCCCCACGCAGTACATATTTTGTCTTGAACATGTAACCAACCCATACAGGTTCATACCTTAGGTACCATCCCCCCCCCACCCTCGTCCCTACCCCGTCGGAGATGCTCTCTTCCATATGATGTCCGATCAATGGCTTCTTGATTTTAAAAGTTTCCATAATGGCCTAATTGACCGTAAAGTGGAATAGTGATACGCCCCCGTTATCGAGAAATGCCATTGTTCCCCTGCACGGCATCAGCCAATCACTTGTCTTCCGCCTCTTCAGCAGCTTTTTCAGAGTAAGGTTAATGCCCTTGCACATCTGTGTCTCTCCAAATTTGTCTTGCTGCTGAAATTCCGCCATGTCCATTTCGCGAGGCCGTACACTCTGGTTCGGGTCGAGTCTTTCCTGGCGAGCGCGATGCTGTGTCACCGCGCGAATGGGTTTCTGCATAGACAGGGTCCCAGAAGGAAGCTAGGAAGGCAAGGCCGCTACGTGGCTGCGTAGCAAACGCGCGAGCCTATAGTATCTTATTGCTCAGTAGGAAAGGAGCCTAAGTCCGGGGTAAAGCTTCCTCGAACTCTCCCCCAACTTCGCCAATGTGGGTGGTTTAGAGGGTAGCAGAAGTTCGGCAAGATGTCCAAACCAACGGAAATATTGACCGAACACCGCGAGGACACTCAATAATTTCAACAGTCCAATCGAGATGGGAGATACTAGACCTACGTCTCCAAGAGCTCGGAATGGCACCAGAAAAAGACACGGCAGCTCCTTCACAAGGTGGATCTTCATCTCCTTCCAATCTGATTCTGATGCATCTGCTAAATATTTTGGATCGCAAGTGGGTCCCCACGAGACATAAAAGAAAATCACACGAATGCTGACGAACTAGTAATCTTTCCCAAGCACGACTCGACACGCTGGAGAAAGACCTCGGGGTGCAAGGAACGGACTACAACCTCGCGACGAGTATTCTGTTTGTGGGATACTTGCTAACGCAACTACCCTCAAATCTCCTCCTTACCCGAGTTCGACCGTCCGTTATTCCTGGGGTTTGCAAGGGCCATCTGGGGTGTGAACTCTGCCCGTCAAGCGGCTACTCGATCATTTGCTGGCTTCGGTTCTTCCTCGGCTTTGTCGAGGAGCCATTATTTCCTGGAGCCGTGATGTTGATCTGAGTAAGCCATGCTTGATCGTGATACTAAGGATGCTGATCTGTTCAGGTCGAGTTGGTACACTTGACTGTGGCTAGACGAGATGAGGAAGTTGTACGCTCAATGGCGACTCATCCATGACACCACAGAGGCGGACGAGGCCAAGTCAAGCAACGTCAAGGATGCACTGTGGCTCGTATTTTATGAAAAGCGGATCTATCTCTTCATACTCTTGCAACATCCGTCCCTCCCCGCGCAGAACTTCCAGTAATTCTTCCCGACGTCCTACAATTTCTAGGTTATGGAAATATTGAAACTCTGCTATTTACTGCATGACCGACATAGTACTTCTAAAGGTATATGCGCTGGTCTACAGGAGGTATGGAATGGTTTTATTAAGAAACCATAACTCTGATCATTTGGTGCAAATCTACCCATGCAATTGCATTAAGGGGTAAGCCATCTCTAGCTAGTCAGTTTTACTAGAGTTTGGACTACATCCATGAGCAATGCCTGAGTATAGCTGAGCCATACGAAGGATAAAGTCGATGTATTGTTCCAATTCCTTAAATTCCTGTTCACTGCAATGGGGTAAAGCTTCAGTCATAAACATATTCACTTACAGATACTTTGTGACTGGCCCGCCATGCTGATCTCGGTTTTCTTCACCCCGATATGTCTACAGGCACCGTGTGCCAAATAGCCGTTAGGTGGCATCCTAGACCACTCCCTTGGCCAGATCTCATGCCTCATGGGGCCTGGAATAGCAATCGGTTTATGATCTCCAACGAAACTCAGGATGTCGCCATTCGAGATCCTCTATCTGCCGGCCGCTCATTCCATCAAGCGCCCGACTGACGTCCTTTCTGTCCCGGTTCTTGTTATCCCATATGGTCCAAAGCCAAAGACAGGATCCGGTGAGGAGGGATGTCGCCCCAGTGGCCAGATTAAGTCCATTACCGATGTAATAATTGGGTGCGTCAAATGGCAGGAAGGACCAGGTAGCAATTAAACCGCCAACATTCCCCATCATCACCACAGCCCCAATCGCGGATGCCCGTGCTGTGTCGGAAATCACGTTTGCTGCCGCATGCGCGTTGCAGAGGACACCAATGGGAAAGGACCCGAATGCGATCAAGAACGTGGCCCCGTAGAGAACACGAGGGTTAGTACTTGCCAGAAACAATGCGTACCCAGCCATCATCAGTGGAGGAACAAAGACAAAGAACAGGAGTCGATGATTAAAACGCGAGCTTAGGTAGGGAATAAGAAGCGTGGAAAAGGCGCCTACGATGTAGGGCGGCACTGTATAGAGCTGCTGGGAGATAACAGTGCGTTCGGGATATATTGTTCTGACAATGGTGGGTGCAAAGAAAGCCAGGCCTTGGACCGTCACATTGACAAGAAGCATGAGCCATGACGTTGCCAGAGTGACTGGGTTGAAAATCCCAAGCGTAATTTTCTTTGTATCGAGCTGGTCTAGGACTTCAGTCACGCCAGTATGCTCCGACTCGGCGCGAATTCGCGCAATGGCCAGATCCTTTTCTTCCTGTGTCAACCAGCGGGCTGTCTCGGGTCGGTCTGTGAGTGTCAGGAATGCTACAATAGCAACTCCAATAGTTATAATACCCTCGATGGCAAATATCATGCGCCAAGTCTTTAGTCCTCCAAAGGAATGGAGCTTTAAGATGCCAGAAGCAAGTAGCCCACCGAACGCACCAGCGAGAGGGGCCATCACCATATACATAGAAATCCGAAAGGCGAGCTCACGTCGTCGATACCACCTGGATAGATAGTATGAGATACCGGGTAACAGTCCTGCCTCGAAGGCACCTAATAGAAAGCGGACTCCCGCAGCAGAAGAGAACGTCTGGACAAACGCTGTGCAAAGAGAACATATCCCAAACCCCAAAGTTAAGGTAGGAAGGACCCAACCTGGGCCAAGCCATTTGCAGGTGATGTTGGAAGGGATCTCGAAGAGAATGTAGGAGATGTAGAACACAGTAAGCAGTGTATTATAGTCATAGCCTGTCAGCTCTAGATCGTGTTCCAGCCCAGCCAGTTTCGCATTTCCTATGGCGCGTAAACCGTTAGCGTCACTCATGCTGGGAAGAAAGTCCGTTTTTAATCCACCATAGTCACTGTGGACTAGGTATATTTACCGATATTTGCCCGATCAATAAAACAGAAGAGGTACATCAGGGACGCAATTGGGATGATATAAAGGTCTATCTTTAATCTTAGCTTGGATTCGGCGGTGATGTCAAGGTTCACGGCGTTTGGTAAGAAACTAAGTATTTGAACATTGAGTCAGGGGAGATCAGCAACTGCGTATAGTGATTAATGCTATACCGGTCAATTTCAATGTGAGTGCCAGCCTCCTCAACGGTGGTGCTGCTGTCCTCCACATGCCGGAAAGCAACCTTCTTCTCGGGCATAGTGATGGAATTTAGACCCGACACTCAGGGGTCAACGAGGGAAGGCAATATAAATCGACGTAAGACATCAAAGCAGGAAAAAAGATAGTGGGGGATGGTGGTCATATTATATTTTGTATCATGGAAACTATCATGAGGAGCAACTTCCCCCTGATGGAAGTGATAGATAGAGGAAACGCCAACCCCATATCCTTGCTAAAGCCGGGAATGCACAGCACGACAACTTGCGGGGAAGAAGATGACTCCAGGCCTTGGAAGGCCCTTAGTGTAGCCAACCCGCATGAGAAAGTATAGACGAGGCTCGGAGGCTGACCAGTTAGTCGCTATTAGAGCTGTTGCACCTGAGTAGCGCAGGAGAGGCTGACTTGGCAGAGGTATTGGCAGAGTTCCCCTGGCCATGTAGATACGTGTTCGGCAAGAGAGTGTTTTTATAATTGCCGGGGACTTGTGATATGAACATGGACAGTCCACTAATGCGGGGACAATTGGCCGCAGCAGGATACAAGCAGTTTCGTCATGGGTCCATATTTCTCTGCTTTTGAGCGAGATCTTGTTCGATATCAATATTCTTAGAAATTATATTATTGAACACGCTATAAAGTGGTAGGGGACCATTGACGGGAATGCATCATATTATCTTTGGTAGCACTCCCAAGCTGCGCAGTACATTCAATGCGACGACAAACACGTACAGAGCGGATCTAACTAGGTGCTACAGTAGCCTCAAGCTGAGTAGTCAAATCGAGATTGCCAAGGTAGAGTCGAGGCAGTAGTAGGGAACGAGGAAGCCTACACGGCTATTCTATCATAGAACTTCGCTATTATGCCACAAAATAGGTCCGGACTATAGAGAAGCGTCTCTTCTGATATTTTGTTGACCCATTCACTTGTCGCAGTAGCCTCCGAAGTGTCTCGCCGGTTGGCTAGGAAACTAGTCTGCAATGATCATTCGTGAGAGGTGCGTTAGGACATACGCCAAGAGGAGCTCTCGGTAGACTCGTTAGAGTATCTGAGTCACGGGAATTCCGGGAAGACCTGTCTGAACGAGACATATTGTTTCCTTCATGACATCTATGGGCACTTAACAAACGTAACACGGCAATTGAGGGGTACCAGCATTTGCCGATAATTGGGAGGCAATTCCAATATCACGAACTATTAATTATAGAATACTAGATATTTATTGGCTTCATGCGAGCGGTGCAGAGTTCATGACAATGATCCTTCGGTACATCTTCGTTCTGGTATATGCCGACAACTCTCCTATGCCATGGATAGCATCAAATTCCCACCGGTGGGTCCTGATGTGGGTCTTGGCCGTGCGGGGTTGCTTTTCCCTTGAATGGGATCGTTCTTACGAATTACACGAATTCTGGTCTCTTTGTCATAGGTCCCACACACTCGATATGATGTTCTTGGTGACAATGCTTCGGATGTTCATAACTGCCGACTCCATATCTCGTTGGAGAAAGACTTGCCTCTATTTCAGAGGGTTAACAATAGATTCGGGGGCCATATACATAATGGGCCCTCATAGTCGTCATACCTGTCCCTCGTCGTGAATGTCCATGAATTGTCACGAAGCAAAAATATTATGACAGTCGTTAGTGAGGCCCTCTCGTTTGCAGCGCCTAAGCATGCGCTGTACATCTTTGCCGTTCTATTCCTACTGCATATCTGCAAGCTATACCTCAACAACGGCCTGAATCGCTATCCTGGCCCCGTCTTGGCAAGGTTTACGGATCTGTGGCGATTCGTTGATGTATGGAAGCGGCAACCTCATGAGACACATATTGCCCTGCATCGCAAACATGGCGATGTTGTCCGCATTGGGCCAAACACCCTATCATTCGGCAGCCCAGCTGCTGCCAAGGTGATCTATGGTTTGAACAAGGGGTTTACCAAAGTGAGTCTGGCGAGATCGTTAACGGTCCATGCATAATCTCTGATGATACCGCAGTCTGGATTTTATCCCGTCCAGATGACCGTCTCCAAAGGGGAGCCGTTGCCATCGCTGTTCTCCACTCTGGATGAGAGGTTTCATGCGGAGCTTCGGCGATCAGTCAACCACGCATTCTCGATGAGCTCCCTGGTCCAGTATGAGCCCTTGGTAGATGAGACAACCCTTCTCTTCCTCGATCAGACAGATCGCCTCTTTGCCAGGAGGGACGCGGTGTGTGATTTCGCACGCTGGTTGCAGTTTTTCGCCTTCGATGTGATCGGTAGCATTACATATAGCAAGCGACATGGCTTTATCGAGAAGAATGAGGACATTGATGGGATTGTACAGTCCCTGGCCCGCATTTTCAACTATGCCGGACCGGTTGGCCAGATGCCGTGGTTAGACAAAGTATTCTGGAAGAACCCAATCTTCGATGCCATGCAAAAATGGGGATTAATGGATAATTCCCATCCGGTGGCCGTCTTTGCACGCGAACGGATGCTCGAACGCATGTCATCCAAGGACGTAGGGTCCCAAAATGACCTTCTTACTAAATTCATGAAAGCAGGAGAGGTGCGACCCGAATTCATGACAGAGAAAAGGGTCCTGACCATGGCCGTATCCATGGCCTTTGCCGGGTCTGAAACGACTGCGATTAGTCTTGCGGCTGTATTCTACTATCTACTCAAGTCTCCAGAGTATATGCACCGGGTACGGGAGGAATTAGATGAGGCGGTTCAGAACGGTATCGTCGAGAACCGTCCAACCGGCCTCGTCTCGTGGACGGAATCGCAGAAGCTTCCCTTCCTTGATGCCTGCATCAAAGAGGCTTTCCGCATCTTTCCCGCCGCTGGTCTTCCCCTTGAGCGTGTTACCCCTCCTTCCGGGATCGATATCGCCGGTCATTTCATCCCAGGTGGCACGATCGTCGGCTGTAGCCCCTGGGTGATACATCGCCGACAAGACATTTTCGGCGCTGATGCGGACATGTACAATCCAGACCGGTGGCTGCGAGCCTCTGAGGAACAGCTAAGAATTATGAATGGAATGATGCTCCAGTTCGGTGCTGGTGCGAGGACGTGCATTGGGAAGAATATTTCACTGATGGAGATATATAAGTTAATCCCAAGTTTCCTCCGACGATTTGATGTACGTCTTTTCCATCCTACGAATATGAAGAGCACGCTGATTACTGACTGCTTCTACAGGTGAGATTGGCTTCCCCCGATCAGGAGTGGAAACTCTGGAACGCTTGGTTCGTGCGTCAGTACAATTTTAAGACTATCTTCACCCCGAGGAAGGTCGAGTTATTGTAACCATTCCATACTCTGAGCATGCATCTTTTGGAAGGCTCCACACTCTCTTCATGGTTTATATTATATGATTCCCGTTTGTGTAGATACATACGTCTTGTCCGCATATTCCCAATTTGGTGCCCTATTGCTAAGGCGAACGGACCATAAAAATGTACACAAAATCTTAGAACGTCAAATCTTCTACTCATACTTCATATATCGTTTTGGAAATGTGCCAGGTAAATGAAGCTCTGAACGACTTGAAAGGTCGATATCAAGCCATGTAAGCCACCTCGAGCCGCTCCTCTGAGTCTAGGAGGCGTATATACGTGCTGGGCCAAGTGATCATCGAGACCTAGCATACCACTGTCTCATAACTAGCCCTATGAGATGGGTTTATAGACAACGTCAAGGGCAATCGCATCACACTCCTCCAGCAGATTACTTCCAGCGCCGTTGTTTTCGTAGTACAACCCCAGAAGACCGTCGCTGCGGTCGCACACTAGGCAAGGCAAAAAGACAGTCGGCTACTTTCCTTTCGACTTGCAGAAGAACATTTCCCCTGGGGGCATGAACATACCTAACCATCCACCCCAGCTCTGATTAGCAGTCTCCAATGTATTGTCACTGGTAATGTTGAACCCTGTGCTGCCGAACAAGGGGCTCACGCTGATCTCCACACTCCCCTGGACTTCATCCCCCGAGTCTAGAGCCAGCGCAAAGGGAGCTCCGTTCGGTGCAACGTAGCGCACGGTCCCATTGTCAAGGTAAAAGTCTGCAGCATCATCACTATCGCGGAAGACAGCGTCGCTATTCAATGGGTCGATGTGCTGCGTGGACAGATAGAGACCGTTATGGCTGTCGTCTGAGCCGCCGGAACTGATCAAGTTGAAGATATTCCGAACAGAGCTCGCAGTGGCAGCGATGGCCAACAGAGGCAAAGCGCTGACAACCTTCATTTGGAGGACTAGTTGATCTGTATTGTTTCGAAAATCACAACGGGTATGTCAGATATCGACTGTCTAAGGGGGGTGGAAGAGCCTATTATTTCTCTGTTGGAACAAGGTGGAATTCAGTCCCGCCCCGGAACTCTGGCGATCGACACCCTTGCATCAAACCTGTTAAGAATAGCGGGCCATGGCTGGCTGATCCGGTAGAGGAATCTCTTTCCATGGGATCCCACTGGCAAGGTCTGGATCCACCACATTTCCCCGGACGTCCATTACATCATGACTTGAGAGTAGCAGTTCTTGGCTCGCCAACCCAGTTGTTGACAAGCTCTGAACCATACTATATATGTCGAAAGGGAATAAATAGGGAATGTTGTAGAGATTCTGTTATTACACCTTTGGAACACCTTTCGATCAAGCACAACCAGGAACATGTCGTTGTCCGGATAACTCTGCATGTGTCAGATAGGACAACAGCAGCATATTGTCGACAGCTATAACTTTCCTACATTCAGCAATCTAATTCAGTCACAATGAAATTTGCTAATGGTAAATGGTGCATATACCAATAGTTCGTGTCATGTTGAATAGCGGTATTTACACACCCCGACCTCTACAGAGTCTGGGCAAGCTATGGTCTAACGATGTACTATCGTCTGTGGCACCATGTACCGTCGCATTCCCAGACCTTGTCATGGTAGGCTCATGAGAGCCTGTCTAGATTTAGATGAACGCCTCTCCTTTTCTTTGTAGACGGAAGGCCTTAGAGTGGTACGATACATTATTCGCCTTTCTCCGACGAGTGCCCCCGGGGCTGCTCCAGCTGCGTAGAAACTGTTTCTTCATTACCTGAAACTAGACTTACAAAATTCCCAATCTCAGACATGATGGTGGGATCAGACACTATCTTACAATGACTCCTTGAAGGTCAGCTCCATAAAAATACAACTGTCGGCCTTCCCCTCATCATCCATCACAACACTACCAGCTTACCGAATAGATCTACTAGAGACGATATTCATATGATTAGCATTTCACCAACCAGCATAGCAATTACATTAGATACTAGATATGCAACAGCTATAAGATGGCTTCCTTCCCTCTACAGACCCCCTGAATGTGGGGTCCATAAAGAACTGTCCACTCCCTCGGCTTAAGGATCCGAGTCTCGCACTGGATATTAGGTACTTTGGTGACTTGAGGTTCTAGGCTGGAAATATGGGTATGTATAGACAAAGCAAGCCATGTTAGACTGAAAATATGTGTCCCCTTGGCGGAGAGTAATAATTGTTGGTAATATTGACTGCTGCCTTATCTTGCACGGCCCCCACGCCTGGGCTGGTTTTAAAGGCCAAGACACAATCTTCCACCCAGCTTCCCTGTATCCTCCAATGTGTGTGTGTGCGTGTGTGCGTGTGCGTGTGATATCCCGATTGCGTCTCGTCGCGTTTCACCATGGCTTCGCTATTTTACTCCAGATTATCTTATTTATATGATCTATTCCAGGCGATGAGGGGGCGAACAGCACCTTTCTCACAGACCAGAATGTCCCCGGCGCGGATCTGAAGGGGAAATGGATCGTCATCACCGGAGCCAATAATGGTGTAAGGTTAGAAGCGGCCAAGTCTTTCGCAGCCTGGGGGGCAAACCTGACCCTCGCCTGTCGCGAGCCGTCTGCGTGGGAGCTGCATCCCAGCGTGGCCATGGAAGAGTGCAAAGGCTTCGCCGAAGCACGGCCATTCGACGATCATCGAATGGTGGTAGGTGGACATGGCTGATTTCAGCAGTGTCGAGGCATTCGGTCATAGATGGCTGGAAAGCGACGCGCTCTAGACGTCCTCTGCAATAATGCGGGTGTCGTGTCTGCTGCGAGAAACGCCACGACAAGGGATGGGTTTCCGTTGATCCACTAGGTCAATTTCCTATCCCATGTCTTGCTAACCCTCCAACTCTTGCCATCTTTGGCGCGCAGTGCCGAGCCTCTGATCATCTGCACCACTAGGAGTCCTCGATTGGGGAACACTTCCATGAGGGCCCAGAGAGGAGGGGTAATGAGTATCAAACCAATAAGCTGTACTGGCAGATGTGGGTTGCAGAGCTACAGTCTCGATTCCGCAAGCATCCGGAGTACCTCCACATCATCATCAATGAGGTCTACCAGAACCCACGAAGCAGAAGGTCGGTGCATCAAACGGTCGGGGTGGAGGAAAATATATCAGTCGCATAAGGGACGCGCCGCCGAAGCTAGAATGCACCAACCCGGATGCCAGGTCGAAGCTGTGGACCAAACTAGACGAGGTCCTCCATCTCCAAGAAAAGGATCTTTTGACGGTTCTTGGTGTTTAGGAGGACGGATCTCACCCGCTACGACTTAGTATATGTATGTACCTATAGTGATTAAAGACAACACCTACGCTATCTGATAGTTCAGAAATGTAATTAGGAACTTATGATACACCTTTCTGCATCTCATTATTATTATTACTAATATAGAGTTCATACTTTGTCCTACGCCTTGTCAGTTCAACAAGTAAACTTGTTGTATCTCATATGAAAATGAGGTAAACGGACTAGGATGGAAAAGAGACACATATTTCACAATATTATGATCCTCAAATGTAAGATATGTTATACGGATGCCCAGTAGGAATCTTTGGATTGCATTGATATCTGCTTTCAAAAGTGCCCGTAGTAGTCTTCAACAGATTATGACGCCTTCGGCGGACGCTCCTCTTCTTTTGCTCACCGGGGTAAATATACATATATAGAGAAATGCACAGAGTACATATATTCTAGCTGGCCTTCCCTGGCGACGCTTGACCGACTCGGGTGCATCCTTTTGTTGCATCTCTGAACAGGAAAGATCTGAATGTGACTCTTGATCTGTGTGGTCACTGTCGTTTAACTCGGGTTGCTCAGTATCGGACATAGCTTCTGTACAGAGTTCAGCAGGCGAGTCGGGGAATGAGGTAGTAATCTATACCTTGTGGTGTCAATAACAGTGGGAACGTAATTGCAGTTGTAGTCCAGTTGGCAGGCGGTGGAAAGAGTGATTCAGATTGGTAGGACGCTTCCCAACAGTTATCTAAGGCCTCGGAGGGCATATTCGCGGCAGGCTACGTCAGGTAAGCGTAAGGATAGATAGTCATGGGTCATGGACGACGTTTTGGATCCAGAATGAAGCAATAAAGGTTACTAGTGGTGGTTCCTCACAGTGAGTGACCTTAAGAGGGGGTGAGACGGTCTAAACTCTGTGTACAAAGCAAGGCCTCATTGATCTTAAATGAAGTGACCATCCCCATGAGAATAAGCTAACTAGGTATACGTAAGGGGAGGGCTCTGAAACGATATAAGGGCTATTCGGCGCGAGTCGAGCTACTTCCTAAAACTAGAGCCAACAATATTTCAATAAAAGTACCCTAGGTAATAATAGATAAATCAGAATTACGAATGTTCAGCTCGACTGTTCACCGGAGAGATTCATGCCCTTGCTATCAATACCCAAGACCCGCATCAGATCTGGAATCTCAGTGTGATCGCGCGTCGTCTTCATCCGATGACACCACTTAACCCGCTTTGCTTCATCCCCAGCATTCTCGGAATGATGATCGAGCGGTTCAAACAAAAACTCCCCCCCAATCTGCCTGGAATTTCCGCTCTTGTGTGCCAGACCCCATGGCAGATACGACAACGCTTGTGCCATGGATTCGACAACCACACGGACCATGCTCTTGCGGATATAGGCTGGCTGCGGGCCCATGGCTAGAGAGCACATCATGCCTAGGTCCTGATATAGCTGCCTGGTCGGGTCGGTATAGATCGGAAACGGGCAGTTGGTCTCCTTCTCGTACATCTCAATCAAGGCGGGATCTCCACACCCAATGATGATCAATGATGTACTGACTGCTAGAGGCTCGAGGACCTTTGGAGTGATCGATTCTGATAGTGTACGGAGAAACTCTTGGCAGCTCTGGAGATATCGTCAGCAGGGTTTCGATTGATGAGCTCTCGTCTAGTCGACCGGTTTACATGAAGCGAAAACACGTACCCCACAGAAAAAATGCCGGACAAAGATGATTAGAACCCGGTTGGATGTCCCAGGCCCAGAGTACAGGCTCTTGAATGAATGCGATTGGCCATGTCGATCCAGAACACGGTGGTTGTCGACCTTGCGGAGTGTGTCTGGGGATGGTATCTGGTCATTAGTTTGAACTCCGCCGTGGAAATCACCGCCACTGACGGAGGGATCTGCTGTGGATGCGGACATCTCGGATGAGTAAAGGGTAAATGAAGTTCAAGGTGGAGTTGGACGGATAACATCGATTACTACTTTAATCTTATCTGGGTACAGTCAGATCACACGATCTCTCCCTTCCAATGAAATCCTTCAATACCACACACCGCCTACGTGTAGTAGCAGATTTGGAACCAGGATACTCAAAAATTGCAATGAGAAAAAGGAGAATTCAGGCTGGGGGTACTGTTTTTGCTGTAGGGGTATATTGATTTGGCTGGGTCTTTGGCGTGGAAAAACTAGGAGAACAATATTGCACGATTACTGCAAATGCGCTTCATAAGATTTTAAGAAGGTCGCAGGAGACTTCAAGATATTAGGGCTTCTTCATAGTAAATGAATTCTGATAGCTCGATCATTGAACATATCATATCATATGCTGCATTTACACTAGTTGCTGGTTGCTTTAAGGATCGCTACAATGGAATAGAGTAAGAATTGATTATCGATTTTGATATGAATTGTTAGATACTCGGTCAGTCCCGAATAAAAGATAGGATACGATTCATAAAACGTCTTAAAATGATCAATTATAGAGCCTTTTTGGGCTCTTCTTGAAGATATCGATTAATCTGATGACATCTATGATTCTTGTATGATTCTTGACTTGCTTATGTTCATAGAATGTCCGGGGCCTCGTTTTGACCCTCTTCAGTCACATGACTCTAGTCACGTATAGCCATTTTATCTGACATTATTCCTGAACCGTGTTTTCTGTTGTCTTTTCCTCTTCAGCTATTCCGTTTTGTTCAATAGGCACGCTTAGGTTAGAGCAATCTATTCATCCTGTAATAGTTTTAATAAGAAACTCATAGGTTGGTTAAATATAGTGACCCAGTCTGATAGCTTCAGCTATCGCGAAGCTTGGTTTACAGTAACTATAATAAAGCATCGGTGTTTTATATATTCATAATATAGAATATGGGATAGAAAGAGATTTTGTAGGGTGGCTTTGGCAGAATATACGTCAGGGGTGATAAGAAGATGTAGAGTGTGTCACAGATTGAGGTTTAGACTACAATCGTGAAGTGAACCCTGGTCAGTTATGTGACCCTTGGTCTAGAAGGGCAACACATAGGATCGCATACACGATAGCTTCATGTTTTCCTTTTCTTCTCTTCTCTTCAGTTTAGTCTCTTCGTGATAGACTACCTAAACAACTATTGGTTCAGCTAGAGTCCCTTACAGAGTGGATACAGTGGTAATTGTTAAATGTAACTTTGCAGTGACAGGACAAAGCTATGAGCAGCGTCATGCAGCAATTGCCAGAGAGAACAAGCATACTGCACATTAAACAAGCTCTGATTCAAATATGCCCACCCTCCCTTAGATATTCATATATATCATGGTTACCATAACCGCTTTCCTCGTCATCATCGTCCTCATCTTCATCCTCTTCCTCATCACCTGAAGAATCAATATCTGTCACCTTCTGCCCATTCACATCCTCCACCCAATTCCAGTCACCATCAAAATATGGAATTAAGCCAGGCCTTCCAATAGCTGGATATCGGCTCTCAAATTCCACTGTATCAAATGAATATGAAAATGACCAAATCCCATCAATTGTTAAACGGACCCAACCCACATTATAAGGCTCGTGCCTGAGCCCCTTATCAGGAAAAGAGCGATCAATTAAGATCACATATCCGATCTTTTCAGTAAACCAATTTTCAGTTTCAAGGGAAGGCTCCGGACTTGCCAGAATAGACTGAAGAGCATGATCATCAATTATTAAGCAAAAGGCTATCCGTGGTGTGCCACAATGATTGTGCTTTGGATGTCGTTTCATCCAGTCTTGAAACAGTTGCCGGACTTTGGCAGGTGAAGCCCCCTCTAATAGTTTTTTATCATCAATGATACGTTTTTATAGCCCTCCCAGACAATCTTAGCTGGTTCAGGTTCATTATTATATCTTATAGTGCAGTAAATATAGCGATTGAGTTTGGCAAGGGCCTGGTTCCAGTCCTCATCGGAACCGTATGCTGTCCGGTAGATGAAATACCCCCACGGCCAACCTCGACTCCAGTTCGTGGATTTCTCGAGAAATGCCCCCGAGAGAGTCTTGTTCCACCATGGCTGACTTTTAAAACGATCATAGAATTTCACTATTCCTTGGGCTGGCGAAAAGTCGGATGAACTCCATGGTTCAGACCAGGACTGGTGGTGGAAGAAGCCGTTGTACGAATCAGGTGATGATGGTCGGGTTTGATCCGGCATTGTGTAAGGAGGCAGAGGTCTGCTGGTTTGGAGTAGATGGGATTCTGCGCTTTTAAGTAAGAGTGCTTGGGACTTAAAAAGATTTCGACATCGAACCCACAGGTAGGGAAAGCTACAGCAACTAGTACCGTACCGTACCCGGTTCATGAATTATGTGGTCGTGGCTCAAGCTGTGTTGAATATTTTACTCGCTGCTCATAAGCTTTCAGAGATTGCTCTTAGACTATGATCTTAGCATGCGAGTACATTACATCTTATAATAGCTTACATAGGATTTTGCCTCTTATTTTTTTTTCAGGGTATTTGTTTGGTGTAGGTAATTAACCGTAATTAACAATCTTGTAATGTTAATCAAGAACTAACAGGACCTCTTAGTTTACAGGTCAATACTTTTCTTCTGGAGTGCCATAGCAGCGCCATTATAGCTGTCAAGGCACACAAAAGTCCACTTCAGTAATTGAATTTATAGGCTCTCTATATAGTTCTGGAAACCAGTGTCACCACTTGCACTCTTTCTTTTTTTTTTTTTTTTTGAGCCCACAATGCCAAGTGAAATTGCCCGCAATCCGGTGGGTCTGCTAGATTTCTGTAATATGACTGGACATCGTACATAGGGTAAATGAGATTAACCAATTACGATTTCGCGCAGGAATTTGGAATAAGGCGAAAGAGCATAAGGTGGTGACACTGGTTTCCGGACAACCTGTGGCATATTCCCAAAAATGGCAAACCCTGAGGTTGAAGAAGTGGAATCTCCCGCAGAGGAACTCCCGTGGAAACCGAGAACTAGAGGTATATCGATCAGCCAGGGCTGCTAAAGGAACCACAGCCCCTGGTGAGGATGGTACCCCAACACTTGTTTGGAAGCAACTAGGGGCATACCGACCTATCTCGCTACTAAACACTCTAGAAAAGATATTAGAGGCTGTCATGGCTCGAAGACTCCTCTATTGGGCTGAGAAATTTGGATTGCTCCCGGACAATCAGCTTAGGGAAAGACCAGGCTGTAATACTGTGCAGGCTCATTTAGTGCTTGCCAATGCGATCAGTTAAGCATGGATATGATCTAGAGTGGTTACACTGATTACATTTGACCTAAAGGGCGTGTCCAACAGGGTCAATAAGATCAGCCTTAACAGTTGACTGCGAGCCAAAGGCATCCCATTAAAGGCTTGACAGTGGATCTGCAGCTTCATGGAGAACTGACAAGCTAGCACTACATTTAATGACTTCAAGACTAAAACCCTACCACTAGAAAATACGGGCCTCGCACAAGGATCTCCACTATCACCGATTCTATTTGACTTCTTCAATTCAGATCTGGTAGACCAACCTGTTGACAGTAATGGCGGGGTATCTGCCTTTATAGACAATTATTTCCGCTAGTGAACAAGCCCATCCGCAGAAGAGAATATTAAGAAGATCCAGTAAGTAAGAAGACAACCCGTGGATTAAGAAGTGGGCGCGACGGACTGGTGCGTCCTTTGCTGCTGAGAAGACTGAGCTGATCCACTTAACTCACCGCAAGAGTAAGCATGGTAAAGGGCAGATCCTCATCAACAGCCAGGTTATTAAACCAACTGACACAACCAAGCCCCTAGGGGTTATCTTTAATAAAGAGATGAGATGGAAAGAGCATATATAATAGGCAGTCAAGATAGTAACTAAGGTAAATATAGCCCTTAGTAGACTCAGACATCTCCAACCAGAACAGATATAGCAACTCTACCAAGCATGTGTAATACCGGTAGTAGACTATATATCCACAGTCTAGCATAATCCACTTAGAGATAAAACGCACTTATTGCTTCTGGAGACAGTCCAAAGAACAGCCTTATCCAGATTCTCTCTGCTTTTAGAACAGTATCCACAGCGGCACTTAAAGTTGAATTCCATATATTACCCACTCACTTGCAACTTAAGCAAGATATATAGATAGTTGTAGCCTATCTCGGCACTTTGCCAGAAAATCACCTAATCCGCAGAGTGATTATTTAAGCAATGGTATAGAGTAGTTATATATATTAGAACTGGTCAATAATTTCCCCTAGCAGAAACAATACAGACTATGAACCTTAATTGCCTGCTTGCTATAGAAATTATTGGCCCAGTATCTCTAGTATCATGGCAAACTTAACCTTTTATTAAAATTGAAATCGAACCTGATCAGGAGAAAGCCAAGGCTAAGGCCTTAACAAGACAGCTATCAGAAGGTATTATAGTTTTCTCTGATATACCAGGACAGAATAACTGTCTAGGAGCTGCAGCGGTTACCCTGGATTAATACTGGAATACAATAGCATTACAACAGGTGAGTATTAGCTTAATAGAATTTTGGTCAGTATATATAGTAGAGCTTATAGCAATATTCTATGCTACCAGCCTGGTCTATTAGATAGCCTAACAAAAGCTGACTTTATGGATGTCTATTAGCCAGCAACAATCCTAAGTGATAGCATGTCTGCACTCCAAGTAATCGCGAACCCCTGAAGTAAGTCAGGATAGCAAATTATCTAAGCGATTTAACAAGTAGCAGGAGAGATTCAGGCATAACGTATTTCTATTTGTCTTTAGTAGGTTCCAGGCTACTATAATGAACCAGGGAACAATATGGTGGACTGTCTAGTGAAAGAAGCAGTTAGCCCTGAGAAGAAAAACTTCTTTTAATATCTTCTGCTCTAAGCAAGAGGTTTCATTCGACAGAAGATTATAGAATAATGGGAATAAAATAGAAGACTTTTAAGAAAGATGAGTATCTCTACTAGATTGATAAAGCACTACTCTTAATTTATGCTTAAAGGCTATACAGCTCGCTGTCGCGGAGCCGAGCCTACCTACTTACATGACTGAGAACCAGCCACGCATGGCTATTATTATATTATAAACTATATGGCTTCCGAGAAGATAATAAATATGGATGCGAAGCAAAAGAAACTGTAATCTATATGTTGATTAACTGCCCCAAGCTGCGGCAGCCTCGCCAGGAGCTACAGAAGAAGGTCAGAACTGTATTCAGCAGAATCTTATAGATATTGGAAAGGAATCAGCAAGGTAAGAAAGATAAGATAGACTAACCTTCATAAGAAACTAGTATTATAAATACGGTGCTGGATTTTGCGGAGGCGTCTCTGAGATTTTGAAGTCACGCGCCACGAGGGCCGCAGAACAGAAAACTAGACAGTGATCAACACAGGCCTTGACAAGGCTCTAAGTTCGTCAGGAAAGTAATAGTTCATTGTAAATAGATACATAAATATATAGCTGTAGCTAGATCCTGCACATCGCCGTGGGCGAGGGGCCAGCGTATGAATACACACACACACACACACCTGTGGCATATACACCTCGGTCGCTTCCCCCAGTTAATATCCATTACAATGCCTCATCGTCACCACTGTCACTATAATTGCTGTCAAACCCCGCGATAGGTCCAACGCAGTAGGCATTTCCAACCACTAGCTTCTCGTCGCAGACGCCTGTTGCCAAGGATGGATTGGCCTCCAAAAACAGATCCCAGTCAACAGATTCTTTAACGCAGATCTTCTTGCATGTTTCTTTAGCCTCCTGGTCGGCCATAACGTGTCATCTTGCACATCTCAAGGTTGTTCCTTCGGGAACAGTTATGTTGGTTGGAGGCGGAGACTCGGTATCATCTCCCGTCTGCAGCAACGAAGTCACACCTGCAGGGGGTGCGGTGCCAGTTGATATACCACTCTGTGGAGCGCTGCAGAGAGATTTCCCGTATACTCCATTACTCGCGTCCTGAAGACTAGAACAATCACGTGTGAGCCACGGGTTATATTTACGGATATTGTAGCCCGCGGCATAATCCAATCCAAGGGACTTTTCAATAGAAACACACGTATCGCTGTCCTTAGGTGTGTATATAGGCTCACAAGTGAAAGGGAGGCAAAGTTCTGTACCGGTAGGAATATCTTTGCAATTGAACAGATTAGGATTGCCGATAAATAGAGAGGCAGATGAGACGCTATGCTTCAAAGTGATGGAATCGCATGTATCACCAGAAACAGTGGTGTAAGTTATGGCGGAGGCACAGAAAGTGAGATTATTGGCATATGGATTCGCCGGTTCTTCGATGGGTGGAGGGATATCAGTAGGTACGGAAAGACCACATTTGGAGCCAATAAATTCATGACGAAGTACTTTCTGGAGTTGTTGCTGAGGGGAAACCACAATGTCAGCATTTACAATTTAGATCCTAGTGACATTGCAAGGCCGAGGCGTCCTACAAGACGATCTAGATGGGGTTGGCATGTTCGCTATACTCAACTCGCTGAGGTTCCTGATGAATGAGGTGGACAGCTTGGACATTACTATCTCCGGAAAAATATCGTAGCCTTCAAGTGGGGGCTGCACGGAAATATCAACATGCGCGTTAAGCACTAGAGGCAGTGAACTATTAAACTCCCAGAAAAGATGAAACACTTATGCTTGTCGCCTTAAGTCTTAATACATCTATCAGCTGGCGAGAAAGGAAATATATACGAGTCCAAGTTTACTCGCATGGTCTAGGGAACAACTTTATTCGCAAGTGATGCAGGCCTGTCATGGTACCAATACATATACTGTCGTTCAAATAGTGTCACTGGGGAGGTATGTATCAAATTTAAACGTTGCTTCTCGAGTGCAGCTCAAATAAAGCCAGTGGCATCTCAACTTAGGTACAAACATCAGCCAAAATACAGTCCACAGACACCTAACTATGCAGATATGCCATCTCAAACGCTTTCTAAAGTGCAGCCTTCTCAAGATTTCCCTGGAAGGTCGAATCCTTGAATGGAACGGTGGCCTTGCCAAACTCGGCATTTTCAAGTCCCTGTCTCGCAGCCTCAGGAAGAGACTCCCAGGCAATCAGTGGGAGATCACGACCAAGTGTGTTGGTGAACTGCAATTCATGGTTGGTGGGAAAATTCGTAAAATACTCCACCTTAGGCCTCTCGCCCTCTCGTGGTGGGTTATTCGTCTTCTTGTAGCTTCCGTGGCCGGATGCAGCACCTCCCAGCAAGGTCGGGTTGGCCACCGCTGGGTTATTCACCCAGATGACGACGTTCTCCCAGTCGTGGCGATGCGCGCCGGCGGACACACCGCTGTTCGGCATGTCCTTGGGCATGTACCAGGCGTACATGATGCCATAGCGGTCGCCATGCCAGCCACCACGCACGTAGGTCTGTCCTTTGCTTTGGTCACGACAGCCACCTGTAGCACTCCCGGTGTCCTGAAGGCCTCCACTAAAAATGTTACAGATGTTAGCGAGATGTCAGCTTTTGTGATGCGAATCATATAGGGAATAGGGATGACTTGCCTAACATCACCGTTGGCAGCAACAGCAGGGTAGGACTGGCAGCCGTGTGCAATGTGGAGGAACGGCTCGAACTTCTTATACGTCTTTCCGGTGGCGGTATTGGGGACTGTCTCAGGGAAGGGAGCAATAGAGTCATGGTTCACAACTGCTCGTTTTGTCACAGGTGTGCCCTGCACCATGGCAGCAGCAGCCAAAAGGCCAAAGATGCTCTTGGGGATCATAGTAGCAGAATGGAGTAGTGAAATGCAGTCGTGTGAATGATACTTCTTCAAACGGTGGAAGCTACGCCTTATATAGGCTTTCCCAAGGGCACTGAATCATAGTAGAGGGATATTCGTTACGGCTCGCCAAGATTAATATGGCAAGAAAGAATCACACACATCCTTGCGGGCGATCGCATCCCCGAATGCCGATTCCGTGGAAGGCTCCGGCATGAGTGCGGTTGTATTTAGTAGATCCTTCGTGTCATTTGGTTCAATGCCTCCATTCCCATCATCCGTAGTCTCTCCATCGTCGACGTAGGGTGCCGGCTAAGGGCCTTTGGCAGGTCTAAATAGATTAAATTCCGAAATCCTTCCAACCAGGTGTATCTCTTGGCACACTATACTGGAGCCCGGATGCAGAACACTACCTAGTGTAAGCTGTGCAATCGATTTCTAAGCAAATGCTGATATTGATGTGAAACCATAGAATATGCAGGGACCGCCGATCAATTTCGGAACCGGAGTTTGCTCAGTACCGGTTCCTCCGATTGAGTCTTTCTGTCTAAAATCTAGATACTCTGGCCCAGAGGTTTCAATTAACGAAGTTTAAATCCATGTACCTGATCGATATGCAAAACATATCCAATTGTGCGATTCTGCAAGGAACACACGTGGTTCCGATTGCTCAGTCTACCAAGCCTCACCTTAGGAATTGTCTGCTGAGCGCTTTGGGGTCGGTTGATTCAAGAGCAAAGGATTTGATTGCCGTGCTCGTTCTATGGGATGAAAAAACGTTTTCGACGGGAGTTTCAATTCCCGGATCCTTTATTCCGACAAAGTAGCAAGCATTCCAGGCAGATGGACGACATAACCCAGGTTCCAATATGCTATCTATCAACTGCCATCAAGAAGATACCGAGCTTCTTGTATTCCCGATTCCTCAAGGCGCATCTTCGGCGAAACGTCGGTGCAATACATGATCTGATGATTGCCTTACCCCGACCCTCATGATCCACACGCCAATCCTCCAGGTTGTGACCTTCTTCTAAAATCACTATAGTGTCTAAGCCATCCTACCGTGATTGGGGCTTAGCCTCTGAAGGATGGTTTACTGTTTTGGAATAATCTTCAACGGTCCCGGGTAAATAGCGGCTATTTGTTGAATGTGTAAAAGGATCTGGAGTATGGGAATCATGCGAGTAAACGGGACTTGTTTCCAGGAAGAAAATCCAAGGCGATTGGATTGGCGTTCTCTGATGCCGATGCTGATTTCCTGTGGCTGCAGGTTGTTTTCCGAGCCAGTGTACCAAGTATAAGATCGCATTGCTACCCTTAGCGAGCACCGTTCTGCAAAATCACTGTCTATACGGTTGCCCTGGACTTGGTCAGCTCCACAGTAAGTTCGTATATATTGGTACTCTTGTTCAGGTGCATATCATAGCCTCGGTCGAGATTAGGGCACCTGGCATCAATGTGCATCCTGAGGGGCTACGATTTGCTGACCTGGTTATATGATTCTTGCTTAACGTCAAACCCCCAAACCCCCAAATAAACACTACGAGTCCCAAATCTACCCTCATCTTTGCTCATGGCGCATTGCATACACCTGAATACTGGTTGTCCGTGATCACTAGCCTGGAGGAGCAGAGTTATCGGTGCATCGCCCCCGCAACTTGACTTTTGTGGCACCCAACAGCCCGTCGGGTCCCCGGCCAGCAGTGTCACCCAACTCCAAACCCTGATCACGGCAGAGACCACGGAAGAAAAAATGTGATACTCATTAATCATTCGTTCGGTGGTGCAGTGGGCTGCAGTGCCGTCAAGGGCTTCTCGCAAAAGCACCCTGTCGAACAGAATGATGCTTCAGGCAAGGTCATTGGCATCGTCCAAATCTGCGCGTTCATGCCTCCATCCAACGCCTCGTTATACGATATGGTTTCACACGCACCCAACGCGCCATTCCACCATCCTGACTCCAACGGTTGGGAAATCTTCGACAACGCCAACCCAATAGATCTGTTCTATAATGACTTGACTGTGGAAGTTACTACACCTTGGGTGGCCAAACTGAGAAGACAGTCGTATGCCACGTTCACAGAGAGGGAGAATGCCTATTCAGGATGGTTAGACGTTCCCGTCTGGTACCTTCTTTGCACGCGCGATCAAGCGATCCCAATCCTGGCACAGGAGGCCATGGTTGCGGCGGCCAAGGAGGCGGGTGCTTCAGTCGAGACCCAATATCTTGATTCCGGCCATGTCCCATTTTTGGACAAGGCAGATGAGACCCCGGACTTCATTCAACGTGCGTTGGAGAGCTTCCGGTAGGCTTAAAGTTAGTCAGTGTACTCGAACCCTACGTACTCTATCCTGCAGTCTACTCTCCCTTTGCTTTTCCATTGTGGTTCTGTTTCTTGTCTTTCTCTTTTCTTGTATTCCTGCTATTCTGGTATTCTTTGGTTCGAGTTTTCGCAGACGTAGGCTGTGCCATGCTATTGCATTACACATCCACTGTCCATCTATATGTAGAAGAATACCATCTAGATAAGTAGAAAGTCGACGCCTATCCTTCACTGTCAACGCCCCTGTACTCAAAGAATCTGGCAAACTCCTCATCGTGGATCAGGCCCTGGGCCAGCTCCTTCTCGTACATGAGTGCGAACATATTTCCCTCGTCCGAGTTCGGGTTCGCATCAAACTTGGGTGGGTACACTAGGTGTACGCCCACGGTAACACCCGCGCCCTGCTGCAAGTGGCGATGGCACACCGGTCGGGCGAACCCAAAGTCCGCATCGGTTACCCGAGCCTCACGGTGGTCGGTTGTGATAATGGACATCGGTGGTTTGGAGTTTATACGGATGTTGAGGTTCGTCTTGTCCTTGATGTACGAGACCGCCTTCAATGTGCTATCCAGGTTCTCCTGCGTCTGTGTATTGGTAATCCTGCGGATGTAGGCCGCTAGCTCCCAGATGGGTTTCTGCGAGATAACCTCCCTATGTGTGAGTTGTGGGAAAGGCATCTGGTCGGACAGCGCCGCCCAGAGAACGTTGTGCTGGATCCGTGGGTGAACAGGAGGGTTTTTCATGCGGCGACGCATGTCAACGGCCTCGCACCAAAAGATCGGCATGTCAAGCGGTGTTTTAAACGCAACCTGACGTAGCCGTGTCGTCGTCCTCCATATAAAGGCAGCAAAGGCATCGTACGTCGATATCCATGTCCCATCCTGCGGTGTTGCGAGCTTCTTGAGCTCGGCGGCCTTGCTCTTGGGGAGGTGGAAGAGGAGACACTGGCCAGGCTTTTGATCCGGGTGTAGCTGTGGTGCAGGGGGTCCATCTACTTGCTGCCCCTCGGGCGGGTCAGGCTTGGAGACAAGGGAGACGTCGTTGCACGCGGCATCCCAAGTCGGAAACGGTGTCTGATTCTCAATCGCGTAACAGTTTTCAGCCAGCTGGTGGACAAATCCCGCCCAGCCCATCACATCATTCGCGTAATGGTGCATGTGAGAAATCAGTACCAGGCCGCCACGGACAAAATTAGCCAGGAAGGCTGAGGCAACGGGAGAAGCATCTGGATGCGCCTCTGGCCTTTCGCCGTATGTCATCCGTTCAAAGCTCCAATTCTTAAAATCACCCAGTGTAATCCCAGCAAAGCTCGAACGCTCCATGTCGTCAATCGAAGGAAATCTGTCCACGTCCGCGGGCGAGTCTAGCCACTGCACAATTAATTGCACAGTACTGTCCTTCCTTTTCACAAAAGAATGGCCCCCTATCGGATCTTTCTCGATGGTGCTGCATAGGTGACCGACTTGGGCGAGCGTCCGCTGGAGACCTTCCTTGAGCGTGGTAGCAGCCTTGGGCTTCTTGCCATCGTCTAGGCGGAAGTAGATAGCGAAGTGTGTATAACAAAGCCCAGTCAGATAGTCCAGAGTAGAAACTTTGAACCGCTCTTCCTGCGGACTGGTCTCCCAACCGTAGGGGTGAAGATGGTAGACTTCTTTCTGAGTCATGACTGTGAGGAAGAGCGCTACCAACGTAATAGCTATATGATCCAGAGTATATGGGACATTATAGAGACATAAGATATCTCCCAGGCCCAGAAGAAGTATAGCGACGAGGTCTTCTGCCCCGATGCGGGGCTGTGATCATCCTGCCGTGTCTTGGCAAATCTGATCAATATCTCGCTGAGGATAACTAATATAGCCGATCCGGGAAATACGAGGTGTGGCAGTTTGAGCGCAAGTCAACTAACTGGAGCCGGGAATTCGTCATCTCGGTAATTTATAATCAGAAGTCGATTCTCCATGCTTGGCGTGTAGAACATGCTGTTTATGGTGGATATAAAATCACCTGTGGTCTACAAAACTTTTTCCCTTCACAACCTCACCACAATCTGGAAGAAACACAGCTCTATGATTTCTGAAACGATGTTCACTATTCCTTACCAGATTGTCGATGTATTCTCCTCAACGGCCTACAAAGGCAATCCGCTCGCGGTCGTAGACAACACCGCAAATTCATTGAGCAGCACGCAAATGCGTCTAATGGCACGACAGTTCAATCTCTCCGAAACAACATTCGTGTGTCCCCCAGAGCACCCCGAGGCTACGTGGCGATTACGGTCTTTTCTTCCGAATGGAGAGGAGGTCTTCGGAGCAGGGCACAACTCACTCGGTGCGTGGTGGTGGATTGCGTCTTTTGGGCTGTTGGGTGGTGCGATGAGTAGCGCAGATACAGCTCCTCGGCTCTATCACCAGCAGCTGGGTGAAGACGTCCTCCCTGTCATCGTTTCAAAGTCAGACTCTGCACAGATCATGATATCAATGCGTCAAGGCCAGCCACAGTTCTTGCAAAGGCATGATGATCCAGGTGCCCTTGCTCAATCACTTGGGATTAGTGTACACGACATCGGACTACCGCTGTCGGGATCTGATGCGGCCGAACCACAGGTTGTTACCACGTCTCCAGCACGCCACCTCCTAGTCCCAGTTCGCACCAGAGAAGTTCTTGACACCGTCATCTTTAATAAGGAACGAGCCCTGCAAGAGCTTGCCCGTACACAAAGCGACAATAGTGGGATCTATGTCTTCACAACTCTGGATGGGAATACAGCCGGTACCAGCGACAAAGTCCCCAGATATGTGGCCCGGTTTTTCAGCCCAGGGATGTTAATGGAAGATCCAGCGACAGGTTCAGCCGCAGGTCCTCTGGCAGCGTACCTTCATGTCAACGGAGCCTTGGGTTCTGCGGGAAATACAAGGAAGGAGATTGAAGTTTTGCAGGGTTTAAAGACAGGCCGAGAATGCGTGATGCGACTAAGTATTGACATCGACGAAGAAAGCTCTTTAACGGGTATCAGGATTTCTGGAACTGGTGTACTAGTAGCTGAGGGAAACATCCGCGTACCTGCGCCAGATACTGCCTTTTAAAGCTACCCTTTGATATACACGGATTGAATTATGTATACTGCGTTCAGTGGGGTTTGGTGTTGGTATTCTCAATCGGATTATCGTTGCTCTTTGTCATTCGCCGACAAGTTGACCATGGCATACTGGATGTGGAATTTTGCCTACGCCCCGCCCTGATCCCAGCGTATTATACATATTGCAGCTAGAGTAATTCAGGCAGATACTTATCCGGTGATCAAGCCGAAGGTGCCTTTTCCCGGCGTCAGCCGAAATCTCCATTCCACGCCCGCAAATTTGGGTATCTCAGAGCATGTCACCTCAACTCGCTCAGCGGCAGGAGCCAACGATGCGGCGACAGCCTTCGTGTTAACCTTGGGTTCTACCCATGCTCCTTTGGCCGGCTGAATATCGAATCGCACGAGGAGCATTGCAGCCAGCGCCAGGATCTCCCCCGATGCAAAATGGCGTCCCGGGCAAATGTGGGGGGATGTGCCAAAAGACAGGAATCCAGCTGCCCTTCGCCGCTTTTCCGCCTGGTCAGTCTCCTTGAATCGCTGCGGGTCAAAGGCATCGGCATTCGACCCCCACACGGAAGTATGCTTGTTGATGGTTGCCGCGGGCATCAGAATAATGGAGCCTGCCTTGACCAGAAGGCGATCGTCGAGTAATATATCCTGACGAACCACGCGGAGCTGTGCCGAATTAGACCGCATGCGCAAAGTCTCTTGGAGCGTTGAGACGAGGGTTGGGCAGTTCACTCGGATATCTGCCACATCAAGGGTGTGAATTCCCGCCGAGTCCACCGACAGCGCACCTGTCAGAATCTCATTCCGGATGATGTTGAGGTGGTCCGGTCGCGAGAGGATGTCAAACAAGACCCAGAAGCAGGTCGGAACCGTATTAGAGAGGATTCCGAGCGCGTTGAGCGCCTCTAAGCGGGCAATGTCCTCCATAGCCGCCCCCGCGTCATGCTGGACCTTCCATCGCGAGTATGCCAATTGCGAAGAGTCTAGGTGACCCCCCGCTTGGTAGTACCGGATAAATTCTTGGGTTAGTTGCTCTCTGCCTTGCCACGCTTTGCGTGCAGTAATCCAGGGGAGGATATCCATCATTAAGAGACTTAGGTTAGACTCGATATGCCTACACACGGGTCAGTTTTATGGCCTGTCATGGATTGGTATCGGGAAACCGCTCACCAGAAAGCGCGCCGGTTACTTTCTAAACGGTAAGGATTCAATGGGCCGTATACAGCCTCGGTACTGGCGACTGTAACGGCATGGCAGCACCACTCATAGAGATCTAACACCACACCTGGCCGCGACGCCAACGTATCGATCACCGTCTGCAGAAGAGAAACCATTTTCCCGTTCATTTGGTCCAGTCCATCGCCCAAAAGTGCTGGATGCATTGAGTCCGCGGTTTGCTGCCCAATTCCCTGGCCCCCAGACTCCTTGTCCCGCAAGAGCTGCAGCCCGCGACCTCGAATGCCTCCGGCATGCTCCGTCACATTTGCGAATATGGGACCAAGGGACACGGCACTCCGGCTGCGTCGCACTGCGGGGACCAGCTCTGGAGATGCGATGATGTAGACCTTGGCAGAAAGCATGTCCATCGTGAAGGCCGGCAAACGGGTTTTGCGGCTCCGACCGTTAGCTTACTCTATGTCTCTTATAGATATACACTAAGATCTGCACACCTTATAGTGGCAAAGTACTCAAGGCCATAATACATAAAGAACGCCAGGTGGCCCACTATCGGGATGGCGCTGGAGACAAGGGGTGGCTCGCGAGGATCCAGTTTCCTTCGCGCGGTGAAGAATAACAGGGTCGCAAGGAGCGCTGCGCCAAGGGACAGGCCCACTGCCAAGGAGGATTCCGACATGATTGAAATGGTTACCCACTCTTCCAAATTCCGGCAACTGAAGCTATTCAAATTCAACTTTCGTGTCGCAGGCGTTGTTGTGTTCCTCCCTATTCGGGACTAGCGTTGATTCGGAAATTCAATTCCCCGTCCCGCGGGATGTTTGTTGGGTTTGCACCCCTCTTTCCAATCATCGTTCACAATCAAGTAGTCTTTCTGGTCCGTCACTCAAATCCTGTAGACCTAAGGCACTAAACGAATGCTATCCCGAAGGTGTTGTAGCTGTTCTATCTTTCAGAGGGAGTCAAGGGGAGTACAGCTGATTGGTGTGGGCTAGTACCATGTCTTCTTCGAGACCTATCGTTTTGTCCATCCAGATTATATATATATTTCTGCTATGCTCCTATTAGGCTGATCAAGGAATTTCCGGGCCCACATGAATGCACATACAAACCCGGCGAATCAGCGCAGAGAATCGAGTGTCAAGCTCAGCTCTCGAATGAATCATGTTTTAAGACGTTAGAGTTTGCTCTTACACAGGGAACTGAAAGAAAAGCCTTCCCATTACCATTAGAAATGTGGATGTACCTCTAGGAGATATGTAAAAGTCATGGATAAAGGTTTAGCGGTTGGCGAGATTTCAAAAGCTAAAAATGAGCCCTTGACTATCCAAGATAGGGCTTCCAAATGTTTCAATCGGCATTGCCGGGATTGCCCTCCAACAAGAGCCAGTAAAGAATGGATTCAATTTCCAGGTAGCGAGCCGCCATGTTCTTATGGTTCATTCAATTATCGCGGGCTCTACTTGCCACAAGCTCTCAAAGCTTGTAAATGTGGATCAAGACCATTTAAGAACTTCCGATCTTGGATCTCGCCCCGAGGGACCTAAAAATAACCCTTCAGCCAGCCAGTGTTGTTATTATGGGAGTCGTTGCCCAGGTTTTTTTTGCTCTTTCTTTCGCTGTTCGCAAAGTCCTCAGGGCCTCAGGGGGGAGCATGACCTTTTGTGAACCCCGGATTTTGTGATAAGGTTTCCTTTCCGTCACCAGCTGGTTGTGTACCCATATGAGAACCCGAATACCATATTCAAAGTTCTACTTAAAGTAATCGTCGGTTGAATTCATTATGGCCGAAAACCGAATCTTGGAGGTCCGAACAGTTGCAGAGGTGTTCCTTGCTTTGGCTACAGTGGCCACAGCTCTTCGATGCTATGTACGGGTGGTGACTGTGAAGGCATTTGGCTGGGATGATGCTATCATGTTATTGGCGTTGGTGCGTCTCTGTTCCTTGCGCATGACGACGCATTTGGAGGGTCTTTCTAATGTTGTCCCTCGGCTCTGAGCAGGGATTCTTTGCCATGTTTTCAGACTGCATGATCGGTGGAAGCAGATACGGAACTGGGAAGCATTTGACGGCGCTGTCAGATCATGAGAAAATAACCGCCATGGAAGTAAGCTTCTTCCGGTTGGGCCTCGTTGTAGTGAGAGGTATCTCATGACGCTAACCTATCAGACAGTATTGGTTCTTATGCGATGTTGCCTACTGCCTCTCGTCCATAATGTGCAAGATCTCCGTTGGTACTTTCCTCTTGCACGTCACCGTCAATAAAATCCATCGTGTTGTTATCTATGCAGTTATCGCATTAGCGGTGACCTTTGGGATGATGTTTTGGATTCTCCTTCTCGCGCAGTGTACACCGGTGAAGTTCTTCTGCCTGCGATTGTCCGCGACTAACAAGGTTTCCATCGATATGACAGTTGTGATCGTTGCTCTGTATATCTTCAGCGCGGTGTCCTTATTTTTGACATGACTGTCAGAGTTCTTCCTGTCTTTGTGGTTCGCAATCTGCAGATGCGTCGTGATCTGAAATACGCCGTTGCCAGTGTTCTAGGAATGGCCCGCATGTATGTCAACGCAGTCTTCCTCCCAATTGTTCCGCTGGAGATCATCTAACGTACGGATTTTAGTGCCTCGGTGGCGGTTCTTGTCCGGTTGGCTTACGTCAAGACACTCCGGAACCCGGATTTCTTATGTGAGTCTTCGAATCCTTCCAGATTACGGTATATCGTTAGAACTTCAGTAAGAACACCGACGAACGTTAACTTATTCCGAAGATGCCACTGTGGGTATCGCCGTGTGGTCCAACGTGGAAACCGGTCTGGGGATTTTGGCTGGTAGTTTAGCAACACTACGCCATCTTCCACGGATGCTCCGCCCGGGAACTGGCCGATCATATCACAACGATCATACCTTAAACCTTAGATCGCGTATATGGCACCGCGCGTCAGGTCAGCGAAACAACGCCCTACCACTATCATCGCTCACGTCTCCTGAGGAACGGCAACATAGACTGAAAGGAAATTTGTGTGCCAGTACACCCTTCGAGACTGACTGGGAATGACATCGTCTAGTGTGGGAACTGACGATGGGCTATCAGATCACGAATTGATTCGGCCCAAGGATTCTAAGGTGTATCAGTATCAGATCAACGTGCGCCATGATTTCCAGGTCACCGCCAGCGATAGTCCTGTCTGAGACGAGTATCTGAAGGGATGTGACCTTGTTTTAAGTCACCCCCGCTCAGCTATAGCAACCTTGTCATACAGATCAGCGTGCATCAAGCCATCGGCGACAGACAGCTCCTTGGGCTTCATCCCCATACTCACTCTGTCCTCGCTGTGCTATTCCGTGGCGGCCCTTGTCCCCGTCATTCATCGAGATCTTACCATTGTGTGGGAACGCATCAAAGTCGACCACCAGGCCCCAACTGCGCGGCATACATACATTCAGTGCCCGCAGATGGTTTGCTCGCTAAGTTTAGCCAAGCCACGAATGGACTTATGGAAGTCGACAAGCATATATCCGATGCGCCCCAGCAGCATCTGCACGTTCGAGTCACTTTCTCCGGTAAAATCGATATCATGTTTTCCTTGGCGGCCGCCTCCAGCTGTGTCGTCAGAGTTTCCCTGTTGAAGGTGTCCTTCTCAAATCTGCGCCGTGCCTATCGTGCCTACGCATATTGTTATGGCCATCATAACTGCCTTGATGTGAAAGTCAGCCTGTGCAGCGAATGGCGCATAGCCTCCAGCGTTACAGAATACTCAAAACCCCAATGTAACCCTTCACGTCGTGACGGCCCTAAAGGTAGATCATGATGGACTGAGGAGCAGGATGGTAGAGACGAGCGGCTAGCCTCAAATGCTGCGACTGAAAGGAGACGCCCTGTAGGTTGTTATGGTAGAGTATGTCCGTGAAGAGGGACCACAAGAGGCAATACTTGGGAAAATAATTTTGCTGCGTCTGATAGAGTTGCGCCTAGCCACTTATGCACTTCACCGTCTACACTTCGAAGAGATCTGACACGGAGATCAAGGTTCATGAATACAATGGCACTTCCTGACACCTACCAAGCCTTTCGGCGTTCCTCTGACAGGTCCAGGTACAGGAAGGCAATTGTGCCAAACACTGAACAGATTCTCTCACTCCAGCCAGGGGGGGGGGGGGGAGGGGATGGTTTCTTCGAGGTATTCGAGGGCGGCGAGGGATTGGGTGATCGTTACTGTTGAGGGGGGGGTGCTTGTTCGCATCCCGGAGCATCTTTCACAGGAGAGGTATGTCACATTGGCTGGACTTTGACAGATCTTTATCAGCACAGCGAGACTTGAGCTAGGCTAAATCTCCACTTCCTACGAGTTGAACGCATCATGTATTACATGCGCTGGAACCACAACCTGGGACGCTTTGAATATGACGGGATCTGCGAACCGGGGACGATCTGCTTTGGTGTAGGAGAGGCTTCTTTGAGCTACCTTGGGTATGATTGGATTATCTAATATATGATAATTAAGTGTATAGGTGCGGGCGGCGTAAGTATGTTTGGACTCTTGATATACTTAGGAGATGGAATCTGTCCGATCATTACATCTTCCTCCGACAAGAAACTGCAAGAGGTAGCAGCTCTTTGCCAGATGGAGCTATTAAAACGATTAACTATTGCGACCAGCGCGATTGGGAGAAAGAGGTCCTTCGCTTGGCAAAAGGATAAGGTGTTGATATCGTACTAGGAACTGTAGGAGGTATCAGTATTCCAAAAAGCATCGCGTGCTTGCCAACGCGTGGTGTTATATCGTGGATTGGCTTTCTGGGTGGCCTACAACTTGACGACTTCGTGCAGGCACTAGGAGATCTCTTTCAACGCGTCGGGACATTGAAGTAAGTTCTTTCAATTGTTGCTTCTGATTTCACTTGGTTGGTTGTGATCGGGCCGACACTGATAACCCTCTCAGAGAAATCCAAGTTGGCTCAAAGTCCGACCAGGTTCTCTCAGCTCCTGGATGAAAAGAAGATTTCGATAAAGCAAGTCTTTAGCAAAAACTTTGCATTCGAGAAATCACCGGAGGCATTCGACTACCTCTATTCGGGCGAACATATGGGAAAGGTCGTCATCCGAGTGTAAGAAACTACATTCATTTTTGTAGTAGGCTATACGCGAGGCTTTCACTGTCAAATAGATAAACCTCACCCACCCTGGAAATGAGTATCTTGGTACGAACGGGGTCTGTAAAATGATACAAAACTCAGAATGGCAACAGGTCACATTAGCTGAAGGCAAAAACCATCAGGTTCAAGAGATCTTTAAGGTTGTATATTCCTAGACCTACTAATGAAACTAAGCTAATCCAGTTAGCATGCCTTAACTGGGGTTGGAAATGAAGGAGTCACGCCAAAGGTCAATGAGTGCGACCTTGTACCGGTGTAAGAGCAAGCTTATAGAAATCAACAGAAGCACTAGTACCCACGAGGGAGCTAGCCCTCTTGCCCTTTGGCTGTACTGTAACCATCCAGGTCCAGTGCGCTGGGAAGTTGGGAGAAAGGTTATCACGGGGCTGTCCGCGATGATTTTTGAAGCTATATCAGCCGGGAGGCTGGGAAAATAAGGGACATAGTAACGCCCAAGGAGCGTTTTAAGGAAGCCATCTCGTGCATGGAGTCGAGCCACAAACCGTGAATCTTGGTAAATCCTGTTCACACGGTTAAAGCGAATACGCTGAAATTCCCGCAAGACCTGATTCAGTGCCGGCTGTGAAAGCTTCCCTGGCTCATTCTTTGAGAGCGTCCCATGGAGAAGATTAGCTAGAACGGCAGCATCTTCAATCGCAATATTGGCTCCTTGTCCAATATTTGGGGTCATCTGGGACATTGTTATTCGCAGCTCCTCTCCTTAACCTAGGTTATGGACTTACTTTGTGGATACTGTCCCCGAGACAGACCAGGCGGTCGGCGTGCCAGGTGTGAAAGATGTTTTCCTCCAGTGCTGTCATAGAGGCAATCTCTTTCTTCTCCCAGACATGGCCGAATGTGATATCATTCATCAGTTGAAGGTGAGCAATTTGCTGACACGTACGGATGGCGTCTTCATTGGAAAACCGCACCGTGTCTGGGTACACGTATATCTTGTCCATCTTTTTAATCACGAACCAGAATACTCTCCCGCCTTTCCCATGCATAGTAATAATCGTCAGCCGGTCGTAAAATGCATTTACTTGGTCTCCGGGGTTTAAACCCACGACGGGAGAAGAGATACCGAAGACGCACGCGTATTCGACTCTCATTCCTTCCAAGGACGAATCAAGAGATTAGTGTCCTGAAAGGATCAACCTGGCCATACAGCACAGCACTACTTACTTCTCTTCTCCCGCTTCGAAACCTGTCCTGATCTCCATATTTCCGAGCGGGTGACGCTATGGACACCGTCAGCACCAACCACCAGGTCCCCAGTGTATTTCTGTCCACTGTCTGTCAAAACTTCGGCATGGCTATCCAGCTGCTGGATGCGTATCACTCGATGCTTTGTATGGATATTTGACGGGTTGGGGTAGGACGTGTGCAGGATTTCGAGGAATTTCTGTCGATCCAGAAAAGCAATGGGATATCCGAACCTGGTTTCCAAATGAAAGTAACCTGTCAGCTAACCCTACTGAGTGTGGATATATCTCCCCGGGCGTCTGGTTAGACTACTGACCTTTCAGTGATAATTCTTGGATAGTCGCTTCGGAACGCAAACCCGTCTGGGTAGGAGATAAAGGCCGTATTGACAGGCTCCGTGATTGCCGCCACGGCATCAATGAGTCCCAATTGATCTAGAATCCGGGCTCCATTAGGCATGATCCCAATTGATGCCCCAATCTGTGGGGATAGGTCTGCGCCCTTCTCGAGAACGACATGATCGATTCCCGCCCGTCGGAGACAGTGCGCCAGGGTAAGGCCAGCGATAGATCCTCCGACAATGATAACTCTGAATTGGCCTTGACCACCCATCGAAAAGGTTGCGTAAGTTGCGCTGAAGCACCTGAGTAACATAAAAGTGAAGGTAAAGAATATTCTACCTCTCGAACTAGGAGGTATGGTCAGCCATGAGAGACATTGCAGTGTACGTAGGCTATCTCGAAAAGAGTATAGCAAGTAATACTCGTGTAAATATCGAGCAAAGTTGGGTATCGACCCAGCTGAGCCATCACCTGAGCGCTATATGCGTCAGACCGAATCCAAATTATCTGAGTCGCCACTCATCAATACCTACCTCTACGAGGTCTCCATGGGACCAGCAGTTATGTAGGTAGACTGGATCGACTATTCGGGCCATGGCTTGTCAGATCACTTCGCTTGCTATTTCCTGATTCTCGATATCTCTAACCGCGGGTGGAGACTTTGCGTTCGTACGCTATTTCAAACTAGCCCGCGATCAAGTGGATTCACATCAATCCATAGAGGAGTAAATCCAGGTCCGTCATTAGACCGTATAGACTCTGACTAGCACTCCAAAAACGGATCGTCAGCTGTACTGGGCCTTAATGGTTTGCATGGAATAGTGGTGGAAAATACGGCTGCATATCATGCATTTTCTACTAGACACACACGGACGGAGTTACGCCGGATCACGCCCCAAGCCTCAAGGGCTGCGGAATACCATTCTCCTACTATGCAGGGCTAGTGACACAAGAGGGACATATGTCGAGTAGCACAAGGGTCCGATGAGTCCAAAATCAAACCGATCTCCCAACAGCAAGCAGATGACCGAAAGCTCAGACATCCTTGCGTGTGCTGTCAATGCCATTGGTTCTCTCCAATTTCTGTATGTAATAAAAGAAAACACCATAGGATGCGTCCACGAAAAAGAAAACAGCTAAGCACCACAGTACGAGTGAACTTTTCAACCACGAAAACGCCTCTGGCCAGTATGTGCAACGCACCCACGCAACTCCCACCGTGCAGCAGGAACCTAGGAATCGGGAAAGCCTGATGGGCCAATGTTAGTGAAGTATAGACAAGAGTCTGCTCGGCGAGAGAGCGCCCCACTCACCAAAGAGTATACGACCCTCCACGGGTTCTTCCCCTCGTGAGCAGTTGACAGAGCCCGCCAATGCTGAGCAATAGCTGGCAGAAGGCCGCTCCCCACGAGTAGGCTAGACCAGGCCCAATCTCTACTGCCAGCGCAACATGCCCGGTGATGGACCCGATAATCCCGAGTAAGAAGATGAGGGGGAGGTTTCTCATCACCAGGGGCGCATGAACCCACTCGTTCGGGGCAAATTTGATTGCCGCATACATGACAGCGAGATTAATGGCCAGCCCACTCAGAATCACGGCTTGCTCAACGAGGGTCTTGGAAGGATAGATGAGACCGTATACGACTTCCCAGGCGATATTAGAGCACAGGGGCATGATTGCCATTCCATAAGTACGGTCTTGGAATGATTTGTAGACCATCCCAACATAGTTGATGACCCATCCAATTCCCATACCGAAGATGAGACCATGAGCCATCCAGGCAATGTCCTGGTATTCCGCTGGGGCGCTGGAGGTGTCAAACCCATCCATTGTACTTACTGAAAGTTAACCGGTAGGTAATGAATGTCTACTGGCGTAGTATGCAGTCGTCCCAAGAGTCTGTGGGAGAACATGAATAAATTCAGAAAGGGTTTTCCGTGCCGATGGTGACTTTATTAGGGCCGCAATGATCGACCAGCGATTCCCCTGTCTGACCAAAGCATAAAACCTTCTGCATTTCAAATACTTAGACTTCCACGGAGTATCACCTGCAGTAAGTGTCCCAAATGACCATCCAGGTTCGCTTTCTGATAGGATTGTTTAACGTTTTTTCCAAGTCTGACCTCATCCTTATACATGGCCTGGCTTACATCCACATCAGGGTTCAGTCCGTTCCTGAATCGCAGGGTTAGCTTCCACCAAGGTGTCATAGCACCTATAAGTTGAGATTAACTGTCAGTGTCAAAGGTGTAAAGCGCAGAAGACGCACTGCAATATTCTGAGTATCCAGCGGAGAGTGATATATCCGGAACGAAGTCAACACAACCACAACCGCAGCCACATTACGCATTGAGATCCTGTTTATGGCTCTCATCCTATAGTACTTCATACCATCATCATGAGCTTTGTTGACTATTTTCTCACTCACCCTGCATCCTATGCTATATTAGCCGCCCTGGTTATCCCAGTCACGGCTCTGGCATGGGACAGATTGCCGGATTTGTTGCCCTCCGGAAAGTCGTTATTGGTTGGCAAAAGGAACCCTTTTGAAATAACCGCATTGGAGTGCCCTTATAGTTATATTCGGCAGATATATGGAACGCATCACTGGGCGCCGTTCGTTGACAAACTTTCCCCAGGTCTTAAGGCAGAGGAGCCGGCAAAATACCACATGATCCTCGAGATCATGGATGGAATTCACCTCTGCCTGATGCTGGTCGACGATGTATGGGAGATATCTCCCAATTCATAGCTTTTGTAGGCGCTAACATCGAATTGGTAGATCAGTGATAACAGTGACTATCGCAAAGGGCACCCAGCTGCTCATCGAATCTATGGCGTCTCGGAGACGGCGAACCGAGCATATTATCGGGTAACCCAACTGTTAAATCGCACAGTGCAAGAATTCCCAGAGCTTGCGCCTTGGTTGATGCAATGTCTCGAGGAGATTCTTGAAGGACAGGACCTCTCACTGGTTTGGCGTCGAGATGGTCTCTCTGTTTTTCCAGTCCAACCAGAAAAGCGACTTGTGGCGTATCGCCGAATGGCATACTTGAAGACAGGCGCTTTGTTCCGTCTTCTCGGGCAGCTCGTCTTGCAGAATCGATCCTACGATGATACCTTGAGTACTATCGCGTAAGTCGATCGAACGATCTAAAACAATGGAGCCTCTGTACTAACTCCGCTCCTGACTAGATGGTATTCCCAACTGCAGAACGACTGTAAGAACGTCTACTCCTCTGACTACGCCAAAGCCAAGGGGGCTATTGCTGAAGATCTGCGCAACGGCGAACTTACACATCCAATTGTTGTCGCTTTGAATACTGCTGAAGGGCACTTAGTCGCCCGAGCTCTGGAGGTTCGATCACCACATAATATCCGACAGGCGTTACGAGTTATCCAAAGTGATGAAGTGCGGATTGTGTGTCTTGCAGAAATGAAGAAATCGGCGGTTTCCATTCAGGATTGGCTCTCCCTCTGGGGGCGAAATGAGAAGATGGATATGAAGAGTACACAATAAGGGGGCTCTATCAATCTCCAGTTCGCCGTCTCTTTTAGATATGAGTAGTTGAAATCGGTAATAGGTTTATTGCCTGTCGATAGCGTTGGATTCGACTTCGGTTGATGACATTCTTGACCTTAATCCATTTTAATAGTTGCTATCTTTTCCAAATACGGAAAAATGATGTTTTGCCTTCGCTCAACTCCATAGAGAGCTCAGTATCCACCATGTTGCAATGGAAGCAGTAGTGTATGAGCAAATGATAGTTTGATTCAAGTTGACCGATCCATAAGAATGACATGGATAGTGACCAACATCGGAGAGTCTGCATGCATATACCGCGTCATCTGCTGAACGCACAAGTATCGGAATCAGGTACTTCATCACCTGTTTGATGGAGCTGGTCAGGCGAACCCTCCGGCAATATGCCATCCTGGGTAATCCCCGGATGGGGGATTCTTGAGGACGGAGGAGGGTGATCCTGTAGTCCCTGTTGCATACGAGCCAGTCGCAAACGAAATGTCAGACTCCTCAGTGGGAGCAACGGCATTAAACATTTTCTTTCTAGTTCTTCCTCACGCTAACTTAGATATAAATGTCACTCGTGCTTGCTTCGCCCAAAGGCTTCGTATCTTGGAATGTGGATGTCCATTATATTCCCAAGATACTATATTCGGATTGTAATACCCTAAGCTGGAGTAGCATGATTTCAGGTGTGCCCGACCGCTGGAAACTTGTTGCGTGTTCTTTAACCTCACCTATGGACGGACGCTATCCCTCGCCAACTTCGCCGGTTGACCTCTTCGATGACGGGGCCTCGCCCTTACAAAGGCCTGCTGTTGACAAGGAGACGGTAGCGATACTCACCCACTGTCATGAAGCCCGCCACCGGCTAACAGGTGGCTACAGATCATTCGTGGGCCGCTTGACTATCTGTTGATGTACCCTGGAAAGGACATTCGTCGCAAGTTTATGCAGGCTTTCAATGAATGGCTGAAAGTCTCAGAGGATAAATTGAACATCATCGCGGAGATTGTTGGTTTGCTGCACACAGCTTCTCTTCTGTATTTGATCCCACCTATTCTCCGAATAGTCTCGTGATAAAACTGCCCCTGGTACTCTTACTAATTTCTTTTGCTGCGTGGAACCATTCACAGGATCGATGATATCCAAGATTCTTCAAAATTACGTCGGGGGATACCTGTAGTTCACTCCATCTTCGGCGTCGCACAAACGATTAACTCCGCCAACTATGCTTACTTTCTCGCCCAGGAAAGGCTCCGGGAGCTCAACCGACCTAAAGCGTATGAGATCTATACTGAGGAGCTACTCCGTCTCCATCGGGGACAGGGCATGGACTTGTACTGGCGAGACTCACTGACCTGCCCGACTGAAGAGGAGTACATTGAGATGATCGCAAACAAGACTGGTGGACTGTTCCGCTTGGCAATCAAGTTAATGCAGTTGGAAAGCGAGGTATCAAGGTAGGGCCCCAATTTACACTTTTCTATACCGTCTTGACGCGGCTAATTGGCCTAGTGATTTCCTGAAGCTTGCCGAACTACTGGGTGTGATCTTTCAAATCCGTGACGACTACCAAAACTTGCGAAGCGACCTATATAGCAAGAATAAGGGCTTTTGTGAGGACCTCACGGAGGGAAAGTTCTCATTCTTGATTATCCACAGTATCAATAGTAATCCGGACAATCATCAACTACTCAATATTCTCCGACAGAAGAGCGAGGATGAGTCGATCAAGAAATACGCCGTCGAATACATTCAGTCCACAGGATCGTTCGAGTATTGTCAAGATAGGCTAGCGTCATTGCTGCACGAGGCAAAGGTAATGGTCGGAGAGCTGGAAGAGAACGTCGGGTTTTCCAAGGGGATTTATGATATCCTGGGTTTTCTAATGTAATCGGGCGAATATTTTTGGCGTGAGAGCGTGAACATTGCGCCACACTTCCCTTCAAATTGCTGCTCAGGTCTATTTGCATACTCTAAGGCTGTATATTTGTACTCAGAGCAAGGTTATACAGGTCCTGGAACATATCTCATGTTCACCATTCGCTCCATCCTTTCTTTATTCTTGGGGGATTTTCCTGTTTTATTGCTTACTGGCGTTTTTCAAGATGAGCCGGAGAAGCAGCTCGTTCCTGTCCAAGTGTTGCTACTGTACCTGCCCGTCTTTGAGATGGTACTAGTTCTGAACATCACGCAACAAATTGGTGGTCTTTGGCAACCTGTCCCTCAATTCTCGAGATTGAATTGCTATCCGTAAGGTATACTTAACATATATCTCATCTGGTCTACGCAATGAAGAAGGCCTCTATTGACTAGAATATAATACACATCAAGGTATGAACAAGGCTGCAGCCTACGACGTTCAGCCACCTAACGTACCGTAGTATTATTTAAAGTGTCTATATCTATCTGTGATAATCGGGTAAATCATACTACTGGTGGCAGTGCTATCAACAGCTGCAAATGTCGTTCATACCCTGCTCGTAAGCACGACTCGGTAGGGAACCCACCATGTAGTTAGGATTCGAACTGAAAGCACTTTTGGATCACATCTCCACAGAACCAAGCAAATCTCGCACAAAGCCTTCGCTGTTATGTACGTGTCTATGTGCTACATGGTATTGACGCCTGCCTGCCACGGTTCAGTTGGAGGCTATCTATTGTTGGCATGTGCATTTGCGTGATGAATTCTTCGCTTCCAGGGGGGAGATTGAACCCTGGTGACAATGTAACGTGGGCATGGTATGTCGACAAATCCAGGGATGTGTACATTCGCGGAGGTCACGAGATTGGTATCGAGACGGACGATCATGAATTCGCCTGCATGGCGCGTTTTCTAACCGGTGATGGAATCGCTGTGATCCAGGTCATCTGCAAGCCCCACGAGACTTCGTATTAGGGCCACTGTATGCGACGAAGGTAAAATATGATTCCGTAATCCGCGTACACGAGGCATCAAGTTTCCAATCCGACTATGCTGCAGGTTTTTGCGGAATCTTCAGCGGAGATTGATACTGATCCGGGTGCGGATAGGGCCGAATTACCCTTGGTACTGTGTCAGTTTCCAAATCAGTTTTAGCCTTGCAGACATCTGATGGAGGGATAGCAGGGATTATCTGAGTAATAGGTCTAACTATCAAGTCCCTAATATGGTAGGTAATAGCAATGGAGATTGCTTCAACGCAGTTTCTAAGGTTCGTTTAGGTTTTGCCACGCTCTATTTTGTATTGCCGAAGATAGCGAGGACACCGAGATTGTGGAAAACACTATATGTGTAAAATGCCTAGGATATGCTCAACTCCTCTTGCACTAAGAAGGCTACCTTCCATATAAGTGTTCTCTAAGCAACGGAACTACTGGAGTAGGTAAACCGAGAGTCCCCAGCTAGCTAAACTAAGATCGATAGTTAGAAACCAGGGCTGCAACCTATGACATCAGCCAACACATTGGAAGAAGTAAATTATTTCTCGCTCTTCGTAGTTGAATCCTCCACTATCTCGTCTGCATTTTTTAGGAATGACCGACGTTGATGATGTCCCGGACCCTCGGTTCGTTATCCTCCAAAATCTCTTCACCCGCAATATATGCGCAGGAGGCTACCGAGTAGCTAGCTGCTGTCCCCGTATTAGACTACACAGCTGTTGAAGCAGGCCTTAGATTCCTACGTCTCAAATTCTGCTCTGTGCACGTCGGATTCCTGAGCACCATGATGTACTTGTTGAGGTCCTGGTACACCTCTCCGAATTGCCAGACGCGATAACCGACCAAGCAGAGTCCTTTAGTCATTATAACTTCCACTGGGACGCATACTATCATTGGAATACATGTGTACCAGCTGCCAACCCCCCACCCCCCCGGACCGGCAACAAAGATAGATTTCGGGTATCATAAGCCTCACCAAGTTCATCGCACTCCTTGTAGCAACGGACGAGCCCGTATTCGTATCCTACACCTGATACACACTTGTCACCCTCCGCACTGCGCTCGAAACATCTCCGATACATATGATACTAGAGAAACTTATAAAGCATGGATTCCGGCAGCAGCAGCTTGGATCAAGACTTTCGGCATGTAAATATATGGCTGTGATCAAGAATTTGAGCACAGTTTGAGTACTGCACCAGGGAGTGGAGGTCTGTTCTGGAAAGGTATGCATGGATTTTGTAAGACGAGGTGGAGACTTTGGCGAGAGCAATTCGGAAGATCGCACAAATGGAGGTAGAGCTGGACGAGGAGAGAACTATCGCAAAGGAAACAGAAATAATGATGAAGGAGACTAACGTTGGAGAGGTAGAGCGAACTAGAAGGATTTGTATTAGATATTATCTCCTACTCCGGAAAATAAAAGAAAAAATAGGGCGGTAATGATTTCGGTCAGTATACCACCTACGATGACTCAAGGGACTTATTGAACTACGTAGACAACGAGCTACCAATTTAAGTAACCATTAAAGAGAATGACACTTGGATTGGCTAGTAACCCTTCTATATAGGATGAAAGTCCGTGCCAACGTTCAATTACGAGCAAAAACCGAGTCTGCCTCGCGCATTAGGTGCAAATATGCTTATTGTGCAGTAGGTCTTAGTCCCACCCAACACTATTTCTACATCTGGCGAGGTATTATAGATTATTTTCTGGCGTATACAGTGTCCTCACAGCATGCAACAATATTCTGAGGCGCTGTCCTCCTCGGCAAGGGGCATTGTTTCATCGATTGCACTTCGAGACTTTTACAGCACGTCGGTGATTATTGTGGCCGAGGCATTGACGGTACTCTATCCTATATTCCTGGGTCCCTCTAAGTCGGACTTGTTAGCTAGTTCTAAGCTAGTCAAGGAGGTTGTAAGCCTATTGGTTGAATTCCTTATGTGCCACGGTGACCCTAATTTAGGTCTTCCCAGTTGCCGATTTAGGTTTAATCCGTAATAGCGTTGGAATCAGCTCCACAGTTAGCAAAACAACATCCCCTCCCCTTCATAATAACATCCCAGCTATGGTACGGTGTGGTGGACGAAGCAGAGGTTGCCAAACGTGTCGGAAGTTGAAGAAAAAGGTAAAGACCCAAACTCTTCCAAAAACTTTCTCGATTATAACGACGGCCTCTAGTGTGATGACGTGTATCCACAATGCGGACCATGTACCGCGACAAACAAGATATGTCCAGGACCCATCGTAGGGGCTATCTTTGTAGACTCCAGCCTTTCCCGAACACAGGGCACAACAAGAAACAGGGGAGCGAAAACATGCGAGAGGAAGAACCCGGCAAACGATGGAATCACTGGCGCACCGCTGCCAATGATTCAACTTCAAAGTTCTGCAATGCAGGATACTCAACTTGTATCCAACATGATGTACTTCTATTCAAACTCCGCGCGTTCGTCCAACGGACGGCAATCCTGGATACTGCTGCTTCCCGACCTCATCACTCAGTCGAGGCAGCAGACGCGAGTTGCGGTGTTAGCCACTTCGATGCTCTTGCTAGCGATCCAGTCGCGTGAAGAGCGCATCTTTGTAGAATCCCTCGGCTACTATTGTCAGGCCCTCATATCCTTACGGAGACAGCTACCCTTGGTGACAGACCCGCAGAACCCAGACTTCCTGCCATTGACCTGTGTAGCGATCGTCCTCTCTTTTTTCGAGGCACTCTGCGGCACTTTGTTCAACGGTTACTATCAACACGTTCAGGGCGCTGTGGTCCTACTCCAGATTCAAGGCCCTCGAAATTGCGCCTTGGTCCCATACCACAGCCTCTTTTATGCCGTCCGGAATCATGCCGTATGATGATCATCCAGCGAAGCGTTTTACAAAAGCTAATCTCAGTACTTTAGATTTGCGCATCTCTAATGACAGGAAAAATATCGCCTCTCGCTGGTGAACCGTGGTTGACGATTCCTTTCTCTCTGTCAAAAAAGTCCAGCTCGGACTTGGTGAATGACATACTTCTTGCTATGCCAAGGTATCTCTCGGCGCTCAATGCAGACGAGACGGCTAGCGAGACAAGCAGGCTGTCCAGGGAAGATATTGTGCAGGATCTGATGAATCATTTGCAAAATCTAGCCGGTATATGGAGCCAGATATCGCAGCACGAGCATCCCATTGCTGAATCAACTCAGCCCACGATACCTCAATCAGTGGAATTAACCCAGCGATATACTTATGACAACCCATACCATGCTAAGGTTATCGCTAACTACCGCACCGCCCACCTCCTTGCATTCTCGCTGTTGTCGATCATTCTTCCATGTCATGACTGGGATGTCGCACCTTTCCTTGACGATTCGGCGTCAATACTATCCGCAGCGGGGTATCTTGAAGAATGTGATATTGGGTGCGCATATTTTCAAATGGTCTTTCCGCTGCGACTCGTTGCTCAACATAGCCCATGCGCAACCAGGCGACGAGTAGCCATCGATATGTTGAAGCGCTGGTGTGGGGAGAAGCCCGTCAGAGGCCTTGCGAATAGTGCATTGGAAGCTATCTACCGGGGCCAGTGTGTAATTCCTCAAATGTTAATCCTATGATCCGTGTACATGCAACGATCTCTGTAGCCCTATCCTATCGTTGTCCTATATCTATGTTCATATTTATACGCAAATTGATGCTCAAATTCAGACCCCACACCGCAAAGATTCCTCGATATGGTTTAGCGCAGCATCTTCGTCGGATTTAAATGACTCTATCCCCGACAGCGTGGATGTGGATATGCGTCATTTATGTATTCTCTATCCAGTAATCCCAACATGCTGACGAGAAAGACATTGCTCAATGCGCTTAACCCCAAAGAGGATATCTTTGCGTTTTGGTTGGGGGCGGCGCTCTGCTAGATAAATGGCCAAAGACGACCACCCATCATTCACTCTTCACATCGAGTCTTCTAGCCCTGTCTATCGCAACGTCTATCCAGATATGTCTACCGAACATTCCAAGGCCTGTTGCGAGCGCCCTGTGCCTAAGCCTTTTTCATATACCGCAAAAGGACAATGGATCGAGCTTGACGGCATGGACACCTGTACGTAGCGGTGCACCACGGCAGTTTCGTCTACATACAATTTGCTGTGCTGACCACATTAAACGATAGATATAACAGGAGACACAAAGGCGCAACGAGCCGTCCTCTGGGTCTATGACATCTTTGGCTTCTCCTCCCAGATTCTCCGAGGCGCAGATATCTTAGCACACTCTTCCAAAGAGCCAATCCTGGTCATCATCCCAGACTGGTTCCGCGGTTCCACCGCAGAGCTATCATGGGTACCCCCCGTCACGGAGGAGCAACAACAGAAACTCGGTACTTTCATCCAAACAAAAGCATCAGCTGCGATCGTGGTCCCTCATGTGCGAACCTTCGCGAAATGTGTGAAAGCCGTGTACCCGCGGATCCAGCGATTGGGAATCTTCGGATTCTGCTGGGGTGGAAAGTTGGTATCATTAGCATGTCAAGGAGACGCGTTGTTTGATGTCGCTGCGCAAACATCTCCGGCGCGGGTAGACCCCGAGGAGGCCAAGCATGTCACGGTTCCTATGGCGTTGCTTGTCTCTGGAGACGAGGATGCCGGCCTGGTGGCGAGATATGCGGAGAATATACGAGCGGAGACACACGTTGAGATGTTTCCATCGCAGATACATGGGTGGATGAGTGCACGGTATGCTATGGCTGCCCTTCTGAGCTTATCTTAAGTGAGAGCAGCGCTAACCGTTTTGCACGATTAGGGGGGATTTGAACCGTCTCGTTGTATGGAACGAGTACCAACGTGGCTACCAAGTTATTGTGCAGTTCTTTGATAAGTACCTGTGAAGCGTTACTATTCAGAGTCTTGTAAAACCGAAGTGCGCATTGAATGTACCTACTATATATGTACCTAACATATCAAAAACAATGAAGAGAATGTATCATACAGCTGTAAAACCAGAATGTAAGAAATGCGAGAAGAGATAGAAATCTAGGTACTTGACCAGCCAAGCGCCGGGTTGGGCATCTGGAGCCATTCCTCCACCATCGCGTCAAAATCTGGTCTATACAGCCAGTCCAAGTCAAAAGCTTGGTGGGCGTCCGACTGCTCATCTTCACTTTGCTTCGGCATTCGGCGTCTATCAATCTGTTCGTTGAGCTGCAGCACCTTGTCGACTCGCTCTTGCCGTCCTTGCTGCCACACCTTCAAGCCCTGCTCCAGGGAGATGTCATTTCTCCCCCCAGCCACGATCAGCGAGAACGTATAGACATCTTCGAAAGCCTGGTTGATCCCCTGCCCCGCACTGGGAGGGATAGCATGTGCTGCATCGCCCAGGATGATTACTCGGCAGTAGTGCGAAATCCATCGGTCTAGCTTAGGAACAACGTAAAATGGCCATAAGTTAATCTTATCCGGGGTGGTCTGCCACACCGCGCGCTGCACAATCACCGGGAAATCACCGGCTCCGTCTCGCAAGAAATCCACACACCACTGCTTATCTCGCAGAAGTCGATCCCAGCCCTGTCGATCCAGTTGCGGAGCACGCTTCTGTCTCCCGATCAGGACCTCAGACCCATCACTCAGCTGTGGCGCAATCACAAAGGCACAGTGCGTCTTGTTCATAATGGTAACCGGCATTTCATACCCATCGGGGGCCATCAATTGACTAGCTGGAACTGCAGCTGTCACTCCCACTGTGTTTGTGAATTTCGGTTCCAAATCCGGGTACAGGTATTTTCGGACTCTCGAATGGATCCCATCAGCGCCCACCAGACAGGTTGCTGACGCTGTAGTGCCGTCATCAAACCGCCAGGTTACATCTGACTCTGTCTCAGAAATCACCTCAAGAAACTTCCTATTGTACTGAACTGGGATGTTCGCCTCTGCGGCCAGTGCTGAGAGCACCCTGATGAGGACATGCCGGTAGACCCGCAGGCCGTGGTAGCCGTACCTCTCGTGTCCAAACTCGTATGTGTCGATCAGCTCGTCATCAGGAGAGCGAAAATATAAGTTATCGAACTCGTATGCCTCCGGTCGAATACGTTGATATGCTCCGAGGCTATCAAGGATGCGGAGTGAATTGGGAGACAGCATAATCGCGCCTCCAATATCTAGCGGCGCAAATCGGGCCTCGTAAATTGTACATGGGATAGACCGGCGATGGAGAGCAAGAGCTAGTGCCAGACCAGAAAGGCCAGCACCGATGATAGCAACATTGTGTAGAGTCGACATGGTATTTGGTATGAGTGGGTTGAGCTTGGGTCCTATAAATTTCTAACGACTTAATCCGTCAAAAGCACGAATGGCGTTTGTTCGGTCTGTGGATTTGGAGGGTAGTATAGCTGACCTCAAAGGATTCTTAAGATATCTATATACGAATCAATTATGCGGATCTCATCCGGAGGTAAGAATGTGACTCTGAGAGCTTTTTCGGATCCGGATGCCCGGATCCGACAGTTTATCTCCGTGGAGGACATACGATATGGACCATCTATGCACTGCTGTAAGGGTTATACCTACATAGAATGTTATCTAAGCCTTGGGCCGCGCTACAAGTATAGTCAATGCTTATTTGGAGCATGGGGTATATTTTTGCATCATTTACATATCTTTATCTAGAACAATTCATTATGCGGAACGAGCCAGGGGTCTAAATCCGAAAATATTAAGACTCCCTAAAGATTCCACGCAAAAGCGCCATTCTCAATAATGAACGGATCCCCTTGGAAATTATTGAACTCCATAGCCAGTGCCGATGATTGAGCCAGAAAATCATCTGGCAGGTGGAGCTCAGTGGAGGGCGTGTACGACCCTGGGCCGGTGGAGTTGAATATCGGTTGCGTAGTTTGAAGCTATCGGCCAGGTTAGTAGAAAAACTCCCGCTACGAAAGATCCGGGCTCCGGTATCTTACCATCTGAGCGAAATCGGTGAGATTCAATGCCAGCGAGTCCTCCGCAACCGCGGGAAGTAGCTGTTGTCGACAAGCAGCCAAGGCCCGTTTGGCCCCTTGCGACATGCGTTGTTCCTGCATGTGCGTCGAACCGCGGGCGCGCACGGATTGTAGAACGACTGCGAGAAGCAGAACGTCCTTGAGGTTACTCCCTGCTTCGCTAATACGGAGGGTTAAGCTGTCCAAAGTGTTTTCAACAATACGAGTCAAACTCGCCTTGCTGTGTGTTGAGTTCCACTGCGCGGCTAGACCAGGTAGGCTAGAGTGCTTGATGTATCCACACACACTTAAAGCGGCCCATAAAATGTCGCCGTTGCAGATTACTTGGAAGAGCTCCCAATATGCGCCTGAGTTGAACACCTCTAGATCAGCTACATTGGGGTCAAAGTGGTCCTGGTAGGATAGGATAGCTAGGGATGACTCTAGGCAGGCTTGGCAGACCTCTTGGAAAGCCGGATCATCGCGAGGATGCCCAAGCACGATGGGCCGGTAGAGGAATAACAGAGGCCTGCGTGTATAAATGTCTAGTAGAACCCGACTCAGCAGCACTGTCGGATTGACGCCATTCGTAAGATTTTCGTTCAGTTTCAAGTGAGAAGGTATTTGCCGCAGGCATTCTACGATCTTTCGTCCCTGCTGGACCACTTCGCTTAGATCGGCTCTCGTATATGCTATTCGAACTAAAGACAATGCTCGTATACGCTCTGCCAGGGACATGGCCAGGGACACCTGATAGATAGAGTCTGTCCATTCCGATAACGACTTCGAGGGCGGAAGCTCCATGGTGGTCTCATCGAAATCGGAGTCGTTGAGGTTGGCCGGTGGTGGTCCAACGTCGTAGGGAGACACCATCATAGGCATCCCCGACGAGATAGACGCTTGAAGGTCCAATTCCACGATAGTAATCCAGAGTCGGCGCCGTATCTCCGCCTGGAAGGCCGATAGCTCCGCACAGTTTCTCAAATTCAGGTGCAGACCCATCACCATGGCTGAACGAACGATGCTGCCCGTGGCCCTCCACACTTCCTCGGTGGGCACTAGTCGTACACGGCGACTCAAGTGAAGAAGTGTCTCAATTTGAAGTGGAGCCAGCTCAGTCCGCTGCTTTCGACTCAATTTCTGAAGCCAAAGTTGGATCAGGACGAGTGCTGGGCCGTTCAAATACTCCCACAGGGTAATGTCATTTTCCTTCAACCGCTGGCCTTCTAGCGCCAGTGATGCGGTGCATACCGCCGTGAGAAGCGGTAGAAATGCAGAGGATGACTGGTAACGCTCATGATCTGGGTTAGCCCAGAATTGCGTGTACTCCTGGAAGAATGAAGGGACATGGATAATTCGAAATGTCTTCTCAAAGTTAGTGGTGTAGCTGTTCAACAGTCGGTCACAGATACTTTGAGGAGGGAGGGACGCGCGAAGTTGCGCCAGTTCAGAGGAACTTCCAACTTCCAAGCTCGACGCGGGCGAGTCCATCGGGCCTTGCAATTTCCCCTGGAGAAATTGGACTTCCTTCGCAAGGCTGACAATTGTCGGATCCCTAGTGCACTGCGCAATGAACTCCTTGGCTTCGGCGAACTGCGAGAGAGATATCAGCCGGGGTAGGAAAGTCCGACAGGTGAGCGACCATCTAACCTACGTGATTCAGAAGAGAAATCCTGTTGTTTTGCCCGTGATACCGGGTTCGCGTCCCCTTGACCACCAGAGTGCCAATAAATGGCTGGGAGTCGCTTGTTTCAGGAGCGCTATCGTGCGGTCGCGCATCAATACTATGCTCGGGGTTAGCATCGTGATACGTTTTTATCCGCTGCACCTGGATTACTTGATTTGAAGGGCTGGGGCATGGCTAGCCAAGGGGGGATTAGCAACCTGCGGCCCCAGGCCGAGCCGTTCTTCTAGCCTGATCACCCGTTGCTGGAGGTCTTCAATAACCCCGATTCCTGGAGCCTTTTCGGCCTCACTCCGTTGCTCATGGTTCCGCCCAGCATCATTCGGACTTAGGTGAATGCGTTTCACCTTGGGAAATGCATTGGGGCACTGGTTATAAGTACAACCTCCGGGGCATCCGGCTTTGATGCAATTCTCGCATGGGGTCACTCGATCACACTTAAGCTTCTTCTCCCTGCATCTCAGGCACGACACTACCGGCCGTTGCCGTTTACGAAGTTGCAAGGCATCTGTGGAAGCGTCCACGCTTGTCATGTCGGACATATCAGGTTGGTCGAAAGATCACAGCGAACGGAGTTGTTGGTTTGATGCCAAGCCAAGAGGCGGCGAATGGAATTCAGCCCCCAACCGGTTACTATATATAGGTTCTAGGGTGTCGATCCCTGACTATTTCAGCGGGCATGCGAGGTCGGGTGAGTTCTCACGTAGCTGTTCTGCGGCGTCAGGGATTTATATAGACCATCTGGGCGAGGTATAGAAGCTACATCCCCGACGCGCGTGTCTGAGATCTGCGGTTACAGATCGTGAGACTTGCTTCTTGCCCCTAAACCCGTCGAGTCCGAAGACTTTTCGCCAAGATGGCGCTCAGCGGCTAGTATTCCCCGTGAAGGCCAGTAATATTGAAAGTTTCGTAAGATCCACTCCATCATGGACTTCATTCCGTACTCCGGATTGCTTGGCCCAATAACAATGACTTATATCCTTGCAGTGGAGTGTCTGTCCAAGTCTGACAGAACCTTATTGGTTAGAAGAGACTGCCTTCTCCTTATTAGGCATTCATTGACTCTCAGGCTCTATCTGCAGGGGCTCCGAGGCTCTTGCTGTATGTGTATAACACATCTTGCATCGGTAGATCTACAACGAACTTGGCTCCAGCTGTTATATCAACAGCTGTTCTACGGCATAGTTACTGCAAATCAACGTGTCTAAAGTGCCACTTGCGGAGAGACCCCAATGCTAACGTCACAGTGGAGCTCCCTAGAATACTTGAAATTGCACAACTCGTCATGCGTTTCCGTTCTTCGACAGGCCTCGATTTGAAGGATGATATACCATGAACAACGCTCCGGGGCTTTCGGAATTAGGCCTAGATAGCGATTGACACATCAGAATATATTAAACTAATAAACGCACTAGCAAGGATTCCTCGGAGACAATCCATTTAAGCCCTCAATTACCCCACCAAGCACCTCCGAGTCGTAAGTAATATCATTCTGCTGACAATGCGCTCCCCACTTACTCCCAAATTTGATGTCCTGGTAAAGGCCCTTCTAGAGGAATGGCACGTTCCAGGGATGACAATCGCCGTTGTAGAAGGCGCTGAGACCTTCGCCAAGGTGCGCGCCGGTCACCATGGGCCTTGGCTCTGCATTCTGTATTAACGGACTTGTAGGGCTATGGTATCGCCGTCTACCCCGACACAAAAGCCACCCCAGAGACGCTGTACTACACTGCCAGCACGACCAAGGCCTTTACGGCGGCAGCGATGTCCCTAGTCATCGACGATCGCAAGAGTAACAGAACCGACAACGACCGAAACACAACTCGAATCGATTGGACGACTCCCCTCGCATCCATCATCCCGGAAGACTTCGTTCTCCCGGACGACTACGCCACCACACATGTTACCATCGAAGATGCCCTGTCCCATCGCACCGGCATGCCGGATCACATACGCCATTTCGGTGGAAATGGACCTTCGTCTCGCACGGTTAGGGAGGAAGTTCGCCTGCTACGACACCTCCCAAGTACGGCCGAGCTGCGCACGAAATACATGTACAATAATCTGATGTACACGGCAGTCTCGCACACCATTGAGACTCTAACCGGGGAGGACCTTGGGGCATTCCTAAGTCACCGCATCTGGACGCCCCTACAAATGACCGACACCTACTGGACGCCAGAAGAGGCGCAGGCGAGCGACAAAGTTTTAGCGCAGGGATACGCCTGGAACACTGATAAAGGCGAGTATATCCCTGAGCCGCCGCCGGACATAATCGGCTCATCCGGCGCCGGCGCGATCATCAGCAACGTTCTTGACTATGCGAAGTGGATACGCTGCATGATGACGCGGGAAGGGCCGCTCAGCGCAGAAGCGCATGAGGCGTTGGTCCAGCCGCGGACCATCATCACCGACGATCCAACGATTTTATTCCCTCCCCCTCATCTGTACGCTCTTGGCTGGACCCAGGCCATTTACCGGGGCGAGCACATCGTCTGGCACCCCGGCGGAGTCGCTGGATACGGAGCCACGGTGATGTTTCTCCCTGCGCAGCAGTGGGGTTTGGTCATGGCGGGGAATACCACGCTGACGAGTAATTTCGTTCAAGTGGTGCTGTACATGTATCTGCTGGACGAACTATTGAAGACCCCGCCGAATGAGCGCTTGGATTGGAGCCGATTGATCTGGGAGAGGGTTAACCTTCATAGGGAGCAGCAGATGCATGCGAGGGAACTTTTATATCCTCAGTTGCCTACAGTGCCACTTCCGCCTGCTCACTTAGTGCACGAGTATGCCGGTCTGTACATTCACCCGGCGTATGGAAGACTAGACCTTTTTGTCGACGCGGGGGGGTCAGGCCTCGTTGCTGATCGCACGACGTGCGAAGTTCCCATGATGGTTGTCCTGGAACATGTCAGTGGAGAGTTCTGGCTGGCAACTCTTCAGGAGAAGAACCAAGATCCTCGCGACTATGAGAAGGTGCGGGCGGAGTTTAAAACCGGGGTGGACAGTCGTGTAAACGAGGTGGGAGTCGATCTCGAGGCTGAAATGGCTGGGGAGAAGATCTGGTTCCGGAGGGTGTATTGAAGTGGAATACAGAAATTCTATCGGTCTTTCATACAAGGTACTCAAGGCGGTTATCCAGACTAGGTATAGCGATAGCCAAAATGAGTTATATATTGTGAATTGATTACCAGCTACATCTGGGAAGCATATCACACAACAGACTAGACCAAAAACTCCAGAAGTTCACCACTTAGAAAAAACAGCCCATTGGTTCCCCCTTCAACACAACCATGTCCTCCACTAGTTTGTGATCACCGGGGCAGTATTATCCCACTTATTTCTCTCAGCAGCATCGACGAGCCAGCGAGCAACACTCACACGGCTCGTGCTGGCCATCATCGGAACGCCTTTACCATCATGTGGCCATAGTTTCACTTCCTGAACGTCAGTGTCCACCAGTCGTGAGGGACGGACTAGAACGAAGTCGACGCCGCTAGCTCGGACTTCACGGTCCGTAAGGTTGTGGTCGTCATACTGGTAGATCATATTGGACTTCTTCATCAACAACTGCAGAGCACAATTCATATTTTTCCACGACTCCCCCACCCCGAACGCTTGTAAGATGACCACCTTTTTCACCCCGTACTCCTTCATGACCGCCACAACATTGGCGTTGCAATCTGCCATGAGGCGTGGGGGTGAAGTCGGGGCTGCAAACGGGCTATCGGAGGCCCGAGGAGCGCTGAGAGTTACAATCACCCCATCTGGCACGTCGAATTGGAATGCCACCCTCACATCATCTATCTTAGTAGGTGTTCCTACGAGCGGGTTAAGTTAGTCTAGCGACACGAAGACCGGAAAGGGCACATCCTACCTTGCACGAGTTTCAGGCCGGTTTTATCTTCCATAGAGGACGGTTTCCGGACCAACGCTGTCACTTTATGTCCTGGAGCTCTAGGTATTAGTAGATATTGAGAATGGTGGGGGCACGAATGACACACCTCGACGAAGTAACTCAGCAATTGTCAACTGGCCTGTGCGGCCACTGCCACCTATCACTAGAAAACGCATCTTGGCTGTGATATAGGCTTGATTGGGGTTGTGCTTTTGGGTATAGTATTTCCGATGAGATAAGAATATATGAGCTGGTTAACATGACTGGACTATGGATCTCTCAATATTTATATCTGTTTTTCTAAGCGAATCCCTGATTTAGGGCTCGGATCCGAAGTCCTTCGGATCCGGAGGGGATGAAGTGCGTTGGACAATAAACATTGCTGCAGACTCTCCGAAAACAATGATGAGAGATAATAGGGCACTAAGTCAATAGAGCAGCATAGTCACCGTCTTCTCGCTAGGGAATTGTGCCTCGATCCCAACGTGGAGAGTATTTTCCGAGTGGTTGACGTGTGTTGGGTGGGCAAGAGCCAAGAAAAATATAAATCAGTGCTGACCAACTCTATCGCCCATGGATGGCTATAGAGTAACGAACTCGATTTTTATTTCGATTGCCATATTTGCCCAGGTTGCCAACTAGGCAACTTCAAGAAGTTTAGTTTCTAAATTAATTGAAGGATCGTCCGCGAATGGATTATCCAAAACGGAGTCAACCCATGGTGGTTCCCATAACCGAGACGGTCACATTGACCACCCCGCAACACGCTTTGGTAATAGGAAGAGTATTCTCCCTTTATCTTAATAATGTAATATAGAATACGATTCAAAAGACCAGGCAATAGAATACTGGGAACTGGAGAGAGTAAGCTAAGGCTTTTTAGCCCCGCCCTACCACAGGTCATATCACATCACTTCCCTTCAACGTCCCTCGCTCACCCAATAAATAGGAGCGAGGAAGGCAAGTACATACTTAAGTATGCGCAAAAGAATGGCCGTTCCGGAGTTAGGGCAAACAAAGAAACGCGTTAGGTAGTCCAAAGAAAACTATTACTTTACGGATAGCACGAATAGCGGATCATTACCTCAGGTGCATTCGATTGATGCCGGATAATTTCCAAGTATAATATATTCAATCTATGATTAATGCTGTCGAACAATCAGAAGGACCTATCCTAGAAGTGGCTTATAGGCTCGAAATCAGAGGAAGGGTCACGTAATTCTCATATACCGGCCTAAAATGGATATGGTTTTCTCCTTGCAGCTTTTCCGCGGAGCTTTTACGTTATTAGCACCTGTCAAAGAACACGAAGAGAAGACAAAAAGCATACCGATCAGTAGGATAATTGTGCCTGAAAATTTCCGAGGCCTGAGTGCCTCCTGAGGATACTCCAGCACAAGTTTACCGCCCTTCTCTACCACTACATTGCTCAGCCAGATCTCCACGTCGACCGGGTAGACCTCGCCGGGCATGACTGGGAGAACGCCCGTGGAGTAGTAATCGCGATACGGCAGATACTCCCGGTGTCGCAGATGCTTTTCGTTTACCTTGCGCATACTGACGCGCGTCCAACCTTTGGTCAGTGGGGTGGGGTCTCCAACAGTACTAGTGTAGTATATCTCTTCCCCAGAAGGGGAGACATAACGCAGTGTCAGGAAGAGGTCAGTTTCAGATGAGAGTGGACCACCTTCGTCGGGACAAACAAAGACGTTCAGAGATGAGCGACGATGTGGCCAGTAACCACCGTCTCTTCGAATGCATGAGAGTAAATTGGAGTAGCTGAGGGTTTTCGAGAGTCCCCAACGCGCGATAAATATGCTTCACTAAGCCCGACTGAGGCGCTTGAGTTTGCAACCGAAAATCCAGGGTGAGAAAGAACTTTATATATTTCGTACGGGCGAGGGGTCATTCGCTTTTGGGGCATCGAGTATACACTCTCTCAGCTTTGGCGTTGTCGAAGCCGACATTCCCTTGGGTAGTAGGATATTAACTTCGGGTGCTTGACCAGTACTCCAGCCTGCTCGGTCTTCTCCCCAGAGGAAAGCATCAAGGAAGCTCCTTTGCAGCTCCACCTCTTCATGGTAGTAGAATGGGAGATCATGACGTCCAGTGATGAATCGTAAATACTTGCGTTCTGAGCCAGCGTTCATTTAGCCGATCACATTGTCACGTAGACGTAGTAAAATACCAGCTCAATCGGCAACGGAAAGCAGTGGGACTTGTATGTGTTCCATATTATATTCCCTGGAGGCGTAGTACGGCTCATCGCGGAGTCTGTTCTTAACATTATCAATTATTTGGTCATTGTGATTAGCCAGCAATCCTTTCTCAGACAGGTCACCTTCAATAGTGTCAGGATCCTAGTTGCGACCAGCACGCCCAGTTCGTTCATATTGGTTGCCGATCACTTGGCGATCCCACCACCACTTGATAAAAGTATTTGGGAGAATTGCCTTCATGGCGACACCGGTCACGGTAGTAATCTGGATTAAACCCCAGGGAATCATACAGGCCAGGCCTTTGGGCTGACTTGATGCCACTCGCCACTGACCACCAGCATAGTAGCTGATACCTAAAAGACCGACTTCCATAGACCACGACCGTTGTGCGGCCCAATCTACGTCATCGACGAATACTTCACTCGTGGCACGCGATGCGATATCTAGGACACCGGGGGCCGGCCTAAGCCACGCTCGTCGGCTCGAACTACTGCTTAGCCCTGCTTGGTCCAGAAGCCGGGAACTGGAGTCTCCCAAACCGAATAGTCGGAGCGATGCTCAGGATTGACCTCGCCGTAAGGCCTAGAATGGAAACTACGTGACTTTAACGACTGAATTCCAGCGGATGGAAAGGGAGACGTACTCTTTGTATTGGATATCCTTGCCGTATGGCCCGTAGTTCACTAGTATGGGGGACCTATTGACATCTTTGTGCCGATAGATATTGCAGCGGATTTGCCCTGAGTTCTTCTTTAATGTGATCGTTGTATTCTCTTCATAGATGCACGGAAAGTTGTGGCGCCTATACGGGAAATATACTTGATGGGATTCGTCATGTTGACAGAAGACACAGAAAGAGAATACTCCAAGGGTGAGGATCTCGAAGACTTTCACATTATAGGGACAGTAGTATTGGGTGTTCTGAACAACCTCTCACCTGCTCTAAATAGTGACCCGGCATTAGGAGCCCGGAGGTATGTGGAACCAAAAAGTCGAACAAGCGTGCGCAGTGACATAAATTCCAAGTCTCCCAATGAAGGCTGTGTACAAGGAATGGCTCAAGATCTAGCCGCCTGCGATTTCCTTGAGCATGCTCCCTTTACTGAAAAGATCGAATCAAATACCCTACGATGATGAGCTTCGACTGCGGACTCTCAAAGAGCGTCGAGAGCCGTCACGTTTGTAGTTTAGACTCACATATGGCTAAGAGGATTTGGTTTCATTTCATCTGTCATACAAGCACTAGGCAGAAATCCCCTCGACAAGCCGTATACTGTGATGGTATGGGGAAGCAGTCACAGTTAGAAGCCTAGATACAACGCACCAATGGCAATACTTAAGTCACTGAAGAATGCGCAAGTACCGCTGACTATGATGAGGTCGTGGGCATAAGCCTTCAGATACACAGAGTAATATGTCATTTCTAGCATGAGGGGCCCATGCGACATCTGGGGAAAGGCGTTGGACGATCTTTATTCCACCAACGCATGACTTCGCAGTTCCGGCCCCGAGCTACCCCGAAGTAATATATAGTTGAGTCTTGGCTGCAGCTTCATTCCCCTCACATCATGCCTGAGTCAGGATGGTGACACAAAGGTTTAGAGATTATCTATCATTACGTTCGCGATCAGCATGTCTGGACCGATACATGCCGGTAAACCTCCGTTCGGTCTCTCGCTGGGCGATACGGTTAGAGGCAACGGGCGAATGGGGTCGGCATCATTGGCGGAAAAAATCTAGCCAAATATTCTCGCAAGAAGTTGAACTAGCATTCATTCTTCGTACGCGAGGACTACCTGAATATGGGTGCTGGTTAGGCTATATATAGTTTTACTGCCCTTTATAAACTGTGTTCATCATCATTGATTGCTTCAATTCCTGAATCACTACTACTAATTAAATTGCCTATTTTACGTCCATATCGAACCTCAAATATCGCTATACAAACCCCATTCAACAAAATGAAACTGAGCGCTATTGGACTCTTCGCCATTGCCTTGAACCAGGTTCAGGCCAGCCGTATTGTCCGAGCGTCAAAGTCTCCCTACCTTTTCCTCATCGGGGACTCCACTGTCGCAGTGAATGGTGGCTGGGGAAATGGTCTTCTCTCGTACCTTAAAGACCCAGCCAAAGGCGAGAACAGGGCTGTAAGCGGAACCACCACCGTTTCCTGGAAATCCAATGGAAGATGGGATGATCTCATTGAAAACATCGAGTCGAACGTGGGAAACTATGAACCCATCGTCACCGTGCAATTTGGGCATAATGACCAAAAGTCCCTAACATTGGACGAGTTCCATGCAAACCTGGAGGAGATTGCAACGGATATCAAGCAGGCTGGCGGTACTCCGGTATGATCACTTGCTCTTGGTAGGTAGGGCTATCCTGACATATGGGATAGATATTTATTACCTCCCTCACGCGACGCACATTTGACGGCGATACAGTGGTAGAGAACCTCAAGGAGTGGCGAGATGCGACTATTTCTGCGGCCAAGGCCGTCGGCGTCAAATACCTTGACTTGAATTTAGCAAGTACCAACTATGTCAACGCCATCGGGGAAGAAAACGCTAGCAAGTACAACCTTGCCAGTAACGACAGGACGCACCTAAATACCGCCGGTGAGGCCGTCTTTGGCCGAATGACACTTGACCTCTTGTTGGAGGCGCGTGAGGATCTCAACGAATATTTCGACTCTAACAAGGCTTTGAGCGACAAGATTGTTAACGGGGAATATGCCACTGGGGATGAGTAAAAGATCACGGCGCGGCTACTCGGGTGAGGATAGGGAAGGGATATTCCGGGTTTGCGTTCAAATGTATCTTCTGCATAGTATAAGTCTATCCATGTGGAGGAAACAGTAGGAGGTACTGTCCTTCGAGCATCTATAGTCTCTCTTACCGTAATTCTCCCTCCTTTTGCCATGAACAGTGAATGTAGCAAGCTTCATTGACTAGTAGAAGATGAATCTTATAGCTTTGCGAGACCATGGTATTCTCCCCACCCCACTGAATATGCGACAAATGCACCCTCTGTGACAAATTTTTCTGAGCTCATTTCTTTTCTCCAATAATGGCTCGGTATAAAGATCCCGCGAGATCGCCCTTTCAGATGCCTTTTGTGGAAATGGCTCTCTGGATCGACTTGTGGGCCAAGCCAGTAGGTGTCCTCAAACCCGTACAGCATGAGTTCTTAGTAGTATCTCACGGGTCTCTTCCATAGCATTTGGCCCGGACAGCCGAAACAATTATGGAGATGTTTATTGGTGGACAATTTAACAGTAAATATCCCCTGGAAGGTGTACACTGCTTACTCAGATATACCGACTCACTTCAGACTCTTTATCTAAATCACATTTTATCCGCCTTCCCTGAGACAGCATGCGCAGGAGCTATATTTCCTTTTTCGTTCTACATATTCTATTCATTTCAGTTGGCCGTCTTCTTGATATGGCATCCATACTGAATGGAATTGAACACGCAAAAGAATGCTTACAGAGCAAACCAGAGCAGTCGTAAAAACACCAAGTTCATAATTACATTTATCTGGAAATTTTTTCCAGCAACACACCATTAAAAGCTCTATCTAAGAAAAAGAAAGGATGGAATGCCATCACATTTTGTTCCTCATCGCTTCACACAACTCGTCTTGATGCACTTTCATCTCAATATGCTTTCATGATAGCATTAACTAAGAACGGTTAGCATGATTCATCAACACTCGAGGGCAATGTCACATACATTTACAGGCTGCTGCCAACAGTGGCAAGGACGGTACCGACGGGGATGCCGACGGTAGGGAGGCCGAGACCAGAGACGAGACCAGCAACGGAAGGAGAAAGCTGAATGACGAGAGCACCAACACCCTCGGCAACGACGGTGACGAGGCCTTCAACCTGGGGGCCAAGGGCAGTGACGAGGTCACCGACAGAAGAGGCGGAAGCAACGATACCACCGAGAGGGACACCGAGGCCAGGGAGACCGAGGCCGGAGACGAGGGCAGTGACCTCGGGGGAGAGCTTGATCAGGAGGGTCTTAGCGTTGGGACCGGTGACAGTGAGGACATCGTTGAGCTTAGGGGCGAGGTCCTGGAGGATCTTGCCGGTGCTACCGCCAGCGGAAGGGACACTGGAAGGAATGGAGCCAGTGGAAGGAGTGGGAACTCCGGAGGGGATAGCACCAGTGGTGCCAGTGGGCAGGTTGCCGCCGACGCTTCCAAGGATGCCAGTCACGCCGCCGAGGACGTCACCAAGCGGCAAGCCGCTGCCGCCGCCAAGGTTGCCGAGAAGACCACCGAGGACACCGTTCAGGTCACCAAGGTTGGAGACTACGGGCAGCTTGCTTCCGAGGAGCTCATCGAGGTTGGAGAGAGCGGGGAGATTGCTCACGCCAGGAAGGCTGAGAGGGGCGGCAGTGGCAGTGGCAGCCAGAGCAGAAAGGATGTACGCGGCCTTCATTTTGAAGTTTTGAGGTAGACAAACAAAATTAACGAGAGTGAAAAAGTAGAGATGGACTTAGGTCAATGAACGAAAGACTGTTAATGAGGGAAGAAGTAGGTGTCTGAATAACCAGGAGCAGGGCCAGGTTTATATACCCTGGGATAAAGCGATCGTCTGGCGCAGGAGATTTCTGCACCAATGCTAGGAACCCTTTGACCGTAGGCGAGTGGGGATATCCCATTGGGTTTGCAAAGAAAGCAGATATGGAGCTCACAGCAATAGTCTCGTATTCAGCGGGGATAGAGTTGAAGCTATGGAGGGTCCTTCTACGACGGCCTTACCACGGAAAATGCCAATGATGAGTGTCTAAACTGCTGTCCTGCTAGCAATGACTAGTGCACGTGTCATGTTTCTAGTGAAAGTATCACTCACCGACTGTAAAACTGAGAAGAAACGAAGGGAACGAACTAAGAATGAGCCCAATACTATAGCCCCTGAGATGGTAGCCAGCTTGTTGGCATCAATGGCATCATTACATTAGCACTGATCGACAAGCCAATCTTACGGCTCGGCTTATGTGGCTCAAGTCCCGGTTTGCAGCGGTAGATAGTAGTAGCTTTGTTCAGGAGCAACCATCCCTGTGGAGCTCGGACCTTCTGTTCTTTACTTGGACTCGATCTCTATCGAACAACAATCCTTCCTTGATCATTGCGTTCTCACTGGTTCACAGGACAACTATATGTGGAATTCACACGTCCGGTTGTCGGAATGCAAGGCCCCAAACCATTTCCATTTGCACCAGCTCTCTTGCGGTCAGGTACAGATTCATTGTTGAACCTCTCATTCTGGTTTTTTAAGCTTTCCATGCCGTACCTCTGCTCTACCTTAGACTATACGTGTCAGTCTCGAAAACAAAGAAGGACTTGGACGGTGTAAGACTAGGCTGAATGCAGCCGTCGGCGGATCTCGGTCTTGGCCGTATATTAGATCGGTTGAATGGAGTGATGGAAGATACATTATCCATGTACCATAGGAATTGGAAAGGGGCTTGACTTGATTTGAGCTCTTGGTTGGTAGAGCTCTTGCAGATCTTGTGGTAAACCGTGGAACGAGCTATTAGAATCTGCCACACACCAGGCTTGGCTGACTTAGGGTTCACTAAACGTGGTCCCCGTCGATCGCTATATTAACTACGGCCCACTTATGCAATGTGATCACCACCACCAGGGACTTCCTTTCTCCACGGAGAATGTTTTCATTCATAATTCACATAGAGAAACAATAAAACCCGCGGTGGTGGATTAGATACCGCGTCATCAAGAGGGACCGAACGAACTTCCCAGTTGACCATGAATGGCTTCAATGCCTATGAGCAATACTCCGTATATTGCAGACATGAAATGGAGTCATTTCCTTGGCCTCCATATGGTAAGGCTCAATTAACGATCAGCAATTTAGTTTACCCAGATGCGTTAGTTTGGCGATTATCCATTAAGATCCGCTGGCCATTCGTGATCAAAGTTAGTATTACGGGTCAATGGAAAAGAAACTCCGTAGCGGGAAATACCTTCCTTCTAGAAAGACGCAAGTTAGGGCTTGGTAATACCTCTTAAGAATGATTAAGTTATTGCGCCATTTCTGCCTCGCATATCCTTTCCTCGACGACCGGAAGTTGGCCGAAGGTCGGATACTCTAGTGGGATAACATGACAAAGAAAGAGGTTTAAACACCGGACCGAAGCCCAAGCTAGAGCCTCCCGATCCGAGTGAGAATACTGCTTCATTTCAACAGGTTTGTTGAGATCTTCCTTTGCTCCTGGGATTATTGTCAAGGGGAACAAAAGTAGAAGCTGAATGACGATCGACGGAGATTTCTGGCGTGCTCCAACCAGCGAACTATCTGTTAACTACGGTGTCTTACTTTGACGTAGCAAGTTGATTCAAGGGACCTTTCTATGTATTCGTGACGTAGAGACCCACCTGGCACCTGTCTGGATTCAGAAACCTTTTTATTGCTGTGGCTCATTTGAACCGCATATCCTCGTGGAAGGCCTGCTACGTAACTCAGTCCGACTTGTGTGATACGTATGTGTAGCGGTATAAACTGAGAGAAGGCATCATTTACCGCTTTTCTTGAAATCTGCCCTTGGATAATAGGGTAAATGGTGTCTGCCATTGTTACATCCTCATTAGGCGACCAGCATAAACATTGGTCGAGGTTGTTCACCAAAGTAATAGCCTACGGCTTGATTGTAGCATGAGCCTTGCCAGCTGGTAAGGACACGGCACCTGCGCAGGGTATGTTGACCAGGAGTGTATCATTCTAATTTTGAGATGCTTCCTGTGCTTAAAATCTAAAAGCTCTACTTGTTCATCTCTTCTATGCAGTTCTAATGTTGGGAACACCTATACTATAAATATCATGGCAATCATTGAGCACAAGCACTATGGCGCAAAGTGCATCATACTATTGATGAAGGATTCATATCGATAACCTCTTTTAGGCTCACTGGTTGGGTCTGCTACGGTTGAAGTGATCTCCCCAGATACCATCGTCCATGCCTGCAGCAATTCCCTCCAATAACATGCATCTGCAGCTGGGGTCAAATACCGTTCACGGAAAATGTTCACATTGTTATTCGCAATCTGTCGAGCCTTTGCGGGGTCATCGAGGAGTTCTTGTATTTTCTGTGGCAAGTCAGAGAAGTCCCTTTCTACCTGGACGTAGTTCTGATATTGTCCGGAGGAGACAAGGAGATAGTGGTGATGCTGAATATATTGCAGTTCGTGAATGACGATAATCGATCGGCAGGCCTGGCGATATTTGAGGGAGGCAGAATAGGAACGGCCTAGTTTTGATTAGCTACTATTCCGTCAACATGGTTATCGCAGTGATAGGCCGGAATCACCTTCTACATAAGCGATAAATCGGTAATTACAGTGATCCTCTATGCTAAGGAAATTGGCCTTGTTCTTCCACTCAATCTCCTTCACATCTCCCCAAGGATGTTCCTGCGCAACTTCGAGAAGAGTACGTCGAAGCTTTGGAGCAAAGCTGAGCTTTCCACGCCATACCAGCTTATCTTGCTTTTCCTCCCAGGAAAGCTCCTGCTGTCGGACGTGCTCAACCATCTGGTCATATGGCCCGATCCGACTATCAATATGTCCCCAGGACCAAAAGCCAAAGTCGGGTATTAGCAAAACGGACTCTTCCTCGGCTTTTCGTGCCAACACCCACAGAGGATGACCTGGTCCGGCGACATCATCCACCTTATCTTCCACGGAAAAGATAAATTCAGCGTTAGGCATGGTAGCACGCTCGGGTGATGAAATCAAGGCACGGTGGATCGAGCTCAAGATCCCGATGATTTTACGGCGGTGATCCTCTCCCTTGCTAAGGGTCATGATGACATATAGCCTTCCCTTGTATATAGCTGCCCGGGCCATACCGTCCACCATCTTGATATTGTCGAGGTCAGCCCTGGTTATTCCACGCTTGGAGTTCCAGAACGTTTGAGCCCGAGTTGGATCTTCAAAGAGACCGGGGAGGAACGATCGGCATTGTATCTGATTATAGGAATACTCTTCAGGGTCAAACGCACTATAGGAGGTGGGTTCGGAAGCAGAAGGGAGAGCAGAATCATTAGACGGTAACTGAGAAGAGCACCGGAGGCAGCTGTCACATTTGAAGATAGTAGAAGCCTCACAAGCACAGTGACCCGCGGGAATCAGTTGGTTGAGTAAAGGATGAATGTTGTCTTTGTCGGAATTCACCCCTAGCCACAGAGACCATATTGCTATTCCAAAAGAAGCAAGCAAGATCAAAATGACTAGTTGGCAAACATATCTGTTTGTAGCCCGGCCCATTTGTCCAAGCTTAGCAGCGGAAAAAAGAGCCGAACGTCGCAGACTGGGACAGGAAATGTCCTCTGACGTTGGGCAATGGCAAGAATGAAGATAAAAGAAAAAGAAGGAAGAAAATAGAATGAGAATTAACAGAAGAAAATGACATATAAGGAACCGACATGGTGGCTCAATGTAACCTAAGTAGCGCTAGCATGTACTCCTGGGTTCAAGCATGCTCATTTCAACATCCCTGTTAGAACTCCAGTTTCGTTGCCATGTCACCCATCTGGGCATTGAAATATATTCGTCTGTCCCTAGACGGTTCTCCAATTTGTTTTTCAGTCGGTGGATGCCCACTGCTTTGAGTCGTGTTGGAGGAAGGTCAAATAAGCTAACGAGATAACGGCATCTTGTGGACGAGAGAAGGGTCTATTACTGACCAACCCCACCAAATCCCTGTCAATAAACCTTGCAATATGTAAGTGCACCGATACTAGAGTCACCTTTTGCACCATCACAGGTAGGTTGTATGTGACCCGGTGTGGCGAATTGAAACATCCAACCCTTCCCCTGGTTATCCGCCTTGGGTTGTTATAAAGACAAGGGGATGACATATAGGGCTAGAAACTCTTGAAAAAATAAGAATTGAGTTAAGGTTTGAATACCTGACCTTTTATGTAACCTCTGACCATCAATAACATGTATGAATGCTTGGGTATATATGCTGGAGTCAACGGTACCTTGGTGGAAAATATATCTCGGTTAAACTACACTATATGGTGAATGTCGTTACTTGTGGAGCCGTCCACGGCCCACGGCCAGATAGTAAAACGAGTAGAGACACCAGTGTGCGTTTAAAATGAATGTAAATCTTGCCATTCCAAACAATGTAGGAATTGGATCCGCAGTAACATTGACAGCTTCATGACCCACCGCGTGCCACCAATAGACGGTGGACAGCTTTGAGGGACCCACTTTAGGAACAGTAGAAAAACCTTTCTCCTGGCATGTGCATAGCTAAGCCTTAGCTTGGTGTACATAAGATGGATCGCAGCCATATTAGGACTTGGGTGGCAGGGGCTTAACTGGCCACTCGTGGTCTCTGTTGAAGGTTGCCTCAAACGACCACTCACCATACCCAACGAATTTTGTCTTTTCCCCCGAGCGATCAGGATATATGACCTGACAGGTCGTATCGTATGGTACAGAGACCTCTATCCTGATCTTGCTGGAATCGTCGGCGGCAGGCGTTGTCTCCCAAGAGCAAGCAGCCCTTCCATGAGGTGTGAGGTGAGAGGTAGGCGCGTGAGAAAGTTAGCTCCTATCGAGGGCACGACACGAAATTGTTTCCATCCGGGCTACAGTCTCTGCAGGCCTGCAACCCTTTCAAGCAGAAATTTCGCGATAGCACCGAAGGCATAGTGGTTGAAGGGAGTCATCTCACCGGGGTTTATGCTACCATCTGGCAAAATGCTATCCCATCTTTCCCATACGGGAGTCGCACCCATCATCACTGGATAGAGCCACGCGGGACAGTTTTTTCCTAGGAGCATAGAATAAGCAACCTGGACATGTCCAGTAAGTGCGAGGGCTTCGCATAGGTACGGGGTGCCTGCAAACCCGGTGCCGATGTCGAATTCGTTCTTTCTGACTAGCTCTACTAGGCGGTTTCCAGCACGGACTCTTTGGACTGGCGTCAATAGATCAAAGCAAATAGCCAGCGCATATGCTGCCTGCGCGTCAGACGTGATGCGACCGTTTGGAATGACATATTGGTCGTGAATTTCCTTCCGCGCTGAGTGAGATTCAGTCTTGAAATAATCCCGATCGGCGTGTTTGCCTAAGATGCCGGCAATCCGAATCATGCAGTCTAGGCTGTGGATCAAAAAAGCATTGCGGCCATCTTTGCCTCAGTTGCACCCTTCCAAGGCGCACCGGGCGGAGCTGCTGGGTCGAGCCAATCCTATAATATATGGTCAGCGCACAGAGTTATATCACAGAAATTTTTACTGAGTTACGCACACCAAGCTGGAAGATCTTGGTATCCCACAAGTGTGTAGCACCGGTTTGATTTCGTGGCAATGTCTTCATCCAGGTAGTCATGCTCGTATACTACTGAACTAAAATGCTCTTGTCTCCCGTCTCTGCGTACAGCGCCAATGGAGCTAGGATAGTCACATCATGCCAGATAGCGCAGGGTACCCTTCTGCACCAGGTCGGGTCCGGGAGGGTAGCATTGGGAGTGACCATGACCATGGCTGGGACATCACCGAGGACTTTCTGATCATGTTCAACGTCGATGAGCTAGTTCTTAAGCATGTTGAAACAGTCATAGATTAGGGTTGCCGTTGGTCAGAATAAAGCTAGGTCACCAGACCAACCGAGCCGTTCATGTCGCTCCAACCAACAGTGCAGGGGAAACGTTGGGTCCCGTTTCTGGCATGTTATGGCTGCGGGTCACGCCGGCAGGGTTCCGCAAGTTTCTGAACTGGCTCTGGGGATCGCTATCGTCGACCGGTCATTGTGACTGAGAATGGATGCCCGTGTCCGGGGGAGAATCAAATGACTAAAGAGCAGGCATTAGATGACTAGTTCCACATTCGCTATCATGAGTTGTGTCTAGATGCTATTTCCCGGGCTATATACGAGGATGGTGTGAAGGTGAAAGGCTACTACGTCTGGTCATTGATGGATAATTTCAATATGGTCCCTTCCCTCTCAAGCGCCTGTCTCAATCTAATGGCTTATTGCGACAGAGTGGTCTGCTGGGTATGGCCCACGATATGGTATCACACATGTGGACTTCAACACCTTAGGACGGACGCCCAAACGGTCAGCAGGGTATTTACGCGAGAGTTTCAAGACACGTAGGGCCGGGACTTAGCATATTAGATGAACGCAGGTCAAAGGACTTATAGGAATAGAAATAGACACCCGTAGTTGAGTAGTGTCATTACCTGTCCCATGAGTAATTGTGTCGAGTTCGAGAAAAGTCTCCCAAGGCAGGCGAAATCCGGATGCTTACTCCTCCAAGTGTGTTACGTACCCAAGTAGGCAATAGTTCAAGGCAATTATCTCCAATATGAGCCGATTAATGCACAAAGATGGCGTCTTATGATCCGGGGAACCTCACTATGTAGCACGAGTTTCTGACCCAAATGGCATGGCTTACGAAGGCACAAGGACTTTCCGTGTTGTCCCTTTTCATATTACCCATAAGACACCATCGCCTTGAGTTACTACCTGAACCTTTCTTCTACCGCCCTTATGCGCCTTTAGTCAATATTGTATTATCTGAGCCATAGGACACCTTATATGTATGAGAACGATTCAATCATGTGCCGGAATAACTAGTCTCACGTTCCTATTTGAGATCCAGGGTGTAAATAATCTCTGGGAAGGTAGATATGCACCCTGAAAGCGAAGTCCGTTTGGATAGTAGAGGGATAAACTCACTTTTAGACTACATTCGAACCAAGGCGCAGGAGGAGCGGGGAATGGCCGAGGTCTTTGTCGATTTACAGGGAAGTGGAAGTATACAGGTGTACCTCAGACTCAACTTCCAGGAAATCCCTTCATTCGGACCATTATCACCACTCATGACACGATGCCGTTGGTTGCAGAGGAGCTCGCTAGTACATGGCCGATAGTTCATGCTTTGTATGTGACCGCGCCTGGTCAAACACGAACATTGAATTTCATCCCTCCGGGATATTTTTCCCCGAGTTGAAAGTATCACAGGCTTTGGGCGCTGTGGAAACTGGTAAATCACTAGTGTCATGAGCTTGCATTAGTAGTTGGCGCCGAGTGCAACTACTATATCATTCAACGTGACTTAGGGCATAGCAGCTCCCTGACAGCAGGTGATCCAGCCACCATGAGATAGTCTCGAGCTTTTTGGTGTCTATATATCGGACTTGAAAGAAGCCAGCATTGGTCTCAGTTTGTATCCGGTTCAGATAGTCTGCAATGATGCCTGTCTCTGCCTATCGTTATCATGGCACCAATGTCTGCAAACGACGAGCAACAGAAGTCTTCCGTCGAACATCAAGAAACAGCCGACGAGACCATAATCAAGCCGTCCGAGGCTAGATGCCGCAATGAAAGGGCAAGCTGTCTCCGGCTATGAGCGCCTGGGAGTATGGGAAACAATCAAAACCTTCAGGATTTGTACAATGGTCTGCTTTTCCATGGCATTCAGTGCCGCTACTGATGGCTATCAGGTTTGGTGAGCTGCATAAGCCCCCGATCGTAAAGCTTGTTTGGGTATTGACTGTGGATCCTAACATAAATGCCAGCATCATCGCTAATAAAGGGTTTGTCGAATGATTTGCCACGGAGACGGGCAAAGACAGAGAGCCTGCGCTCGCTTCACCCATCCTTGCCAGTTGGAGCTCTATCATGTCATGTGGACAAATTGTCGGGATGACAACACTGCCATTTCTGTCCAGCAGGTACGGCAGGAAGAAGCCGATGTACACATTCTGGATGATTCTTGTGAGTAGCGTGCTTGCCGAGAGTCTTGCAAAATCGTGGCAGGCCTGGCTAGTTGGCAAATTACTTGCTGGCATTGGGGTCGGTTGTCTCCAGTCTACCGTACCCCACCCACATACATACATTGCAGTTGCGCCCAACCGGATTCGCGGTAGTCTCTTGGTTCCTTTTTCGCCCAGGTCGCTCTGCAGCATCTGGCTCACGACCTCACCATGGACTATCTCGATTTACACGCAATGGGCCCGGATCGGGTTGATGATCCTTATATACCTTGTCGTCCCTGAGTCTCCAGCATGGTGCATTGGCGCCGGCAAGACCGAACGTGCTAGAAAGGAACTTCTCCGGCTGTATCGCGGAGTGCCGGGTTTCAATATGGAACAACAACTTCAAGACTTGTCCCTGCTGTCGAACACAAGTGGGCCATAGCAGCTGAGTAGCGAAGGGAGAAGTGGTATTCTATCTTTCGTGGGACTGATGGCTTACGAACTATCATCACTCTGTGGACGAACACCACGCAGCAATTCATTGGCCTGACGCTCTTCAGCACCTTCGGTACCTACTTCTTTCAGCAAGCTGGTCTCAGCGATTCCTTCAAAATCAAAGTCATTACCGCGTCTATTCAAATTGGAACAGTTTTGGCCCTAGTTACCATTATCGACCGTTTGGGCAGACGATACTTAGCTTGCGGTGGGACTACAATCTCGTGGGCTGCCTGTCTAGCTATTGGTATCATCGGGGTCGTTCCCAAGGGCAATCCGTCAACTTATGTCTTCGTTTTCTTGCCTACCTTTAGAGTAAGTCGAATACGCGACAACGCCCCTCATTGAGTGCCTTCATTAACATATTATTCACCCGTTTAGATGTTGGCTTGGCCGCAAACGGTGCAACGGGGTGGGGGTATATTGGGGAGATCTCATCCCAGCGCTTGCGACCATATACCCCTGGCTTTGGTGCTGCTGTAACCTGCATCGTTAGTATCGTTATAGGCAAGCTAGTCCCATATATGACTAACGTGAACAAGTAGGACTAGGGCTTCAAGACTAGATAGTTCTACGCCGGGGTTAGCTTTCCCTTCACTGTGGGAGTGTAGTTCTTGGTTCCGGAGACCTCCGGGCAAGACTTGTCTTCAGTAATGATATCGAAATACCGATTATTCCTCCACTTAGTCGTTCTGCCGCGGAGCTAGATGAACTATTCAAGAGAAAAACTAAGCCGCGGAGATTCCACAAGAAGCAGACCGTGACCCAGCGCTTTATTAACATGAAGGGATTGGAGGAATCCTAAGAGAATCCCGTGTGTTATGCTTTTTTATAGTGCTCCTAGTTACTGGTGATGGGGTGTGTCAATTAGGATGAAGGCATGAGAGGACGAAAACTATCAAGACAGTTCATACCAAAGTCTCGAATGGAAAATTCTTCTTGATCGGAGATCAGTTGTCTTCCTAGCCCCCAAATCAAATCCATCTTCCGTCGTCTTATCGGAACGTAATATAATATTACGAATCCGGTAGGGATCGCCCTGTGTTTTTCCCCTTGTATCCGATTCTTAACTTTGGCATCCCAGCTTCTTTCAGGTAATGGTCTCGCCCACCCATGTTGAAAACCCCTCTTGGCCAGTATGGCGCACTTTAAAGTAACTACGCGATCTTCTCTCCTGGTCTGTATTTTTTTTTCTGGAATTTCACTGGCAGAATCAGTGCTGCCGTCTTGCAATGGGGACGCGCGTCCTTTCTCAGTATGGATGGCCGACAGTGTCATCTCTCGAGGACAGGCCATCCTGCACCCCGGGACAACGCCAGAAGCCTCAACCTTCCTCCAAGTGGGTGTTTTTCAGAACGCCATTCTCCAGTTGAAAAATCACTACGGTACCCCGGAACAGGCATGTGCACAAGCCAATTGGGACGAATATTTGGCAGAAAGCACAGAGAGCGTCATGCCCTGGCTTCTCAATTCAACTCAGGACACCCAATATCCTCTGGATCGATTCTCCGATGGGAATGCTCTATTCAACCAGTGAGTCTAATCTCGTTCCCCCCATGGTTCCTATCCGGAGCTGACAAAGCCTATAGATATGAAACCACTAGAAACGAGACGTATAAGGTGGCGCTGGATGCTTTGCGTCAGTCAATAGATCTCCAGCCGAGAAATAAATATGGTAAGTAGATAGAATAGCAGCAAGACAAGATGAGAAAATACCCCTGAGAAAGAAAGGAGACCTCCTGTCATCGTTTCATCTCTCATTAAGTTTGCATTCCATTCTCAGTTGTTAACCAATGATCAGAGGGCTACTGGTACTTCAAGTACCCCAACTGGAGCTATCTGGATGGGATGTATTCGCTCATCCCTTTCTATTCCACCTACACGGCCCACTTCACGCCGCACAATCGCACCGCCGTAGCCAAGGATCTAGTCTACCAACTCGAGCTCCTCTGGACTCATTGCCGCCAGAACAGCACTGGCCTATTGGTTCATGGATACGACGCCTCCGAAACAGCCGTATGGGCAAACCAAGCCACGGGCGCCAGTCCTATCGTCTGGATCCGCTCTCTGGGATGGTACATGATGGCTTTGGTAGACCTGCTAGAGCTTTCCCGTCCACATGGTGTTCTCAGTCAGGACCAGTGGAATCATATCCACCGGCGCTTTGTCGCGCTTTCCAACGCAGTCATGGCTGCAGCAGATCCAGACAGCGGCTGCTGGTGGCAGGTCATGACGGAGCCGAGAAGAGAAGGCAATTACATTGAGTCCAGCGGATCGGCAATGTTTACATATGCGCTCTATAAAGGCGCGCGACTTGGCTACTTGAACGGTCGCCGTGACAAATACTCCGGACCTGGACCCACAGATCTCGCAAGTAAATGTTATGGCCATATGGTTGAGGACTTCGTAGTCGACAACAAGAACGGGACACTAGGCTACAACGGAACGGTGTCAGTGTGTAGTCTCAACTCGAGTGCTACCTATGAGGTGAGTTCCCAATGTAAAATATTGTATCCCAGGTATTGTGTAGCTAATAAGTGGTTCGAATCTAGTATTATGTCCACCAACCGCTCCTCTACAACAGCGTGCATGGCTCTGCCTCCTTTATTCTTGCCAGCCTGGAACATGAAGTTGCTGCCAACGTATCTAGACATTGATGGATCCTCTGGTGGTTTGTACAGAATATAAATAATTCCTCGGCCTCTGATATTGTTACATTATAGATTTTGCAAAGCTCTTACACCATGAATGCCCTCTCTGAGAAAAGACCTCGCGCTATGTAAGCCCTTAACTGTATCTCTTTGGCAGTGGCTCTCCAGCATGCACAAATCTCCAATGTAGTGTCATGTGTAGAGCGTATCGTATCGTTTTGCTTTTGGCCAAAACGTGGATCCAACACAATAATGTGCCGAATGGGCTAAAAGAAAGCTCCATAAAATTAAGTAATGCCGTCCAAATGTCAAGGCGGAAAAAAAAATCCCAGGAATACAAAATGAGACCAAAGTAAGGAAGTTTGTAAAAGGCAATAGTAATATGGTCCAAGCATGAATAAAGCTGGACAAATCAATGTTATCAACCCCTTCAATTGCACCAACGTGGAACAACTGTCCGCCGTTGGCGCCAAAACCTATCTGCTGCCGAAAGCCCCAGACCAATATTCTACAGCCGCTCGAGTCAGAGGATCTGAATCAAGAATACTGGATAATGGGGCTCTGTGCTCTGAAAACCCCTGATAATTTAGAGGTTAAGTCAAGTGTGGAGAAATCCGTCCGCGAATATAGCGTTGATTTTGTTTTAGGGTTTTGTGGAGCCCATGCGATGGATCATGTCTCAGACCAACCACCAGTCTGAATGGTCCAATGTAAAACATACATCAATGAGAGGACAAGTCAAAATGTATGGAATAGATTGCTCAACTTGATTGAACGTGCCATATGGAGCCACTGGACAACCCCAAAACGGCAATGTTTTTGAGTAATAAAGTGTTAAGGCTCCGGGATAGAGCGTTCCAGATCTGGAGCCTTCACTCAGTCAGGAGCGTATCTACGGGGTACAGGGTATACAAAGTTTTCCAGAGCCTCTTGAAAAATCTTGCATCCATGGAGTTGAGTTCCATATCGAAGACTGCAATGTTGTATGCTGATCCCTTGATTCACTCACTACTAATATAATGATTTGAGAACTGCCAGCCGGTGCTGATCCTAATATAAAATGTACAATTTATGAATCCGCCATACATTCATTTACCAGAAGATCGCCTTTACCGGCTGTAGATGCTCTTGATCGTCTCCTGCTACCGCAATAGGTATTCGAATATACCCCAATGTGAATGCCGCTAGTCTCACGTACAGCTTCGATTTCAAGCCTTCCTCATTAATCTCTTCCACTAATCGGATATTACGGTTCCCTGGGTCGGGAATTAGTTCTTGGCATGTCTCTCATCCTTATAGCGTTCTTTCGATCCATCCTCCTTTAAGTTCTCCCGACGTTTCGCCGCAATATCGCTCTATAACTGAGGATGGGGTTGATGGGGGATCCCTCTCGAAACATGCCCATTTATTAGTCCTCCGTGCCTAAACCAAAAGTTAAGCTATAAATACAATGTTTCCCTCACACTCCTTGACAACAGGTAATCCTAAAACAATCTCCCACATTCATTTTCGAATCCCATCCGCTCTTTTGGACTCTCCATCACGCTCATTTTACCATCACGATGCAGCTCACTCATTTGTCTGCCGTTCTCCTCCTCACGGGAGCCTACGCTGCATATGCCCCCGAAGGACCCCCGCCTTCCAACAGTGTCACTGAGATTCTCGGCGGCTGCAACCCGGCGCATCCAGGAAGCTGCCCTACCCCCACCGAGATCCCCGGAGGTTGCAACCCTGCCCACCCCGGCAGTTGCCCCGAGACCACTGTTGTCCCTGAGTCCACCGAGATCCCGGGTGGCTGTAACCCAGCTCACCCGGGTAGCTGCCCTACCCCTACCGATATCCCCGGTGGTTGCAACCCTGCCCACCCTGGCAGTTGCCCTACGCCCACTGAAATTCCCGGCGGCTGCAATCCAGCTCACCCAGGCAGCTGCCCCGAAAGCACTCAGATCCCAGGCGGATGCAACCCAGCCCATCCCGGAAGCTGCCCTACCCCCACTCAGATACCTGGTGGTTGCAATCCCGCTCACCCCGGAAGCTGTCCTAGCGTGACCGTGGTGTCTGGTAGCTCGACCTATCTCTCCCCTGTTCCCGCCGTGACCCCATCCGGCTTCAGCAGCGTCGCTGGTATTCCCGGTGGCTGCAACCCTGCCCATCCCGGCAGTTGCCCCAGCGTAACCGTAGTCTCCGGCAGCTCGACCTACATGTCTCCCGTCCCTGTCGCCACTGGTGCCTCGAGTGGCAAGTGGTCCGGAAACCTGACGTAAGTGCTCCCTTGACCGTTGAAGACCCAAATACTAAGGAGAAAACGCTTTACAAAGTTCCTCTGGCCTTAGCCCACTCTTCACCGGCGCCGCTTCCAGCACCCAGGCCAACTATGGGGCTCTCTTCGTGGGTGCCGTTGCTCTCGCCGCCCTTGCTTTCATCTAAGCGGCGACACTAGGCCATGCACAGTCCTCGCTACCTCATATCAACTCTGTGGTAGATCCGGGAAAAATAGTATGGCTTTTTTCACCTTCTGGACTTTGTATTCTACATGCTTTGCTTGAATATACCACCTCCGAGTACTAAAGTAGTTATGTTATTCGTTTAAATGTATAATCAAATTAGATTGGAATCCATACCCGGATTAGCTAGTACCGAATGTAAATCGCAACTATAGTAGTCAAGGCGAGTCTACTCCGTAGAGCAGACACCAATTGATCAATATAATTATCCACAGGGATCTCGATCTAGAACTTTAGGACAAGAGAATGGCGCTCAGCAAGAGTAACTGACTTCATATTCTTACATTCTGATCAAAGGTGTGTGTACACACGAACTCATCTCGTTTAGCGCGTTCATGATAATTACTGTGTTGGTTAGCCTACGAGACTTGACTTGGCTTATTTCGTATAAGTTTTTTCGTTGAAAACTGTAGTGATAGCCATGGGTTTAGTCGGTGTTGTATTGGATATATCATAATATCACTTATGTTTTTGTATGTTAAGATACATATTCGGATAGGCCGAACATTTTATATGGTGCATAAGAGGTATCACGTTTGATTAATTATTGATTTTATTATGTTAAGATAAACATCTTAATTATCCAACGGTCTAACAGTCCTTGAATTGCTCATTATTCCACGACTATCCATGGGACCAAATTTCTACTCGGTCGGTTAGCTCATTCCGAGCGGGCACATGATGCCTTGCTTACCGTACAGCAGCCTGCTGACATGCTGACATAGACTCAAAAAGCTCACTGGAATACCTAAATGTAAGTAAATACTATCAGAGTTGTCCGAGAATTCACAATTCTACACGAACAATCCTAGCTCACTCCTACCATGATGAGAAATCTGTATCAAAAGCTTGAACCACGCGAGGAGGACAGTTTCATCCCAAGGGAAGAGACCGAATTAGTTACTAAAAGTGTTTCACAATGGCCCTGGCATGTCATATACTGGATATGTGTAACCATAGCCATTGCTGAAGCTATTCTTTTGGGTATTCCTCTGTCTGTGGAGCATAGTGTAAAGCCGCCAGCATCACAATGTAAGCCCAAGAATAAGTCTTTCTCTTCTTAACTCACAACTACTAAACTGCGATAGTTGATCATGTACAAGTAGCCTTCGCGAACGAAGAATCATTCTCTAGAATACGAGACATGGAGGACTTACAAATAGCATGGAGCATTTATACGCTACGTATGCCTCCCCCCGCCCTCGGCCATGGATTTAACTGACACACCTCGTTCATGTAGCCGGTTATGTGAAGGTCACGGATCCTCAAGCATACGCAATGGTTTCATATGTAGATCCCATCACTGCTGAAGAAAACATTTTTGTGCCTTCTGTGTTCCACCAACTCAGTTGTCTCAAGGATGTACAGACGCTTTTCGTCGAACTCCAGAAGGGGAAAACAGCACTTCAAATGACCCAAAGCGAAACTTCTCATACGGAAGATTGTTTTGATTATCTTCGACAGGGTATCATGTGTGGGGGGGATATGACCCTTGGAACTCAGATGACAGATGAGTCGACGATTGCTTCAGTAAAACATGATTGTCGCGACTGGGGTCAGATTATGGAGTGGCAACGTAGATATTCTGTGGCTTCTCACGGGGGTTAAGCCACGAGTGACGTTTGTCTATTAGTAGCTGTGACTCTATCGAATGCCTGGTAACCCATGTGATATCTATGATACCAATGTATGGAAACGGAAAGCCAAGATAGCAGGTCGCGCATTAAATATATCTATCCTAATTCAGGTGGCTCTCCTCCTGGCAATATAATTTACCTTGAGATAGGAACAAAATGATTGCTCTGCCACTGAGTAATTTCTGCCCAGCTCTTGCATGTATGCACCTCTCCTTCGCCTATCCATGTTTTTTGTGCAGCCTTCGCCACCTTGACTACTGACTCGAGCGTCATGTCGGCAGAGCACATAATATCATGCCGAATATAATCGAAGCAGTGGTGGGCGTGGCCAACCTCACTCGCGGTTAAGGAGATATTGCTTCTCATGTCCTGCATCTGCAGTTGTATGCTTCTCAGACAGTGTAGCGAGTGGAACGCGGATATTGCGTAGTAATTGTCGTCCTGCAGGCTGTCAATTTTGATGAGGCCGGCTACGAAGGCATCACAATCATTAGCAGATGACGTCCGACAATCATTCGTCAAGTACCCACGTAGATTATACATGTGCCATGCTTCGACTAATTTATCTTTGGTTTCTATGTTGTGGAATGCAGGGTGCTGCCTAAAAGTCACTTCTTCCTCGGGTATCACTGAAATATATCAGACAATTTTGATTATTACTTCTCACTACAGGGGGCGACTGACCGTGATTCCGCAGACCAGGCTTTGCTGGCTGTAGGGTCCTCCAGTCCTCATTCTTCATCCACAGGGCAATAGCTTCAAGAATAGCGATTAGTGCTATCGCACAAAGCGATGTGGTGGGGTATGATTGAGTTCCCCGTACATGCCTGTCTGGCAATGCTTCGGATATCATACTCCAAATGCCGATTACTTGGGTGCTTACAGAAGCTGAAGATATCTAAAAAGGAGTGCTCAAGCTTGTCTGAAGACTGTTCTATGCACAATTCTGATGTTAAGTCGAGAATGTAGTGGGAGCATCATGTCAGCATTACCAGTCATCATCTGCTGACATTGCATGTTGTGCCCTAATAGATAAAGCGGTATTTTAGTTATAGAGCTAAACATATCATGGTACACCTTGTCTCGCTTGATGATGAAATCAGGACTGCTGTAGAGAATATTTAGGGAAATATTATTTTTATACCTAATTATCTCATTAGTTTCACAACCTTTTATCCCGTCCACCAGTCTATTTTCTTAATTAGGAACTAAAGGGTAAGAACTATACCGGTAGAATTTTATTTGTAGAAATACTACAATTATTGAATTATTTTAATTTAGATAATAGAGTTTATACCGTTTTAGTATAATATATAATATTGACGCATTATAAAGCTTTATGCTCTAGGCACAAGTTGTGCGGTCATCTAAGCAGCAGTCACCAGGAATAGGGTTAACCTGGGACCAGTGGTAAGAATAAGCGCTCTGGATCTTTCATTTTGACTAATAGTGTCAGGCCGGGCGTTTAACAATAGTTGATCTTTCTTGTCCGTTCATCTCACCGGAGACAGCCTGCTCACTGTTCAATATTTGTCTGGGGGATTTCCTTGAACAGGACCCGGGTATTAGCCGACTCATTGCCATAGATGAGGCCCACAAGGTATGTTATTAATGGTGTGACTCCAGTCCGTAATACATATCTAATTGGAATACAAGTATATGAACACCTCGCCAGAGGCTCTTTCTTTTACGGAAAGCCTCCTTTCTGTTGTTACTCAACTCCGTTATTTCCCCGCCGATACGGAAACCCCGCCTTCTAGCACCGCTTAGTACCTGATACAATGCATCCATCTCACCCTACTTAGAAAATCCTGAACCCCAAGCCTCGATGAGACATTATGCCCAGAAGCTAGCCCAAAGGAACCCAAGAGCTATCCTCAGTGCTACCTAATCATTGTAGGTTAGGAAACCGAGGTTCTTATGTGGTAGCAAAAGGATACCTGCGCGATCTTCAGATGTTATAATGTCTATGTTCTATACTGTGTTGCTAAGGGATTTGTTAGTATGGCATGTTAGGCGTGCTGCCACCTTTAAGGACCTATAATATCGAGCTTGCCGACTTTGCCGCCATTGGCTACTATAGAAATTTTAAACAGGATGGACACAATGCAGAGGCCTAATAACATTAACGAAGGCATCAGCATTGCGCATAATGGTGTAACAGTGGTTCTTCATTGTTTGGTGCCACAAATTGTGGAAAGCGGGCAATGATGGCGTGACCTTTAACTTCCTCATCATTGCAATCGCCAGTCTTGCCATTTCTGGCGCACAAGGCAACATTCATACTGGTGGTCACCCACTTTGAACTACGTTGCACCGTTTTCCGTAGATCGTCTGCATCCATCTGAAAACTATATATCTCTCTCGAAGTTGTCCTTGTTCTGCTGAAGTAGGGATCCAAGGACCTTCACAACGTCAGCTACAACTGTCCTTATGTTGCTTTATCTTAAGAGCTCTTCTTCAGGAGAAAATGCCCTTTTGCAAAAGATAACGCAGTAGCGTCTTCTGCTGCGATGTTATTTCGCAGCTTTGATCCAGAGCCTATCCCAAAGATGTCAGACCTACTCGTGCCGTGATAGCCACTGGCTAAAATATGCGGTTCGCAAGCAGGTTTGCAATAAGCTCCTGAGCACAAGAGGGACGTATGGATTCATTTCTCTCAAGGTGTGATGTAGGAATTATTGAAAATGGGTTAGAATCAATACACGCCCGCTGTACTTCCATAATCCTTTGGACAACCTTGTCCTAGGCTTAAATTAGATGGCTTCGTTTGTACAGAGCTTGGCTAAGCCACATACCGTGCTGGCATTTGGGGTAAGGGCTTTTAGAAAGTATCTCTCTCCAATTTTGTGTAAGGACTTTTCAAGACTCTTAATACTCCGCTTGCTGCGCCCATGGGCTTCCATGTTCGTTGATAAGGGACTCAGACTCACAGTTCCAGCACAAATTCCTCCAACCCTAACCCTACCTCGGCCCTTAAAGCCTTGAATTCCTCTTAGCTCTTTTTTTCAACCGCGCCCGCAGCCCAGTTGTTTCGCTTTCTGTCTGTTCTAGATGTTCCTGAATAGAGGGCAGCTGTTCATCTTGGGCCTTAACCCGCTTTTCGAGCTCATCTTCGGCCTTATAGGAAGCCTCTGTCTCCTTCGTGGGATCGAGCAATTCCGACCGAAGCTTATCCTCCTCTTTTTTCCTCTCCTCCAGCCGTTTCTGAAAAAATACGCCAAGTTTGGTTTTTTTCATTGAGTAGCTCCCCGTGTTTCGCCTTTCCATGTTTAATCTGCTTCTCCTGACCTTCTATCGCCTTTTTGACGCTCTGTGGTTGGTCTCCAACTCTTTATTTCTCTGCTGTCAGCTCATCGTTGCTACTTACGCATTTGACACACGAGAGAGTTTCCGATATCGCCACCTCTGGCTTTTTCAAAGACGCTATAAGTACATTGTCCTGGGAGCAATCTTTTGTCTTCGAGTTGGGCCCAATTTTGTTTATTTAACAGACGAAATCAAGCTATCAGGTGGCTTATCCAACTAATTGCTATGGTTGATCACGTCGCAATGTCCTTTACTGGCTGATTTATACCAGCCTTCCTCTAGTGTGCCATGGAAACAAGGGACGGTTATTCGGAGCAACGCACGAAGCAAGGCCATTGCTGTACTTCACCATTGGGGAATCATACGATAGCTTGCGTAAGGGTGGCTCCGAAGGGTTGACCAACTGTAGGAACTGATCACTCCCACTTCTGTCAGTTCGGCAGGGGTTTTAAGTTAGAAAAGATAATGATATTCTTTTTTTTTATTTCTGGAGGCTGTTGATTAGCTTTGCAATAAGTATTGTGCATGTCACAGTTCCAGTGGATGGGCAAACTTGAATCGCTCCGTTTATAGGCTCAACACCCTTATTTCTGAAAGGAGTATAGCCGAAAAGAAGTCATGAACGAGATTCAAAAAAGGTATGCCACTTAAAAAATTGCAGTATGAGTGTCAATCTACGCGAAGAACGTAGTTTAGACACTGAGCTAATTATTGTTGCGACTGATGATGATATTAAATTATTTTCGCCTGTATATTCACTAGATTGAGGGCATCAAATGGTTAATATGTTCGGTAGGGAATTTACTGTTAGTTAAGACTTATCTCAGTCAGGTGATCATGAAGCCCCGGTTAAAAGTCCTCACAAATGCAGATAGAAAAGTACTTACATTGGACGATTTTCTTAATGATCTTCATTACTTTTTGATGAAAAGGAAAATACTGGGATTACTAATGCGGCACCACCTATTAACTATATGCCAGTCATTCAGCACAACTGGTGAGGTCTTCAGTCCAATTAAGGGCCTTGCAGTTAATTCAACGTCGCCCTAGAAAGGGCCCCAAACAGCAAGCCTTGATACATCAACAAATTCGAAGAAGAGTATGCATAGGACTTCTGTACACGCAGAGTCAGAAACCGCCTCTCCTCTTCTCATCTTGCTGTCTGTGCTGCCTCGCTTCCTTGCATAAGCTGCTGCCTTTCGGGGAGGACTGTCCGTTTACCACAGCGCAACGCACGGTGCTATATCCATGCTCCTAATCTGATTTCCCCACATACCCTTCCAATTCTAACCATTCCGCCACAAAAGCGGTGATCAAGAGTCCCCAATCTTCCACCGTGTCAAGGTCCAAATGCTCTCCATCATCCTCGAGAGTATGCCAAACTTTAGGAAACTCTCCAGTGCCCGGCTCAGTATCAATCAAATGTAACACTTCCACCCCAAGCGCGGAAAATGGAACTTGGTCATCCTCTACGGGATAGCGTGTTAGGTTTCGGGCTTCAGTGTTGCGATCAATGAACCATGAGCTGTCGTTCGTCATAGTAGACACTAATTGACCTAGCGCTCGCAGTCGTTGTTCCAACGTGGCGAGGCGCTGGTAATCCGAGTGAGTAACCGGGTAGTATGATCCAATCTGCGGATCCTTCGCCCCAAGAAGATCCAAAAGCACGAACAGAGAGATTGAAAGAAGACGAGATTCATACTTCGAAGGTGAGGGATACTTGTCCACTGCCCAATGCGCAGCCAGAGAACGTGATCCGTACAACCCATCATATGCTATTAATGTGTCGGCGAACCCTTCCTCACCATCGGTGAAGATCACTTGGATCCCGTATAAACTGTCTGTAGAGGCTGACTCGGATCTTATCTCATTCCACTTTTGAGTCAAGGCGGGATCTATACTGCGAGCTGCGTGCATAATTATTCCACATGGTGCTGCGCTATCCATGGCGCCGATAAAACCCTCCGGTTCATGAAGGCTGTCATAGTGCGCGACCAGTGTGAGTCTTCCCACATTGGTTGGATTTGCTCCCGGTGGATCACGATAGGCAATAACGTTTACCATTGGGGTTGATTTATTGCCCGAGATTGATGTTCTGGTGCTGGATATCTGTAGCTCTGTTGTCCACTGCGGAAGTTGCGAATTGAGGAATTGGATGATATGTTCTCGGGCTGCCTCCGAACCAGGCGTGCCTGGAACCCGAGGCTGCAGAAGTGGTGCGAGAATGGCCCCATTATGAATATTGAAGTCAGGTCCAGGACGAGAGAGGGTCTCTAATGTCGCGTCTGATAGATTCTGGTACGCATCTGTAGAAAGCAGTAGAATACATAGGGCAAGAAATAGAGTTTCCAGTAACGCCATTATGGATGTGTTTATATGACTGTATGAGTGAACAGTTTATACAGCAGACGACTGGGAAAGTTGTCTTGAAGCTAAATACTAAGAAGAGCAAGAAAGCGCTTCGGTCTAGAAGGATCATCATGCTTAATCTAAACACCCTACGACTTTTATACTCACCATAAGCTACGAGTGGTGTGGTATACGAGTGAGTCAGCTTGCTTACACATTGCCAACTCCATTAGACATAAGCAGCACGTTGGTCCAATTACCTTGCGTAAACAAGCATATGGGCATGATCCAGATCCCTTAGAGTGAAATGAGCTATGATAGCATAGCAGAAATCAAGAAGTTCAATCTCATTCTGGTACTAGAAACTCTGCAGGAGTTAGTTGCGCAGCCTGATGCCACTTCTATCTCGGTCATTGAGACCAAGCGCCCTCGCCCCAGGGCTAGTATCGAAATTAACCTAGTCACTGACGCTTGCTGATGCCACCCCATCTACCGTAGAGCTGCTCGGAGATGTCATCCACGGTAGTGCCCTCTTCCTCACGCTTGCTGATGCCACCCCATCTACCGTAGAGCTGCTCGGAGATGTCATCCACGGTAGTGCCCTCTTCCTCACGCTTCTTGATTCCACCCCACGCACCGTAGAGCTGCTCGGAGATGTCATCCACGGTGGTACCCGCCTCACCCCGCTTCTTGATACCACCCCACGCACCATAAAGCTGCTCCGAGATATCATCGACAGTCGTGCCCGCATCGGTGCGCTTTCCGTGTCCTTCATGAGCTGTTAAGAGCCTTCTTAGCTTCATCCCACTTCCAGGAGGTCAAGGACTTACGAGTGGGAGCTGCTGCGGCAATGGTGGCAAGCACGCTGAAAAGAACGCTGAGCTTCATGTTGTGCTTGAGGGTTTGGGGACGGAGTATCTGAAGATTGGAGAACAAGTTATTATGGATGGCTTTAGAGCAAAGAGGAAAGCTTAAGGCAGGAGAGAGTCACACAGATCGAAGCAATGGTTTTCCTATGCTCTTATAGAACAGGATCTAGGCCAAGTATGTAGCTGTACGGCTTTTGCTGACTTCTGCTTATGGCATAGAGCCCTTAATGTAAGAGCTACAGTGCGTAGAGACTTCATGCTTACTTTACATATAAGCAAGGTTAATAGCAAAATGTCATCTAAGCAAACGTAATCAGTAGCCTCATAGTACGAATCATTCCAAGCCAGTTGTACTTTGTTCTAGATGGAAGCTGCAAATTTCCTCTGAACACAACTTTCTGTTTTTCAACTTCTAGTTCTAACGGAGTGCTATCTTCATCATCAGCAATGCCACCCTCCATAGAGTCCGACTATGACTCTTCTACAAGGCCCTCGGTTGAATTAGAAAAGCAGAAACTACTCGAGCAGGGACTGAGTACACCGCGGCCCAGACGCCGATTCTTGTTCTCCCATATAACCACACTCTATATTATAAATGGTTTCATGGTTTTCATAATAGTTGTGCTCTTTCAGGAATTATGGAAGCGGCCACAGGACCCGTCCCTTCAAGTCTACTGTAAGTTAATACCTCTTGTATCAACTATTCCGGGTGGTGAAAAATAATCATCAACTACCTCTCCTCAGCGCCCGCCAACGACGTTGTGGAGTATATCCCAAAACAACATTTCCGGGCCGCACTATTTAATCAAACCGAGTACATGGGGTTCCCGACAGACGAGACAGACAAACTGTGGTCAGATCTGTACAACTGTATGCTTCCCATAAGGTCTCTTCATTTCCTGTAAGAGGCATGCTAATGCCCATGTAAAGTCGGCATTTCGACCATCAGCGAAGCAGAAGCAAACAAACTACACACCCCGACTATTCCCATCTTCGGTACAGACAAATACCTCATCCAGCTAGATGTCTGGCATGAACTCCACTGCCTCAATGATCTACGCAAAACACTCTATCCTGAGCGTTACACGATGGAGTCGTTAGATGGCTTGAAGTTTCCTAATGGAACGATCAATCGTGACACGGACATGTTCCGTCATTGGGGTAAGTCCTTACCTTACAAACGCTATAAAACTGATAACCATGAGTTAATAACGTCAGATCACTGCATCGATTCCATCCGTCAAGCCTTAATGTGTCACGCAGACGTGTCGCCTATCCCCTTCCATATTAATGTCCCCGCCAGGAAGGGGATTTTCCCACGTCTGGCTACTACGCACACCTGTCGAAACTTTACCAAGATCCAGGAGTGGGCAAGGGAGCGATTTGCGGGAGAATGGAGGGTGGAGCTTGAGCCGGAAGAGGCCCAGTACGTGATTGATACGGCTGGGTTCTCACAGGACCCGGAGGAGGATATCGAGTTCCTATATGAGCTTTTCCCCGGGGACAACTTCTTTAAGTATTGGAGGGAGCATCCTTATCAGGGTAATAAGGATTCTTAAGTTGTTGTACCTTGAACGTTTAATATTATACGACGAAGTCATTGAGATTTTAACTGCAATCAAGTTCAGTAAGAGGCTCATAAGTTGCCAGCGCATAAATTCATACTTCGTTCTCTCATACCTAACAAGGGATACGAAGGGAGTGTCACCTAGAAAGTAAATTCTCATACCTCTCTCTTCTAAGCTCCTTGTCCGCCACCTGATGCCATCAATCGAATCCACCCCACCACGCATTATCCATCTCGACTCCCTTTACCCCATTCCTCAATGTCCAGTCCCGGATATCCTCAAAATTGCGACACTTGTGTTTCGTCGCAAAATCATACTTGACAACGTGAGTGTGCAGTCTATCGTCTTCAAACTCTTGCAGTACAGGAACAATATCCGACCAGCAGAGCAAGGACGTCCTCAATCGATCAAAACACTGCTCCACTCTATGATAAACATCCTTTTGCGTTCCGTGAAATGAAGATAAGTGACTACTATCCGTCTCGTCGGTTTGCGCATGGAGTCGTAGGAGATTGAGACATTCCAACTGCACAAAGACTTCCGGAAGACCCAGGACGTTGTCCGCCTTGACTGGGGATCGGACCCAGTCCGCGTCCGGTGGAAGGTTAAGTCGGTCCATTTGAGAGATAGGTATTGGGATCGGACTCTCTAGGTATCAGTTAGTTCCCGAGATATCCGCAATAGGAGTAAATCGTACTCGGTAGAAACTCGTCCCAGGCGGCCTGTCGCTCGGGCACTGGCGCGTCAAACCACGTAGAATGGGCCAGGAAGCCGAACTTTGGGAATAGTGTCCATTTATACTCGATTATATCTGTCGCTGGGGACCAGGAAAACATCCGTTGGACACATTGTGCGTCAGTAGGGTGAAACGTGATTGCATCGAACAGTGTCCAGGTAGACGCGAGTAGGAACGTGGCTGATAATGCAAGATAAATATATTTGTGGTTTGGATTTCTTTGCATTGTGAGGAGAGGAAAGCACCTATTGATGTAACATATGTCAACGAAGGGTAGCTAGACATGGTATGCCAATGTCTAATGAAGCGTTTTCTAGTCGCTGCGCTCTATTGCACGGCTACAGACAGGACAGGGTAGTGCACAAGTTGCTTATCCCGATTACACCGCAAGCTGACAGCCACTCCCGAGTTCACAAATCAGGCCTCGGCTCTTTCCTGCAACGATGATTCATTGAGTACCCTATTCTACCGCATTTGTTATCCTTTTGTCTCTTGAGCCCTCTAGCGGAAACGTGGCAATGGCGATTTGGACTACAATACGCAGTCGATTCAAGACTTTCACGAAGCGCCCAGACGCATACCAGAGGATAGACGATGAACAGACCAAAGACCTCAGCCAAAAATGGAAATCCGCACCAATGATAGAAAGCACGGTTGTCAATCCCGACCTTCCACAATCGCTGACAAACCTACCAACGATGATTCTGTTCACAAGTGCTATGATCTTTGCGATATCTCTACTTCTTCGTGGATTGATGAGGGGGTATATGTCGTTCGACAGGCCTTGCACAAAACGATTGTCGGCATGGGGTATGCCCTAGGGTTTGCTGAAAGAGGAAAAAGAGGATTTACAAAGCTAACCAAGGCAACGCAAATAGCCCCCATGTTAGAAGCAGTAGAATATGAATGGACCCAATACAATTCCGACCAACTATCTACTGAGTTTGCCGGTTCACCAACATCAGAAACCGAGACAAATTGGATGAACCAATATCACCGTTAGTGTGACGCTTCTATTATAACAATATTTGCGCAGAGCCCGTAACACGCTTTTATAACAGATGGATTTATCCCATATCCCTATGATCAAATCGCGCGGCTGAACAAATCAACGGAGAGAGACTGGTGGATTCACGACGGCAAGCTTGTTACCCTCACGGAGTGTCAGTGACCGATCTATTCACAATTACACGATATATACCACTAACATCTAATAGGGGCCCATCAAGTACACTGTCTCGGTCTTATTAGGCAGTGGATCTACCGTGACCAGTTCGACTACTCCGACTTCACGAATACTAGTTCCGTTCGTTTTCACATACACAAGAATCACTGCTTCCTCATACTTAAGACCATGATTGAATGTCAAGCAGATGTCACCCCTGTCCTCTTTGAGAAGGATTTATCGGGTGTCGGGGCGTGGAAGCTTCGTGATGCACCGCGCAAATGTCGGCGGAATCAGGCGTTGGTCGAGTTCATTGAGGAGAATAAGATCTGTGGGCTAGAGTGTGCACCGGAAGACCTTGAGTAGGTCTCCTACGTTTTTTTAATTTAGTCCTATTTATAACTACAAGTGGTTTGGTGTACCTCGCGCACGGAAGTTGATATCTACTGTGCCTAGCCATACAATAATGGAAGCAATCTCGTTCCGTAGTGAAGCCCCACAGAAGAACACACGGCACACAAAGCTATCCTCTTTTACATTTTCACCCTGTTACCCTGTTTTCTTTTTCCTTTTCCTTCTCTTTTTTTTTTTTTTTTTGTTGCTTACATATTGGCGATCATGAAGCTTACAATTGTAAGCATCGTGCATATGCATGCTTACCGTGTCACAGACAGCCATCAAGCTCCCGTTCAAAAAAAAAGCAGTAGGGTTTTTGAAATGATCTGGTTCTATACGTACTTGCCCATTTATCTTCAGATTAGAAACCGAAACACGTAGTGTCGAAATGCCATACTCCGCCAGAATCAGGGCATTCTTCACAGGAGACAGTCCTGTCGAATATGCAAGCATCGACAGGGAGGAGGACAAAAGTACCCTTTCAGAGGCTATGCGGGGTTTAAGACGGCCTCATAGGTTACCAGAATTTATCAGAAAGTCATATCGGAGATGGCCGCTCTCAATAGGAGATCGATCCACATATTTACTCTGGTTAAACATCGTTCTTTTTCTGACCTCAGGCTTCCTATTTTGGGTATCTTTACAGGATACAAGAAGTTCCATGAGGGAACAGGTTTCTATGCCTTGTAAGTAATGCCCGGGTGAATCGTAAACAAAGCATAGAGCTAACATAGTCCAGCCCCTGTCCTAAACGGAGAGGACATATCATTCTCTAACAGACGTATGGACGCCACACTCTTCCCCGATGACAACCCGAACATCTTCCGTCAAGAACCAAGTCCAGAGGTCGACCGAGCATGGTCAATTATTTCGGATACGCGACCAATCCCAATCTCCCGAGAAGATGTACTCTCCATCGGAAAAGACCCAGCCATGGCTGTCAAGCTTTCACCGGATTTCGGGCTGGGAGACGACGTATACGCCGGCCGGATCGATGTCCTACACCAGATCCATTGCCTAAACGCGCTACGCATGGAGGCCTATTTTGACTACTACTACGGGGAGAAATATCCAGAGGGCTTCAATCAGACGGATGAGAAACACCGCTACCATCTCTCCCATTGCATATACATGCTCCTGCAGAATATTCTCTGCCGTGCGAATACGGATATTTACACGCATATGTGGACGGATGCGGTGGGCCACCCTTGGCCGGATTTTAATATCCCACATAAATGTACGAATTTCCGGGCGATCTTGGAGTGGCAGCGGGGGCATGGCGTGGATGAGCATATGTTTGTTGATATGAGGAGGCCCGTTGATCAGCAGCCACATCGGATGAGTAGCAAGTTTAAGAAGGTGAATGATCCAGAGCGGTTTGGCCATTTGGAGGACAATCGATACGATGGGGAGAATGCGTAGGATATTTTAGTAGGCATACAGCCCTAAGTGCAAATTGTACACTTTTACTACATGTGCATCTTCCTATTCCTAGGGTGTTGGCCTATTGTAGTACATCCTATGTGCCTTCATGCATGCTGACATTTGCTGACATCCACCCCAGGGTCAGTCATTAGCCGGCCATGCAGTCTACATGGGGTTATGTACATACAGTCGCGTCCTTCTCGACTCCTACACCAGATAGGAAAAAATGGGCGCAGCCACATCGTCCCAGGCCCCAGAGGGGAAATGCTTCCCCTTGAGCCATAACGGTGGCCATAAGACAACGAAAGAAGGACCGCCTTCAATGTCAGTATCGGAAGCTAAGAACAAGCTCTGGCTCCCCGTGTTGATTGTCGTTCTCCTGGTGGTCATTCTCATTGCTTCGCTGAGCGCCGTCCATTCAGATACTCTGAACGCTCCGAGGAATCAACATAGGATCTTGTCCCCTGCTCCACAATGTAGGTGACCATGTTTCTTTGACACCAGCAACCTAAAGGGCGTGTATCACTTAAAGAGAGCGACAAGATACTGACTCTCCGCAGTCCAAGCTGTACAAGCTCCTTTCCTCGAGAACCCTCGGTTCGACAACCTGACGACAAACCAACAGATCATTGAAGCATGGGGTAAATATGGGCTCTGTATGCTCTCCTAATATTGCACCTCTGACCAGCGCTCACATTTGAACCAGCAAGCTACGGATTCATCACCATACCGAACCCAGAAGCGTACGGCCTCCCACCGAATAAGAATGTCATCCCTGGCACGAAGAACGCCTACATGATTTCAGTCTACCACCAGCTGCACTGCCTCAAGGCTTTGCATATGGCCCTCCTTCCGGTCGTTACGCGGCAGGAGACCCTTTCGTCTAGTACTGCAGGGGGTCATGGGTTTGAACATAATCACATTGCGCATTGTCTGGATTATTTGCGACAGTCGGTGATGTGTTCTGGGGACGTGACTTTGGAGCCGCCGGACGAGAAGCCAGAGAAGGGAAAGAGTCCACTACAAGGGTGGGGAGTGAAGCACGTTTGTCGAAATTGGGAGGAGATTGAGGCATGGCGGGGGGAATTGGGGGTGATTTAAAAATGAATACTTGATTGTTTGGCAGATTAGGTACCAGAGACTCTCAGTGAAATAGAGTGTTCATTCATGTCCTAAGCATCCTGTCATAGACCCCCGACTAACTCATGATAAAATCATATTGCCACAACCATCATGGAGATGTGCAAGACAGAGAAAATCCATTACTTCTTCAACTCTGCGACCACCTTGTCAAGCGCGTCCTTCTCCTCCTGCTGATAGGCCGCGAACTGTCCCCCCTCCAAGCGGCCAATACTGCTTCTAGCCTCCTGAATCGCCTGTTCCGCTTCCTCGGTCTTTCCCTGCTTCCACAAAGCATTTATCAAGATCCGCAGAGACCCCAGCGACTGGGGGCTATCCTTGCCCAGCACTGGATGGCCCTGGAGGAGCGGCAAGGTCTCTCGAGCGAGTTCCTCCGCTTTGGCGTGCTCACCCTTTTCTTCATACAGTGCTGCGAGGTTCTGCAGAGCGGGGAGACCGGGTCCGTTTGGACTGGAGTTGTCCACGAGCTGGAGGAGCACCTTCTCTTGTTTTTCGAGATCGCCGGTGCCGCGGTAGATATGGAAGAGGGCAGAGTTCAGGCTCTGGGTTCTCGTGTAGTCGTTGTCGACGAGGGGAAGCTTTTGGATCAGAGTCTTTTCGAGGAGGGCAAGCTTTTCAGGGTTGGACAAGGAGGGGTCGAGACTGGGATGGTTCAGTTCGGCGGGAGAGAGGTGGCCGACGACGGTGCTGCTGATGACCGGGTCCAGGGACTGCCAGAACGCTCCCTCAGGCACGACGGCTTTCCAAGAACGCGTCGACATGATGATTATGAGATATAGATTAGAAGTGACGGGTCAAAAGGTCAGGATGATGGTGGGGGTGGAGGGGGTGATGATGGTGAGAAAGGGAAGGAGGGGGTAGTGGAGTAAGACGAAGAGATGTTCATATATAAACAAAACATAATAAACAACGTGACTAAGGCTGAACTATTAGGCAACGATCAGGGACAACGAAACACTGGAAATCCAGGTTCCTCCTTTGCCACCTGGGGGAAAAGTGTACACAGGAGTACCAAGAGGTTCTGTTTTCAGCGGGTTTCTCTTCCCCACCAGACTATAATCATGACCCCAAAGCCCACCGAATGAAGGCTGATCGTTTTTCCTCCTGGGATTTCATATTGATCCTTTAAAGGCCAAGACAACAAAGGATAAACAAAGAGGGGACTTTAGGGTTACCAGGTACCGTGATGGTATTTTTTCCTGAGTACGGTACGGTACAGGTAACCGTCCATGGATGACCCATAATTGGGTCCCGTCGATAGTGAAAGATCGACATCTCTTGCACAGAAGCCCTCCCTCCACCTACACTACTGCGTACATCAGCAATTAGAGGATATTGAGTATCATCTGCCTGCTCTATGATGACTTCTACACTCGTGGATGTTTGCTTTTAGCTTCTGGGCCCATCGGCTGCATGACTCGCCTGCAGCAACCGTCGATCTTCCGTCCTATTGAGGATCCAACTTGGGCGGCTGTTCCAATCACACAGGCGCAATTGAGGTCCCCCGGCTCTTCATGTGATGTTTCATGCGCCGGGCCTATGGCGTTCTCTCCCTTGGGCGAACAGTGGGCAACCTGACCTTTAGCAGGGCTCCACAGTTACCGGTCCCTTCAGCCCCCGGCCTAGCAATCATTGGCCTAGGCGGGTTTTTAGGGATTGATCAACACTAAGATGCACCAGTCAAATAATGAATCGGACTAAGCACCCCTCAATTGCTTTGCGAACTTTCCTACGCATAGGAAAAGACTGTCTTCCGCAGGGTCTCTCATGGCAAATGGAAAATGGGCCCCTCCACGGGTGCAGCAAATAATATATAAGCACCCCGCATCTCCTAGGCGCTATTATAATGCCATCATGTGGCTCCAAGGGAAAGCGGAACGGGGCAAAAACAAAGGTGGTTTCCATTAGCATGGAGCTTCAGGAGGAGCCGAATCCAACCACCTCCGCAATGGATGCTCGGGAGCGACGCAAACTGCAAAACCGTCTGGCACAGAGGAATTTCCGTGAGTCATTTGATATGGCAGTCTTCGCAGCGACGGAATTAAAAATGCCATGTGCCTAGGTCGAAGACAGGCTCTTAAAGAGAAGCAGCAGCGGAATGAGCAGCAGGAGCCGGAAATGTCACTCTGGCCATCGTCAAGTGAAAGCCACGGAGAGAAGCAGTCGAGTGGCACGCACCATGTTACGACGACACCGCCAGATCAGATCCAATCGTCCTATCAAACCAGCGATCAACAAGAAGAATCTTGGACTACGGCGGTCTATCCTGCGATTTCCACATTAACAAATGATGCCGGCGCCCACAGCCCAACTCATCTGCCAATATCGCCGGTTTCGTTCCCGCTCTTTTGTTCGCCCGAGGATTTGATATCCGACAACCCAGGAGAGCAAATTCCCATCAGCGTCTCTGAGGCCGCCCACCCACCTATTCCAACTGACTTGCCACCCATTTCGTTACGGATAACTCCTCAACCCACGGACCCCTTGAGCCAACATTCCCCTCCGGAACCCGTGAAGCCCCTTGCAAGGGCTACTCTCCGTCGAGCCTCGATGAACAGGTTTCCGCAAGTAGGGGTGTCCCCGGGCATTCTCAGTTACACAATAGAGGATATGTTGCTTACTTCCACAGGCAAGGAGACGTTCTTTCGCCCCAGAAGTCAACGATCAATTCAAAAGTAACGGCATGCGTCGACTTTCGGAATCGGCCCCATCACCGTCACTCCATGGCGCCTCAAGATCGTCGGAAGGAAAAATGACCCTCCACATCTGCGCCGAGAAAGGCCACGCGAACCTGATTCGCTTTCTCCTCAATTATGGCGCGGAGATCGACGCAACTGATTATATAGGCCGTACCGCCCTACATTACGCGGCTCTACAAGGCCACACGGAGTCGGTGTCGGCACTCTTGGAACAAGGTGCTGATACCGAGCTAACAGATGAGTTTGGGTTCACTCCATTACACATCGCCGTTGAACGAGGGTACGAGGCAGTTGTGAGAATGTTGGTTCGTGAAGGGGCTGATCTAAATGCCCGTATCAACTGTAAAACACGGCGGCTTTCATAGTCATAATACCTTGCTCACAGTTATCCTCGTAATATCACTGCAAGCCCTTCCCTCCATATGACATATGGAGAAATGTGCGGCCCATTTAGGCCTTCGCTGACATGTACACATACCATAGTATGCATCTTTCATGTCACGTCTACATATTATCAATCAGAGCTGATATTTATGCATTAACATAGTATTTTGCTATAATCTGCCTTATATTTGGTTGTCGCTTGATGTAGCCAGAAATCACCACACTACCCAGCAGGTCAAGCCTCCCACCCTCCGGAAATAGAAAAATGTACATTCTATTCTCATTAATTTGTAATCCAGAAGGTACCATTGATATTATAAACAAGAGGATGAAAAGCCAAAGCGGAAGGCCATTGAACTCCCTAGGACTCCCGACGATACGTTTTCCCCTTGTTTTACCTATTTATATCGATAGTTTTATAGGCGTTAGTTAATACCTGCCTACCAGGTCAGCAGAGCCTCTATCACCACCAGTCACCCCACCGTGTCCCTCGATATATCGAAGGAACTTGCCGTCCCTCGGCCTCCACAATACAACCCTCCTCACACCATCCGAACTCAACCCTAACCTGCTTATCATAGAACGCATCAAAAGCATCATCGACTGCGTCACGCGTATCTGTACATCGCCAACCGGATGCAGAACTTCCCACGGTTTAACGCACGTTGACCCCTTGCAAGATTTGGGAACCAGCAACAGGGCGTGTAAACGAGAGATGAGCTACTCGATAGGATACCCAAGAAACGTCAGCCTGTAGTCGCGGTGGACATGCAGATAAAATTTGTTCAGCTCGTAAGGATCAGTCTGCCATCAAGTGAGCCTTCTGAACCTCCCAGAATGAACTTTAACAAATAAACCTCACCATCAAATAATAAAGCTCATGTTCATTCGTGTACCATACCAAATAATATAGATTATAGCCCGATCCAAGAGCTCTGAGCGCCTTGCAAGTGTTGTTCCGGAAGGCGATTGGGCTTCCATTCGCTACAATACAATATCAGCACCGCCACAAACCAGAAGTCCCTTCATGAGCAACTTACGCGCTCTACTCGTCTCCCCTTCAAATCCGGCTTTGTTTCATACTCGACATTGACGTACTCATGCTGCCCCCACGATGACCTTTCCTCTTCAATTTCTCCTGTCGTCAGTGGCACCTGACTTATATCGAACTCCTCCTTAAACTCTAACCTCGCGACCTCAAAGATAGTCGGCGCAAGATCAACAAGCGTAGTTACGAAGTCAACCTTCCAACCAACCGGAATCCCAGGTTCACGAATTAACATCGGTACGCGAATATCCTCTTCGAAGCCACACTTCTTTCCTAGGTACTAGCGGTGCTGACCAGTATGATACCCACTATCGGAGGTATAAAAGATATACGTATTTTCAAGAACGCCGGCAACATTAAGACGCAGAACCACCTGTTCAGCAGTCTCATCGACTCCTTGAAGCGCGCGGAGACGGGCGCAGTAGAATTCGTTATCGGCGTCCATACTGGATTGGTTTTGCTTCAGAAGGGTACTAACCCAATTAACTCCACTGGGCTGTTCAAGTCTTTTATCGTCTACTTGTTCAGTTAGACCTAGAATGTGGGACGGATGAATGCTTAATATAGTTAGTTCCTATCAATCTAATACAAGACCAAAAGAACGCCATCACCGCATCCGATGGCAGTATCTTCAACACCGGAATATGCGCCAGGTGAAGAAGTATTGCTTGTCACAATACCCTAGAATGCCTTCGGTGGTCCTTTTGTGGGTGTCCATGACGTTCTGGTGGATATCGGCCATTTATATACGGTTATGCATGGACGCACACCTGGTGGGTACGCTGCATGTAGCCCTTGCTTGCCATGCATGGAACTTTGAACTCCCCGTTGACCTCTGTATGGACTTGACTAAACATTATAAAGCAGGTCTCTGTGGTTTAATTGTTACTCCTTTGATGAATTCGAGGGCGATTTTGGTGGACTTTTGTGAATGAGGGGTCCACGAGTTGGTCGTCTAGGCGAGTATGTCTATCAAGGGCCTATATACTGAACCATACTTTAGACCCGGTATCGAAACTAACGTACAAAGAATCCCCTCCCCTCTCCTCCCCACCTTTCCCCAAGATATCTGTGAAAATAAGAATGAGAATTAAACCCACATAAAGCCTGGGCTGTTGCTCTGTTCCCTCACACCGCCATCGCCTACAACACCGACAGTAAAACTAGGACACGCGTTTAATGAAACACAAAGTACAACTGAAACTCTAGTCATTCCACAATTTTACCTAGCCGCCAACCCTGCGAGTCCAACTGCGAGCCCTGTACCTATATGCACGAATCCCGTGATCCCGTGTAGAAGGCTACCTTCTGGGCGAGATTGTTCGCGATTAGGACGGAGACAACGAGCCCGTAGATCCCAGGGATTCCGGCCATGGCGATCGGGACGATAATCTTCGCCCCTTATATTTAGAATGATTCTATTAGGAAGCAAAGGGACGAAGGACGCAGAGATCAAGCGGTATCTTCAATCCTGCGCCCATAGTCTAGCCTTAACTGCAAGTATGTTTGGGCGCTTTCGCCGAATTTAGCCCGTCGAATATAACATCATCTACATTCAAGGATTTATTCTCTGGCATTTTACTATAACTAGCGCATATCCGAACTGCTACCATAGTGCTCGGGCCCGCATGTACGTAGACAGCTTGGAATAGTCATTGTCCTACTTCGAGTATACGGTCTAGAGCAAAGCGAACCATGAGATACTCGGACCATCCATGAACCAAAATGACTAGCCTGCGATCCTTAATTGGCAGAATTTATTTACACCATACAGCCCCATAATTAAAGCAAAGGTATAGCTTGCATTAGTTCCGCATGAACTCATCTAGTGGTTCGAGATCCTTATCCCGAGGCTAACAAACGCACAGCCCACCATAAGGCTGACAACTGAATTCCGCCTTTGGCTTGCCCTACCATATATAAACCTCTAAAGCCCACCAAAAAGTCCATACCTTCACCGCACCAAAATGACATCGCCAACATCTCTCTCCCCAGAGATAGCATTCATCTCCGGGCCCCTCGACACTGGCCCAAACGACAGCTACTTCCACACCTACTACGTCCCCCAAATCAACACGGCCATTGATCGCGGACATCACTTCGTGATTGGCCCCGTCACGGGGGTGGATCGCGTCGCACTAGAATATCTCCTTGCGTATCCCGTTCCCCCATCCCATATCACTATCTTCGTTACCCCCACCGAGGACTACCTGCTGGGCGATGAGTTCCGCAGTTTTAAAGTCAATGTGCAGGTTGTGGGTGGTGGGCCGAATGTGACGACGCAGGAACGCGATGCGGCCATGACGAGGGCTAGTTCTTATGATATCCTACGGTGGCGGACGAGAAGGGAGGCGAGGAAATTCTACGGGGTCATGTATCGCGAGGGATATGTGACGAATACGGAGAGGAATTGGAGGCGGCGGAAGGGGATCAGTGAGACGGCGGTGGTGAGGGAGGAGGATGTGGATATTTTCTTGAACGAGAAACGCTCGTATGGGACACGTGTTGTCGGTGGGCTTTCCGGCTTGCTGAGTATTACTACGCGGTCTTCTCGTGAATAGGGAAAATGGGGAGGAAAATGATACTCTAGGTCAGATTCATGGAAATGGAACTGGGCAGATGAATATATCTTTGCGCTTGGTAGTATCGTCTATATTTAAGTACATTGGACTTTAGTATACGAGCCTCGTGTGCTAAACGCAAGACTCCCCTGGAAACTCCACGCGGATGATGCGGGGACGATCACAGATTGATTTAGTTTCGGTTCACACACGACGCTCGACCGGTGCGCTTGGTGTAGTCCGTAGAGTGGATGATGCGGTGAGCTATGAGGTAACATCGGTGGCGTCCGACGGCGTTGGCCCTCTTGACTGCAAAGCTAAAGACAGGTCAGCGGATGACTTGCGAAGACAAACCGCAGACCTTCCACCAGGGTAGGGACCACATTCGCGGAAATGACAACTGTCAAAAACCCGCTTGCACTATTTCTTGTGTTGCAGAGGGGCATGTGTCTATTTACAGCACATTAGAACAGCTTTGAACGCTGTTTGGTTGTATAGAGCGGTTACCACCATGGTTCCATGTGCTCGTCTCGTTCGCGACGCGTAGTTTCGGGATTTCCAGCAAACCTTACGCTTCCTAGCAGTGCTCTGAACGCTAGAATGTAGGTATACATAGGCAAGAGGAACTCCGGCCAAGATATGTGACCATAGGGTCATGGTAAGCCGTGGTATGATATAGCTTCATCGGTCTAGGGGTATAGCCCATGTTTGAAAATCCTTCGTCGTTCCAAGGCCTAGTCCGTTATGTGAGACAAATTACGAACAAAAAAATACCAGTAATAGACGGGAAAGGTCCAAAAATGGCAGCATCCCCCATCAGATTCAAAAGGATGAGACTATCATAGAGTATATATAGTCGGTAAACTCTTCATCACACTTCTGGGTTGTCGGGACCTTCAGGGCTGTGAGAGACCGGTGACTTCTTCTCAAGAGGCTCCAAGCGTTGTTTAATCGAAAGATTATCCATGTCATTTATCAGGTTCTGCAAGCCTTGCGACTTGAAAGCAGACCATGGGTTGGCTTGGGACAAATGTCTGGTCGGCACGTGATGCACAATATAATCGGCTGCGAGGGATGAGATGTCTGTCACCGTCCACAGATCACCTTTATTCATGTTTCTAAAGATTTCCGCGACTCTCGGAGGCACAAGAGATGGGTCCGGTTTGCTCTGGTTCAACACGAGCTCAATAGTCCGGAGGAAGGCGGTGCATAATCGACCCCATCCCAAGCTCATATGCCAGAGACCCACCACACAGTCTTCGAGCACATAGCTCCATTTCAGATCCTCGAGATTCAACTTGGAGATAGAGTGGACGCCTGCGACACAGAAATAGTGCAACATGACAACAGGGAGAGACTTCCAACCATGGCAGCGTTTGAATAGCAATATGAGTGACCCCATCGTGTCTAAAGCTTGTGACATGATTGTGTACGGATCGAACGTTTCCGGGTTTGGAATCTCGCCACCCGTTGAGCTTAAGTTTGCACAAAATATTTGGCATAGGGATGCGATTGTCGCATGGTAATACTGACTATCCTGTTTGTTTAGTAACCTGGCCTGGAACACTATGATTTGGAAGAGGGTGACAAACTGTAGGCAAATTATATGCGGTGTCGTGTTTTGTTGGAGTAGAAGAGGAGGGGGTAAGGAGGACTTCCACTGCAGTAGCTCTCGGTGTAATTGTTTGCCGTACTCCCAATGGTCACTACTCATGACGGAATTTGGAAATTCGAGGGCCAACTTCGCAATTTTATGGACTATAGTAACCAGGTCAGCCCGGAAGCAGGCCGCCGTAAAGAAGAAAGGCTGCGCGGTAGGAATCGTAAACGGATAGGAACTCCATTCAACACCCGCATCCAAGCTTGCCGCCTCAACGGGAGAGAATCTTACAGGCGGAGGCGCTTTCCAGGCTGGGACTTTTCTGTACACCTGGGAAGCGAGCCTGTGGTCAGATTAGCATCACATACCTTGAAGGGACCCTGTGCTTCTCACCCTTGAACATCATAGACCGCCCAGGAAACTAGCTTATGGCATCTACTCAGATACCCGCCTTCGTCCGGCGAATCGCCGTAGATGTACTGAGGCGATTCCTGGTCGAGACCTAAATCTAGGCATAGCTGGGCGCCGTGCATGATATACTGGGTGCCAATTCTGTCCAGGCCGAAAGTACAGCACAGCAGCCCGATCATAATACTGGACTGCGCAGTAGGAAGACTTGCATTGTGTTTTTCGACTTCCCACAGACGCTGGATTTCTGAATACAGCTTTCGACTCAGAAGCTTTTCCTCTCGGCGATCTGTGATTTTATCGAGGTTGTACGACAGACTCTAAACGACCCGTTAGTTGTCATCCTCCGCAGCCGGGCGGCAAACGAACACAGCCGAAGAAGAGTAGCGCGGCGACCAATAGTGGCGAACAGAATTTCCCATGACCGCGTTCCAAGTCACGGACAAATGAATACTGGTCAATTAGCTGCCATGTCGGGTTTTCCCAGGTAAAGTAGAAAGACAGTAGATGGCTTGCTGTGTCATTGTCAGTCAGGGAGGTCCAATGGTGAATCGCAGTGACCTGGATAAATGGCCTCTGCACGAGGGGCTGAAGTTCGCTGCGCGTGTAGGATGTCCACGCGGCAAGCATCCGATACAATGATAGACCATGTTTTGGTAATGACGGGGTTTTGTCCAAGGGAGACCCAAGCTCCAGGAGTGGTGCCAGTATCGTCGGACTTCCTTCGAAGTGTTTCTGTATGACCGTTAGCATGGTCGAGAACAGAATCGCCAACGTGTCTGGCGCACGGACATAGATCAGTTCTTCGATGAGCTTGCTCTTTGATGGGTCCTCACTGCTTTCGACAATGATCCGTTGCAACAGGGACTCGTACGACTGTATCTTAGCTTGCACAGATTCCAGGGCCCCTCGTTGTCTTTCCCTTTTAGAACCGACGTAGCTGCAGGGAATACGCAACTGGCGACATTGGCTGCATTCCGGCTTTTGTCCATCGCACTTCGTCTTCTTGTCGCGACACGCCGCGCAGGCACGGCTCGTGCGTTGGCGGACAGTGCGGATGGAGGCTGTCCCTAGGCGCGGAATCCGGACCTTAGGAATCCCCACGCTGGAGATCTGACTACTTCCGGAAGATCTTTCCGTAGACGCGCCCAAAGGTGTGATCGCGCCGTCTGTGGAGTCACTCAGCATGATAGTAATAACGCTGATAATCCATTCACAGTACGCAGGGAGTTGAAAGGATCAAGGCCAGGCCGGTTAGTACGACGACGCTATTCAATTAATATTGGCACTTCGATATGACAGAGAGAGTATCCAATATATGGAACTGATCGTCAGGGAATCCCGGCGCCCGACATCACGTGGCCTCCCTCTCCGAGCCAATGGGGGATTTTCCATTCCAGCCCAGAGTCCCGTTGAGATAGATGTCATGATGTCATTGTCTGTTTTAATTTTTTTTTTTTTTCCCTTCCTCTTGAGGAGTTTCTGACAAGGATCTTGAAGGCAAATTATCTCAGCCAAGCCTGAGGCTTGCATCGAGTCATCCGATCTTTCCAGCCTAACCGATAGTTATTTATGGAATTTAGTGCAACGTTCGAGACCGTTCACTCATGACGAAAGCGTACCGAGGAGTATTTCTCTAGGAGAAATTATTATGATGTGCTCCCACGCAAGGGATCCATTTTTGGGATTTTTTCCCCCCTTTGTCCGTACATTTTGTGGGGGATTGGGCTCACCTTACCCAGTAACCTTCCTATCAAGGTCTTCCAATTAATAGGTCTGGGCATGGCGCGATTTTGTCGCTATCCGCTTGGCATATATATATCGCCGATTCCGAACGACCTGGTTGGAGTACTCTCAAATACCAATATCCGATTGTCGGGAATACAGTGACATCAAATAAATGTATAACACTCACGTGTAACTACATTGAAAAGGATCGCGGATTCAGCGGGGAGAATAGATGGGGGCAGGCGATTACTCCGAAAATCGGCGGAATAGAGAATTTATCGGCTGAACGATCTATGGGAGCTCAATCTAAACATATAGTAGCATGTATGGTAGCTCTGTTTCCAGAGGACAAAAGAAGACCCTTCTTCTCACTCAATTTTCAAGCGTACCGCAGTGTCCTATCTGCTCATCGAATATGTCCGCCTTTCACCACTCGACCCCCGACGCCAGGGTCAAGAAAAGGGAGATAGGAGCGAGTAACCTTTTGCGTAATTGACCCTACTCCGTGGTATCTGCTTTCCCCTAATCGGTGTTCTAACTATCGGTGCCATTGCCTAGTCGGTGCTAGTTTAAACATGTTTGAGTATGTTTCCTCCAGTTGGTAGATATTGCGAGTTCTCGAATTAACCCTATCGAAGAGTAACGACGCTCGGACAGGTCAGCTTTTAAGTCTTTTTGATACCGTAGCCCGGTTTCGTCTGACAACGAGTAGCCGCTAGAAGTCGTGAAGACGACTATGGCAGCGAACCGGTCTGATTCGTTTATAACAGCTCTACGACGCGTCTGGTCCCGAGGGGGAATTGCCGGTTGTATGCCGCCCACACTGACGATGATCCACGAGCCTTCATACCGCTGACCCCCATCGATAACATGAGTAGATTACCAGGGTTTAATTCCTTGGGCCTGGATTGAAGCTTCGACAAAAGGCGCCGTCCTGCTCTTCGTTGCCTCCGAAGTAGAGTATCGGTCGCGGAGTCTTGGGGCCGGCGAGTTCTTGTCTGGCATCGCTGGAGGAATGGTCGGCGGTGCGGTTCAGGCCTATGCGACGGTCGGGTTCTGTACCTGCATGAAGACAGCGGAAATTACTCGGCTCAAACAGGCCGCCGCCGGGCTGAAACCACCGGGCACCTTGGAGACGTTTGCCACGATATTTCGGAATGAAGGCTTGCGAGGCATCAACAAAGGAGTCAATGCCGTGGCCATCCGGCAGGTCACCAATTGGGGTTCTCGATTTGGCTTCTCCCGACTGGTCGAAGACACGATCCGCAGGGTAACGGATAAAGGGCGCGAGGAAAGACTTGGCGTCGCGGAGAAAATACTGGCCTCGGGTGTCGGTGGCGCTTTGGCCAGCTGGAACCAGCCCATCGAGGTTATCCGCGTGGAGATGCAGAGTCTAAAGGCCGACCCTAATCGTCCCACGCAATTGAGTATTGGCAGCACTTTCCGGTACATATATGCTCAAAGTGGGATCCGGGGCTTGTATCGCGGGATCACCCCTCGCATCGGTCTAGGAATCTGGCAGACCGTGTGTATGGTAGCACTGGGAGACGTGTAAGTTTATCTCGTGTGATGTGGATAGATACATCTCTGACAAATACAGAGCCAAGGAAATGGTAGAGTCCATCATGCAGAGGAAACAATGATCTTGAGCATGTGCAGGGTTGATACTCGCTTTGGATGCAGGAAAACTCTGTTGGGGGGGGTGGAAAAGAATAAGGAAACGTTAAAGTGATAAAACAAATAAATAGTATAGCGTATGTATATCAAGCTACCTTCCGTGTCACTGTCTATCGCTAGATACATAGGTCTTTCGCTTCGTTTCCAATGCAGGAAAATGTCAGTCACTCGTTAGTCAAAATATTTAGGCGTATCTTCATTCAATCTCTTCGGCCACTCCCTTTGCTTTCACCTCTTCAATAATATCGGAGCGGATAGGTCGTGCTTTGGACATTTTCACAGCAGACATGATGGACGGGGCATCATGGAAGATCTGGTTGACCTCTTCCAGAGATCGGTTCATCGTCTCCGGGTAGAATAGGTAGACTGAAGGAGGGATGAGACCACCGATAACGGTAAATACAATGTAGTAACGGTAGCCGATGTCGGCGATCGCGGTGGGAGTGATCATTGCCACGACGAACATCCTAAGCAGAGAACAAGCATTAGTTATTTTCCATTTCATAACACCACATCACCAATTCTTACCATAGCCACTGGTTCGCTATTGAAATGGATTGCATGGCGACTCGCAGGCGGACTGGAGCAACCTCAGCAGGGTAGAGGAAGTTCGCCCCCAGAAACCCAACGGGAAGGAAGAAATTATACACGAAGATAAAGAGGGCCGAGATAATAGACGCGGTATGGTTGTTTGTAAATGAGTTGGAGACCGTCAGTGCCAGCATACACATAGACATGCCGCCGCCACTGATCATGAACGCCGCGCGGCGTCCCAGTCGGTCCACAACATAAAAGCCGACGAAGCAAGAGAGGAATTTCCATGTCAAGGCACATGCGGCAAGAATTTTGGCTAAACTGGCGCCCAACTGCAGGTTATTCTCAAAAATGATAGGAATATAGACCGAAATGAGGGTACCACCGCTCATTTGCTGAAAGAATTGCAAGACAACACAGAGAAGGAACCGGTAGAAGAGCTTTTCCTCGCCCATCGTAAAAATGTCTTTGAGGCCGAGTGTGCCGCTTGTGGATGATTCCTCCAAGGAGATCTCGATTCCACGCAATTCGTGCACGATCTCGAGTGACACCACATCCATCTGCCTAAGATTGGCAAGTGTCTGCTGTGCCACATCCGATCGGTTCTTGAGAACAAGCCAACGAGGGGATTCTGGAAGGAAAAAGATGCTGCTCATGATAGTTAAAGAGAAGAGTGCAGGGATTGCCAGCGATCCCCGCCATGAAGCGGACTGGTCCTGCATATGATAGAAACCGAAGTTGATCCACTGAGTCATGGCGAATCCGAACGCGATGAACATGCCTGTCAGTACCACATTGCGGCCTCTCTTATCGGCCGGCGAGCACTCAGACTGCCAAACCGGCACTGTAGCGCTCAGCATGCCCACACCCCACCCAAGGATCACCCGACCGACCGTAAACTGGGCAAGAGAATATGCTGAGCATTCTAAGGCTTGGCCGATTAATGCAATGCATGCCCCAACAAAGATGGACCGACGACGACCGAGGATGTCACCAATCCAGGTACAGATCAGGGACCCAAAGAGAGCACCGATAGTGTAAGAAGCCACCACGGCACCTTGCACTGTGGCATTGTGAGACTTTTGGACGCCTGTGGTGTTCACCGTGTCAATCTCAGGGAACTGCTTGACCCACGACGGGAAGTCGGTCAGGCCTCCAACGCCGGACTGATTGTATCCAAAGAGGATGAACGACGGACAAACGACCAAGAAGATCTGAGCGAAGCGAAGTGCTTCGCCCTGCAACATCTTCAAGAGAATTTAACAATCGATGATTTGAACCGACTGGATTTGATGGGAAACAAGAGCTGAGAGTTGGGAAACAAAGGAAATAAAAGGAATCATAGGTAAGCCTTTCCTATCAGACCTCTCCCAGAAAAGCCAGAGGCATATCAGCCGAGGTGAAGGGGGGGGTGTGCAACTCTAGGAAAGTGGAGAGAGCACTCGTTCCTCCTCCTACTGGGCTTACTCTATTCCCTTCTGCCATCGTCTCACAACACAGGATATCTCCGAGACCCGCAAGTGCGAGCCGTCCTGGCTATGGGAAAAAAAAAAAAAAAAAAAAAAAAGAGGCAGCGCTTGCTAGAGAAAAGCATGAAAGCTTGCTGTGTTGAATCTTAACCCTCCAATGACCACGGTTGAAGGCCGGGGCCAAACCCACTTGAAGTGGAGCGCCCCAAAATGCTTAGCACTGCCAATCCGTCATTGGCTTGCCGTAGGCGCCTTGGCCCCGAGATGACATCCGTCGACTCCGATCACTCGGGCGTCAAGCCAAGCTGAAACTGAGTACATGACCCGATACCGAGCCGAGAATTCATTGACGCGGAGAGATGGTCAACAATATCCTCAGCCAACTGGCCTTATTTTCGGGCGATAAAAGAGTCATCTAGAAGACGAGCAAACCAGGTAGATGGAACAAGTTGATGGCAGTTCTGCTAGTTCTACTCCATGGTCCGTACGTGGCCCGATTCTCGGGTAGTTTGGAGCTCTCCGCACAAGACACCCCATGGACCTCCACACCGTCGGTATTGGCCGCCGGGGTAGCTCGCATTGAAGCAACGCAGAGAAGGTTAGCCGTCCTCGGAATCTCGCCGAAACGGTTCAACGACGGACGTTGACCGATGCCGTCACCGGATGGGTGGTAGTTATCAACCAAGATTGCGCAACTCAGATTTGGACATTGGACATTGCCGCAAGATATGGTAACCCCCACATATTCCCTTTATGGCGTAAAGAGAGAGACGCTCGTTGAATCCAAAAAAAAAAGACAATAAGCCACAGTGGGGGTGAATCAATGTAATGAGTAAGGAACTCGGGAGGGGAAAAGGAGTGAAGTGGAATCTTTTTGCATCGTTTGTTTGGCGGGCAGGTGTGGTGAAACTCATGTGTACTGAACGGTAAGGCGATTGGCACGGTATCAGCTCATACATTCTCTCCATAGGTACATTCACACCAACATATAACCGTCGCCTTTTTGTGTTTCGCTTCACAACGCGTCTCCTATAATACTTTATGCAGCCTATCAACTAAGACTTAAGTTTCCCAGCCCTCTCGCTGTTGAATGGTGCACATGTTAGTCTTGGACACACTTATATTCTTTATTGGAGTGTCGGATGTTTCTGCCAAATACTAACTTTAGAAATTATGGCCAGGTCAATCAAGGTGCAACTCATGATGCTACTCTTTATATCTATCCCATTTGCAACTCCGCGACCGGTAACCTGATACTACCTATTTTTGATCCACGCCAATTGAATGAACTTGACTTGCCCTTCCAAAAGGAAACACCAACTGCTACCTCACTCTCAAGGCGTCTTCTTATTCCGCTGTCTAATCACATTACCATACTTATAGAAAATATACGGCACGGGTGTCATCAGAACGGAGATACATCCCAACAATGTCAGAGACCAATGAACCCCTAGGTTGCTATACATCGGGATCGACACGATGACCATCGCACCGGCCGCGATATAACGGAAGAAGGTTGCACTCACTAGTGCACTGGCGGCAAAGAGCTCATAAGTGTCGATGAGGTACATATAGGTGGAAATGAAGATCCCCTGGACAGAGAATCCGAAGGCGACCGAGGCGACCAAGGGCGACCAGTAGGAGATGGACGGATAGCTGGTCCAACCCATCCAGAAAAGAGAAATCGGCAGCCAAGGAGCGCCGTACATAGCGAACCAAAGTCGCTCTTCCGGTGGGAGGCCATCGTGTCCATTTTCTCTGGCCTTGAGGAGTCGCTTCTTATATGAAAAGTACACATGAGGCACCATGGAGAAGGCAATGAGGAATCCTACGTTCATGCCGATGAACGTCAAACCCACCGACCCCTGCGTGAACCCGTATGTCTTGCCGAAGATGAACTCATAGCCCGTTAGGAAGCCGAACAGTACAATGTAGACGACGACCAGATACATGGTGAAGAGCGCGACCATAATCTCGCGAAAGAATAGATTGAAGGGGCGCGAGCAGCTGTGCATTAGCCGAGTGACCAGTGATGTCTGGCGCAGTTCGAACTCCGCCATGAACCGCTGGTCGCCGGTGATTTCACGCAGTAGTTTCGCCTTCCACTGCAAAAGTATGGGACCATAGGTTTCTGGGACGAAGAGAAAGATGGAGACAGTCACGAGCGCTGCCATGAGCAGCGTTGCCCATTCCGTCCAGCGCCAGCTAATGTGCGTGCTTTGGCCAATGAAAGCGCCCACCATTGGGGCGAGGAACGGCCCTAAGAAGGATAGCGTACAACAAATCGGGAAGGCGTATGTGCGGTCGATGGGGTCAAATATGTCAGACATGCTGCCGCCAAAGGTGGTCATCGGAGTACATCCGAACAGCCCAGCTAGAAAGCGAAAGGCAAGCTGCGCACCGAAATTCGGGGCTAGACCCGATGCCATTGTGAAGATCATAAGGATCGACAATGTCACGATGTACACCGGATTCCGCCCAACAGTTTCCGAAAAGGGAGCCGCTACAAGAGAGCCGACGCCAAAAGCGAATAGAAATAGTGCAGTGGCCAGAGATTCGGCAACCTCACTGACTCCAAATGCTTCCTGCCCTTGTTTGATCACGGTGGAGTCGATGGACGAAGCCCATCCGACAAGCAGACCCGTTGTGCCAACTATGCCCAATGTCACCCATTTCCGTCCTGTGGACCAATTCTTGGGGTTGAGCTTATCATCCGGCCCATCAAAACCAACAATGAAAAGTGTTTGCGTGTCGATTCGCTCAACAATTTGCGATGCGCGCCGGAGGTTAACGCCGGGAACCGTCACTCTTTGGCCGTCATGTAGCACGATTCCAGGCGTTGCGAATGGCGAATGACCCTCCCCATTCATGGAATGGATGCCTTTCTCCAACCTGGCGTCATCGGCATCCTCTAAGATATCCCCGGTCGGCTGTACATGACGATCACCGGCTGCGGCATACCGGCCGTGCAACTTAATGCTTTCTTGCAGGTCCCTGCGCATGCGTCGATATTGGAGAAAGGACTGCATAATTGCGAAGCGCGGAGAAACTGAGCAGAACGAGGAAGTGTTTTCTTGGAGAGACACAATTATTCGAGCAACATTTGTCTGAATGTTCTCTTTCACTGGCTAGAATAGTTATTCTTTCCGGGAGTATTTATTTCCAGTGGTGCTGTCGTTGCGTCAACCCCGAATTCCGCCCTATCCGACTTTCCCGTCGCGTCCGACATAGCCGCTGAATGGCTTCGAAATTTCTCATTCGGAACCAGGGAAAGTCAAAGAACATACAGATGTTATCCCAGCTCATAGTGTAATTTAAGTAGAAATAATTAGGTATTACAATATTTGTCTAACACTATAAGTAGATGCGTGCGGACACTGTTCCATCATACAATCAGTCTTGACATTTCTGTATCATCTATATCTCTGGCCACTATATTCGCCCTCGTCAAAGAAAGGTACCTGTGTGTCTAGGAAAACATTCCAGTCCCAGTCAAAGTTATCCGGCAGGCCTAGGTCACCAGTCCCTCCCAGCCAGGAAGAATCGTTAAATGCAGCGGAAGTCGTTGAGTCTTGTTCGGTCACCCCTGGGTCTTCTTGTTGCATACTGTCTCTCAAGAGAACCAAATCTCTTTCCTTTTTGTTCTGGGATAGGCGAACCAGTGATTCTATAGTCTCGAGGGCTGTGTGAAGGGTCGGCGTGCTGTAATGGCTGGTTATGACCCTGAAGGAGCGCAGCGCGGGACCAACGTGCGAAAGTGACTCCCTTGTGTCAATAGCCAGCAGGATACAGAGAAATTGAAAGGGTATATTGGCAACGTGCCACCATGGACAGTGACCTTCCGCCAGGCGAACTGCTGCATCGAGACCGTCATTGCCGAGCCGGATGATACGGGTAAGAATGTCGTTCGAGATATTCGACGAAGCAACTCGCAGACGACGATATATCGTGAGCGCCAGATTACTTTGCGAGAGTACCAACGCATCGTGGGAGAGCGTGAGGCGCTCGACGCGGCTGAGAGCTTCTTCAAGGTCAGACACCTTGTTGTTCTGGTCGGGATCTAGGCGTTCTGAGATCTGGTACAGGGCGATCAGATCCGTGGTGAAGTCTCCCGTTCGCGGCAACGGTGGCTTGCAGGAGACGCCTCGTAGAATGACACGGGATCGGCCGTATTCATAGGAAATCCACGAATTCAGCACAGTGGCAACCCAGAATAGCCGGCGCTGACTCTCATCGTCATTAACGCCGACGTCTGCAGTATCCGAATACACCAAGGACACCAGTTCAGGGTCCTGATGAGCTCCGATGGCCTCAATTATGTGCATGGTGGAACAACTGGCCATCCACGATGCGTGGGGGCAATTAGTGCTTCGGAGGTAGATGGTCCGTAAGATCCAAGCGGTGGCATGGTGCAGGAGGGTTGCTTTTGAAATCCGGGTGGTCTCCAACATCTCCTTCGCCGACTGCACCAACAGTCCTTCTTTTGGATGTTCCTGATGCCCCGAATACAAGGAGCCCAATGCTGCAACGCCACAAAGAACGGGGTCATAGCTGGTTGCAGTTGCAGAATCATGCCATCTAGCAATAACCTTTTGCCTTAAAGCGTCGGGGTCCAGTACTGCGTACACGGGATGTATCTTCTTTAAATAGTGGCTAGCCAAGTCTTCCATATCCTCTTGTGAAATCAAATCTGCAATATTGGTGAAGGGCCCCAAAGGCTCATCTCGTGGACCTAAATTCCAGCTAAAGCCGTATACCTTGGGTGCGCCTTGAGGATTCAACCTCATACCCAAGAGATGAGGGAACGCGGTGCCTGAGTTGGCCTCCATGTGTTCTTGATTAGCATCCGCTCTGTCGGAAAGTCTGGGTGAGTCCTGTTCCTCACTGGGCCCTGCTGAATTCTTGGGCACCGCAGGTCTTCTCCGTGGATGAGGTTTGAAGGTGCACTGATACTCGTATCGCAGGCAGTAAGTGCAGGGCTCATGCCCGTCGCATTTCCGCTTGCGCAGTTTGCAAGTTTCGCACGCTCTTTTGGCGCGTTGTCGGGTCCTTATCCGACCGGAATCATCGGTATTCAACGACATTACACTGCACTACAGGGTTTTTCCGGGGCAAGAGAGCTATCGCAGTCGATGGTGGTCTATCAGTGGGGGGGTTGGGAGAGTGAGAATGAGAGGGCAAAAGTACGGGGAATCGGGAGATCGGAAGGAATAATTGCTAACTCCGAAGAGCGGCTCCAACTCTGCAACCACTTGATAACCCTAATTCGGGATCCCGTTATCCCCCGACGGCTAGTATCTCCTGGGATGTGAATCCTGAAGCGATGATACCATACCTGCAAAACTATTATGTCTTCTGCAGAGTGCACTGTCCACTGCAAAAGGTGGAACATCCCGACTAGCGTGCATCGCATCCTGCCTTCCACCCTCTCTCCCATTGGTCCGTGTCTTGCTGGTGAATCACCGTGGATGTGACATTATCAAGTGCTGACATGCACAAGACGCTCGAGAGGTGTTTTAACCCTCATCTATAGTTGTCGACAATCATCTTTCCCGACTTTGCCGCTCATTCCACCTCATCCGTTCTTCTCGTATTGGACACGGCCGATTTCAGGATGCATACATCACTATCAACAAATGTTTAGGTTACAATGATGAGAAGAACATCCTTGACACGACCCACCACCGTAAGTCAGGATACGACACTGAGGAAAGGATATAAGTCGAAGGACCTCTTCTGCATTGGTCCTCTTCTCTTCAGAAACCAGTCCTCTAATCCTTTAACTGAACACATATCATCTTTGAACTACAATAACTTGTCTCTCCAAAATGCGGGTTTCGACACAGCTACGAATCGGTATCGTTGGCGGCGGCTGGAATGGCTGCCATCTTGCTTTGGAGCTGAAGAAGCAGGGCCACCGAGTGTCCTTGTTCGAGCAGAAGCCAGATATCTTCCAAGGCGTTTCCGGAAACTTTGGCATCCGCTTGCATAAGGGGCCGCACTACCCACGGTCCAAAGCCACTCGCGATAGCTGTCGCGAGGCCTTGGAGAAGTTCTGCGAGACATATCCCGACCTCGTTGTCTACCACGAGTCCGCGATCTATGCTCACGGACAAGCGGACGCACTTGGAAACCCATCCAAGGTCTCTGATGACGCATTCAGGGAGGTTTGCTACGAGTCTCCTGAATGTACTACGCTTGATCCGGAGGCCAGTGGCTTTCAGGGTCTCCTCAGTGCGTACAATCTAGACGAGCCTAGCGTTGCTATTGGGGACCGGCTCCGCAACGCTTTCAAAGAGAAGCTGGGCCGTGCGGGCATCTATGTCCACCTCAATACGACGGTTGATCGCATCATCCACACTGGGGACACAAATCGGATCCAGACCGGAGACGGCCAGTATATCTTCGACGTGGTGATCAATGCCACCGGCTATACTAGCCTTCTTCCCCAAAACATTGCGGATGCCCTCCCCGTCGACATCGGTATCACCTATCAGACCTGCATCGCTCTCGTTTACGAAGATCAACAGCCACAGGAGAAGCCACTCTCCTTCATCGTCATGGATGGCTGGTTTCCCTGCGTAATGCCGGCAATCGACTCAAACGAGCCCTTCCAAAAGAAATACATTTTAACACACGGCAGCTACACCATCCTCGGGTCATTCGACCGTCACGAGGAGGGTCAACAGCTTTTGGACAATCTCGATGACGAAGGCATCGAGGCCCGCATCAAGCCCCTCTGTGAGCGGGAGATCACCCGGTTCTGGCCCGGCTTCCTCGATCGGTTCCACTATCGCGGCTGGAAGGGTAGCGTTCTGGCCAAGCTGAAGACCACTTCTGAATTCCGAAGTAGTTTGACTTTCGAGAAGGACGGCGTTATCCATATCTTCCCGGGTAAAGTGAGCAACGTCGTGACGGCTGCCGAGGAAGTGATTCCTCTGATCAATGACATCGCACGTCGACGACACGGTGTGGTGCGAGAATGGAAAGGAGTGCGTTTCACCGTGAGTAGCGCCTTCCACACGCACGGCGAAGAAATTGGCGACAAGCCCGGATTGGGCGAACACCACACCAGCAACCTGCAGACCTATGTCTCACTGATCACTGCCAACTAAGTGGGTATTCGGGGCGACGGTTCTAACCGACAGGTGGCTATGTATGTAGCCCTAATTAGTTCTGGATCACTATAGATAGACGCTCTTAGACGCTAGAGAATGTGACCTTCGGAGTTTTGGCGAATAGAATATCGTTATCTTATATTATTCTGCATTATCATTAACTCTAAGAAAATTTATCACCAGCCTAAGCTACCTGTCTTTCTCCACACAAGACTAACACACCCTCCATTACTCCTTCAATGTATCCCTACCGCACAACATCAACGAACCAAGCACTAACCGCGTCACACCCTGCATCGACCGGCGGCTTGGCCGCGTATTCATAATATATTCCACGGACCAGGCCCTATAGGACACATGTTATAATCTATGTTCAGTACAAGTTGCGTATCGACCCAATCACTTCTCGTCCGGCACACAGCAAATCCAGCCTAGCGGCGATCAACAAAACGTTAGGGCTAGCTCTAGACCTTTCTGCATGTCGGTCGACCCGCCAGATCTGCAACAGTGTGGGTCAGCTGGTGGCAACGAAGCCGTAGTTAACATGGCTTCGTGTATGCATTAGCTACAGGGATGTTAATCATGTTGGGTCTCCTTAATCTCGTTGGTTGTCTCGGGGCTATCACTGCGTGGTTCTTGTCGTTGAAAGTGCGTGGCTTTATAGAGTACCATGGAACATGATCCTAGATTTCTTTCGGTCTAGTGGAGTTTAACTTCGTCTACACATGAGGAAAATACAACCCCCTTAGCGTGGTTGTCTGTGGCATACATTTATCTATCTTAGTCAAGCAAACATCGTGACCAACCATGTTTAACAGGTCAAGAGGCCTTGGCCTTATCTCCCGCTACCAGTGTGCATTCTCCACCGCAAAGCACAGGTTCAGACGATTGCCGGCGGCACGCTCTGAACAGTAGATTTCCAACCTCCCGGGCTTTACCTTTACCCCTGAACTATTTGCTAACGGTATGTAGTCAAGCTTAGGCAATTGGTGTTGGAGTGAGTCGTTGCTAATACGGGGCCAGGGTTACGACCGTACAGTATTTCCGAATGCCTTGCATACAGCCGGTCACAATGGCAATGGTTAGCTCAGGTAGGTTCCCCATGCATCGCCATGCATCGATCATAAGAAAAAGAAAAGAAGCGGCCTACTAAGTAACGGAATCCACCAGACGAATGCCCACCACGCGCGAACTGACCACGATGCAATTAATGAGTGCGATAACCGATAAGCCAGAGTGGGAAAGAAAGGTAAGATCGTGACCCAAAGTGACGACCTTGAAGCCAACTATAGTAGATTTTCGACTCACACATTACCGCGAAATGGACCACTGAGATCATGAACAGTGGTAAGGACGTCACTCCCAAGATGATGGAGTGGATCCTGGCCGAGCTCAAGTACAAGGCGAAAGTCTTAAAGGAAACCGGGAACGTCACGGTGTATGACACAGGAGTCATTAAGTCCAACACGGCCATCCCAGCCGATCTACAGGCCGCGCTGTGTAAAGCTGTCTTGCCTCTTGAGCAGGTCCCGCGGGAGGAGAAAGACTACCACCCCGGTTCTGAAGACAAGGTGGTTAATCTTGTTCACCCCTCCCTGTACCCGGTTATCTATGGGCGTAGTAAGATCCTCCAGGATGAGCCAATCGGGATCGATGACTGTTGGTCATAGTCGGGACTGGCCGAAACCCTCCCCGTGTCTAAGGAAGAGGAGACCAACTACGCGCCTGATAGGGAACGATACTACTGTGAGGGGTTCAAGCCCTACAGTGCGAGGTTTCAGTTGCTGCCCTGCGATGTGGATTTCCGAGGAGACGATGAATGTCGCATAGTGTCGTATATCAATAATCTGCACCCAGAGCGGCATCGCGATCTCTACAAGGTCCTTGAGAAAGTAATAGCCAAGACAATTCCTTTATGGGACAAGACCTTGGACGAAGTGGAAGACTCGCCAGATTACAGGATTCCATACAAAGAGGCCGAGTATCTGCCCTGCTCGGTCCCGGAACCCGAATATGAAGATAACGGTGAAGATAATGATGACGAATTTCACGAAAGATATGAAGAATGGCTCTCTAGTAGGCCGATCGGGAAGCCTGAGCCAATTGGTGACTCTAAGTCAAAGGGCGAGGTGAAATATCCCGATCCTGTCCGACTTCGCCAGCAATTCCGTGCTCAGGGCCTGCAGGTTATTGTCAAATTGGCTAACATTGAATTAACCCCTGATAAGCCACTATATGATGGGGGCTCGTGGCACATAGAAGGGCAGATGGTAGACCCTTGCCCGTGAAATGTATTACCAATGCAACCCTGACTGGAGGTCTACAGAACGAGCACATCTGTGCGACAGGAATATATTACTATTCCAATGAGAACATCACACAAAGCTCCATCTCATTCCGACAACGTGCAGAGTTCGACAACTTCAGGGTCCGCTATGAACAGGATCAATTTAAATTCCTCGAGGTCGTGTACGGCTTCCCAGAAACCCGTGGTAACCAGGAGGGTCCTCTAACACAAGAGTTGGGAAGTGTGACATGCGATGAGGGACGTTTGTGGACGTTTCCGAATATACTTCAACACCGTGTTAGCCCGTTTGGATTGGCTGATAAGACTAAACCGGGCTACCGCAAGATCTTGGCGTTATTTTTGGTCGCGCCGCAGATCCGCACCATCTCCACGGCTAATATTCCACCGCAGACGGCGGACTGGTGGGACGAGAGACAAGGCCATCGCCGGGATCTGACGAAGAAACATGTGGACAATCTCTTGCCGGTGGAGCTAGACGGCTCACCGATCACGTTGGAGGAGGCCAAGAAATACAGGCTCGAGCTCATGGAGGAGAGAAGTGTCCTAGGGAAGGAGAGGAATAAGAGGTATGAAACAGGGGATCTCTCTCTCTCTGTGAACATTGATAGCTTGTCACAGGTATGAACTAGAAAGTCAACGCAGATGCCACAGCAGCATGTTCCGAAGAGGACTTTTCCACGATTTGTATTTCTTTTTTACTCTTACAGTGGGTGCTTGTACATGCGACCAGAGGGCCCATTCAAAAACATACTGATATACGAGCTTTATATGTAACCAATAATCAGCTCAGCATCTCCAACACGAACTTGATAATACCGAGTCTTATAGTGCCAAGCGTAAGCACTATTCCCAGGCTGCAATTTACACTGATTTCTAATCAATTACCTAACCTAAGGCAGCCACAAAGAGAAACTCACCAGGGTAATTTAAATATGAAACCACTAAGTTTCACACCGAGAAGGGATGAAGAACTTAAAGAACACACCGAAGAAATCACAATGGCAGTAATCAAGACAGAAATCATCTCCGACGCAATTTGCCCCTGGGTACGTATACCAACCGTAGCAACTACTACCGCAACTCGACTAATAAATCACCAGTGCTACATCGGATATCGCACCTTGCAAAAGGCAGTTTCCGTGTATCAAAAGACCTACCCCGGCGGTTCACGCGATACAATAGAGGTTTGGTGGAAACCGTATTTCATCGACCAAGAACCACCCAAGGAAAGCATTCTCACACAAGGCAAGTATTCCGTTCTACGCTAAGCGCCAGAACAGAATTCCCGCCATGAGCCAGTGCTGATCTCAGAATAGACCGTATGCTCCGCCGCATGGACCCGAAAATGGTAGCGGCGGCCCAGACACGTCTAAAGCGCGTTGGTGCCGATGCCGGGATCTGCTTCCGCTTCGATGGGTATATCGGGTCGTCGAGACTAGTGCATCAGCTCCTGTATATGGCTGGGCGGGAAAGTAGTGAGCGCCAGTGTCGAGTTTCCGAACTCCTCTTTCACTATCAGTTTGAGAAGGGGGCTGATATTAGCCAGTTAGAAACGGTGGTTGAGGTTGGGGTCCAGGCTGGATTGCGTGAAGATGATGTTCAGGGCTGGTTGGCGAGTGATGTAGGAGTGGTGGAGCTTGAAACTGAAGCTAAGCAGGCTAGGGCTGATGGTGTTAAGGGCGTGCCTCATTTCGTTATCGGAGAGAAGTATCATTTGGAGGGTGCTGCGGACATGTCGGAACTTTTTGAGGCGTTTGTGAAGGTTAGAGAGGAGCAGTAGAGGTTAGGACAGTATTGTAGACGCCAGAGCCGTTCTTCGTCTTAGGGCTTTGTGCCATCACTCGTGGTACTTTTGTCTCGGGGAGCTACTGCACGTATGGGAATAGCGCAGAAATGCTTTACTACATCGACATTGCATGTTTAGGCCCGCCGGAAGTAGCCTCCAAGACAGGCCTAACAAAGGACTATTTTCCTAAGCCCGTTACGTTACCCAGCCATAGAAGCCCTCATTCAATCTACGATCCACAAGACCATACAGCTTTACCATTAGTTCACATGAAGCATCATCAATACCCAAACGCCACGCACTCGAAAAGTCTTTCAAGTCCCTTTTACAGATACAATGTGTCATCGAAGGCATTGGATCCACCAGAGCTTGTAAAGTAGAGGTTGAAAAAATACCCTGGAAATGCCATCCTTGTAAACCCTGAGGATCCGACCGAAAGGAGTAAATGGCAGCGGAGAGCCAAATATCGATTCGGTAAACATTCCCCTCTCATCATTTCGGCACGGCACTGAAAATAGAGAAGCACAGACAGCCACTGCTAGTGCTTATTCTCTACACATTGGCCACTTAGGTAGGCTAAAGTAGGCTACATCTGTCGGGTCTCGGCCGGCGAAGCATGAGGAGTAGAATTTCAATCAGGGATGTCAATCCTTTGTGCCATTTATTTAATCCCTGGCGATTACCAGTGGAGTCGTTATACCTCCACTTAAGGAGTCCAGTCTCCTCTCGAGAGGCCCAGTTTGGATCCTGTTTAACAAGAAAGTAAGTAGATCCTTTCATTCCCAGTAATTCACATCCTTTGATTTTCTATAGGAACCTCGGTACATATCTCCATTTGATAGAGTTAGAGACATGTGCTCTTATGTTTTATAGTGCCACTTTGCCTCCACTGCGGCTCGTACCATATCCATCAGCGTAGCTATGAATTTTGAACCAACCAGCTGACTTTTCAGTTCAATAGGTTAGAGCAATGCCATTCTACTAGGACACATAAAGCTTTGACAATGTCTACTTAACGATAGATGCTACCGGCGATACCACGCTCGAGTGAGTTGGATTTAGGTATCCGAGACTCTCACGCCAAGATTGACAACCAGGGATTCCTGTGCGTAAGCAGGATCTGTCCTGATATAGCCTATGGATCAAGATCCTTGGTGCCGTGGGCGTAGTGGCAAAGTGGTAGGAGGGATGATCAAGTAAACTAAACTGCTAGGTCAAAAGTATTGCAACACCTGAAATTCCGCACCCGAACCCCCTAATTTCAAACCTCGATATCTCAACGGATTCTGCATACTTTGAGCTCAAAATCAGTTCTATAGAATCCCCATTTCATTATTTAGTATACCAGCCATGTGCTTGGTATACAGCCCGAACCCTGCGTGGCCAGGATAGAACTAAACGATTTATAACCTCCTGATCAAGGTCATTCCACACAGTCTGAATACTCTGCTTAAACCTCTCCATATCAAGCTCTGATATTCTCTCTAGAAAAGACTCCGGATAGAGCTTCTTTAGCTTCTGCTCAAGTAGATTCCAGAGGTTTCCAATAGGGTTAAGATCAGGCGAATGGAGTGGCCATTCAATCACCCAGATTCCATGCCTTTCAAACCAAGATTGTGTCTTTTTAGATATATGAATGCGCGCATTATCTTGCTGAAATCTAGTGCCTGGCTCGTAGATTGGTATAAGGCCTTTTTCTAAGCATTTAATATAGGATTTGCTTGAATATCCCTAATTTTAGCTATTTTGTCCTGTTTCAGTACTACTAGTTCTGACCGGCCACTATTCCATATAGAAGCCTAAATCATTATAGAAATACTCTTGCCATGGAGCTCTAGATTAATAAGATCCTGCCTGTAGGCCTTATTTGCAAAACAGAATATATTTTGACTAGGATTATTGGGGTCCTGTTGAACTGAACAGTTATCTGAAAACATGATATGGCTAATATCATTGCATTAAAGCCACGTACACGCGAACTGATAGCGTTTTTTTTAGCTATATCAGCTGTTAAAGCAATTCTTTTTTTGCTTTTTTATTTTTTTATATAATATTTACGTAAAACGCGCTTTAATATTGACTTTGAGATACCTTCAGGAGTGCTGGCAATAAGTGCCGCGTAGCTCATTCTAGGCCTTTGACAAATTATTAAAAATATATAGCATTTAACTGTAGGACTGAGCTTTTCAGGCCTACCAGAGCAAGCGCCTGATACTAAAGCTTTACATTGTTGAAAGCGTTCGCGTGTTCGATAGATAGTAGAGCGCGCAACCTTGAATTTCTAGGTATTTTCGCCTGTCTATAGTCCTTCAAGTAGAGCAAAACTTGCTCAGTAGAAAGCTCAGATCTAGCCCTTCTATTTCCACTAATTTCGGTTCCAAAAGACCTCATTTTGGTTGAGTGGTAGGCGTTTGAAATTGTTGATTTATTTGACGCGGTACGCGTTGCGGGTAGGTGTTGCAATACTTTTGACCCACTATTGTATGTAACATGTGGATTGCCAATGTCATGACCGTTGAGGTTCCACTTTCTGAGTTGCCGTATACGAGTCCAGGGTCCCTGTCAAATTGGTGATCGACAACAGTGGCGCACATCTAGTCTCAAGGAGGTGTATGATACGCGCTGTGTAAGATAGTCATGTTGCCGCTGTAGGCGAGGAGAAACTCGGGAGAGTATCATAACTCCGGCCGAAATTGGGAGTCAAATTGAAGTCACAGTCTGGCCTTGCTTTTGTACGACTTCAGCCAGGCTAGAACGAGGCCATCCTTGAACTTTGCAGCAATCATATCGCCATCTGCGGGGTATTGTACTTTCTTTAATACCATTCCTCTAACTCTGGCTCTTCTTCCCTGTTTTGAGAAATAATAGTCTATAAACGTAACCATGGAAGGCTAGAGTGCCCCGTATTCTCCATTTCAGGATTATAGACAATATTGGGAGATTTGCCAATAACCAGCTATTACCTAACTCTCGTGGGCAATGTTTACTTCTTTCATGCTCCCTCGACTTGCATCAGTTACAAAGCTAGATGTAACAAGCTAAATGGAATATTTGAGGGAAAGAACACATATCATTAATACTCTGAAAAATGATATCTACACACAGATGAACATGTGCTCCGTCTAGAAATTATACAACTGCATTTTCTAAACAGGTCCTATTCAGTAACCTGCTTCATTAAGATCCACATTATGCTCGAATCTCTCAGCCAACCATTCTACAGAAAGCGAGTTGGGTTTTCTAAGAACACTTAGTTCCAATTGGACCATTGGGCCATGCATGTATACACACATATGTTAGGAAAGGAAAGAAATGTTTCACATATGGGGAGGTCCGCATGCCATGGATAGGCTTTTGTGAGGGGGCTTCATGGGAGGATGAGCCCAGGACAACTATTATGGATGCTGAACTGACTTTGATATTGTACCGCCAGTCCAGTATCACTAGATAAATCAGCTCTACTTTAGAATATCATTTGTTTGATCATATCATACGAATGATAAAGTCGTAGAAGAGAGCATACAATACTGGTATTTCGTCAAGTAGCTCATTATGCTAGTACTCGATACACTATTTTCCTATTAGTATAGGTGTATATGCCTTCGTCTCTCCTCACTATCCCTCTCCACAACATTAACACTTGTAGACCATCACAAGGCAAAATATATATGTATGCATTTTCATATCGAGCCTTGCGTCTAACCATGTTTAATTTATGCTTGTTCTAACAAGAAACGCATCTTTTCAAGACTTCACGCGTTCTTTCAACGTTTTTCAATGAAAGGGAGCATGTAGGACCTTGAGGATCTTAGTATGGCCTTGCCTATCTAAGCGCCCTCGCCTACCTTCTGATAATTTTCTAGTTGAGTATTTCAGGCAGTCGAATTTATCATTTTTTTGTTTTATATATATTTCTACAGGTTATGAGCCCGGAGCCCCTATTTTCCGGAGCTAGTATACTATCTTTCTTACTTTCCTATTTAGACTATACTGAAGCTATCCAACTGCCACCGAAATGGTCACTAATCGCCTACCTCTGCTAGATCGCCTCCAGCCCCTACTATCTGGCTCTACTCTGACAAGACTATTAATTCCAGTACGATAATACAATCTGCTAAGAGCTGGCTTATATGCTGCTTTTTCTACTGCCTTCCAGCGCTGGAGAGCGGCGCCCTAGCTTTTCTACTCGGCCGCCAGCTGCTTTGGGAAGATTTCCAGGTTTCCTAAGCACTGTTCCTCGCTCAAGAACACTGTATAAATGACGTTCTATAGGATACCTAAAACTCGCCTGCAGATTGGCCGCACTTTGCTCGCTCGGTAGAAAACGCCCTTGGCAAATCTCTACGCCTTTAGTCTTCCACACTTTCCGGATTATACAAGTTCCCTAATTGGTAATTTGTTTCAGCTTCATTCTTGCTTTTCCTTAGCTCCTAGACTTAGGTAATTGTGTTGAATAGTTCTGTGATTTTCATTACGCCATTTTTCAATGTTGTTTGGTGAAGGGGGGCCTGTAGGACCTTGAGGGCCTTCGTATGGCCTTGCCTATGCAAGGGCCTCACCTACCCCTCAGGCCTTTCTGGTTGAGTAGATTATATCGTTGAACTCTCTTTTCTCCATTCCATACATATTTCTACATGATATACAATCTGCACATACTCACCCCACCGTAGAAATATACAAACCACACATCTACAGTCGATCCCACACCAACCCCCAACATACATACTCCTTCAACAAACCACAAACCCCTCCCCTCATATCATAAAATTCATAAAGCATCCCAAAACTATCCATACACAAGTCGAACACCAAACCCATTACTATACAAAGGCCACGCCGCCCTCAATTCCCCTGGCAGTATCTTCTCCCCTTTCCACCCAATCAAACCCCATAAACTAAAGACGGTACGCAACCCCTCCCTAACAGTCGATTTACCCAATAAAAACCCTGGCTGACTCATCCCAAGCCCCAAAAACGCCAAACGAACCAACCAATCAAGCACCACCAACCCCTCAATAACCAACAACTTAATCGACCAAAAGCGTTAAAAGACCAAGATATAAACCCTAAGCTTGACTGCCCGTAAAGAGAAACAATATTATACAATCTACCATCATATAGTACATCCATGGCTCTCCCCCGCACAATGACAGCAATGAGTACGAGACTATCCCCGATTCCCGTCGTGGTGTGTGGGAGAACAACCCAGATCGGGGATATAGTTAGGGAGGTGTTGAAACCTGAATATGAAGGTATTTCTTTCTTTTTATTTATCTATCTATTTTATGGTTTGCGGGGTGGTGATGGTTAGATAACTTACTTATATATGGACTGATTTAGTGACGCATTTGTTTCTTTCGCCTGATATGGCCAAAAGTGAGATTCCCGCTTTACTGGGAGTGAAGGGGACTACAGTGACAGAGGGAGAGAAGGAGAAGTCGCCGGCGGCGGTCATCTTGGGTGGGGGGTATACGCAGACTGATCTGGAGGAGATTCGCGCGGCGAGTCAGGGAGAGGGAGCCAAAGCGGTGGCATGGGTTAAGGTCGATCCGACGAAATCGCCGCCCTCGTTGCCGGTGGGACCTGAGTATGGGAGGGCTGTGGCGAAGAGGACGAAGGATCGGTTGGATGAATTGGTGCGGAGTGGGAAGATGAATCGGGATGAGGTGCATTTGATTTGATTTGCTTTCTCATTCTTTTCTGCCTTTAAGATTGGGGGGGGGGGGGGGGGGGGGCAGGAGTCTATGTATGGGATGTAAATATTGATTGGTATTATGGTGGTATATTTGCAGATACGTTATGACAAAAACTAAATCACACCCTCATCCAGTGAGCGTATACGTTTAGAAGTCACGGGCTGAGGCCTCCTCGAGCTGCTGGTGAGCGTGGCGCTTGGCCTTCTCCCTGTCGAGGAAGTCGAGACCCTTGGACTCGAATTCGCGGTCGATGAAGGCACCGGCGAAACCGGCGAGGATCTCCTTAGCGCGCTGGTGGCTAGGGGGCTGGCCTGTGATTACTCTCACGTTAGTACAGTCTTCGTGCCCCAAACAATGAAGAAAAAGGAAACGCACCGTTCCTGGCAACATGGTCCTCGTAAGCTTTCATGGCCTCGAAGGAAGCGGCACCGGCAATGAGCTCGTGGCTAAACTTGGCCTTGTGCTCCTCGCTGCCGTTGTAGTTCTGGAGCTGCTTGTAGGACTCAGCCTGCTCGCTATCGTGATCTGGATGAAAAACCCAAGGTCAGCATGAAACGGAGAGAGAGCAGGAGGGGGAGAGAGGCGTACCGAACCAACCCATGGTAAGCAGTAGAAAGTGTGTACGAAGCGAGAGATATAAAGAAAAGATTCTGATTTAGGGAAATGAAAAAGAAAAGAAGAGGGGGAGGGGTCAAGGAGGGGTCTTATAGCAGGAATGCCTTGTGCCTGCAGTGAGACCATTAGGGTAATTTGTTACTTAATGCGGTCCACTATGGAAGCTAAGCTTCGCTAAGCTTTGAAGTGGTTCTCGTCGGTTGGCCTCGGCTATGCTCCCCTCTTATTATTGGACACGTATCACCAATTTCCGGGTGGGGACTCGGCTTTTACGGCAGTTATTGGTTGGTTAACACGCCATGGCTGGCTGAAATGGGACCCAAATGGTAATCCTACAGAGAAAGGAGTGAGATTTAGAACCCTGTGAGATCTAACCCCTCACTATGGAAATCTCAGTACCGCGGAAAGCGACTCGCCGATTTGTTTACATCTTTTTCGGTTGATGCTGTTAGACACTCCGCGGGCGCTCACCTGTGAGCGAAGCTAGATCAGGTCCCGCCGCAAAACGAGGCGTCAAACCAGCGTGGACCGATGGCAAATGAGCGGAAGTATATATAGGATATGACGCCAAAGATGGGTCCATTTGTTCCAGAGGCACCAGTCACCGCCACTTCATCCCCACTGCTGCGCCCCCTGATAAGAGGACACTTAGCAAAGACAAAATCCACCATCTAGCAGTCCACCTTGCCCATGAGCAATGGTCACCAATGTCAGAAATATGGCAAGTACATACACTTACCGATATCCCAGTGGGAGAAAGGTTGAGGACTTTCTTGTGACCGTCCTTACCAACCTCGATCATGACATATCCTGTCCCGACCCATTGAACCCAAACAGCATATCGTGAAACGACACGTCTCCACAATGAGGCCGACGGAACCCCCATAGGGATTCCCAACTCCACAGACCGAGACTCTCCCGCACTAGCAACCGGAGGAGACCACGTATCGAAGGTCAAGTCGTAATTTCCCTGCGTGATAAAGCTCTGGATGATCATGTCCATATCGAGCTCCGCAGTCTCAGGGTCGGCCTGAGAAACCGGGCTAAGGTCAATGGGGTCTGTCTGCTCAGTGCTAGGAAGCAATGTGACCGGTGTGGGCATTGGATGAAGACTATCTAGAGACTCGTTTTCTGCGGAGCTACTGCGGCTATTGTCCCGTTCTAAAGTGCGATGAGTCCGGTCAAGCGAAACAACCATCCGCTCCATCAAGTGGATCACAACATTCTTGGCGCGTCGAACAGCCCAATTCGTATCCTGGTTCTCGTCAAACGCAGACAGACACGTACGTAGGCTGGCGTGGACCTGGCTGTCCCATTCCCGCTGGACGGCAATCCGCACTAGGATGGTAGCCGCCACATACAGTATGTGGCGTATGAAATCAGATAAGGAGCGCGGCAGGTGGAGAATGTCTCGTTATAGTCTTGAAGCAGCTTAATGATGGCTTTGGCAGCCGTGGTGCAGGTGCGGAACGAGTTAATCGCAGTGGATGGGACCGTATTGTGGAGATGACCTTCCGCCACGAAGGGGCGATGGAGGAGAATCATAAGCACGTTGTATAGCGCTAACAGGAAGAGGACGTGGGGCGGAGGGGTATCCTGAGGACCGTCGAATTTCAAGTGAGATGGGAGCCCCTCGTGCCATCGCTGAAGGTCGAAGTCTAACGTGGTCAAACTGGACACCATTTCCTCTGGTACACGTTTCGGGCTTTTCTCCGAGTACACTTTGTTGAGTATTGCATTCAGAATGACGGACAACTTGCATATCTCTATGAATGTGGAGACACTGTAGGCCGGAGAACCTGGATATCTCAAGCCAGGGTTACCAGGGTAGGCAAACGGGGTCCAATGCTCGAGCTCTTCGTACCGATCGAGGAATGTCAACGGGACATTCGTGTCGAAGACTTGGAAACTCGGCGGTCGTCCTTGGTATAGCGACTGGACCTTGTCGACAACAAATGCTCCCCAAAAGACTTGTCGTCTGATCTCCAAATCTTCTTCGGACAACCGACGCATATTTATTAAAAAGGGCGCATCAATGTGCATTCCCAGATCAATGATCATCCTAAATGCGGTGCCAGCCTAAAGCCAAGCTAAACTTCGTTCGTCACCCAGAGCAAACAGCGAACTGGTCATTACAAGCAAGGCTTGGACAGTGGTGATATCGCTCCGATCTAGGGCACTGCCGAGCAGTTCCTTCACTCGCCTTCGGTAGCGCCAACCCGCGGTGCGAACATCTTCGGGATTCTGACGGACTTCTAGACGGGGACTGAACTTGGAGGCCGCGAAGTAGATCGCGTTCAAGAGTAATTTGGAAAAGTATGGACCGCCACAAGCCATGTCTCGCATGAAGGCCGGGCGATAGGTATTGAGGAAATATTGACGATTCCAGTGAAGCGATAATAGATGCATGCCCAGATCCGACTCTTCGCCATCAAAGTCCAATTTCCCTTGTTGGGAGTTCAGGATCTCCATTTTTCCTGTTATCATTTAATTAGCTCCTTGTGCCTGTGTAACATGTGGTGTCACCTACGCTGATACGCGGCTTCGCCCATCAATCCTTTCTTGATCCACTCGCGGGGCTTCTTCGGGTCAGCCACGAGACTTTGAAGCACCCGCTGGTCAGTCGCGGTATCATCAAAGAGGGTACTGGTGCGGCCATGATAGCTGGATTCTCCATTCGGAGTGATGAAAATTCGAGAAACTGTGGAATGCGTAGTCTCAGGCTGACCAGGCTCTTCGACCGCCGGTAGAGTGGCTGGTGAGTTTACTCCTGTTCGCGACAGTTTCTGCCCAGGCGATGTTGCAAGGGCACGTATCTCATTGTCCAGATTATGTCCGTCAGCTTGTAGTCTTTGTCGCAGTTGATGGTTCTCTTCTTCCAACTTTGAGAGCCGACGATTGGATGGTCTGCGTCGAATCGATCAGTAAAGATCATACATAGACGGCATAGGTTCGGGGCACGGTACCTAGGCTTCACCGGTAGCGCAGTGTAGACGCAGTCTCTGCTATATGTTCGACAGTTGGCACAGATAGGTCGCTGGTTGTGGCGTTTGAACTATGTATAATTAGAAGTAGGGCTCTAAAAGAGATGAAAGCTGGGAAACAGCGCTGCTAACCTTTCTCTGTCGGCAGAAGACGCAAGCCTGAGATGACCTTCGCCGACGGTTGGCTGATGTGGGTATATTGCTCCCATTCATGATGTCTGTATATCATATCGTGTTTGAATTACAGGAAGGGGAATAGTAATACTAGTCACGGATGAGGAGTTCCCGCGGGATCATATGATGCCCTCTTGACCGCGACCTTGTCAACATTAGCCTTTAGCCAGTGTAGTGTTACCCTGGACGAGACATCAAGAGAATGAGGGGTCAATCGTGATACTGGTGGTACTCTGGGCCACGGCATACTTAGGACCGTCTACGGACCCAAGGAGAGTCTAGACATGACAAGTGTGGATGATCAGTTCTGACTTCACTCTTCCACGAAGGGTGTATAGTAGAATTGATAACTTTACGGAGCATAACTGTTATACACATAAAGCTCTCTCAGATAACTAAAATCGAATGCCGTTGATCTCATATAACCCTAATCCATGCCACTGCCCGAATAAAGCGGAGGAAATACCAAATAGCTTCAAACCCTGGATGCTCATTCACTCATCAGTAAGACAGTAGAGCAGAGGACGGTGGAAGACAAATCTCAGTCGGGCAAGGTACTAAGCCAGTATTTCTTTGAAACATCAATTTTCTCAGTCTCCTTGACTCCGGGCTTTTTCACGTCTTCAATTCTCTCGGTCTCGCCCTTCTCACATTCTTAAGACAGATATGAGCATAGTTCTCATCCCGATGCATTTGCGACTTCCGTCTTCCCCAGAATGTCCCATGCGTTCCCATTCGAGTTATCGGCGGTTACGATTCAGACCAAGCCGAGGGACAACTTACATGGCCACAAAAGAATCGTCCCACAAGCATCACTGCCTCCCTTCCAGAGGAGGCAACTTGCATAACTGATTCAGTGCAAAAGGCCAGGCCTGCCAGTGTGAGGGTAAACCTACGCCCAAAGAAATCACTCACCAGGGCAGACATCAGAGATCCGAAAAAGCAGTCCGCCTGTAAAAGAGACACAATGTTGGCCGCGAACGTATCTTCGATAGATTTAGACGTATGCTCTAGTCCAAAGTTTCTGTAGCTTGTTAGAGTGAGGCATCGCCAGATATCGTGGAGTAATGTCTCTTTGGGACCAGCTGACATCTTAAACGAATGCAATTCAATGGAGGTACCGATGAAGGCCATGTCGTAGCCAAATAGAAACGCTCCCATCCAAGTAACAATCGCTAGAAAATACACCCGTATAGTAAGCATCTTCTCAGTTGTATCAGTGACAAAAACCAGCGTGTTGTCTTTTGATGAAAAGCCGCATGATTGGTGTTATCGCTTGATTTACTCGTAGATAGTCCTCGTTAATCGATTATGCTGTAGAGCAAAGAAACAATCGAAGATAGAGAGGCACCGAGAGGCTTTTCATTTTGAATGCGACCCGAATGACATACATGGCCAGGAAGGTTATTGGCTCTTTCGCTGACGAATGTGATCGCACGGCATCCCGCGGGCCAAACATTCCCGCGGAGGAGATTCTATGGATATGATATGTATAGGCGCTTTTCGGGCAGTATCACAGTACGACATCATTGTCCGGTGAATAGCCCGAGAAGCATATGCAATTTCGCGGCGTAATATAGTGACTTCTACAATTGTCCTACTCGCAATTTTAGAAACTTACATACCAGGTTCCAGTTCAAAGATTCAAACACTGTGGAGCTCCAGGGACAGTAGACTAGCCACGAATATGCCGATCAAACACTGCTGCGAGGTAGATACTGAGTCTACTTTGATGCCGGAGATTCTTAAGCATGTCTCTCACGCCTCCAGTTCAATCCGAAGGGGTCTCCTTGCGGCCTGGGTGAGAGCGGATACGTCAAAAGGGTTATTCATCCATGAACATGACCTCCCTCCTTCCAAGGGCCTTGGGGTCCCGATCCTCGTCTCTGCTCTAGGTTCTGCGGAAGCAGAGAAGAGGCAGCTCAACGGCATCAGAGGTGCGACTTCGACCACTTCAAAGGTGCGGTGATTCGCAAGTCCAAAATACCCATAGTAGATGTTGACTATACCTTGGTCCAAGTCGCTCCGGACCAAGCTCAGGTCGATATGAACGGAAGTTGTGGAAACATGACGTCCGGGTTCGGTCCATTTGCCTTGGATGAAGAACTCGTAAAACTGACAGGATCGGGACAAAGAACAGCGAGCTCGCCTACCACGCCATTTCTGTTTCTTTCGCCTTCTGAATATATCCCCAAATTTTGGCAGGTGGACATCAGAGTGTTCAAATCGAACACGCAACAACTCCTAGTGGAAACCGTCCACGTCACGCCGCGCCGGAGGGGAAGTATTCCGAGGACGGCGACTATAACACTGCAGGTGTCCGCGGATTTGCGAGCCCTATCCGGATGACTTTCATTTAGCCAGGCGGTAGCATGACAGGAAGGTTATTCCCCAGCGGAGCCAAGCAAGAAATGCCCACCGTCAACTCAGCGCACACTCCGACACCATTCATGATTCGGGCCAGTCTAGTAAATGCCAGAAACCCTTTCGTGTTCGTGGACTCGAGCAGCATGCCCTCGGTGTATTGTGACGCAGAACCTGCATCCTCTACTTCGCTTAGAATCATCGAGGAGATCTGCATTGCTGGCGCCATGAGGTTTGGTTTAACTCGAGACACTGCGATGGCTAGCCAGGTCAGAGGCACTCCTAAGAGCGCGCTTCTTTCTCCCGGTCGATGCGAGGCAGACACAGAAGGTTATGCTCAAGAACCGGATATCGTAGTTCTGCCATTTAGCATGCGTAAACCTCACCCCAGCCTCCAGTTGACCGGAGCTGTAAGTATCGGCACGGCGCTAAGCATACTGGGAACGGTCACATGGGACCTACGGCACTTGAGAAATCCAAGTATCAACCACGATACCCATCGGGGGTGAGAAGCCACGATGATCAATCCAACTTTTAGCACGGTCCAGTGGTTGTTCAAACACCCTAGCGGGCTAATGGGCGTAGAAACGAAGTTAGAGATGCATCGCAGCCGGCAGAGATCGGTTAAGAGCGTCAGTGTGTTTCGCACTGTACGACGACTATTTGAGGGGAGAGTTTTTTTTTATCACCTGTAGCCAACGTGTAGTAGGGGAAGAAATGTGAAAGATCGAGTTAAGCCAGCAAGGTGTGGTATACCAGTAGTACTATCAGTCAGGTAAAGACACCATGGAGGTCTGATAGTGTTCACGTGGTGATAACTCAGGACCACACGGCGGCCTCAGGCCAGGCACCCCTGACGATCGACGCGCAACGATCAGCAAAACTTAATTGCTGATCATCGCATCATCGCGTGTTCATTACCCTACCCCGTAGACTCGTGGTCGGATGATCATACTATTCTGTAGTAGTGATCAGTGTGCGTTTTGTTTTTAATTTTTTTTTCCACAAATTTTCTTCCCTTATTTCCTGTTTTATCATGTCCTTTTGTGGCACCTTCTAGTGCCAAATTCACGTCACAGAGGACGTACTAGTATAAAAAGCATGGCCGATTCACGCTCATCTCATTGATAAGAATGCCACTTAATTTTACCAGTCAAAGATACACCAATGTATGCATAGTAGATCCAGAATATGCGAAAATTAAATCTCCCATAGCGCCGACGAATACCCCTATCCCCAGATGAACTCCGAAGCTGCGTCCCAAAAAAAAAAAAAAAAAAAAAAAAAAAAA